GGAGAAGGAGAAGGGGAAGGAAAAGGAAAAGGAGAAGAAGGAGAAGAAGAAGGAGAAGGAGAAGGAGAAGGAAAAGGAGAAGGAGAAGGAAAAGGAGAAGGAGAAGAAGGAGAAGAAGGAGAAGAAGAAGAAAGACAAGAAGGAGAGTGACACATGAGATCATGGCTTATGTGCCTAATTCGATGGTGGATACAATCGTATTTGCCAAACAAGAGATAAGAACCGTCGAATGGACGGCGTTTGAAATTAAGGTCAGAATACGCATCATCAGACGGCGTGGGCGTTATCGCGGCAGCACTCTCGGCTTAAAAGAGATGACCCTTCACCATAGTTTTCCAAGCATGCTGCAGATCGCCTATGCATTCGATTGTTTCTCTACAGTCCAGGGATGTTGCTTCGCAGTAATCATAAGTCCAATATACGTCAGGTTTACTTCATAATTTGCTCCTCATTTGTATTCTATCCATTATCAATGTAGGTTATCTTGAAGCAGCTTGCATTTAACCTTGTGGCATTGCGAGCTTCTCGAAATCTCTCAGATTTGAACGTCACCCATTCAGTCTAAACCGGCTGCTTTGCCATAAGACACCTAGACGGCAGCACGTAAGTAGTGATGAGTTCATTTCAGTTCATGTCTGGATATCTGACATGGCTGTGGTCACAGTGAAGATGCTGTTTTGTGCCTTGGCTCAAGGCCCAAGGCGGTAGAAGCTCGGAGTAAATTGAGCTAGAACCTGACATAGAATTACCAACGAATGGCCAGACCGGACAAAATCTCAAGCAGCAACGCCTCCGGACAAACCAAGATCACCATGCTTCATGACCGCCGCAGGAGATACAAATAGAACCGCCGAACGTGCCCTTGAAGTGAAGACAAACAGTGCGGATCCGCGCGACCACTGTGCAATATGTCTTGAATCGATATCAGAGCGCGCCATCACTGCGCCGTGCAACCATGCGCTGTTCGATTACCTGTGTCTTCTAACATGGCTCCTAGACCATGATGCAAGATGCCCGCTGTGTATGTCTCCCAAATTGCAGTCACCCCTTTGCGCGAACTTGGCTGATATCGCCCAGGCAAGACAGAAGTTGTGAGCGTGTCGTACGACTTCGTTTCTACCACCGAATTCAAGACCTTCATCGTGCCCAAGAAACCTCCTCCGACATCTTCGCGAAGCTTGCATGACCGCCACGACTCCCCAGGCGATCAGTCGAGAACACTGTCTAGGTCACGCCGCCGCCAGCGTCCCGCGTCAAACTTGCCCTCCGACAGCGATCGAGCTCTTGAGACGCGTAGGTCTATTTATTGCCGCCAACTATACTCGCTTCATGTTGGCTCGAACAGCATTTCAGGGCACCGCAACTTCACTGCGCGCACCTTTTCTGCTTCACTAGAACTGCAGTCGCGGGCACGCATTTGGATACGGCGGGAACTCGGCGTATTTGACTTTCTCAACTCTGTCAAAGGTCCCAACGGAGCCACCCGCCGGGTCAACAATGCTGAATTTCTCCTCGAATACATCATAGCCATGCTGAAGAGCGTAGACATAAAAGACTGCAGCGGACGCGCCGAGCACATATTGGGTGAATTCTTGGGGAAGTCGAACGCGCGTCTATTCCTTCATGAGCTTGAGGCTTGGCTGAGAAGTCCTTACTGCGATGTCAGGGAATGGGATGCGGTCGTTCAGTATCCCGATTTGTAGCCAGACGACACAACTATAGAGAAACACATTGCACAACAGACCATTCATCAACGAGCAGTTTGGCGCAGTTGATGGCGCAAAATGGAAGAGGAGCCCTTCGCTGGCATAGACAATCTCGTTCGCCTGAGAATGGTGTATCTTCTTACACGGCTGCATCGTGATATCTATCACCATCACTCGCTCAAAGGATGCACTGATTTAGTACGAACGACCCTCACGCGGCGTGACATTCCTGAGCCCAGTCCAACTGCCCACGCAATGCTGTCATTCAGTCGAGATCATGGTTGCAATAACGGAACTCAAGCGAGATCGTACTTCAGAACGACTAGACGCTACAAAACTTGTTCTCAACTTCTTCATTAAGGCCTGTATTGCAGCAACGCTTCGCTGGAGCTACCCAACAGCTTCTTGGGATTGAGCGAAGCCTAATGCCCGTTCGTGATGTCTGCCACAGCTCTTCTTTGAGATGTCGAATGCTGTTTCAAAATTCGAGTAACGTCGGCTGGAGATACTGAGCCGAATATTAAATCGGCCTGCAAAAACATGTTTGGGAAAGGGTAGTCTTTCCTCCTAATGGCACTTGCTTAAAAGTTAACATTAATGTTACTTATGCTAAATTTTGTACCGGAATTGATGCAATTAGCGTAAAAATGCATATTTGAAGGCGTTAATCATGCTCAGCACCTTTTGCTCTCAGTGCTCGGGAATTTTCGATTGTACATCGCTTCCGTGTCGCGGAGCTCTTCATAACAACCACGAGAATATATTCCTTGCTTTGGACTTCCAACCATTTTGGGGCAAGTTGTCATCTGCCTCAGCCTTATACACGTCCTTGTCCAGGTCCATTTCCTCAAGGCTTACAACCTTGGTTTTCTTGACGATTTTCCAGCCTACGTACATCAGAAGCATGATTGGAAGTTCGATATAATAGCTTATAAAGGAAACAACATCGAACTTTGGACTGAACGCGGACCAACCCTGGACTAACACCAGCACCGAGTTTAGTATAACCGAAGCGATTGGCCCATACGGATATGTCCAGTTCTTGAAGGGAAGCAGATCTTCTTTTCCCTGCTTACGGATGGCGGACCTGAATCGAAATGACGCTATACCAATGGCAATCCACGACAGCTGGTTCGACACGCCAACGATGTTCTGTAGCCAAGTCCAAAGCTGGCCTGCGCCGATGAAACTCGCCCCGAAGCAAAGTCCACCAACAGCCGACGTGGCGAGGACGGCGACCCATGGTACTTGTTGACCATTCAAATTTCCCAGAAAACGCGGCGAATGCCCTTCAAGTGCGAGAGTATACATCAGGCGAGCTCCTGCAAACAGCGCGTGATTGGCTGCTGACAAGACTGAGGTCATGACAACAGCGTTGACAAAGCTCCCCGCAACTTTGCTGCCGGCCAGCTGAAACACCATTGTAAAAGGTGAAGTGCGAGAGCTCTTGTCTTTTAAGCCTGGGGTGTCGTACGCGATGTTCAGACCGATCAGGAGGACCGATAGGATGTAAAACAGCAAGATTCGCCAGAACACGTTCTTGACCACTCGAGGCATGTTTCGCGCGGGATGCTTTGTCTCTCCCGCCGTTATAGCAATGCTCTCAGTCCCTCCATCTATTCAAAATTAATCAACCATGACTAATACAATGGTGTCAAACACATACATGCGAAGGATGCGGTGACGAAGACTGAAGCAAAGCCTCCAATGCCGCCAACAAATGGCGCATCGCCATGGTTCCAATACTTTCCCCCGATGTACTGGTGATATACGTTTCCGCCGGCATTCACAGCGACACCCAGGATGATAAATATGATGATCGTGACAACTTTGAGAAGACTGAGCCAGTATTCAAGCTGCGAGGAAATCAACTAGGGTGCTTGGTAACATTTTTGATGCGCTCCGGGACTAACCTCCCCGTATATCCTCACGGCGAATAAATTAACCACGATTAAAGCCAGCCAGAATATCAAGCTAACAACATATCCGGGGAAATTAACATTCCAGTAGTCAAGAACTAGCTGGAGGGCCGTCTGCCGAGGCCTTATCAGCTTTGCTGTGTGGTATAACCGAGCATACTTGAGAAAATTGGACTCACCAAGTCCGAAGCTACGGTCACGGCATCGTTAAACCAATAGTTCCTTACGGTGTGTGAACCAGAATGCGTAAGAGTGCGATTTTTGTTCAGCGGCTTACCATGTCAATGCGAATGCAAATGCATCATCCACAAAGCGTCTGGTCATGTCAACAATCCCGTTCTTCATTTGGCACGTGCTACGAGTAGACCTTACCCGGCGAATGTGCAGAAAGAGCCGGCGACAGGAATCTAAGCCCAGGAAGTCAGATGACGTTCACGCTGAGGGCGAATTACCGCAGCCGTCAACTTACATAGGCAGCCATCTCGCCCAGCGACAACATCGTCACGAACACGATTGCTCCAACCACGAAATAGGCTATGAGCATGGAAGCTGGGCCTCCTACCGCTAATGACTTGCCGGTGCCTAAAAACAGACCGGTACCAATTGTCCCGCCGATAGCTATCATTTGAACTTGGCGTGCGGATAGTCGCCTTGCGAGGCGATCCTCCGCAACCAACCCTCGACTTTCTGTCTCATCTCCATGCTTTTCTAAGTCAGTGGCGCTGTGAAGAGCGGGTTCTTTATCGACGATTGCAGGTTCTAATGACATGATGGAAGGACTTTAACATTGCGAATCGTCCGCCAACAGGAGATACGGCTTCCTTAAAGACGACCAATTTTTTTTCTTTTTGGGTACCGTTGCATGCCCATGATCATTTGGTAAAGACGAGGCCGTATTGCGTGCTTTCAGATGGACCCACGCGACTGGGTCCAAGAAGAACGTAGTGCACAAACATGGATCGAACGGGTAGGGCAGACGCAACGTTCGTGACTAATGGAAATGTCTGACGCCATGTAAATCTCGAAGGGCTGGAATAATTTGCACGCTTGAAGATTCCATGCCTGGTCAAATTTCGCCCGTGTAATTGGCCCCCTCTAGAGTTTTGCTTGCAGAGCAGCGCTTGTGGGGTTCGGACTTCCTGATAAGGCAAACATCGCCCTCGATCAGCACACTGTAGCATCGTGGATGGAACGAAGCCTTGCATTTGTTGCGAGAAGTGGAAATTCAGCGACGAAAATTAAGACATCGTTTCTTCTAAATGGAATGAAGCGATTCGGAAACTTGAAGAAAAAAAGCGTACGCAGTTCGTTCACAATCGTGCAACGCGAGATTTCTTTGCTGATACAGGCTGCCGGTCTGCTGACATGTACAGCCTCACATTCAATGCATCGGCTAAGCGTATACTACGAGACTAGTCGAATCTTGCGTTGGCCTTGGCTGCAGTCTTAATTGGTCTTGGTAGCATTCATTCCTAACGACGTTGTATCAAACGGGAACTGCGAAAATCTCTGAGAAATTTCGGCCAGCTTCGACTGGAGAGAGCATTCAGAACAGCTCTTCTTGTTTGTACGATGGGAAAACGGTGGGTCGCGTGTCATACTGGGGGATGAGCATCATGCCCAAGACGGTCCAAACACGAGCTTCTCTTGTGGTATTCTCCTCTTCCAATCCATAAGGAGATCCCAAACGCCTGCCTAAACTAGCCGTTTAACAGGAATTGCGATGGCGGCATTCTACCGCTTTAGATCGTGCAAGTAAACGGGCAGCTCACGACGAGAGTTTTGGCTTGATACGTTGTATGAACGCAGAGAACCGTGAGACTTGTGTCATATATTGCCGTGTGTTGATTTGGTGCAATGACATGATTGATTTCCACCATTTTTCAAGCCAAAAGAACCACCTTTGGGTTCTCGAAACTGAAGGCGTTGGAAATACTACGGCAGCGAGTAAAAACTACAAGCAAAATTCTGGAAATTGCGCCTAGTTAGAATACGTTAGTACTTGCGCTGGAGGTAACCGTCATCGTGCAGACGGTGAGGAGATCCCGCTCCCACGGCCGCCCTAGCGATAGTACTATGTCTCCAGCAATCTACTGAGGCTTCCTTGTGCAAGGATAATCCTCTATCTATATGGGAGATGAATATAGCTTGGTAAGACGGCTCTAGAAGCCAAAGTTGAATTCTTTCGCAAACTAGGCTCGGCATTTGGCGAGCAAGACACGGTAGCATAGTCGAAGCATTAAGATGCGAGGGCTCTAGGAATGGTATTGATAGCTTTTATGTATAGCTTATACAGAGAAACGAAATTATAAGCTTATATACTCAGGTTGAATATTTGTAAAAACAAAGTACCTATATTTCTCCCACACCGGGGACGGACGTTATGATTTGGGGCATTGCTTTTGTCTGCTTAGTCAGCCTGAGCCTACTTCTCGCGAAGTCAAGACATTGAAACAAACACACTTAAAAACAAAGAGCAGCTTGCGTTCCCAGGCCGCGGCAACATGGCAACGCCTCGTGCGCCGACCTCTGTCCCGCTCCAGGGATCAGCCGGTGGTATAAAGGCCAACCAAGTCATCGTACCTACAACAAAGCTGTCCACTCCCACACTCCCACCACCAGACACATTCGACTTTCTCCCGCCTTTGTATGGCCTGTTGCGTCGCTTGCAGCAGCCCTCGGGTATAGAGGCCCCCGTCGGCGCTCAAGACGGAAACAGCGCTGCACTTCCAGAAGGCTCACCGTCTCAGCAACTGGAGCGAACCGTGAGTGGCGGAAGCGGGAAGCTGGAGCTCAGCCATCTGGACGCGGCTGCCAGCGCGATTCGGCTAAAGATTCAGAAGGCCAGGCAGCTCGTTGCCAACATGCCGGACATTGAAAGGACGGTGGAAGAGCAGGAGGAAGAGCTAGCAGAGCTCGAAAGCCGCGTGACGAGGCAGAGAGCGATGCTAGCCAAGCTGGGAGTCAATCTGGAGGCTTCGACGTCTGCAAGTGACATAACGTGATGCGCTGGTGGACTACCTTGTTTCTCATTCCAAAGTCGTCTGCAAGATAGAAAGAGTCTTGCTGCGAAGCCCTAGGACACCGCGCAGTCCTCGGTGCGATGAATGGTGGCAACAGGGGGGCTAAGGAAGACAGAGCCCGTACCTTTTCTCAGTCATGCTGCCACTGCGAGAAAAAAACACACTTTCTTCAGCATCGTGTCCACCGTAGGAACGGTCATGCAAAGGATGACGCTCCTAGGATCTCCTTTTGAAATGTGAGCTCCAAGCTCACTCACTATTCTCAAGGGCGCAGCCTGCGTAACGAGCTTGTCGCTTAATCAATGTCGGTTGTTGGTGTTGGAAGCATCTACGCTCCAGAAAGGAAATCAGGTTGGACATTCATGACGCTTTCAAAATATCTATCTCAATGCGGTACACATTTTGTCTAGGTTCACTACCAGCGATTCGGTTACATTGCATCTTTATCCTTTGCTCCAATGACGAAATGAAGCCAATGACACACAATCTGCTCAGAGAATTCCTAATTTTTTTTTTCTTCCGTTTGCGCAAAGAAGATGCAATAAAAAAGCGTTTAAGCCATAGACGTTGTTGAGTACATATGTTCTTTCGACTCTCCCATTGACAAGGATCATGTCGCCGCCAAAGCAGAGACGACGCAGATATTTAGTCCGGTAATAAAGAGTTACCTGAAAGCAGCCACTCCCCAGAAGCTGTTGGAAATGACCGGCCTTTTTCCATGTACAGTCCTTTGGCCACATGGTTGGACCTAACAGATGGAAATCACGATTTTGTCACGTATCTCACCTAGTTCTGCTCATGGCACATATGCATCTTACCTTGGATGCAGCATCAATGTCGAATTCGCGGGTCAACCAAGTTATTGACTCGATGCTATCCGGATGATGTGTGAGGTGAAGCCCTACATAGTATGGGAATAAAGAAGATGGGACGTGGTAAGCGTGCTTAAGATATATTAGCATTACGAGCTGAATCTCTTTGTTGAAATGTATATCATAACGAGGCACTATGCTCTTTCTTAGCCTTGGCTTCTTGAGCCACAACGCCAAACCTGATGCATCCGTATTACTACAAAATGGCTGTCCTGCTTTGCCTCCAAGTATGGTAAACAGCGAAAGTGCTGTAGCGAGAGAGTCTACTGCGTGACAAATATGCGAAACGATTTCACCTCTTGAATTTTCGCTTCTCCATGACCGTGTGGAGAGACCGTCGGATAGTCTGTCCGGCACTCTCGACTTCCTTCTTCGTGAGGCCACTTGTCATGCACACCTTCAGCGCAGGCTGTGGTTGCCACGGCTGCTCCCGTGAACTCACACCGATGGCAAGAGGCATGTGCCGAACTTTGGTAACGAGGACGTCCTTTCTGAGAGCCTAGTGGTACATAAGTATGAGTCTCAATCAACGAAGAGGATGCTATCTGCGAAGCAGAAAGGTCAACGTACCTCATCTACAACCTCTTGGATGATAGCTTCTTGGTCCTTGACTGATATCTCGTACCGAGAGATGAGGTCGTCCTTCAGCACAAAAATCATGATCGGGTTTTGCTTCGAGCTCGTGCATGTGACCCACTGTTGCTTGGGGAAGTTTTTAGGGTCGAACTGAGCCCACATGGTGTCGATGTTTTCCTGCAGTTTGATTCCGTACTCCGGGCTATCTTTCAGCAGCTGAATGGTCTCCACAGCCGTGGTCGCGAGCATGGCTGGCAGAGCCGCAGAGTAGGTGTACGCCGTTGCCATGATGCGCTGGTGCTCGACCACCTCGGGGGAGCCTGCGCAGAAACCACCGCCCGAGCAGATGGGGCCAGCCAGAGAACCGATCAGCATGTCCACTTGGTTCGCGTCCACGTTCTGCGCTTCCGTCACGCCACGACCTCCCTCGCCAAGCACACCGTAGGACCACGTCTCGTCAAGAATGATGCGGAACTTGTACCTGTGTTTGAGCTCGACCAGTCGAGGCAAATCGACGACGTCTCCCACGTTCTCGAACAGGCCCTCGGACACGATGAAGCGTCGAGTCAACGGCTTGCGCGCATTTTCCTTGACGATTTTGCGGAGCAGGCGCTCAAGATCGGCCATGTCGTTGTGCTCGTACCAGTACACTTTGCTGCGACTGACCTGCAGACCCTTTCTGATCGAATAGTTGACCGCCTTGTCGGCGACGATGATGTCGCCTCGCTTGGAGAATGCTGGAATAACACTTGAAATGGTGGAAAAGGCCTGGGCGTAGATGATGCAGTTCGGCACGCCTAGGTGGGCAGCGACGGCCTTCTCGGCCTCCATGTGCACATCCTGCGTGCCGTAAAAACCAGGTGGTCCGCAAGGCCCGACGCCGTACTTGCGCAGGGTCTGGATGGCCTTCTCCTTGAGAGTCTCGTTGCCGACGAAATTGTAAAAGTTGTACGACGCGAGATTTGTGACGAGTTTGCTGCTCCCGTTGGCCGTGGCGACTCTGCACTTGGGACCCGTCGCGCCTATGATGGTAGGTCGTTTCTCGTTCTCGACGATCTCCTCGGGCGTCTCGGGCTCAACGATGGGTTCCGGCTGCCACTCTTCAACAAGGTCATCGATCTCCTGCGTCCAAGGTTAGCGGTTGAAGTGTTCCCGAATCTTTCGATCGCATGCCACGCATGCCCTGCACTGACATCCTCAGTGAGAACGATTTTGTTCTTGTCCTTCGTCTCGTAGCTCGGGCTCAACAAATAGCCAACCGCAAAGAGAAACAGGAAGAGCTCTATGGCACTACGGATGGGGTCATTCTGGTAGCTGCTGCGGATGTAGCGCAGCACGATCGCAGAGCCGGGTACTTTCTGAAATTGCTGCGACGCAATCTCACTGTAGTGCAAAAGCACGCTCTGCAAGTCTGCCATGGTGCTGTTGCAAGCGAATGATGGGGGAGGAAAAGGAGTCGCGTGGCGGGTAGTGTCGAAAGCGAGAAGTAACTCAATTATTACTTATGGACCCAAATCCCTTATCGACTCTCTGAGATTGGATCGTCATCTCGCACCGGATCCGCACGGGTGCCATGGGCGCAGTCACGTGATATACATCCAGCCCCTATTCCGCTCCAATGCATGAGCCAGCCGCGGCTGAAACTCTGGGCTTCGTATCTTGTTCAGGGTCAGCCTGGAACGGCGTCGATACTCACTGCATACACACCACTTTGCACGCGGTACAAGTTATAACTCGTTGAAATTGCTGCGGTTGCTAACTAGGTGTACTTCTATGGATACTTTTGGGCGCAATGGCCATTCTGAAGCGTTGAAAGCCGTCTTTGAGCCCTGCTCATGTTCTCTGCGCTCGTTCATATATATCTGTGGCAAGCTTGAATGCTGCACGTAATCCATGCGCTGGAATCGATACTATCGAAGTGCCATCCATGGTCAAGTGTTGGTCTGCGGGAAGCGGACCATGCGCAACCATTTAGAAGTCTGCAAATCGTGTTATCAAATCATCACTTTGGACCATATACGTCTGTTGCTCCAAAAAATCGGGGCAAGAGCCAGGTCAGGTCGGAGTGGGGATCAGTCGTCAAGAAGACCCCAGTAGTGTTCGGTATCGAAGGTTGAAGTGTCATCCGTCATCCAGTAATTGTTGTATGCGGAGAACATAATCACATCGCCCTCAACATTCCTCTTGATGGATTCTACGGCGACGTTCTGGTTTCTCTTACCCGGCACGGCAGCACCATTTGCTTGACCGGACTTGGGCCACCCAGTCTCGGTCACGCGGACACGAATCTCATCGCGGCGATGGCGTCGCTGACTTGCACCGCAATGACGAAGGAGGTCTACCTGGCCTTTCACGAACTTGCCAGCTTGGTCGGCGCTTGTCTGAGAATTGAAGAATGGATGGACGTTGGCAGCAAGGTAGTCACCCGCTCTCGCACCGCAGAGTTCTGGATTGGCAAGATAGGCGTCTTGGCTGTCGACGTGAACGACGGGCCCGCGGTAGCCAGCACGATGCAACAGCGTCCTTGCAGAGGCAACGAATGCGAAGATCTGCTGCGGTGTCTTCTCACCACGATGCACATCTTCATTGCCAATGCTAATCGCGTCGACCATAGTCCAATCGCCACCAACGGCGAGCACACCATCAACAATGGTCTGCAGCTGCGAAGGCATTGTGTCGTCTAGAAAATAAATGCCAACAAAGACGCGCTTGTTGTACTTCTTCGCAAGCTGGAGGGCCATTCCCGGCTGGCCGCAGTCCGCACCGTAGATTCGGACGACATCGTAATCCTTCATTTGAGACCATTCTCTGTCCGCGTCATCGAAAGTCTTGCATAATACGTCACCCTCGACGCCCTTGTAATTTGACCAACTGATACCATACTCGGATCTGTTATGATTCGCATCGTCACTAGCTGTAGCGCTTTGAACGGTATCAGCAACTAATGTGCTAGTTGCAGCCGATGGAGAATCAGCTTGAGGCTGAGTTGTTTCTAAAGTCTGTACTTGATCTGTTGATCTAGTTGGAGATGGGACAGTCGCTCGCGTGGAAATGGCTGTCAGCATTACAGCTGACCCCGTTCCAGTGCATGTCTGGGTGAGTTTGCTTTGGTCAGATGCTGCTTCCGGTTCGTATGTGGACAGAACTGGCGGATGAGCGGTGGACGAAGTTGCAGACACTTGAGCTGCATTATGGACCGTGTTGTCCAAAGGTCTTGCTGAACTTGCTGTTTCTACGCCTTGAGAGACAATTTTGCCGTTCTCGTCAACCCATACCACATAATCTGGTGCCTGAACAGTCTCCCAGACAGTAACAGTCATTGTCTCATCGACATGTTTAGCAAAGGGGTAGCCTGTTGATGATGAGCTTTCGCTGCCTAGGCTTCAATCAACCCGTGATCCTATCATACCTGGAGGATGGCACAGCACAATGTCAAGCACAAGAATCAGAATGACAGCAGCGGCCCTCCTCATTCTGCTGCTATCTATTCAGAGTTCAGTTACAAGATTGGCCCTGTACAACGATCAACAGCAAGAACAGCAGGCAAGTGCCAGACACCGCATGGATATCTCAACGTCTTTCCCTAGCAGATATTCCATGTATATACATCGGTCACTTACAGTGAGCGCAAAGCAAAGGCACCGAGAAAAAATGGCGACGGCCACCAAGTTGAGCCTGTTGATCAACAACTTGCTTTGCGGATGGACAACGAAAAGACGATGTAACGAATGTGATGACGGCACCAGCCGCGACTGAGAGAGGGAAGAAATCTCGTTGATCAGAAAAAGAGTGACTTTGTTTAGTTTTTTTTTTGTTGTGATGTTGTATTGAGGTTTTGTACACAAAGTGGCCGAGAAAATCGTTGTTACGTTGCGAACAACATTGAAGTGCCACGTGCCGTGGAAGGAAGATAACAAGTTAGTGACCAACATGATTTCCAGCACAATTCGTCCTAGTCTCTTCTTCACTTCGTAGAGTCTAAATTGACCAAGAAGACCGATAGTACTGAGCAACGACAACCCCCTTAGCCCGAGAGCTCATACAAACGATATTCCATTTGTCTCTGCTGCGAATTGGTGGCAGTAAACACTCGAGATTTGGACAGAGGAAAGCGAACATCTCGATGAGAACCTGAACTGTTGATTCATTCATAAGACCCTCTCTCGTGCGCCGTACACCGAATTATCACGTTCAAACACGCCAGCGATCAACTGCAATTCACGCTGAGTCTAAGTCTACTTTTCCCGCAAATTTCTTCTTAACCACCCGATAGCATTGCGAGACTCTAGAACCGAAGAGACAAATATGCTATTAGCGTGCTAATCCACCGCGAATCAGCATGAGGCAGCTAAAAAGCTGATAAAATATGCTGATTTGGGTCTCGTTACTGTATACTTTAGGCTTCAATTCTTATATCCCGACAACGCTTTCAAGGTAAAATTACAACCCTCAACAATTGTAGCATAAAACAATTACCCAAATTCTTTATTATAAGAACGAAGAAACTGTATTCCTTCTTCATAAAGCTCTTAATTAGAATGAGATACGATGCCCGATAGCGTTCTCCATGTTATAAAATCCTAAACATTCGCTTCGTGTCGTAAAAGAAAACCACAGAACTCTTTTCGACTGGAGAGCGGTCAAGGTCAAGATCGTCGTTCGCGAAGTTGACACTCTGCGCTATGTGAGTTTCATGCAATCCTAAACAGATCGATCAAAATCATGGTGGTGTACAAGCAGAAGCTCAACTCAACGGCAACTCCACCAGCATGGCCCTGTGGAATCGAGCATTCCGGTCTTTGTGGCTGAAGACAAAGACTCGATCATCCGTAAACAGCGGTCGAATATACCACCAAGAGCTTGCAGCGGCTGAGCAGATGGTGGCAACGTTACGTTTGGAGCGAAGAGAAGACGTCGCATAGCTGCCTGTGCGCAAGTTTCCTGATCTTTGGCTTACGCGAGATCTCTGACGAGACCGCGGTGCATGGTGAAGGGCTCCTCTTCTTCTCATCAGGAATTGCGTCTCTCTCAAATGTAGTCAGATCAGCGCCCTCGTAATAGTCGTCACCTACGGATTTGGTTGTCGAGTTAAGGCGCTCGCCAACATGAACGATGAGCCTCAAACAGGAAATATTGTTGCTCGACGAGTATGCCGCGTCGAGCGCGCTGTCCAGGCCGGCAAGGCCGTGGCAGTCTCGACTTTGAGAATGAGAAGAGATTAATGATGACCAACCTTGACTGTTCTCGGAGTGAGCCTCACTTGATTACGTGCTGGAACCGAGCGAGCAATACGCACGTTGTGACTCTCCACCCGCAGTCACCGGGCTCGACTGTGCCGTCCAGAACCCCTAATCCGAACACCGCGAGCCTGGGAAGACTAAGCAGCTGAGCGAACGAGCCGGGCGAAAGGAGCACTTTGTCTTGGCCGGCCACCACGAACCAGCGCAGCTGCGAAAAGGCACCGGCGTCTCTCGCATGGCTGGCCCAGCCCCTCGCAACTCGGTCGCAAAAGCGCGAAGGACCACGCGGCCCGCGCACGTAAAGAGCGCGGAGGTTCTTGAGCGCGCACAGGTTTAACCAGTCCGAAAGACGCATCGACGCCGCGTCCAGGCGGAGGAGCGTGAGGAAACAGGCGTCGGGCGCGTCGAGCAACGGCAGCGTCGGCGCCAGGAGCTCAAGCGGAAGCCCGGACGGAGCCTTGAGGTCTCCGAGGACCTTCTGCGCGTCGCGGTTCGAGCAGTAGGCCAGCGCGAACGCTTTCCAGCACGCGACTGTGACCGCCTTCATCTTGACGATCTGCCTCCACACCAAGTCTCCTACGGGATCCCAGGGAGTCTGAGCTAGCGTTTCGGCCGTCAAGGCCTGTCGGTACTTCACGACGCTTCGCAGAGCCATGTCCTTGAGCGCGGAGCATCCACGACCGTTGGTAAACCGGCGGAAGAAGTTGTTGGAAAGCGTGGACTTGTTGGCCCATTTGTAGGGCGTCAACCGGAGCTCGGAGCTCGACGACTCTTGAAAACACAGGCCATCGTTGGTGTGACGTAGATTCTCCATCCGTGGACCTTCGCGTCTTGATTCAATGGCGTCTCAATTGAGAACACTTTGATTGCGTGTGGAGGCGAAGTTGACAGAGGCAGAGAGACCCTAGGCCGAAAGGGGCACAACAGCAAATCGCGTCAAGATGATCTAAACAGAAACATGCAAGGCGTGTTGCAAAGCAGAGGAGATGAGCCATGTATTACTTCTAACAACCACATAATGCTATGTGCAATCTACTAATCTACACATGGTCTACAAGCGCCATAAGAATGATCTACAATTTCCTTCTCTCCTCCCACTCCTCATAGCACTGAGCAATGTCACCTGGCTGAAAGTCCTGCCACTCCTCAAATCCCATCCCACACTCACTTCCCTTCGCCATCTCCATGACGTCCTTCTTCACATGCTTCAGGGAGGACAAGGCACCTGAAAGGGATGTTAGCCAACTAGACGGTCCTGCGAGAAAGATATATGCAAGCTGTGATAGCATACCTGTATAAACCACTTCGTTCTCTGGGCCTCTCAACACCCTGATCTTACCGTTTCTCAAAATGGTTCCGTTCCTAACTTTGCATCCCGCGATCTTGACCACCTTTCTCTTGACGTGAATGTCAAAGATCTGTGCAATCTCCGCCTCGCCTAGGACGCGACTCTTCACAACTGGCTCCAGAACATCCTCCAAACAGGATTTCACATCATCTGCTAGCCTGTAGATGATGTTGTGATCAAGAATCTTCGTCCCCGCCCGCTCCGCGAGCGAACGCATCGATGGTGGAATGGAGGTGTTGAAGCTGACTACATGACCGCCAACGGCGGTCGCATAGTCGATGTCCGACTCTGCGACGACACCAACGGCTGCTTTAAGGACGATGGGTTGAACCTCACTGTTGCCGAGTGAGGTGATTGCGTTGACCACGGCTTCCACCGAGCCCGCGACGTCAGCTTTGACGATAAAGTATACCTTCTTGACGCCATCTGCATCTCCGCTTTCAGAGGCATCTTGGTCCGGGAGCACAATGCCCTGATTCTGTGCGCGGTGAATGGCCTTTTCACGCTCGTGGCGTCGCTGCTGCGCCTTGCGCATCTCGTTGATGGCCTCCACATCCTTGGTTAATCCAAGGCGCTTAAGCTTGGCTTCTCGCAGCTCTGTCACGTCTTGTGCAATCTGCTCATTGGCAGCCTGAAGAACTTCATCGCCGGCGTTTGGCTGGCCACGCCAGCCGTCGATTTCGGCAGGCATACCGGGCCCGACCTGCGCGACCTGATTACCGAATTCGTCGCGCATGGTACGAACGCGGCAGTACTCGGTGCCGGCGACGACGATATCACCCGGTCTAAGAGTACCGCGTCGGATAAGGACTGTAGCAACTTTGCCGACTTCCTTGGTTGACGACTCAAGGACCCACCCTTCGACAGGGCCATCGATAGGAGCTCGCTGATCCTGAATTTCGCTCAGGGCAATGATAGCTTCCTCGAGATCCGTCATACCTTGCCCCGTCTTGCCACTGACCTGGACGACTTGCACGTCTCCTCCGTAGTCCTCAATTTCAACTCCATGACGCGCCAGATCTTGTTTGACTTGCTCCGGCTTGGCTTCTGGCTTATCGATTTTTGTCATTGCCACAATAATAGGAACATTGGCGGCCCTCGCGTGCTTCAAAGCCTCCAGAGTCTGAGGCTTAACGCTGTCATCTGCAGCAACAACGAGAACGACAATGTCTGTGACGTTAGCGCCGCGTTGTCTCATGGAAAGAAACGCTGCGTGGCCAGGAGTGTCAAGAAATGTGATGGTCTTTCCTGAGGGCATGGGCACGCTGAACGCGCCGATATGCTGCGTTATGCCTCCATGCTCCGAAGCAGCAATGGATGAGTTCCTCAAGAAATCCAAAATAGTTGTCTTGCCATGATCTACGTGACCCATGATCGTGACCACAGGCGGTCTCGGTGGAAGAGAACTCGTGTCCTCCGGTAAAGGTGCGGCGTATAGATCCTGATCAGGCTCGGTACTTTCAGTGACCGCATTGAAGCCAGCTTCTTCCACAATCAAAGCAGCATTCTCAGCGCTCAACACGTAGTCTGAGTTGACGTCTTCGAAGCCGAACTTCTCCAAGATCGCCGCGAATTTGTGATAGCGCAATTGCAATTCCGTAGCCAGATTGCCCACCCGGATGAAATCCGGCAGTCTGATCGTCCGTCGCTCCTCTTTCATCTTTGATGTGCTCTTTTCCAAGGCTCTTGCCGCTTGCCTCTCGCGTTTCCTACGGTGATATTCATCGACGTCGAAATCATCTTCGTGGTCTTCATCCCGGACGCTGGTACGTCCAATGCGCCCTTTCTTACGGCTATCTTTCTTCAAATCATGATCTTGACTTCTGTCACCACGCCGGACAGCTCGTGCGCTTTCGAGATGTCGCTGTCGCGCTTCCTCCCGGGTTGCAGTGCTGGGACTGGCGCGCTGTTCAAGGCTGGTGCTAACTTGCTCCGCTGCACTTGCACTGTTAGCAATGGGAAAGCCGTATTCGTCCAACTCTTCACGAGCCGCTGGCCGAGGCCGGCCGATCACAGCATCTTCCGTGACTCTTGATTCCGGCTCGCGTCGCCGACCGATACGTTCCTGCACTTGTTCAGACAGCTGCCGTTGATTGCTACTTGTTCTATTTTGCGACGCTGAGCGCGTCGAGTCTTCTTCGAATGCCCGAGGCATTCTCAGCTTCGACGGATCGAACCGCGAGTCGAAAGGAACGTAGGAAGCAGCGTTGGAACTACCTGTGCTCCGAGACCACGGCACGTGCGCTGAATCGGGGCGAGAACCCGAATACTTTGAGGTTTGATCAATCTCTGGTCTGTCTCTGCTCAGCTGTCCCTGTTGCCGTCCACGAAGAATGGCCCATTTGGAAGAATTTGCAGGCTTGGTTTCACCAACGCTTGCCACGAGCCGGATTCGAGCTCCATTGGCTGGCTCGCGTTTAGCCTGGTAATTGTCTCGTTGTAAAACACGCCGTATCTGTCGAGGAAAGTCTGAAGATTGTGTCGGAGGCTCTTGAGCTTTTGTTTGCGTCTTCGCCACCGGACTCGAGATGGATTCTGTCTCGTCTGCTAGGCCTCCCCATCCTCCATCTGCATCATCATCTTTCAACGACAGAGCAGCGGCCTGCTGGTGTTGCGGCCGTGCCTGGTTGCTGAACACACGGGCTCGCCCAGCTAACGAGCTCGACGGTGGCGTGGGCCGGTAGGCGCAGAAGATGCACACATCTTGGGTGGCCACCTGCGGTATGTTAGTCGGGCGACGCCTGACACTTGAGAGTTTAGACCTCTTACCCTCAAAGCCCTTGATTGGCGCATCACACAGGCACTGGATGGATGGCGATGTCGATGCGAGGAGTTGTCATCGTCGCCGTCGAGACTTTTTTTCCCGAGAGAGATAGGAACGGATCACCAGCCACACGCATGCCGCGCCACACTTTAGATCTTGCTTTATCTTATCTCGGAGATCTGAGCATTGCCTAAAGCAGCACAAGCGCCGGAGTCACTTTCGAGACCAAATCCTCATCACGACTTTGCGCGCGTGTGCCGAACTTCACCTTGCGGATGTTCTATGACGGTGTTTTGCATGCTCTTCTCAGCGTGTACGTTTTTGTCACTGTTGAGCCTCTATCTACGGATCTTGCCTAATGAGCGGTCAATCAACGTCGCAAACCATGTCACGGCTGCTTTCGCTGCCCCCTGAACTTCGCAAGCAGATATGGGATCACTTGCTTGCGCCCAACACCACGACCAAACTGGGAGAAAATGACGACTCCGCCGTGACGGCCGTGTCGAGAACGTGCAGCTCCATAACGTACTTCATGTTTGGCATGCATCATGCCCGGCCTCACGAACTGGACGACAGCACGTGCTCCTGTCTCTCACGCTCGTTCTACATCCACCATCATGGCGCCGCTGAGCAAAAGGTGCTCTGCCCGGCGATATTACGTGTGAGCAGACAAGTCCACGACGAGGCGCTTCCCTCTCTGTACGAGAGGCGAACGTTCACGGCGGACCCGAACCGGACTTTCATGTCGCTGTGGGACCGCTCTTGCGAGACGTGGTTCCTCTTCGATCGCTTCTTGCAGGGTCTGCCAGAGTGCGCTCGCCGTCACGTCCGTAGCATACGGCTACCGATGCTTCTCAGCCGGTACGAGGTTCAAGGTGCTCGGCAGGCCTTTTACAGCATTGCAAGTCGGCTTCCGAACCTGGCGACGGTCGAGATAGAGTTCTCGCCTTCGGCCGTGCGGGAGACGTGGATCATCGACGACGGAGATGTCGCTGGTGGTGGCGGCGGTAGCAACGCCCAGATCATGGGACTGCACGGCTTCTTCGATGCAAGGTTTGACAGCCAGGATTACTTTCTCGGCCCCGTGATGGCCTTCGCGCACACCCGCCTTGTGGTCACGGCCGTGGACAGGCAGGACATCGCTCGCGCCGTGTTCGAGCGATTGAAGCCACACATTGAGATGCGCGTATGGAGGCAGCTGCTACCTGCGAGGGTCAAGCGAGAGCAGCGGAAGATTGCGAGAATCAAACGGGCGCTCGGTGCATTGGAGTATGACGAGGTCGACGCACTCGAGCAGGGGTCACTGTTGGAAGCAGCTTGTGGGCCGGAGCAGAACAATGCAACCCGGGGAGAAACTGGACATGGCGGGCTAATTTTGGGAATTTGAAATCTAGCGGTGATTGTTGATGGAACTAGACGTTTGGACGAGGTCCTGACCGGTCCTGACAGACTTTCGCACGTCGCCTTTCCAGGTCTTTGGTAATCCAATTCACCACGCATGTGAAGCGTGGTCTCGACCGGACCGTGTCAAACCGACGACGCCCTTGCGTTGGCCATGAAGGTGGTCTTTCAACGTCCTTCCATTTTCGGAGGAAAAAGGCCACTAAAATCATCAAATTGACGGACTGTTTACCGACCGCCCGACAGCGCAAATGATGACAAAAGAGAACAAGCGCGTTTGCACATCTCCATTCCCTGTTAGATCGATTAGCTTAGTGCGTTGAAGATACCGCTACTTTCCCGTCAGAGTGACCCTCGACGCCTCTTCAAGCGAGGGCTGCTGAGCTTAATTACAGTTCGGGTGGGCTAAACCATCCTTGATTAATTCTGCTCATCTAATGTGTTTGGCACCTTCGTAGAACATCACGCCATTTTGAAATGAGGACGCGTCTCACTGCTGTCGAGGTACGACTTGATCCGGCTTAGCATCAAGCGAAAACGGGACCAGGGTAGAGGCACTTTGCGGCTCTGAGCTAGCGGCAGCGCAAGGCCTTGCCATCTTTTCTATTTGCCCATCATTGTTATTATTGGCCTGCACGAGAACAGAAGGATCGCAAACGCTTTCTCTCGGCAACGGGTTTTGTCTGGGCCCTATGCACAGAACCGGAGCAATTGCACTGCAGCCCACAGAGAACCCACACGACCCCATCTATATGAGATCGAGATATAAGCTCCGACCCAGGTTTCGTGGAAGAATACATCCAATGCGCATTGATGGTCTTTTGGGCCCCTTCCCTTCGTGTTTGCTCGATCCTGGCCTGTAAAATCTTTCTCGTGGCGGTCTGGCTATCGACCTTCCCAAAGGGAAACGTCAACTGCAGCAGCCGTGCACAGGTGCCGTCTTGAATAATCAAAAAAATACGCATAAGCAGCGCATGGCCGTGCCGCTGGAAGATAAAACGTTCCGCTAGTTCAACCCAGAACCTTGGCCTACGCATTCCGTTTCGAAACGGGCCCCAGAAGGGCGGGGAGAGATCTCTACCTCTCGTAGCCAGGCCACACAGCAGTCTGGCTGGTGTGGATGTGCATGCGCAAGCAACACACCGCACAGTTTATTGGCCGGACAAACAATGCCAAGGAGCTTGCAGACAGTACGCGTACATTGTCCGTACTTGAGCCCTTGAGCTCAGCTTCAGGACAGAGATAATTGCCAGGGGCCCGGGCGGTAGGCTTACGCTTCTCGAAGTTCCTGCGGCTGCTGCTGTTGCCGGTGATGACGATAATGAAATCATATGATGATGACCATGAAGACGCGACAAACTTCACACTAAGAAATGAGAGTCAAGTACCATGCATAACTGCGCATACAGGCGTGACGAGACCTGATGCACACAGCCACTGTATATCCACATGCAGAACGAGCGCGTGTCGCCGCACGAATAGGTTTCCGCAGCGGGAAGATGTCGAGCCCAAAAGCGGAGGGGAAGAACGGGGGGATTGGGCGACTGCCATTCGCTCATTATTCTCTCCACCGAACGCAGGTCGCGCGCAGCATTATTTTTGAGAGCGCCAATTTCTATTTTTCTCTTCGTCTCTCTCCTTCCAACGCGCGGCTCCGTCTGTTGCTTTTTGGTGCAGATTTCCTGTACCACTGCAATGGGTCGCCCGCCTGCCAGCCCGCCCTGGCGCAGACGCAGGCGCTGGCGCTGCCACAGGCGAGGGCCAGCTTGTCCAAGATGTGGGCCCTTCAGACGTGTATCGTGCCACGATCGGCGGTTCTCTGCCCTTGGTGTCCCGTCGCATTGACGAAAGGGAAGGGGGAAAAAAAAAGACCGGCCGTCAGAAGGTAGAGTGTCGAGACTCGGCGCTCGTGCGGTTTCGACCTCGTCATTGCGCGAGACGACGTTTTTTTTTTTGCCCGTGCCACGATCCGGCCATGAGCCCGGGACGTTTGACCGGGCGTTAAAAAAGCAGGTACCCAGCGCGCGTCCGCGGCAAAGAGGAAGGATTATTATCATGACAAATTATGAAAGAGACTTTCTGAAGCAGGCCAGGGAGCACGATGTCCCCACCTCCGCCCAAACCCCCCGCTGGGTAGATTTTGCGGTAGTAATTTGCGAGGGGAGCGAGGGGGACACCGTTGGCTGCTCGAGGCACGCCGAGGACCAGAAGAGACGCAAATTTGCACAAAAGAGCGGGAGATTTGGGGACATTCTGATTGGCTCGCCGCTGTGACTGCTATCACCATACTGCGCTGCCATGGTGATGCTCACTGCTTGCTCCCGCTAGGGCGGGATGGTGGATCTTCGCTGCGTGCCCACACCCAAAAAGCCTCAGCCTTACCAGCTGGCGGGTTTGTTATATTCTTAGTAACTGGGGTCTGCGCGTGCACTATGCCCAAGGCAGATTAGAGTTGACAGCAAAATAGCCCCCAACGGGCTTAGGCGGGAGGCCTGACAACGACGACTCGTTCGATGTGCGGTCTGCATAGAGCGCTAGCACCTGCGTGCAGCAGTGCGGCGCGACTCGCCTCGAAACAGTAGAGGCAGGTAGTCATGCAAGACCGTGTCGACGGTCCTGGACTGACCTCGTTGATGTGCGATGGGCATTGCTGAAAAGTTTCCTTTGGTGACACCGACGTGTGACGAATGAGGAGTTGAGGCACATGTAGTTTCTGGCGCTGGTCACTAGGCTATACGCGCCTCGCAATTGGTACGTCGAGAGGTGTGCGAACATATGCCCCGCGGAGTGTTGCGACTGTGAAGCGGCTATGTCCACCTAAGTTAGGACGAGCGAGTGCGAGCGCATGCGTATATGCGAGACGAGCAGGCGACGCTTTGGATTGAAAGAGGCGCAAAGGACCTCGACGATAGCATGAAACGCAGCAGCGAGTGTAGTGAGCGGAAAGATCATACTTTGTCATAAATTTGGGTCATGATATGTACAATGCAAGCGTGCTTCCAGAATGGGCACTTCTGAGTGTGAGAAAGCACGGTCGATGTCGGCTTTCGATGCAAGAAGCCAGAAGCGTGAAACGGTTCTCATGGAAGAAGAATTGACGGGGATAAGAGAGAAAATCAGGAAGATGCCGCGCCGCGCCCAAGAAACCATGCCGATCCGTCTTTCCCCGTGGAATGAGTGTACGCCTGCAAGCGACATAGGCGCATAACATCTTGGGTATCATGAAGGTTTTTGCTATGAGAGTGGTGGGTTTTTTGCTCCCAATCTAAGAAAAGAGAAGAGCCCTCCAGTACTGTTCTTCTTCACGTCATTTTTGTTGACGATTGCGAAGAGTTGGACGCGTGGCGAACTGCAGCAGCACGCTTGGCCCCCTTCAAGTGTATTCTCTTGACGTGATCTCTCTGTTGAAGACAAAGTCAGCACCTTTGCTCGCCCTGCTCGTTCGGAGCTCGAACTGGGCCGGGGTGGGTTTACGTACCATGTTGTCTACGCGGCTGAAGACGCGGTCGCAGCCGTCCCACTCGCAGACGACGCCGGGATTGTGCTTCGCCTCGTGTCTGGCGAGATCCTTTTTGCTCGAGAAGCCGCCACCGGTTGACTGCGAGCAGCCCGGGTAGCGACAGAAGAAGGACTTTGTGTGACGCTTGTGGTGCTTGCGGAGATCGCATCCACGGGTGAAGACCGCTCTGGACGTGCAGCCGGGATAGTTGCAACTCCACGTGCCTTGCGCGTTCAGGTAGCCGTACTGGTTCATGTCCGCGTTGCTCGGGGACGAGGATCGGGAGAAGCCAGACTCGGACGCATCCGGACTGCGGGCCTGCGTCGAGGTGAAGGAGACATACGAGTCGTGAGAGAAGGTGCGGGCGTGCTTGTGGGCGTGAGACGACGAAGACGACGCCGTCACGGGCTCCGCGGTGAAGGGGATCTGGGGCGACGAGAATGCGATCGAGGGCGAAGACTGGTACGAGGGCACTGAAGAGACGGGCAGAGAGGCGGCCGAGGTGGGAGGCATGAGGAAATCCGGCTGAGGATAGAACGACTGAGGCTCCTCGAAGAAGCTGGCCTGGGGGAAATGGGGGATGGACGACGAGTACTCGTCGTCGCCGGACCAAGCCTGCGATGGCACCACGGCGGGCACGTGGATGGCCGGCGCCGCCGGCTGCGAGGAGGGAGGATAGGTGGCGAACTGGGACCAGTAGCGGGCATAGCGCTCCTGCTCGTCTTGCTGCTGGCTGCTGAAGGACATGGCGGCTGGGCCGGTGAAGAACGGCTGCGCGACGGACACCATTTTGAAGACTGGGGCGTGGAGGGGAGAGGGGAGCGTGGGAATGATGGAGTCCAGGCGGGAACGACGCCTGGGGCGGGACTAGGACCTGATCGAAGACTAGGGTATGGGGCACGACTGGACGGCGGGACTTGCGCGCTGCCTGTCGCCGAGGGAATCGTCCACAGGACGAGGAGCAGAGGCGTCGTCTGGCTCTCGGACCGGACGCGACTGGCCTTGCGCCGGCGTGGATGCTTGCTTGCGCTGGACTGCGGGCGGGCCTGAAGGCGGAGCGGAGGACGAGTCTGTGCGGATCAGAAGCAGGACGCGCAGGACGACGACGGCTTGGGGACGAGATGGTTCCTGGGGCGCACGCCGGCGCCGTCTTCGTCTTATAACAGCCCGCCGGCCTGGCGAGCAGCCTCGCGCACCGCTGCAGCGTGCCTTTTTTGGCTCCGTGGTAAGGCTGAGTTGGGGATTGTTGCTATAAGTGCGCTAGCGTGGCGGAGCCGAGCAACAAAATTAACCACCGGCGACGATTGGCCCAGCGCCGAAACGCACCCGGCAGCGTGACAGGCGGCGTTTCTGCACGCTTCTCACGGGCCCCGAAGCGCGCTCGCGCAGTTGTTTTTAGTCCTGCAACCCCCCAGGAAGGATTCCGGGTCGCAGCGTGGGCCGGCGGTGTTTTGGTCGCTGCCGGTGCTGCCGTCACCGCCGTGCCCTGCCTCCTCGCGCGATGCCGTTCGCTGCTCCACCGCGCGCGAAGCAGGCAGGACGAGCATGCCACACGCAAGGAATGCCTTTCTTCTGCTCTCTGCCGCTTCTGTCTGGAAACACGAGCGCCCTCTGGACGCTGTGGGCTCCACTGTTCGCATCGGCCGCCTCGCCTGTGTGGCCTGCCCTCGACCTGACGTAGTGTCCAGCCCCGGCTCTGTCGGCGTACAACGCGGCGGCCAGCCATTCTTCATCTGCACCTATCGTCTGGGCCATGCCCTCTGTTCAAGCCGCCCTTTCATTCATATCACTCGCCGTCTTCGAACATTCGCCTCTGGCCGTCGCTGCGCTCGCTCGAGCAGCAGCGTGCACAGAACACCCTCATCGGGACTTCACCGCGTTCGATGTCCTAGGCCTGCATTCTGCCAATTGCACCGCTCGTTTGATTTTTGTTTCCTTCCCCTTTGCTGTTATTACGCTCACGCTCGACGGCCGCCGTCAGACTGGGGAAGTGCAAGATGAAGAGCCCATCCGCCAGAAACACAACACCACCTGCCGGGATTGCACGGTGTCAGCCAGAGCCCTTTGTACACGATTTCGACCACTGGCTCGCCTTCCTCCAGCCCGTCTGCTTGCTTTCACCACCTGCTGTTGGGCCGGTGGACTTCGGAGGGCCAGGCTGACATCTGACGATCGGTTCGCCGAGAGGCGACATGATCACTTGCGCTTGCGAGATTACATGCACGGCTAATTGCAAGAGACCCAAACGCCCTCCGCCTCCAATCAGCTTGCTTTGGCGGTGTTTGTTGACAGCAGTCCGTCGCAGCTCCAAGCGGCCAGTCCGGTGCTCGCTGGCTCGTCCTCGCGTGCGTCGGCCACGGGAGCATGCAACGGTGAAGAGTGTGTGGAAACATCAACAAACCCCCCCAATCAAACATCTTTGCGTCTGATGTAAGCAAAAGACACAAAGTGCGCGGTAGCGCGGTCTTCGCTCCCGAACAATGCGCACGACTGACTCAGCTCGGTGTCCATCTGAGTGCGAGCAGACCCTCCGTCCCCGAGTCTTTTACGCTTTTTGTTTCTTCTTGATTCTCGCAAGGAATTCAAAGATCAATGTCGATCCATGATCTCACCATGCCGGCCTTGCCTCCGTTGCGCGCCCGTGATACATGAAGACGATCGGCGGGTTTTCCGCTTCTCCTCTTTGCTCGGCTGAAGAAAAATCGCTCGCAAAAACACATTTCCCACCTCTGAAGGCCACCTACTCGCGTGCTCCGCCTCAGACTAGATCGTTTGTGGTAGAAGCCTAGAATAACATGGCCCTTCCCGAGCGTCGAGAGCATAAAAGCATGAATTCACCAGCCATGCCACTGCAGGGGAGGTCCCCGCATCTTACTGAGGCTTTGTAAACGCGAAACAACATCCTTCGCTCAGAGACGATACTTGGCTGCCCTGGACCGATCGCCATGAATCCAATCGGGCCGTCATGTAAAGTCCACGTCCCGCGTGAATGGGCTACGCCTTGATTGCGACGCCGGTATTGAGGCATCTTCTAAGATCTGACAACAGCAACGACCTCCCCCCAGAAACACGTCCGGAAACTTCAAGTCAGGAGTTGGCACAGACACACAAGATTCTCGCTAAGTTAGGTTGCCAAGCTAAATTGCTAAAGTAACGTCTATGCCGGTGCAACGGCCCGCCTGGCGCAACGGGCCACAATTAATGCCGAAGCTCTCGCGGACGCCTGTTCCCTCAGATACATCGACTTTCCTGTTGCTTTATGCATAGCCTACAGCCATTCTCCTTCCCAGGCAATGGTATTATGACAAGCCGAACCGCGTAGTGAGGGGCCTACTGAACCATACGATGGGCGCCATCCGTTCGCGCTTTCCAAGCCAGCCGGTGCACTTATGGGTAACTGAGGACATAGAACGTCGCCTGGGTCTATTTTACTCATACATATTGGCTCCGCAGCTCGGGCAGGATGTGGCGCAGCTTTGCAGTCCTCTCAAAATTGTCACGTGAGATGGCGTCAATCGACCCCAAAACCCTCCTCAATCAGGCTTAGCGACTGATGAATCAGCTGACTAATGACGTTTGCCTTCGCGCTTGTCGAAGGGTCAATCAAAGGGCTCCTACTTCGTACACAACAAAACAACACATCTCATGAACAACAGTCAAGTCTTATTCCCTCACCATGGCCATCTCTCATGAGCACCACGAGCGGCTCCAGTACAGAGGTCTGGATTGACAATGTCGAGACGCCGCGAATTCTGTATGAGCCATCCAAACCACCAAATCTTCCTTGGCCAAGTAACGACAAAGAGAACCCGCGCATGGCAGCAAAGAAACGACGTATCATGCAGTCTGACCATGAGCAAGAACCTCATCCTTTGAAACGATTGTGACCTCGACGACGCGTCCAGCTTTCCTCCTTCGTCTTCAACCACGAGCGTCTCCAGCGAAGCTGTTTCCGATGCCTTGGAAGCTGAGTCACATAGGATTGGGCGATTAAGTCCTGTTAAGCAGATACAGCTGCTTGAAGACTTTGAATAACAGCCCGTTATCTTTTGCAACTTCGATGACGACGTGGATGGAGCGGAGCCGGATGATGTGACCACAGGTGCGTAGGGCTATTCAGCGCTTTGCAGATGGTATTGGAATACTGGGTTACGACAATATAGATGAGGCTGTGTCCGCCTTGCCGCCATTGGAAAGGATGCGTTTCCGGTATCCCTGGGTAAGTGACCTGGATCAGCGCTGTAGTATCGGCTCAATGCCCTCAAAAGCGCAGGTATCGGATATTGTAAAGACAGCACAAGAGCATGACCGCGGCTCGGGTGTGTCTGAGGACGAATGGAATTCCGAAGTTCAAGATCCACTCCTCAAGCTTGCCCGCAGCACATGCCAAGCACTCAGAGACCCTTATAGTCTTAAACCCTAAATTCTCAAACTACTATTTTAGGAACTGTTTGACCAAAATCCGCCTCTGCGCATCCAATCATCCCAGTATCTCGGATTGTCCGAATCTGAAGTTCCGAATAGTGGTAAATATAACAAGGTTTTCTGGAATTAGCAGTCGCGACTTGAAATCAAGTGGGTACTCCTAATTGTAAAGATGGCTACCATTGCACCGAGTCGTTCGGTCCATAGAAGAACTGCAGGATGACCATAGCAGTCCTCTGGTATGCCCTCTAATGTCGCCACGCTCACTGCATTCATCTATAGCATTATTCTTTGCCCTCGGCCTGCAACTGTTGTCGTATTCATATTCATGGTAATGAGACCGTCCATGACATGCTCGCCGTGGCTCTTTCATGGTGGTGGACTTCGAACATCAGCTATTAGCAGGTCTCCGGGCGGTCAGCCGACACGATGGAGATGTGGAGCGGTATACAAGGAAACGGCTGCGACCACCAGCCAACAAGTTCAGAACCGCTAGGGTGGCTGAGGCCTAATTAAGTTGTTTTAGCATGATGCAGATTATGCTTTGCCTTACAGTGCTCTGATTGGACCGAATACGCGGACTCATTCCGGGCTGATGAAGAGCTTCTCAGCCTGTTACCCTACGTGGTCATTAACATGAATAGAAATCCTATAATGGATCGTTGACTCTCGCGTTTAACAATGAGGTAAAAAAATAAGCTATCTGTAGATTGGGCTACGGAGCGACGACATGGATGTAACATTTATGTTCAGAGATGTGGTGATACTGCACGGCTGCCAAACTATACGATCTGATAGGGGGAAAGGCAGGATAGACGTAAATGCCACTGTACAACTACTTTGCAAGACAAAGTACCTGACGATGTGGCCCGTTGCACCACGCGGCCCGCCGCACCGGGATAGATGTTACTCAGCCACGTATAAGACCAATCTTCAGAGCTCGCTTCGGTCCACTTCTCGTCGAGAGACGCGGGTTCTGCATACCGCCGTCATGAGATTCTCAAGGAGCAGGATGATTCCAACCCGACGCGGCGGTGGTTTTGGCACTCTGCGGGTGTACGGCACTGTACACCAAAAGAACACATCAGCGGCTGGTGCCCAATCCCCACTTTGAGATGTGTGGCCAAACCCTGTCGTGGACAGCCAATTCACTCCCTTCTTCCTCCACCCGCAGGGCGCCGGGCACTATTATTACCGCATGTGTGCTGGGGCGCGGGATGCGATTTTGGGCAGGTAATTTACTGTCTTTAGCTCTGAGACAAGCTAGAGAATCCAGATCGACCCGCTTTCGGGGCTTTGCGGTTTCGTCGATTAAGAAAGCTAATTTGTGCTATTTGCGTGCACGGTCGTCGCCTGCCCCCCTGCGGATCAAACTCGTACATGGGCATGGATGCTGTGACGATATCTTTTGCCATGTCGTTGCTTAAACGAAGCAGAAGCGTGAAGCCTCGTGACAAGCATCAGAGCTTAGTTCACTTCTTGCGACCTGGCCTAGTCGTAGGACGCGCAAACCTTTGTTGACTATAATGGTGGATCGGCAGACTCAATGATCTCACGTATGCTATTCTTGCGGTGGGCGGCGGCTTTCTTTTTCGAAACCCCGAACTTCGAACCCATGGCGAAGCAGAATTCTACCGAATGCATATTTCCTTCAGACGCTAAGTGTCCCTTTCATGTCGACGAACCTTGGTCTGGGAGCCGGTTGAGCGAGTCAAGACAGACAGGTCAGTATCAGAAATAGATGCTGGTGCTCGTCGCAACAGGAGGCCAATTTGCTGGGTTTCTTGTCAAGTTTTATAGCTCGATACTACAAAGTGCAAGCTCTCGTGAGCAATGGGTGCAGACTCTGTGGTGATGAAATATCTGAAGGAGGTAATGCGTATGTCCGAAACACGCCTTTCTTTTGCAACGGCTTTCTAAGCCAAGTGATTATCGATTGCAAAACTCCATATTTAATCATCATATGGTGGATACAGAGTGACTTGGAATGTTTGTAGGCACGTAGTAGGCTGTCTCTCGTATCGATCAGATCCCTGGTCAGATCGACACGAACTGCTCAACCGCAACGGCACGATCCTTTTTGACGAATGCAAAGCTATCGAGAATCGAGCAAATACAGGCGTCATTTACAATACCTTCGTGGATTGCGATGCGGATTGAACGCGAAAGCGAAGTGCGACTGCCAAAGTGCGCCAATGTTGTTGTCAGATAACACGAGGAAAAGATGGAGCTTGTTGTATCGTCTCTCATTGCCTTAACGTTCTGCTCGTAGAATAATCTCTTCTCAAAGTAAGATGCGACCCGACGTTTGCACGACGGGTGATTGTATGCTCAGGACGCGCGCAATGACTGGAGGCAGATTTCGAGGCAGCCCAAACTAACGACGAGGTCTATTCGTAGCATGGCTTTCCCAGGTGCTGTGGCATTCACACATCAATTCCTCTTCATACCGTACACATCACCCTGGCCAACCAGTCTCCCCTCCTCTACCAAGCCTTTGAGCAAAGTCCTGACCTCTTCCATTCCGAACGGAAATCCACCAGGGACGACGACTTTTAGCATCATAAAGATGCGCATGAGCGGTAGATTGCCCTGGTTCGTCAACATGCCTACGATGAACGTCCTGTACAGCTCTGCATTCTCGCTCAGCAGATCCTGCTGCGACTTCACCGCTGACACCGCGGCGTCGTCCTCGACGGGCATTGAGACGGGTGCGCCGGTTGACTGATGATCCACTGCCGAGAGATTCTCAATCACGGTATACGTATCCGGCGCGGTCTCCTTGAGCACCTGCTTTCCCCGCCAGAAGGTGAGAGCGTTTCGCACTAGAGCCTCGTCCATCTCTAGTTCGTCCTCCAATTGCTGTACTGACTTTACTGGCGCGGTGTCGCCTTCACCCGCGTCTGCAGATTGGAAGGCATATATTACGCTTGCTGTCCATGTCGGCACTTCCTCATCGAACTTCCGATCCTCGAACTCCAGCTCCACGACCACTCTTCCCAGCGCCGTCATCCACCTCAACTTTCTTGTGTCTTTGACGGCCTCAAACGCCTCCTCATACCTCTTCTGCAATAAAACGATGGGTTCGGGAACTCGGAAGTCGTCGTCTCTCAGACTAGGCCAGAAGAAGCTCGACAGGATGTGTGCATTCAGCTCAACTTTACCCACTTCGGCGTGCGTTTGGGTATATGCAGGGAAGCGGTGGATTGCCCTATTCATGTGAAGCGACGACTGCACGTCGCGCAACATCACTTCGCACGCTTGCAATTTTTCCTCGCCTAGGCGATTCTTGAACAGTTCAAGCAACCGCTCCTCCTTCTCGAAGTGCTCGTTCACGTCATAGCTGCGTAGCAAATGCTCTCCAAGAATCGTCTTGAGCTCGCTAATGAAGTCCTCTCGGTCATAGAGGCTGAGAAGTGCGGAGGTCACGTCCTGACTTTTGGATCGCTTAAAGTCGGGACCTGCGTCGACTGGGTCTGGGGTCCAGTCCATGTTGTCCCAATCCATGTCATGATCCTCGTCTGCGTCAAGGCCGACGATGGGCTTTGTCATTTCCTTGGCAATGGCTATGGAAATGTCGGTCCCCCCGCTGGTGTCTGTCGTAGGTTTTCCATCTTCATCAAGATCAGCAAGCAGGCTTGTGACGATGATGCGTGCCGTGTCTTCGCGTTGGCGAAGATATCGACGGATCGGTCTGGCAATCCTGTCCAGCAGCACTCCCTTTGGATCCAGTTCGTTGAACGCGTGTATGATGTTAATGTAAAGGTTGAGTATGTGCGTTGTCGTCGCTCCCGCGTGTAGCAGTCGCCTCTGTACCTGATCAGTGAACTTGGATGTGAGAAACAGCCTCGCCTCTGGTGTCGTGATGTACTCCTTGATATCGCGCACCGCACCCAGCGACTCATCCCAGCGCACAACGTAGTCAAACAAGTGTGCGATGCGCTCTCTACCGAGGCGAGCGACAGCCATCTTATGGTACGAGCACACTTCATCCGGCGTGCCGCCCAGCAGCGCTATGCACTTCCTCGTGAAGGGTGTGAAAGCGTGCGAGATAAAACGAGAGAGCGTCTTGGTCCGAGGCTGGTGACGCTCCCAGTCCACTTTCATCCAGTGGCCGGTGACAAAGTCGTCGAGAATGTGCCACATGGCCGTAGCGAAGGCGCGCTGGCCGAAGTCATCGCCGAGTCCGACGCTTTGCAACTGTTCTAAAAGGCTAAAGAAGACTGTATCTGTGATCGGTTTTGAGGCCTTGGACGGCTCATCTTCTCGGAGCTCGAAGCCAAAGATGTCTTTGGAGACGCTGTACATGGCGTAAGATAGCGCAGACGACAGCTTTTGTGCTGGGAAGGCGTGCAAAAACAACGCATGAAGCTTTGCTAAGAAGGTTCTCTCGACCCTGACGGACTGTTCAGACCAGCTTGAGCTGTCCAACTGCGATGATCCACTTCGTCGTCGTCTCTCGCGAGACGCAATCGCGGGCAGTAGGTCATCACGCAACCGGCCGGTGTAGAGTTCCTGGACCTGGGACAGTCTGAGAACAGTGTCTTCCAGCGCTTGCAAAACGAATGGCTCCGTCACGGGCTGAGACCAGGCCTCCGCTATCCTCGGCGCCACCGTCTCCAGGAAATGCGTGCGAACTTCCAGAGTGTACCATCCGACAAGGTCCCAGTCGCCGCTGCTGGCATTCTCATCGGAGCCGAGCAGCAGCTCAATCGCCTCCTCTACGTCGCGCGTTTTCCGTCGTCGAGTCACCACATGCTTCGCCCCTGCGCTGCTGAGATCGTCAATAGAAACGCCTTCCAGGCTCAAGTGACGCGTCGCCGTGCTCCAGGCAAGGTTTTTCCTGACCTGCAACTGGGCTGCTGCTGAGTGAAGGCGGTGTCCCGGCGGCGTCTCTGGCCCTCCAAAGCTTTGTCCTGGTGCCGGAGCCCCGAGCAGCGGCGTGGATAACGGTGTTGGCGATGTGTGGACGGTGTCGCCCAAGCCAAACACGGAGGAGAAGACGTCGGTTTCGGACGACATGATGACTGTCGATCGCGGGACGAGTTACAAGTGTATGGAAACAGGCACTCGCACGCACTTCGATCTCTCGGCAAACCGCCCAGTTCTCATCTTCTTGAGCAGCACGCTCCGATGCCCGACGCGGATGAGCTCGTCGGCCTCTGGTTGAATGCACGCGGCTGCCGGCTGGTTGCACGCCCGGCTGAGTCTGTTGTTTGCGCTGTTGCGGTGGCGGCGGACGGGGTCACGACGCGCCGTGGGTCAACACGCGTAGCAACGACGACGGTCACCACAGAACAACGTCGCACGCCGTCACAATTGCGAATGCTTTGACGGCCGTCCAATTGCGATGTGCCGAACGAGGGCCAAGTCAGCGCCCTCGCCGTCGCCAACGGAGATCAACTTGTCCCCAAGTCAACGTTCACGTCCACCGTTCGCCCTCACTTGCCATTCGCCAGCAGCCCAGCGGGCCCCCTGCCGGCGATCGGCGACTGCAAGCCCCAACCTCCCGCATCGACTCGCTAACACGTCCTACACCACCAAACTCTCCATCCTCTCATCTCTCCTCTACAGGCCTTCGCTCCATCCACCAGCGCTTTCTCGGCTCTCCCACCCTCTCTCAGCGTGCCCACAGATCCCCAGGCTGCAACGCCCGCCTGTGCCTGGATGGCCTGAGTCCGGGCTCGTCCTTCTCTCGGGCTGTCCCCTGCGACGGGTGCATCCTCGACTCATTCCCCCTCCTCCCCCTCAGATCCTACCAAAGAGGCTGTCCGCTGCTCCCCCACTCGCTCTTGTCGCCGCAGTCATGAGCAGCACTCCCGCGGCGGAAGCCCACGCCGAGGATGCGGCCCCCGCGGTGCTCGCCGATTCGCCAAAGGTATTGGTAGACCTGTGCGACCACGCCAATGCGCCGTCGGTGCACCGGCAGTCGCCTGGAGCTGCCCACGATGTTGGCGCCGAGGCGACGACAGTGCAGCGAACGCCCCCGAGTCTGTTGGAGAAGGCTGCGGTGGCGCGTTCGCTGAAGGGCAAAGAGAAGGAGTGGACCGCGGTGGCGGAGAAGAAGCGGCCACTGCAGTTGCTTGACCTCCCCGTCGACATCCTCAAGGAGATTATCGAAAAGGTTTGTCGGGCAACGCGCATGTTGTGCCGCACCGCAGCATTGTACTGATGAGGCTACAGTTGCCGCACACAAACGACCTCACCTCCCTATCGTTATGCCACTCGGTCTTCCATGCGCTCACCATCCCCCACATCTACTCCCGCTTTGATATAGTCTGGCCGGATGACACATCTACAACGGTCCAGCGCACCGGCGTTGACGCCCTCACCTATGGCCTGGCGACGTTGGTCATGGCCGAAGAGAACTTCGGCGAGGCGCCCTGGCAGAGGGCGGCACAGCAGAACCCAGATCGTGAGGCGAACCTCGACCCCTACCCGATTCCCAAGCGACGAAGGGGCAACTACTATGCAAAGTACACAAAGAAGTTTTCGCTGGGAAACGGACCTAAAGAGTGGGTGCAAGAGTACTTGATTTCCAAGGAAGGCGGAAAGATGCTGGGCACGCTGGTTGCGCTGGCTGTGAGCCGCATGCGCAATCTAGAAACATTTGTGTGGGACATGCCTACTGGCGTGCTAAGAGATGTGTGGCTTGCTCTGTCTTCTCTAGCGGACAGAGGAGACGGGCAAGAATGCCGGCTGGAGAAGGTGTGGATCAGGTGGCACGATAATGCGAGCCTAGATGGGGGCGACAGTGCCCTAGGACCTATACCTCCCCCGCCACCCATCAACAACAACGCGCCTCCTCCGCCAGCCGTGAGTAGCGTGCCCGTCCTCGCTGCCATCAATATGACGGGCCACTCCTCGCTCTCTGGACTGCAAGCGATAGACCGTGTAGAGCATCCCACCTTCTCGGTTCTCCCTGCCCTGAAGAGCCTGAACGTCATGGATATTGACGAGCTGGCGTACCTCGATGAAATGGCCATCCTAATCGCTCGATCACAGAACAAGCTCAGGGAACTGCGAGTTGGTATTGCTCCTCAGGCGCAACAGAGGGATTGGGTGGCCGTTTGGGACGGCGAGACACTTCAGCAAGTCGACCACAGTGCTGTACGGCCCATAGAGAGCAGGCTGGGCGAGAAGAGGCTCGGCGGCGTATTGGGCATATTGTTGGGAAGAGTATACAACTTACGCAACAACGCGGACACACAGCGCCATTCACCGACTTCAAGTCGCTCGTTACGTGGCTCGGTGGACAATAAGATGAACGGCTCTTTTCAGTCGGCCGCGACAACAACGCAGATGATGCAATCAACCCCGTCAGCCGAGCTGACAGCGCATGGCTCCCCATCAGCCGAGCCTTCGCCAGGTGTTCAGTCAAGTTCTGCTTCAACCGTGGAGCCGCACGAGCAAGCCGAAACCCCGGTAGCAGACAGCGTCGAGAGTCCAAACGGCGTACAACAGACGGAGACAAACGCAACGCCTACTGGTCCATGGATTACTGGCCGTCCGATTCCACTGAGATCATCAAGGCGGCACGGCCCGTATCTAAGCGGCAAATTAAGACTTGACACGTTGGAACTTGAACGTGTGCCCCTGTCTATACAGATCCTGCAGAAGGCTCTTGACTGGACCATGATCACCAAGCTCACGCTTCTGCATTGCCAATCCCACGAACAGCTCTGGCGCATGCTTCGCCGCAACTATTCCCCTAGTAGCCCATACAACTCGGCGCAGCAATCCAAAGGCGCGAGCGGTAAGGTCCGGCTGGAGTATGGTCTCAACCTCAAACAAATCCACACCAATACCGTCTCACCTTCTCTCATCACTTTCCTCAAAGAGACCCTAGCCCCGAATAGTCTACAGGTGCTCTTCCTCCAGGAAGCGCGCAGCTACAATTCGAGCGTCACAATCGATCAGATCTACCGCGGACCCATACGGCGGCATAAGTCGAGCCTGCAAAAGCTGATGATTGATAGCAGTGAGAAGGGAGATGACGCTTTTGGAAGTACAAGGTGGAGGAGATGGATGCTGAACACAGAGATTGTAACGTATCTTACGAGCGGGCGCATGGAAGCACTGAGGGAACTTGGCGTGGCTCTGGATTACAGAGATTGGGTAAGCCGCAATCAAATTCCGTTAAAAAAATGCTTTCAAGGAGAAAATGTTAACCTGATCAACAGCACCACTTCCTCCAACGGCTACCAAACATAGCGCATCTGCGCTCGTTATATATTCCGCACATAGCCGACCATCCACACGGAGCCAACATTGATCCACGTGACCTCGCCCTGCAAGTTGTTGACATCGTGACGTTGCGTCCGGAAATTGAACTGTGCTACATGGGCATCGGATCTAAGTGTTTCGAGATCTTAGAGAACAGGCCTACTTCAACTCTTCCATCGGACGCTCAACCTGGCTCTGACGGTTTCCCTCCAGGAGACGCGCCCGGCGGTGGGTATGCACAACTTGCAGACGGCGACGTCACAGATGAAGAAGAGCTTGAAGACGGAGGAGATATAGACGACGATGAGGACGCTGGGGATGATGCAGTTGGCGGTGTTGTCGGTGACAGCGATGAGGATGGCGACGGAGATGGTTGGGATGACGGAGACGACGAAGATGACGACGAGTTCGACACGGAGATGGTTGGCTCGAAACGCGTGAGATTGCGGCTTCGGGAGATTCTGTTCTACGACGACAAGGTTGCTGTGTTTAAGGCGAGGCACGGACGGCTTTGAAATTCTTGCTGGAACCTTTTTTTTTCTTGGACATGCCTCTTCTCCCCCCCCTTAGTTGGCGTAGGCTCGGACCACTATTCTCTTTTACCACCTCCGGTTGGGCAACGGATTGGCATCAATATTCCCCCAATATCATCACGCGCTTGCTATGATCGCGACGGGATGAGCATGGCGAAGGCGTTTTCCGCTATTGAATCTGCAATTGCGATGAGATTACACTCGACGAATTGAGACGAAGACAAATGTGTGCGTGGACAGTGTGGTACGCAGGTCATCGTGCTGCTTACTGCTGGTGCTTTCACTTTCTATCTTTTTTATCCTGGTGGACGTACAATGCCTTGTATGTATGTGTTGTGTATATGAACGACAGTCTTAAGTCAATATCATGACTCTCACCGTCGGAGATACTGCATTTTTGTGGCCTAGAAAACGTGGAAGGTGGGCTTGAAGTAAACCAGAGCTTTTTGCAGGAATGAAAGCATGAAATACCGTCAGTGCAGCGGATAGAAGGTCTTTTCAATAGCGAGAAAGGGCAGATTGAAGCACTCTTCAAGGTCTTGGGACCACAGCTCGCTAATTCCTTGACATGAGCTCGACGTTTCCCTGGTGATGAATACACGTATATTCACGTACACGTACGGTTCTCCCGCCGCGCTCGGATTTACCGACTCGTTGGGAGCCAGATCATTAAGCTCGTCTCGACTCGAAGCATCAGGTTTCACAAGGTCTAATCACGGCGGGATCTGTACCGAAGGTTACATTCAAGCGAGTCGAAGGCTCGCAAGTTGTATATTTTCTACTGACATGGTCGACGATTGGGACCACGTAATGTAGATTCAGGCACCGACTTGATTCCAAGCGCGCTCTGTTGAATTTGAGGGTCCCCCCTCCAAAGATTAACGCAATTGCTTGTCTAAACGACGCTCAAACGTTCATGTCGCAGGAAGAGAAGAAAGCCGTCCTCGTTGGAGCCGCGATCATCACAACGGAAAGGGCCAGTCCTTTTCTCGTTTGATCGACGGCTGGATTTCAAACGACCAAAAAGGTACGAGTGCAGGGCAGTTCAAGCAGCGGCTTCCGCAGCTTTCATCTCGCTTTTCTTGAACAGGCGCAGAAATCCCCTCTTCGCCTTGGCAGGTTCCGGAGGAGGCGGCCACGGTCGTCCACCGTGCTCCTCGTTCAGCCGGTTCATGGCTTCGTAGTCGTACGGGATTGACCATTTGAGCTCGGGGATCTCGCCCAGGCGCGTACTCGCCGAGGCGAACGTGTGCACCGACGGAACGAACTTGTCCGCGCGGCGGCGGAGCGGCTGGGGAGTCGTCGAATCTGGCTGCGGGGGACTTGGAGATGACGGGTTTGGACGTGTAGGCTGTGAGACTGCCACGCCGGAATCGTGTCTTCGGTGCTTGCTGGCGCTTCCGACGCCAGCGGGCGAAGGCAGCGGTGGCGTGGCGCAGACGTCCGACTTCGAAGAGGACGACCGCCGTGCCTTCGGTCGGACCATGGCCAGCTGTGGTGTTGACGCACTCGTCAAACGCACCATCTTGATCTCGGGACCCTTTCTCTGCCCGGACATGCTCCTCGCTGAACGCTCGGTGAGATCCGACACCGACTTCGAGCTGGGCAGCCTTCGCCCCGTGCGGGCATTGTTGCTCCTCTTTCGCTTGTGCTTTTCATCCTTCTTCTTTTGCTCCTGGAGCGAGAGTGCTGAAACGGACATGCGGTATGAGAGCTGGCTGAGGGCGTCCAGCGCCTCTTGTCTTGAAACATCCGACACGCTCGTCAGATGTTGATAATCGATTCGAGGCTCTTTCTTCAGGATGGCAGCTAGAATATTGTAGACGCACGTGTTGAGCTTCCGGAGCGTCCTGCGAAGGCTCGAGTGTGCCGTTGCTGTTGCAATTGTCAGCTCAGCGACGCGATGGGGCCTGTTTAGCTCCACTGACCGTCTCCTAATGCGAATCTGTCACCGAATGCTCGATAATGCCTGTCATATTCCGATTGCACGTCTACAGCACCTTGAACAAGAGATCTCGACAGTCGAAGCTCGTCACCATTGGCCTCTTCCCGCTTTGCCTTCGGAGCCTTCTGTTTCAGCCGACCTTCAACCTTTTTCGCCTTCTTTTGCTCTCGGAACTTTTTAAACTCCTTGAGGCTCTCTCGAAAGGCATGAATGATCTCACTCACGCCCCGATCCGTTGTATCCAGCGTGGGCGCATTCATCGTGCGAGCTATCCGCGCAGGAGCAGGTATAGGAGCAGGTATCGGAGCACAAAGGCCGTTTCGTCAAGACCAGCGTTAAAGTAGGACAAGGCTGTGCACCCAAGGTTGAAACAAAGAAACGGCCTTGACCAGACAAAGCGGCCAATGCATACAAACATGAAGGGTAAGGCTACAAATTCGAGGCAGGACTGTGAAGCCCCGCCAGAGCCAGAGGTGCGCGCGCAACCATCGCGACTCCGAATCGCATGCTTGACTGAGCGATACTCGAGCCAATGCAGTGACTGTGAAGGAAGCGCCCGCAGCATGCATTGCATGACCGAGTCTAGTTCCCTGTTCGATCCACTTTTGGGCGCTGTAATGGGTTCGTGAGTGGTTCGCTCCGCCTAGCCCGAACGACCAATGACCGCCTGACGTTAGCAATATTCGCCCAGGTGTGCTCTGCACTCTGTTACCTTAGCATGCGGACCGGTTCCAAAAGCTTGATTCGATTCAGAAGGCAAGCGTTCTATTTAACGAAGCCGGGGGCTTACCTTTGCTTGCTTTTTCTAGACTGCGGAGTAAAACAAACTCGATTGCTCAGGGAATAACGTTTGCTCCATTTCTAAGAAAGGCACTGGCCAGGACATGGTCTACAGCAACGATGATAAGGCATCGAAGAGACAAAATAAGGAAGTTTGTCGATACCGTTCAATACTCTTGTTTTCAACCTCATCGCCTTAGCTATGTTAGGGAGCAGTAGGCATCCTGGAAGGTCGAAAGAGTCACGTGATTATAAACTGTCTTTCACAGTTTCCGCTTCCTTTGCATCAACCCTCGGTAGTTATCACAGTACGTTGAACCAGGCTGCGAACAACGCAGTGGCAATACCTTTGCATGCATGATTCTTATCCACCAAGGCTGGCAATCCCGTGGCGTCAGGAGGCAATAGGAAAGTCGATTATCACAAATTACGAAAAGACTTTGAGGGGAAAAAGACTTTGTTGCCCTCAATCAAGTTGCTGGCTTTAACAACTTCCGGGCTCATCTCAAACGCCGGGGCTGATCTTTCATCTTTCCATGAGGAGTGTCTTATAAAGTGTTAAGTGGACGGTAGCGCTGTTTCTGAGCTTTTATCCTTCCCAGAAGCGAGAGAAACTATCTCATGTCGATCGAGTCACGTAACATCGTCTTCTGGATCCAAAAGGCATTCATACGCTCAGGTATGTAAGCACATTATTGAAGTTGCGTTCACTTGGGGATTCGACGCTGCGGAATCCATGTTCCCTAAGTATGAGATGATCCAATAATCATGATGGATTGCAATCCTGTTTAACAAGAAGTAGCATTCTTATATTTCTGTGTCATCCGCAATCTGTGACTATTATCAAGTTCGTCGTCTTACTCCTTTTGACTACTTGAAGATGGATTCGGCCGCGGACGTGGCGGCCGAAGCTTGGGTTGATTTACTTCAAGACGAAATCGTTACATATAAAGTTAGTTTACAGGAGATCTTTGGTGGAAGTGTGGACATTGTCAACCGGTTTTCCGGTATGACAAGCTTCCTGGAAACCTTTATCCTGAACCTTTGAAGCATATATACGACATCTTCAATTTAAAAACTGAGTAACTGCAAACATATTCCTCTCGAGACTCCAGGGCTTCACTAGTAACACCAAATGTATGCGTTCTATCAGCCCCGGTTCCATGAGAGGTCACACACCTACTTATCTAGTCCCGCGTTACATTTGCGCCATTTGACATGATTAACTTCACAGGGATCTTTCCCGTCTTGTGTTTGAAGATGCTGTCAAAGTTCTCTGACTTCGGGAGAATTTTGTGACATGATTTGGAACAGACGTATGAAATATGGTCTCTGCTCTTGGGGCGCAATTAACAACTTATACGGATCATGTATAATTTATGCGTGTATATCTTATCTCGCCAGAGCAATGAGCAGTCAATCGACTGTCAGTCGCCCGTCAGTTAAGTTAGTGCAGCTACCCCATCAACTCTAGCTGTGCGTATAATCCCAAAGTGTTGGAGCACATGCTTCATTTAAGAATTGAATTAATTTAAGTTCGTCCGGATAAGTTGAATTACCACAAAGCAACGTGGTATTCGGCCAATTAGGCTTCATCATATAGCCTTCGCTTTGTAATGTATAAAGATGCGAAAGACATGAACGTTATCTTTCATTGGTCAATGAGAAGTCATTGGCACTGTGAGGTTGCTCGGGGTGAAAGTAGTAAAAAGCCATTCACCTATGGAGAATGCTCATTCCCATGTAGCAAGCTTCCCTGTAGATATGCAAAGCCTTTCTTCTTCACGTATGTTGATGCTGATCAGCTCAACGCCCAGTTGAGAGTGGTGAACAACTGCATGAGAGGACGTATCAACAAAAGGTGCAGAGAAAGGGCCACATAGTCGAACAAAGCTGAGAGAAAAAGGTCGTCGTCTGGACTTGTGTGACCTACAAGTTGTCCTGTAGAACTGCCGGCATATGCTGTGCTTAGTTCATCATCACGACATATAGATTGTTTCCTGGCAGAGAGATTATTAGACACGTTCAAATAGCATGTTACTTGTAGCCAGACCATTCTTTGCGACCGTCGTTCCATCGTGTCTGAGAAACTTTGGGATTTTATATTCTTATGTTTCTTTACTTCGAGACACCCTCACACCCACGTATATAGCAACAACATTTTGGCGCGGTCATCTCGAAGCTCTTGCCAACAGTCTGGTCTTCAAATGTGTAATCACGAGTCAGTGTGAGTCACGAATACAGCTTGCTGGTCTCAGTTTTACAATCGGTCCTAAGCACTGACAATAGGTATGCTGTTCTTTCGTGTCCACAAATTCACTGTGCGATCTCAGTTCTGACATCAGACAAACAAGAAAGCCGTGTTACACTTCAAACATAGCACGGCTTAGTTATAAAGTCACATAATTAGGCACGTTCTTTTTAGATATCAGGTCTAACAGTGCCGGAGTCAGTCGTCGATGCCTCCGTTGTTTACTTACTCAAACTAGGACAAGACAAAGATCCATGCTGCAAAAGGCACCTAGCATTTCCGAAAGACTATATTTCGCATCTTGCGCATATCAATCCATAAACTCCTTTGGATCGGGAACAAAGCATGTTGTTGCACGATTTTAACGAAAGAAGCACTTAGCCTCAAAACCACCCCAGGATTGGGAGCACTGGTTGCCATCACGAGCGGAGTTCTTAAGTCTGCAAAAGAGCATACGCCAGATAAATGAGTGCAGCGCTGATGATCTGTCCAAGATTTACGTTCTATACAACGTGCAAAAAGTTGAGGTGACGAAAAGGCACTGTTTGTCGTTGACCGTGTCCAGTATTGAACTGCCCTCTTGAATTCGGACGAGGTTTGAATCCAAGCTAGAGCTGCAGAATCATGGGATTTGCAGAAGCGCCCATGGTCTTTGCAGAATAGCCGATTTCACAATCTGGATTCAGCTGGTCAAGGGGTTACGGTCTATCAACTAGCGCTGGAACCAGTTCGCTTACCCTAGCTCGGCCATGTCCGCCAGCATACTTCGCTCTGGTTTATAATTTCTTCCGCTGGATTCTCTCTTGGATCAATCTTCACTGAGTCTTGTCTACCGTTCGGCTGCACTGCCAGTTGGAGAGAAAGTTAAAAAAAATTCCAGGCGTTAATCTCGACCTGTGTCGATGAATTCTCAACCAAGGAAGTTTTGCGATCAGATAGCGGCTCCTAGCCGAGATCCAGACCACCTCGAGCGCCACAATCTGTACCACTTATACTAATCAGGTACTGGTCTTAACGTACGGTCCGTAGCTGAGCCAGATCAAGCACGCGAGCTTCAAAAAAAGGACAAGATGCCGTGAGCCAGACCAACGGACTCCTAGCTGGGCTGGAGCCTTGCGCCAAATACGGAAAAAAGCCTTGCGAATCTATTCTGGCTGGTTCAACATCCTAGCCATAAACTTTCGATACATTATGATTGCAGATGGCGACGTCGGACGTACAAATACAGGCGCTCTGGCCGACTGCTCCACGGGCGATGTCTCAATCGTTCAGATTTTCGCTAGGTCCACCCTCTTTGTGGACTTTATCCTGAAGAAATTGTCGATGGACAAGGAGACCTCATCACAGGCGGTGTCAGACCCTGCGTTGAAAGAGCCGATCACTCGCGAGAATGAACTGTTGCGCGACAATTTTGAGCTTGGGGATCATCCTGTCTCCAAGGAAGAGCCCCTCAAAGATCGACTGTGGCTGTTTGAGGTGTTCTCATGGCTTCTCTGCACGCTCGGTCTCGTCGCCATCGCCATCATTCTCAGCGTCACGCAAGACAAGCCCGTGCCATCGTGGACAGCGCACAACAGACATACTGGTGTCAAATTCACAGTGACCATCAACTCCGTCATTTCGCTCTTCAGTACGCTCGTCAAGTCTACTCTTCTGATCCCTGTAGTTGCGAGCCTGCATCAATTGAAATGGATTTGGTTCAAGGATGAGCGTCCTTTGGCTCACATTAAGATGTTTGAGGGCGCAGGCAAGGGACCACTAGGCTCAGTCATACTTATCTGGACTCTCCGAGGAAGAGCTCTGGCTTGTCTTGGGGCCTTTATTGTTATCGCGTCACTAGGTGTCGACTTTACTCTCCAGCAGCTGGTCACATATCCTCTCCGTCCTGCGGAGCGCGGATCGGCGGCGGTCGGTACGTTCATATGACTTGTTCATCTCTTGCGCAGCCTTGAACATGACCAAGTTCCAATGCTCTCATTATTGAAGAAAGCTGATTGTTTCGCAGCTCGCTCAAATGCTTACTCTGGTGTGCGACCCGGTGCTTTGACAGGCACACCAGCTGTGGAACTGCCGATGCTTACAGCCGCATATCGAGGCGCGTACAACTTTAACGCAACCGATCTGTTTCTACCTACCCCCAACTGCTCAACAGGTAATTGTACATGGCCGGAAATATATACTTCAATCGGTGTGTGTGGTGTATGCAACGATATTACGACTTTACTGGTAAGAGAGAAAGGATATAGTACTTCTCGTGGCGCATGCTAACCGAGCAACTACCAGAACGTCAGCTGCTCCACGTACAACTACGAGACCATCGAAACGGACGAGAATGGAAACATAACTGGCCGCACGGTTGTAGGAGCCCCGATCCCTTATTGCAATTTCACACTGCCCGGCGGGCAAGGAATCAGTGGGAACTTGCAGTACCCGATCACCTTGCAAGTAAACGACTCTGCCGCAGGTGGCGACAGCTATTTTTCCAACGGCATGTCCGCCCATTTTACAAGCTTCACCATAATTCGCGCCACGCCAACCAACATGCAAGATTCAGTCAATGACACCACACGGCAGTGGTACAACTTCACCAACGTCAACGCGACGGAATGCGGCTTCGACGTATGCGTGAAAAAGTATGCGAGCTCAATGAACAACACAATCTTTACCGAAACCATCCTCGATACATTCACGAACACGACCGACCTCTCCATCAGTGACGCGCAAGGCACTGTCAAGAGCGTGATAATCCAACCACAGAGCACATGGACGAATCACTCCGATGCCAAGGATGCCAATATCTTTGAGATCGACCCATTGACCATGATCGGACTGCGCTTCATGTTTGCACCGAGCTCCTCAAACTCGTTCTGGGACGGAGCCGCCTACGATGACGGCGCCGGCCACGTCAGCGCCGATTCTGACATCGTGAGCTACCTAAGCAACCTGGACAACAACGGTACATCTGGCATGATTGACAGCATCGCCGCTGCTATGACGAAGCGCATGCGCGAGGCTCCTGGAAACGAAGCGGTCGGGCTTGGCAGTGAAGCCACCGGCATCTTGTCCCAGGACGTCCCATACGTAAACGTACGCTGGGGATGGATCAGCTTTCCCGCGTCGCTTGTCTTCCTTGCCTTCCTCTTCCTGGTCATGACCATTTTCGAGAATACGCGCAAAGGCGCAATGCTGTGGAAGTCGAACTCGCTGGCCAACTTCTACCACCCGCTTACGAAGGACGGGCGCGACACGCTGCAGACTGGGCAGAACGCCGCGGAGGCGGAGGAGATTGCGGAGAAGATGCAAGTTCAATGGCGGAAAACGGAGGCTGGTTATCGGTTGGTACAGAGGCATGAGTGAAAGAAAATATTAAAAAAAAACATCAAATTCAGCCTTCATCAGTACATGCCTATCTTAATGATGAATGAGTAATGGCATCGAGCAGTTTGTTTCCCCAATTCCAGGCTATTTAGATTTTGCTACAGAAGTCAGAAATGATGTCTGAACTGGCGCTGTCTCTCACAATGACCGTGGTGACGAAAGAGACGTCGGGTTTCATCCAGGGAGAAGATGTACATGTCGAAAGTTGCTCATATACACTTTTCACAGTAGTGGTAGCATTTGAAATGTCTGCCTTGTTGCCCACACAGAGTCTAATCCAGAACATGGCTCTTCACAATCCTTTTGTACATCGTTGTCCATCTCTCACTGAGGAGTAACTTCTCCGCTGTGTTGTCTAATGCAAAAACTATAATACATTCCTCAGGCCGCTCGTCGAGGCCCCACCTAGATGCTGGCCGTTGCAGCAAGAGAAGGGCGCAGACTGGGCATGCTCGCCTCGTCTTCCCCGGCCACCTCCTTTCGTCGTCTCGGCCGAAGGCCCAGGTTTTCAAGCGTCCCATCGATGCCCAGGCCGGTCCCGAAGGCGCGATCTTTGACCTCACGTCCGTATCGCAGCCCGGCCCTCATCCCGATAGCCTGCTCGCCGATCGCCAGAGTCATGGTCGGTCTGCTTGGCGGAGCGCTGACCAGCTCTGCGTCTTCAATGGCCTTCCCGTCTTCAAGCGCGATGAGCGAAGTGACGATGTTGGTCGCGGCCAATTTGCCTTGCGCCATCGCCGGCCCCGACCGTTTGATCCCGGTCCACCTGGCAACGTCGCCGACGGCGTAGTGGGCGTCTGCGTTCGGAACCGTGGCCGCGAACTGGAACGTGTCTCGGACCTTGACGTAGCCTTGCTCGTCCAACGCTTGCTCAGGCACGAAGCCCGTGTTCGGTCCCTGCTGAACGGCGGTGTAAACGACCTTGTCGCACTCCAGCGTCTCGCCGGTCGAAAGTTCTAACATTCGCTTGGAGCCGCTCGCAGATTCGTTTAGGAGCCGGGTGTTGAGCCGAACATCGACGCCCTGCTCCCGGAGCAGCTGCAACGCGATGGCCTTGAACTCGTCGGAGAGAGGCTCTCGGCTGAGAAGGTCCGAGCGACTGTGTATCAGGATGATCTCCTTCTCCGGGAAGTGCACTTTCATCTCAGCAGACATCTCGATTCCACAAGCACCTGCAGCCCGCACGTTAGCACAGTGCGTAAGAACGGTTGGCGGGGATCCATTCGACTTACCTCCTCCAACAAGAACGATGCGCGAACACGGCTTCAACTCGTTTTCGAAGCTTTCCGTGTCCGAGACGTACGTGTCGTAATCCAGCGATCTGGGCAAGATCGGCCACTCGCGACTCATTCCTGACGCTACGACGAGGAAGTCGTACGACAGCGTCTGATCCACCGACTTGCCAGTTGGCCGATACCTTAGGGTCTTGGACGCTGTGTCCAAGGCAAAGGCCGAGCCTTGCACAAAATCCACGGGATCGCTTGCGTACTTTGTGCGCATAATCTCGTCATACTTCACCCAGAATTCGCGGCCGTGCGAGGGTGAGATCTGGCCCAGCGGAGCACCGACGGAGTGGTAGAACCCGTCTCGCACGTCAAGCAGCGTATATCGCGGCTTGATTCGCAGGGCCCGTGAAACATCAGGCGCCTCTAGCGGAGGGCCGCGAGGGGGACCGGACATTGCGTGTGCTGATCCAGCGGGCGCAGCTGGCCTCTTCTTCCCTGCAGGATGACCGTGGCCATTACTTAAGCTTATCAGGCTATTCAAGGCTGCAAGACCGGCGTATGCACCGCCGACAACAACGACGTGGGGCTGTTTGACCGTCATGGCTTTTGTTGTGGAGAAGAGACGAAGGCTGGTAAAGGCGTTGGCGACGGGCACACGAACAGCAACTCTGCAGGCCGCAACACGAAGTGCTGTCATGAGAACGGGGAGGAAGAAAGGAGCGCTCAGGTATATAACGAGAAGCCACAGACTGCAGACGAAGAGATGGAAACATGGTTGTGTGCATTGCGAGGCTGATATACATTCATCCACGGCCCTCGAAGCGGTACCGGAAGCCTTCCGCAAGAACGAAACATTGTGTCGACGGACCAATTGGCGATTTCACAACACGGCTGCCTGGGCGTTTGGCTTCACATTGAGCATTGATGATCTCGGCTTCTCGCTCTCTACTGCCGCCGCGTGGAGCCGAAGACGAGAGAGACGCGAGTGGGAAGTGTGGACGTCGCATCTTATCTGATTGATCAGCAGCGGAATTTGTGCGACGACTTTCCCGCAGCAGAAACAAGTCCGGCGCTCTGATTGGCTGGCGGGTCAACAGCGTCGTTGCGGCATCGTGGCTCGGGAGTTTCTCGCGCGGATCGATCCATTTCCCCATGTCGGACTTTGTCGTACATCGTGTTTGTAGCATCGCTAAAGCCGATCGCCGGGTCCGATCGCATGGGATATTGAAAGGAAGACGCTGGACACGGCCCCGAACAGCCCGGCGCTCGCAGAGGTGTTGCAAATCGACGAGACGTGAAGAAGGCCCTCGGCCCCAGCGTGGGGGCCCTTCTGAAGGACAATGTACGTGTACGAAGTGCACGAAGTATAAATATCGATATCCAAGGTCGCATTACGTGTCCCCAGCATGGACAAGCTCGATGGCTACACGCGAAAGGCTCGCACCGGGAAAAGGCCAGCTCAGCCCACTCAGAACACGGAGAACGCGCACAGCACAGAATCGTGTGGGTTGAGCAAGCCAAAGACCTTGGTCGGCAGATCAGCGCAAACTTGTTTCTTATTCTTTCTATGCCTGTTCTTATTTTGGGCACAAGATCGTGCTGGGGGCCAGGTCCGCTGTCACATGCAATCAAGTACACACATATCCACACCGTCTCTCGCGGCTCTCTGTTGTCGCGCTCTCTCTGTGCTCTCCGCGTGGGCGTGTCCAACTCAGCCGTGCTTCCGCTGGATCGTCGGTAACTTCAGTTTGTATGCAAGGGATTTGTCCTGCTGCTGGGATTCCATTTTCGCAGGTCGGGACAGGCGACATCGCAGGAACAAATACAGGAGTAGACGCAGCGGCGGCAGCAGCAGCAGCAGCAGCAGCAGCAAAAAAAAACAACGCAACAGCCCTCTCCGCAAGGTGTGGCGAGAACAAGCAACGGGAGATGAACAACTACAGCACGACGTTGTGCAAACCCTGGGTAGCCAAGACGACTCCGCAGTGATCTGTGAGGCCGGCCTGTTCAACCCATGCTAAGCGACCGGCAGTCAAGCGTGCGGAGCGGCGAGGCTTGATGCATTGATCCCATCGAATCCCCGGTGAGACCTTGGTGAGGTAGCAAAGGACATGCCTCGCCGCATATCACCAACTAGCACGCCAAAGGAAGAAACGCACGGCGCTGTGTTGTCCTGGAGCGGATCGCAAGTAAGAAAGGGCCAAGAGCTCACTGCGGCTTTGAATGCCTTATGTGTGGATCTAGGTCATAGCTTTGCCCGTATCCGTGCCTGTCCTGAGAGACAGCGCACAGGACTGTCTCGCCGCTAGCGCTGACGCTCACCGACGCTATTATTCGCTGCGCTGCTCGTCGCCATGTTCACAAGCCTCCCTGGCCGATCTTGCTGGGAAAAGCTCCCACCAGTCTGGGCTGACCGGCCTGCCTTTTTTAAACGAGACCAGTAGTCGAGATATAATATATAATCGTGAGCTTCCCGCAATGGCTGTGGGGGCTTTCTGGTTTCCATCTAACAGCGTTCGTTGGTGCCGACACCAAACATGGCGCTCTCTTCGCTTCCCACGCGCGCCGTCCTGTACTTTCTCATGGCAATCATGATGGTCGATGCGCTTATCGAGATGAGCTTCATTGCCGCTACGGTCGCATACCTGCATAGAGATCACCCGATGAACGTGCGCGGCGACAACGGCCAGGCCGTCATTCTCAAGGGCAAACCCGCCGGTATGATGGTAGATCAAGGCCACACCAGCAACGGCGCAGCGGGCACGGCATTGATTTTGGTGGGCATCGTCGGTTTTTTGCTTCTCACGCTCCGAGGTGTGCTGCAAAGAGTGGCACGTTTCCCCCCCCATCAGCTCTCGAGCCCTGGACAAAATGCGGGCTAACAATCTGAACCAGTTCCCGAGGCTTTATATGGCCTTGCTGACCACCTGGGTCGTCCTCTGCGTCCTCTCCTTCCTGCTCACCACTGGCGCACTGGGCTATACCTTCAACGTCACCAACAGCACATCTGGCCAAGTTATCGACCTGTCTGGTCTGTCCTCGCCGATCCGCTACCCGAAAGACAAGTGGGTCCCGCAGACCTGGTACGGCGCGATCTTGGACGACCTTCACTTTATTCCTACAGACAGCGACAGCGTCGTTGTTGACGGCGCCAGCATCCCCTGGGCGACCCGCGGTGACATCGCGCGCATGAAGCGCATCACGAACGGCTGGAAGTGGAATCTAGTTCCGCTGTTCGTGCTGCAACTATTTGTCACGCCGCTCATCGTGCACGAGTACCTCACGATTCGACGGGAAGGCAGAGTCCCCATCCCACAGCAGGAGAGGAAAGGCGATGTCTGAAAGTGACGTACCATCGTTTGTGATCGAATGGTGGAGAAGCGATTACACGACCAGAATTTAAAGAGCGTCCGACAACCACGGTCCTGCCAGATCTAACACCATAGCATGTGGCACTCATTAGATGATAATGTCTATTTTCACGCATTGATACCCGCAATAGAACCAACGTTCGTTAAAGCATTCTTGGTTCTTATGATGTCAGCAATGCGATGCAAGTCTTGTGTGTGATCGACCGTTGACTCAGATTACGTGGAGGCGTTGGGAGTACGGGCGAGATCACGATTGACATAGATGGAAATCTAAAGATAGTATATGGGATAGCGAGGGCGAGCGTAGATTTGGTGATCGCGCATAATCTAAGCCGTGTTGCTACGGAGAAAGCTTGTCAGCTGATTGTAATGGGTCTGGGCAGTTTCCATAGCGAGCAGGGGCAATTGATTTTAAATATAATGCAGAAACGCTCATTTCCAAAAAGAAAAGAAAGAAAAGAAAAAGCAACTCGTTCGAAATGAACAAGATGCGTCGAAACGCGTCACAGGCGAGGCAAGGACCTACAGTGAAGCCTTCTCCTGCAAACTCCACCTCTCCGTATCGTCATCGATGCTCACCTTCCCTTCATCCTGTAGCTTCCACAGCACCTGCAGCACACCCTTACTCGCGGGCAGATGTAAGTTCTCCGGCACGTCCTTGTAAATAATCTTCACCATCTCCATAACAGTCAGGCCATGCGGGTTCTGTGTGAGCACACCGAGCACCTCACGTTCGCGCTGCGCGCGGTGCGCCAGGTACTCGTTTGCTCTCGTCTGAACGTTGTCGATGATGCTTCCGTGACCCGGGTAGCCCCGTCCGGAAACAGCAGTCGACATCTTCTGCAGACTGTCGAGGTAGACCTGTAAGTCCTCGAAGACGGCAGTGCCGTGGCCGAGTATGTTGTCGCCCGTGAACATGGCGTCCTCCTCCTCGAGGATCACCGCCATGTGGTCCGTCGTGTGTCCGGGCGAGTGAAACGCCCGGAGCGTTGCGCCCTCGACCCAGAATTTCTGCCCGTCCTCGATGTTCAGCATGCCCTCTTGGGGCTCGTTCTTGTACACCCTTGGAGCCGGGGACAGCGTCAGCACGTCCTTGACGCCGCCGATATGGTCTGGGTGCCAGTGCGACACCAGCACCGCCTCCAAGCTGGCCCCCTCGTCTGACAACACTTTTTTCAGCGTCTCAAACCATTGCGGCTTGCCCTCGCCCGTGTCCAGCAGTATCCTCTTCGGCCCCTGTCCGATGAGATACGTGTTCGTGCCTGGACGGCCGAAGTCAGCCCCGTCCTTCCATGCCATCAATTCAAAATTCAACATGGGCATGAGCATATCAAGAAAAAAAAAAGGGTGCGCAGAGAAACAAACCTTGCAGCGTGAACTTGCTCGGATTCCCGCCCAAAATCCGTATCACCTTCGGGCTGACCCGTTCCACCTCAGGTAAGGCAGGCAGTTTGGCAGCCATGACAGCAGTGCGCGCTGTCTGCCTCAGAAGGTTCATCACATTGTATTTGTAACCTTGCTGCCTCTGTGATGACGAGCCGAGGATGTACGAGTTGAAGCGACGTCAGATAAAACTAGTCTTAAAAAGGATTAGTGCGCGTTTTGTAATTTTATCCAGAATCGGACTTTTTTTCTGCTCCCGTTGAGCTGCTAGTGGAAAAGCTGTCGAAACGGGAATTTGTGCCTTGGAAGGAAGTGCAAATCACAGAAGAAAAAATGGAGGACGACGATGTTCCGTGGGTTCTTCCGCTGCGATCGCTGGAGTACATGTGTGGCTAACAAAAGTCCTAGTCAGCTGTCCGCAGCTACGTTGGACATCCTGAAAGAGTTCTACAGCGAACGAGATGCCAGACAGAAAGCCTTCGAGGATCTTAAGGCTCAGGCAGAAGATGAGTTCGACGGCAAGAAACCGCTTTCCATGGACGCATTCACCGAGGACTGGAACGCAAGCCAATTCTGGTACAACGACGAGACGGCCTCGAAACTCGCCCAGCAATTGCTGCTCGGTGCCAGGTCGGATACCAGAATCGCCGTCGTGTCAGCCCCAAGCGTGTTCCTTCAACTGAAGAATCAACTCGCCGAGCAAGCCCAGGCCTTGCGACCACAGCTCACGCTGCTCGAGTTCGACGACCGCTTTGGCGTCTTCAAGGAGTTTGTCAAGTACGACTTCGAGCAGCCCATCAAGCTTCCTGTCGAGCTCAAGGGACAGTTCGACGCCATCATCTGCGACCCTCCTTTTCTGAGTGAGGACTGTCAGACCAAGGCTGCGTTGACTGTGCGCTGGCTTGCCCGGGCCTGGCCATGCACAGGTCCAGATACTGACCAGCACAGACTCAAGCTCATTGTGTGCACTGGAGAGCGCATGGAAACCTTGATACATAAGCTCTATGCAAAGGTTGGCGTCGAAACCACCACCTTTGAGATTGTCCACGCAAAGGGTCTGAGCAACGAGTTCAGGTGCTACGCCAATTTTGAATCTGATCTCTGGAAACTCCAGTAAAGGGATGGCTCGAAGAACAATAGCCAAACGAGCAAATAACTTTCTTGCGGCTTTGCTTCCATCGGCAGTCTGGCAACGGCGTAGACACCGACTTCCGCGCTATACCGCTTTGGGCCCAAAGTTACTCCAGGGGTAAGCGTGGCGGGGTAATCTATCGTCATCCGTCGTCCAAGCATCGAGAGCTTCGTTCCGGAAAGCTAGAACTATCCAAGAATCAGAATCTATTCACAGACCTCTGTCCAGCACAGCAAAAGTATGGCGGCTTCCTGCATCTTCTGCAAGATCATCAAGGGTATGCACGCGCTTACTCGTGCGCCAATTGGCCCATCAAGGTAAACTGACGCAGACACCCAGGTGAAATCCCCTCCCTCAAGCTCTTCGAGTCCGACAAGACTCTCGCCTTCCTCGATATCATGCCCCTCAGTCGTGGCCACTCGGTATGTTTGCATAAAGCTTCCCGTGCGCCAGTGCAAAATTCCTAACCCTCGGCAGCTGATCATTCCGAAACACCACGGTGCCAAGCTCACAGATATACCCGACGACCAACTCACAGAGATCTTGCAAGTCACAAAGGCTATTGCGAAGGCGACTGGCGCAGAAAACTACAACATCTTGCAAAACAATGGCAGGCTTGCTCATCAGCAGGTGGACCACGTGCACTTCCATATGATACCGAAACCAAACGAGGAGGAAGGCTTGGGCATTGGCTGGCCGATGACGAAGCCCGACCAGGCGCAGCTTAAGGAGCTGCTCGAGGAGCTGAAGGCGAAAATGTGAGGAGTCAAGGGGTGAATCCGTACAGCGAATGATAGACCGTTGGTTGACCCTCGAGACGAACACCATGGCTGCGGGCTGTGTAGAGGAGAAAAGTTTACAAAGAAATAAGATCGCGATTGACAATTGTTGCTCTATGCTCCCTGAGAGAAATAGCAAGCTTCTGGCAAAAGAAAAGAAAAGAAGTGAATCTCGTCTATGTGCATGCCGACTCCACCCAGTGACGCCAACAGGTGGAAGGTTTCCTTTTTCATAATTATTTTTTATAATTATTTTTACTTTTTTACTTTTTTTTTTTTTTTTTTTTTTTTTTTTTTTTGAAAAACCCATACTCCAGTGCCTCATATTTGCTCCTTTTTGCTGGAAATAGACGTGACAGCGTCGGATTACAACGGGCTCTTAGTTCACTCCATGCTCAGGATCTTTACCCACGGGTCCCCATACTGAGCGCTCTTTAAGCCACATCATTTTTCCGCTCGCCTCATCAATCTTCGCGAACATGAAGCTCCCAAAGAAGAGATGCGCCCCGTCGGCTTTGATCGTTCCCGTCACGCGTGCTGCTAGCTGATCGCCGTCGCGTAGAAATTCCTCCCTGAGCGTTGCGAGAAGTCATGAATTAGCTTCTAGGATCTGGTGAACGGACCTGGTCACAACATGAACCGGACGTATTTACACCACCGGATGATACTCGCTGCTCTTGGCGCGCCATTCCGCAATGCCTTGAACATAGCTGTCACCCTCAAGCTTCTGCCCGTTCATAATGTGGCAGAAGTCCGGCGTCCCTGTGGCTTCGGCGTATAGCTTCGCATCCTCGGGCTTGCCCGACAGGCTCCACTGCATCGCGCGCTGGAAGCCGTCGCGACTGGACGTGTATTCCGACATGATCGGTCGAGTTTGGCGGCCGGCTCAGCGTGTTGTGATTCGCGCCTCCAGGATGTGAAAATCGCAACTTTTACGAGCCTTCAGAACCATCCAGGACTGACTCGTAAGCTGCAGGACCGGTACGTGGCAGGTTAATTTTTTATTTCTTTCTTATACGCGGGTCTGCTGACTACGCCGTATTCCGTTTTGAGTCTAAGATGCTGCGCATGCTTCGCCTCCGGGGGAGAAACTGCGCTGGGAAGACTCGGACAGCTTATTTTTGAGAGTAATCCCGTTGAAATATTGCGGGTCCCTGTGCTCTTGGAAATGCCACTGGATTCGTCATACGTGGGGGCCACGATCTGCAACTTTCACTTGAAACCTTTGCGTTCATTTGTATTTTGTTTCTTTTCTTCCCTAATGCTGCACAACCAAGATTTGTCGAGAAGAGTGACTTTCGAGCGGACAGTCTCCGTTTCGTGAATTTGAGTTTCAACTGGTTTCGAGTGAGCTGTCGAGAAATTCGTTTCTTTACATCCATCCGGGCTTTTCTTTCTCCCGTCAAACGTCGACAATCTCAACATAGCTCCGGGCTGTCGTCTGATGGAGCTTTCATACATACGCAATCGGAACTCTATCGACGTCTTCGTCAGAAATCTACGTGGGTGGTATAGGCAATCTCTGGCTTCATAATCGCGGTAACTCCAATCGATCGTGAATTAAAGCGGCCCCAGTAGTTGGTTATGAACGAGGATGGAAGCAGAGAGGTCCAAAAGCATGTTCTTGAGGCCAGGGAGTAGAGCAATCTTCCAAAAAAAGGTCCCATCTCTATCATCGTCGCTGCCATGAAATCCTTCAATCATGTTATGAGAAGAATAACAATGAGATGTTCACAGCGTAAGCGAGATAGCCATATAACGTGATTCTATACGCGGATTCAAGTGGCAACCTCGCAAAGAGCTCAACGTAGAATAGATCAAGAAGGCCTTGTATCTTGAGACCATAAGTCAAACAGTCGTCGACACTAGGCTGGGGAGCAAACAATAGCTGAAAGATGCGGGCATATACGCGAGCGGATGCTGGCTGAGATATATCTTGCTCTTCCGTATACAACGCGATTCCAACGGCTCTTAGTCAATATCATTTGCGCGGAATTCCTAAGGAGATACGCGTTTGAGCAGTCGTGTTGTCAATTTGGATTGCACGGTGACTTTCGACGTTCATACAGCGCCGACCCATACTAAATGTCGTACTAGTTTAGCATGCGACTGTGTCCCCTCTTCGCGGCAATTTGCAGACCTAGGAGACCGGTCGAACTCCATCCGAGAGTGACAATAGACCGGTTCTCATGGCCAGAGTACATAGCAGGAGCTTTTATTTTCGTCTTCATCAAAATAGTTACCATCCGGCATTGAATGCATTTTGAAAGATCGTGATTTCCTCGTGGTAGCGCCTCCTTGGATTCAAGTCCGCCAAGGGTCCCCACATAGTTCAACGTCCTCAACACCACCTGTCGTTTCCTCTATTCGGACCCAACCTGAACGCTTTGAAGGACCGCGAAAAGGAATCAAGATGGGTCAAAACATGGCCCGTGACCAGCTCAGGCCTTGCGATCGTTTTTTATGATCTCGACGCGGTCCCACTTAACACCCCATGCAGAATATGCAAGAGGAGGACGCGATGGCTATGGCGTACGCTGGATGATGTCTCTTAGAGGACTCGGGCGCACAGAATGCTTGCAACAGATACTGGAGGCCCTTTGAACTCACCAAGGGACCCGAAAACGTTGAGCAAAGGGTCATGCGGAACTTGTAGCACTGCTCTACTTGTTTTGCCTCGATAGCACAATACGCAATCCTAAAAGCCCGTGGCTCTTCCTGTCTGTGATATTGCTTACCGGCACGGTATCGTACAGTTAGGCTCGTCGGATTCCAGGGCATTTATCATTCGATCACGGTGTCTGGCCCCGTAGAGATGCACATACAAATCCTCACAAGCCCATATGTTTTGCTGCATCCACTGGATCCCATTTGCCATGCGATGGAGCCGGGGTAACGAGCAACAGGAGGCATACGAGCGCCTTCAGATCTCGGTGCCGACACTTGTTTACGCAGCATATAAGATGCCATCCTAGAAACCCGCTGAAGCCGAACACAGTACGGCCGGTTAGTTCACCTTTGTCAAACTGATGAAGGCCGTACACCTAAGTTTTATGATGGCAAAGATCGGATTCTCTTTCTTGGGCGCTTTTCTAGTTGTGTGTGTGCCTAAATTTTCTCCCAAAGGGACGGAAATAAGCTACGTCCGGCCAAGGTACTGGGCAAACTCCATTCTGAATTGATAGGATAATGAATCAACCATGGACTGCCTGAATGGCTTGAGCTGAGACATGGGCCTTGCCCGGAATGGGCTGGAATAGGTCCCTCCTCTCGAGGTTGGAAAGAGCTTGGTTGAGTCGCCCATGTCTCAGCTCCTGGAAGACGTTTATACTAAACGATTTGAGACGGAGGTCGAACGATAGAACGAACTTAATCATGGCCAAAAATCGTGGTATAAGATTATGGTTCTCGACTCGTCATTAGCTGCGGATGAATTGGTACAACCTTGCTGGCAGTAGCTTTGTGGGCTTTATGTCGACCGCAATTTTGCATATCTTCTGCGAACCAACTAGCGGCATGAGAGCTCGCTGTTCGTTGTCTAATACGTTCACTAGTGACCGCGTGGAAGCTCACAAGAATGCTGTAATTGAGTTTCCGACGCAGTCAGAACTCTGGTCGAATCTTTGGTCTTTCCGAGGAGCGGAAGAAGTTCCTTTGCTTTGTGCTCCACTCTCATAGAGTGCTGAAGAGCGCATAGTTATGAGTGGCCCAATTGACCATGACAATGCATACCTCTGAAAATCAAGTGGCACTGCATTCGACCTGCCCTCGGCCTGCGAATTTGTCCTGTATGGATTGGTCCTTGCTCTTGGTTTCCCTTCTGCGACAAAATTTGGCCGTCTTCTGAGCACAATTTCACAACATTCATTGTTATGCATCGAGCTTGCCCGTGGCCTTTTCAAAATGTGGACGAGAGTGCTTTCTGGCATGAAAACCCGTAACTGTGCTTGAACACAGTTTCTGTCCGCCTTTGCTATCAGCGATATAATTCGCCTTCCGCGTCAGGGAGTTCTTGTTTTCCAATTCAACCGAGCGACGTCTGATGATAGAAGAATCTGAGAATTTGAGGAGGTACAAAGCCGCAGTCCATATTTGTTCAACTTGAGCGTTTGCTTCATACTATTTTTGCGCGTTCGGCAAACTTATCACTACACAGCCGCTCTAGTTTTTCAAAACAGGCCCTTTTACGGAGAGGTTATGCGCTTTTTTGTTCTTCAGTTGCGACTTAGAAATGCGTGGAGAATCTTTGCGTCTTGAAATTGCGGCTACATAAAGAATCGTTAGCCATGGTACCTCTGCACTTTGGAAACACTAATGTTCATCATACTAGATACCAAACATGGGAACTGAAACATGTTTTGCTGGTGATCTTCCGGCATGGTAAAAGGCACGCTTCTCCCTTCGTAACACTCAACTTTGTGACGGTTGTCTACTTCCAGGTACCTTGGTCACCGCAAAAGCCATCGTACCTTAAAGAGCTGTGATATGGAATCTGTTTGCTCTCATAATCAAAGTTGATGTGTGCGAAAGAATGCTCTTTATCAAATCAACCACAAATCGAGACCTACGAGCAAAACACAATGCTCATCAGAACTGCTTCCATAGCTTCGACTTCACCACTACATTTGAGTCCGCTGGAGGCGTTTGCCTTGTGTTCTTCCTTCGTTGAGAGGTGTTATGTTTGCCTGCCGTACGCTGCATTAACGTTGCTGAGAGAGTCCTGTACTGTCTCCAAAAAGCTTCTATCAGTATTGACAGCCTTGTATGGGTTGATGGTTCTGCACGAGGCCGTATAAGAACACCTGCTTCGTGCCGTCAGATATAAAAGCAACTTACTCTTATTTTCGGATTGGCAGTTACAAGATGATGACTGCGTAGCTGAAGACAAGGTCTGGATGAAAGCGTGTTCCTCTTCTTGATCCAACGAACCCGGCTACTTTTGGCCAAGCGAATGAGGGCTCTCCTGCTATTCGTTCTCGAGCCCATGCCAGATTGCGCAGAGGATCGAAACGGAATGGTGAACTATAGATACAGTGCTTCATGACGTTGTTGCTAGCACTCTGTCTGCCAAAGTTGTTCCGTAGCCACAAAACCGCATCTCGGCGTGCTCGGGCTTCAGTATTCGTTACAAATAATAGAGGCTGTTATGGAACATCATCTCAGTCTTGAACCGAATGCTGTTTTCCATGGCCATAGCGGATGTCGCCATTGTTTGTGTTGTGTCACCGAGGATATCGATTGCCACTAGGACAGGTCTGTGGTACGCGCCTGAAAAAGCACTCCCACACTACCATATTTGGACCACGCCGTTGAGATCATCTGCAGTGCCACCATGTCGTCGTGAACACTGCTGTGTAACGATGGATGTATGGCCCTGCTTATTTCTGGATATTGTATTACTATTTAGAGCCTCTACCATTGCTAGGTGGATGATAGAGACTACCCCAACATCGTAGTGTCTATCAACTCAAGGGAATCGATAAGCCCATATAATCCAAAAAGGATCCTTAGCCTGTCGCCCTTCGGGGTGCTCTGGCCTGCTCGCTCGCTCTCCTTTGCTTTATCGCCTCGTCTCGTTTAAAAATACTTCATTACCTTGGACTTTGGGAAGGCTAACAAGCGTGTAGAAGACCGTTGGTTCGATTCCGAACCCCATTTTTTTGCTACCTTTCCGATTTCCAGTCACAACGTCACTTTACATCGCTCAAAAGTTTTTCCCTTTTTGCCAGCTCCCGGTCTATTCATGATTCCTGGTCCATTCAGGGCTTCTTAGAAGTTCAAAAGCACCGCGACACTGTTTAAGCAGCCACAAGCCCGCATTCATCTCCTAGTGCACTCCTGAACCCATCTCGTGAAGCTGCTCAAGTTGACATTATTCGGGCTTTGCGTTACTTTCTTTTGGTGAATGATATTCAAGATGTAAATTACAGACATCTGTATTTATGGTGTATCCGTAGCCGGACGATTGAAGTGCACCAATTTCATACGTTTCCAAGGCCTACGTTTCATCAATTCTGTAATTCAGCTGACCTAGGAAACGATGATTGCGGCTGCTGACATCTTATATGAGAAGTTTAGAAGCAATGTAAGTCGAAGGCTATATTACGACTGCTCACAATTTGCATTGGTGTTTCAAAGCTCAACTTGCTCTCACATAAAGCGCAAGGCATAAACGGAAGCCTTGGACTTGAGTTCAACGCACAATCCTCTGCCTACGTCCTCCAATCCTTCATCCATGGAGCAAGTAAGACCTCGCGATCCTTCTTTGTTAAACAATCAAACCGATAACAAAGTAAAGGCAGAACATTGTCGGCCGACTTATTTCATCCCCTCAAACCTTGCGCTCTATCTTACCCATATATTCGGCATTTGACTTCAGTGTTCCGGCGCACATTTCCTTTCAATAAATTCAAGGAAAATTTCCGAATAACATGTGGAGGGCTGAATTTGGGTTGAGCCTTGATTCGTTGGACAGCCTTAGTAAAAAAGGTGTTTGCATCGGAACCGCTAAAGAACATTTCCGGACTGCAGATGAGAAGCTACTACCGTTGTGAACTGTTTTGTTAGGATTATGACACTCAGTATGTGGTAGATATCAGTAGAGAGCTGATTCTGCGCAAGGAATACAACTTGTCCAGGCTCTAGATATACTCTCTTGATTGTTACGACTAAAGCCACTGTTAGATGTTTGTGGTCTTTGTTTTATAAGTAGTTCCTGCTTTATGCCGCCGAAGGGTAAGTAAGACATTAAACTTTCTGCTTCAAATGGGGCTATACGTTGTGCTCGAAGTTCAGCCAATGAAGCTCCAGTCTTTTATACACTGACACCCATCTGAGAGTCTCCATCTTAGAGTTTTGTAGATATCTCGGCAACGGTGACATTGATACGCTTGTATGTCATACTGTGCATCAGTGGCTTTTTTGACGAGCCTGACTGTCTTCACGTTCTTACTGACCCGCTCTTTTTTGTTCAATGATGTTTTACGAGCAACCTGAAGTATAAAAACGACGTTGTACCTGTCCGAGGAACATTGATATGATCGAGAAGACGTCTTCATTCACGGACAGATTGAAAGACACCAGAGAGGCTAACATGTCGCACAGAGTCGCTTTTGTCCCGGATCCATGACGCGAGCAAGTTCAAGGCTTAAACTAGAATGCTGAGTGATTGTACCGCGTCTACCGCTTGAGCTGGACTTGATAAAGTCAGGATCCTCTTATGGAGCTCAGCTATAACGTCAGTGGAAAGCAATGCCATTCTTTTGATTACCTTCGATTGAAGGAGTTGTACGCTGTGCACAAAGTGGGCTGGGTCAGCTTCGAGCGAGGGCTGTGTTACAATCCATGGCTGAGAGGTTCTTTCAAGACAATCTAGAGTGCATCTTCAACTTTAGGGATAGATATCAGGTATTTACTAGAAGTCTATCGCTCTTCTAACCCAATCTTGTCATTGTGAGAATTATCTTAGGTTACAAAATAATGGTCATCGACTGTAAACGCAGCCCTTTGAAGAAAAATAAGGCTTTGGATTTGAACTATGATAAGGCACAGAATTTCTGTTCATTGAGACGCTCTTTCATTCCACATCTGCAAGGTAAAAGAATCTCACTGACTGAACGTAAGAGTCACCCATTCATGTCTTCATTATGGTTCTGAACAGAAACGAAACGAATGACCCTTAACTCTGCCCACTTCTTACGAGCTCTCTGATTTATTATTTTTGGCTTAAACTAACAAATAACGGTTTGACAAACGCTACTGCGGGGGTGAAATCTGCATCCAATACCTGACTGTCATCTTGTAGCTCGATGGTGAAGTTCAGGAACAAGGTTGGAATAACTTTCTTCAACTGCATGGTAGCGATATTTTGCCCCAAGCACACCCTTTTTCCACGACTGAAACCGAGAGAACTGGCTTCCATTTTTCGCGTCGTCTCCCCATCACCCGAAAGCCAACGCTCGGGTCGGAAAGCTTCAACGTCAGAGCCAAATGTCGACCGATCCATATACAGCGCGGCCGGAAAAACGCCCACGGACGTGCCTGGGGGTAACACGTAGTTCTGGTAAATCATGCCTCCTGGTGGCACGCGGCGCTCCAGTGGCCAGTTCACCAGGGAAAAGAGGCGCATGGCTTCTTTAACCACAGCATCTAAATATGGAAGATGACGTACTTCCTTGTACATTGGGATAGGAAGCGTCACTCTTGCTTCTGTCAGTTCGCGTTCAAGCTTCAAGCGTGCATCTGGATTCACGATGAGGTAGTACAAGATCGCAACCAGCGTCGCCGCTGTGGTGTCAGCGGCGCCCGAGATGGTCGACATGATGACGCCCATCATACCCTTGGCATTCAACACGTCCGGATGTCTCTCAGCACTTTCGATCAAGCGGTTGAGTAAATCAGGCTCGGTTGACATCCATGGTTTGGCGATCCGGTCTGCGTATCGAGCCGCGGCCTTGCGGGAAAACTCGACTGGCTGACTATTTGCGAGCCGGAGTGCTATCGGATTGCGATAAACTAGGCGCTCGACTTCCGGGATGGCCGACCAAGTCCCCCAGTGCATGAATCGCGATTGGATCATCTTTCCCAGTCCCTGAGCGTCGCTATCCGTCCGCAGACAGCCCGCATCTTCACTAAACACCATCTTTGCTGCGTTGTCAAGTGAGTACCATGCGATCTGCCTCGTTATGTCCAAGCTTTGTCGCCTTTCAACTCGCTGATGTAGCACGTGAAGGAGCTGCGTGATGCTCTCGTCAAATATGCTCTCCATCTCGCCCACACTCGTTACAGTGAAGGCGTTGGCGATGGCTCTTCTCATCTGCCCATGCTTGGATTCATCCTTCACTGTGATAAGGGACTCAACTGGTTTTCCATCTTTGTCAATTCCTAGCAGGGTGCTATAGCTGTCGTGAATGGTGAAGCCTTTTCCTGTCGTATATATTTGTTGAATCACACTCGCATCTCGAATGCTGACCATATTGACACCATATCTGACCACTGGACCGTATTGATCATGAAGCGAGATTATCCTTTCTCTGAGCTTTCCTCGGGATTGGAGATAAGCTCGCCAGAGATTTGTCGAACCCGCAAGTATGGGTCCAGGTATGCTACGAAGTTGCAGGTAGTTGTAGAGTAGCCGAGATAGTACAGCGAGAAACACAAGAAGTGGGGCGAAGGACTTTAAGCTTGAGACTGTCAAATCGCTATTCACTCCTGAGTGCATGATGCCCGTGTAAACCGCACGCTTTGCGAGTGAGCTAACGTTCAGTCATAAATATTTAATAGAACACTGATTGAGGCGGGCTTAATATCTCATGTGAATCAGAAGTTTGCAAGCTTGGCTACGGTTTAAGTAGCCAAGTTTGGGGTCAGCACGAGCCTATGAACGAAATGCACTCAGTATCGAAATGCAGTGATCCACAATGTGTATGTCATCTAAGACATGGGTAAGCATATAAGGTATTCAAATCATGCGATGGTCAGCATTTACGGTATAGTTTCTGTGAGGACTATTGATTCAGTTGACCAAACCGGTCTAGTTGCACAAAGGTTTGGAAAACGATGATCAAATACTGGGAAAAGACCAGGAAGGTTTTGACTTATATCCGTGACTAACCGTATTGACCTTGTACTCTCCCCAGATGGGCCAGTTCGGCTTTTACAATGCTGCACCACTTAGCAGCTAGGCAATTTCATACCGATCGGGGACGAAAACGTTTCTAAAATCCAACATAAGCAGACTAACACACAAATTCGTTTCGTCCGCACAATGAAAGAATCCAAATCATGTGACACCTCGCCAGCGCCCTGGAATGTCCTTGTCAACCGCCAGCTGTGCAAATTAAGGCGCATTTGTGAAATTCACATGGATGTACGTGGATTGCGGATCAAAAAAGATATGCGCTGTGATCTAGCAAGTGTTACTGGTCGCAAGCTCAGATATAGATGCAACGTCACACGCTCTGACATGATTGATTGCCATTTCGAAGAGGACGAAAGAGATCCTAAAGCCTCATGTAAGCGCAAAGAGCACAGCCGTCTTATGCCTGTAGCAGGCATCAAAAGGTGTCCCGTCTTTCATAATCCAGAATGGACATTTGGCACCTAAGAAGACCAGCAATTACTTCATCGTCTTATCCAGAAGGCCCATCTTAAGACAACGTCGCCTCATTCAGCACATAATGACATTTCTTTGGAGTCTAGTGATGTGTTTAGAATAGTCCTGAGCGGAAAGCTTTACAAGGAACTAATTTTAATCTCTGGATTGATCTGCATTCTGAAAGGGGAGCTGATTACACCCAGAGGGACTTCATTATTCGAAATTGTTCTGCAACGGCTGTAAGGTTAAACTTTGTTCCATCAAGAGACATTCAGCTCAAGTTCGGGTGGAAAATTCACTCATACGTGTAAGCCGTAGGTGTCTTTATCTCTCCCATGATGTCGAAAGGGCGTCTAGGAAACCTTTATCGACACAAAAATTGCTTTGACGTGCATATAGCTCGTCTGGACAAAAGCCGCGAACTTCATATTGTGGCGTTTTATGCCAAGCATAGAATACCCACTGGACCCTGGCTGACGTCGCGTACATGTATGTTTACGTGCACAACGCGTATTGACACACCAAGAGACGGCGAAGGATCTTCCAACACCGCGAGGATAAAATATGACATCGACGACACCCACAAACCCACCGCCTACCGGCTCTTTTGGTGCCGGAAGCCGAACACGCTCACGTAGCGCCTCGCGCACACGCATTCCTTCACGGCCCACCACCCCTCTTCGTCCTTCGTCTCGATCCTCACTTCGCAATAGCCAAAACGCTTCACAGGCACTGTACTCCAATCCGCTGGACGCCCTGGAACCGCAATTTGCCGAGTTCAGCGATGGCATGGCAGATCTGGAGGCAAACTTTATGCATTTACAGCTCATGCACGAGAGTTTGGCCAGGTTCAGCGAAAGCTTCGCCAGCTTCCTATATGGCCTGAATATGAACGCATTCTGCGTTGACTTCGTGGAGGGACCCGTCAAAGAGAGCTTCGAAAGAGCGGCAAGGGGCGCGTTTGCCTCGGGAACGCCCGCGAGCGGGATTACGGGACTTGGTGGCGGAAGAGACGATGTCGATGCAACTTTCCTGTGGGTCATTCACGATGAGAAATAACTGGACCTGATATGCTAATCAGCGCTTGTCCAGGACCACGGACACGAGTTTCGTAGAGAACCCGCCTACAAGCTCAAAAGCTTCGAGCAAATTCTCGACCCCGGCACCGGCGACACGAGGTGCCAGAGGATCTACCAGAGGAGGCACGACGGCGGGAACTAGAGGCCGCGGACTCCCAAGGGCAAGCGGGATAGCGAGAGGCATATCGCGAGGAAGAGCCCGAGGTGGTTCCACCCGCTGAAACCCACGTGAGCGAGGCCGTCGTCTCACAGGACTCGGAAACGTAGAACAATCGTGTTGCATGAAATGATACCCTAGCATGAAAGAGTGGAGATGATGCGAGAGATTTTCAACCTCGTTTTCATAAGCAAGTACTCCTACGGTACCCCCCGCCCACTTCTCGTCGCCTTTGCCAGTTCGCTTTGGGCCTCATCGTTCGCATATCTTTCGTAAATCGGCAGATAGTGCTCCCTATCACTCAGAGTCTGAACCATGCTCCTTCGCTCGCTGATATTCTTCAGCCAAAACCTCCATCTCCGCCATATCTCTTCGTCCTTGCCGCCTTGCCCCTCTTCGGGAATCCCAAGTCCACCTTTGAAGTGGTCGAAGACCCATAGACGGACAGCCCATGGCGCCAGCATGAAGTCCGTTAAGCTTGGATCGGAGCCGAAGAAGTAAGGGCCGACAGGATCCATGGCTTGTGTGAACTGCCTCAGGTGACTGAGCAGCTCTTGACGCTTAGAGGAGAGACTCTCGGTGTCGGACATGGGCTGATGTTGCAGAAAGCGGTGGAAAGATGGTATAATTCTGCCTGCACCTGACTGTTAGTATACAACTTTCAAAGCAAGAGTGATGAACCCAACATACTTCCCACGAAGTCACCCCAGATCCTACCCTTTGCCCTCTCATAAATATCGCTTCTCCTCAAGGAGTTCCCCAAGTCAGGGTACCTATCCTCCAGGAATTCCATCACGACCCAACTCTCATACAGCGGTTTTCCGTCAATCTCCAGCGTCGGTACGAGCCCGCGCGGATTGATTTTGAGGAGCGAGTCTGGCTTATTGTACGGGTTAACTTCAACATACTGATACGGGATCTGTTTCTCTTCGAGGACTGCCCAGACACGCTGAACGAACGGACAAAACCAGCCCGAGTATAGTACTAGAGGCTTAGGAGACGAATGGGCAGCGACAAGTGCGGACGCCGCACCAGTGGCCACGGGGTGCAGGTTAGAATCCGGATGCGATTGTCGAGACATTGTAATTGCATCTAAGGAGAAAAGAAACAGAAGAATTGATCCAACCAATACTCTAAATATGAAAAATCTACTAGCAAGCTATATTTTTGTTTCCTTTCGGAGACAGCATTCCTCACTGCTGGACGGCATGACGCGAGCGGGGAATCGTCATTCTCCGAGTGGAGCTTTTCTTCATTTTCCCATGCACTAAGATTAATAATACAAAACACGTACATCATTCACGCGGGCTGGATCAATGTTCCCCAATTCGTAGTTTGATCATATTAATAATTTGACTTTCTCGTATGGAACCTAACGAACGCACATGTGCTATGCACTTGTAGCTTTCCGGGCCACGATTGAAAACCCGATCCCCATCTCGAAACATTGCTCTCGTAGCCGATATCACACGTTAGGAGATCAAAAACACGTCAATTAAAAACTGCATCATTCTGGCCCGTTTTGCAGCTCTCACAAATGCTGGGAGTCCATTGTCTGAGCCGCTGCTCTTCGATGCTACATAGACATCCTCGCAAGGATGCCTCTATATCCAGATCCAAAGGCTCGAGCTTGAGGAGCTGGCAGACCGCCGGCTGACCAGGCTGAACGTGGTGGTAATATAGAAACCGCCATAGGATGGGGCTAGAGCAACTGTACACATGGACGCGTGGTTTGTCCAGCTGAAGAGCGAATGGTGATCTCACAACTGGGGCTCCTGGTGAGCACGACCGCGGTCAACCGACAACTTGTACATTCCACAGCGCAGACCTGGCCGCGTGAGCAACAGGACGCCACGAACGGGTTTGGACGGCGCGTCACAACCAGAACAGGCGCTGTGTCCATCGGACAGAACACGGCGCGATGCTGGGCTTACGCCGGAAGCGCTGTTGCGGCGGGGTGCGTGAGACCATACCCGCTGATATGCTGGGGGCGGCGAATCCGGTGCCTTTGTCACCATTTCCGACCTGGATCTCGATAGCATTTTCGCCGCGCTGGCTTGCGAAAGCTCGTCGGCTGCGGTGTAGCTCAGGGCACACGTCGACGACGCTGGCGGAAAGCAGCTTTTCCTAGGCGGCAAGCAGTATCAACCGCCGGTATAAGTGTAATCCTCGATAAGGACACAACATGCACCAAAGCAGCTGGCAATCTTCGCGAGAACAGCCATGTTGGGGTCGAACAGTAAAGATGCTCGCTCAAGCGGCTTGAATGGAAAAGCGTTCGCGGTCAAAACGCATCTGACGAACATGCTTCCTCAGGACCGGTGCAGAATCCAACTGTTTATCTATATACATATCCCCTGTCTTATTTAGGGGGAAAACATGGACCTTAAGGTTGCAATCTATCATGTCCGTGGTTCAGGTTACCCGGATTGGACGCTTGTCCCCACTCTAGCCGCCATAAGTGCGCGAGGAATGAAGAAACAGCGCGAGACCGCAAAGCACGATTCACGCCGAAGCAAATTCCAAATGGATCAATTCCCTATTCCAGCAGAGGAGTGGTAATAATAAGTGCATGAACAACGAGGCCTTATTTCGTGCTGGACGACGATTTCACCGCGCTCATTAAAGGTTGAGACACCTCCGAAGCTAGCAGATAGTAGGGCTTTTTTCGGCAAGTCAGGAGATGAAATGGATTGAAATACAGGCGGGTTTTGCCTTTAAGCCGTTGATTGACGATTCAGTCTAATAGGAGCGGCACAATCCTTCGTCCTCTAACCTCCCTAGAGTGCAACAGGAGATTGGTAGGAGCGAAATCGACACATTATTTGGAGAAAAAGGAAGAAACGACGAAGTGTAAAGCTTTTAGCGCATGCGTGAAGAATAGTAAGGCCGTTTCTGCATTAACACATTACAACTACGAAGAAATGGACAGCATTCTCAACGCCACAATGTCCCTTGGAGAGAGAGCAAGAAGAGACGAAATTCAGCTCCCAGCAGATCACCAACCTCCAATCACTCTCCTCGACTTAATCTTGCCACCACCTTTGATTTTCTGCCTGGCAATCCAGCCCCGAGCAACTGCCTGAACATTAATAATATCTCCTAGCAATCTCTCGATCCGATTACTCAACACTTTCCTCCACGCCCTCTGCAGCACAATGGCTGCACCGACAACTCTTTCCCTGGTCTGCACCACAACAGCGCAATGATGTGCTAGTCGTGCTAGAGCCACACGACGGGCAATGTCTCTTCTTGCACGATATTGTCTGAATGCACGCTGGAGGGTAGTCGCAGCTCGGTGAGTGCGCGACAGTGGTAGCAAGCGAGAGGCCAGGAAGGTGAGTGTAGAAACAGTGAAAGATTTCGAAGGAATGCTGCTCGAAGCTGCACTGTACAGCTCTGTAAACGCAGCACTGCAACCGATGGCCTTAAGTTTCGCTGCTAAGCTGTTTGTAGATGCAGAGGAAAAGCACCCGTTTGCCGTAGGAAAGTACGGCAGATATGCATCCACAACCGCGCTCAAGACTCGTGGATCCGCAAAACTCGTTGTCAGATTGGTGACTTCAAGTCCCTTGAGCGACGCGATACTCTGTGCCCACGCTAGTAGAAGCTTTGTGCAGCGTGCCAAACTGGGCGTAAATTCTGATATCTCCCCAGCATCCTTCGGGTGCTCCATGCCAAGGCCGTCTGCGATCTCGCCCAGCTTTGCTTTGATCCCCAAGTATCGGAAGTGCCTTACTTCTCTCTTGAGTTCTCTCCAGTCAACCAGGATACCTAAGCCACAGTATCCTACAACAGCCCACAACAAGCTAAGAGTACGTTCACGATGGCCATCCACAATATCATCCGCTGAGATACCTTCAGCTGCTTTTGCTGCCGCTCCGCCGAGACTACTCAACGCTGAGAGTGCAATCTGGACGTTATAAATTTTTTGCGGACGACCGATGCAAGGGAATTTGAGATGCTGAGACAAAATCCACTCGGCCGCGGGGTCTTTAATCCATTGGCTTGTCAGCATGTCACCTGAAGGTAAAGAAAGCGTCATCGTGTTGTCTGGGAAGTTGTGGCTAGCTTCAGATGAGGCAGCCATGATGTGCTTGTCGAAGAGCATGAGTTCGACTAGCCGAGTGAGCTTGACGCCATCGCGGAGGTCTGTGGCCAGGTTGCTGATGTGATAGGAATACTCCTCAAGTGGATACTGCACGGTCTTTACAGTATAGTTTAAATGGCTCAGCGGTCGTATTATGTCTCCCAATGAAGGTAGGAGGAGAGCACTTAGTGCGGTAAGAACAGCCGTCGAAGATTTGTGTTTGGATGACGCCTGGAAAAGACTACCGTGAAGAACATTGGATGACTTGGCCTTGTCAAGAAGCAAGATTAGCATCAAACTTTTTAGCACTGTGCGTCTCCAGGACCAAGCAGGTGAGCCAAAGTCATCTGTCTTGTGTTGCGCTGATTTCGCAATGCTAGCGATGGTTCCCTTCGGTCGCACCGCATCCTCGTGTTTGATCAGAAATGTGTCCATAAACTTTTCAAGAGCTCTTCGCTGTGCCTTCATCTTTTTCTCTCCACCATCGGATGCAATTGATCCCGTAGATGAGCGATCTCTGGTGGTTTCGACAGATGATGTTGACCCCGAGCGAACATGCTGTACTGCAACCTTTCCGCTTCCGGAAAGGCGAGGTTGGGTAACCTCACGACCAACGATAACCTCCAACGCTACTTTTAGAGCTCCAAGCTCGTAGCTTTCTACAAAGAGGTCGAGAAACTTCCTTTTCAATCCAACATCGTCTCTCAACCTCGCGGCTTTGGCGAGGACATCCTTGGGAATGCTCAGCGCCCCATATAAAAGACTTGCCTGCAACCGTTTGTGAAGAAGCGGGATAGAAGGATCGTGGTACACGTTCAAAAGATCCTTGCGCATCGACTTCGTATCTGGCGCGTCCTCCTTGTACAGAGCATGAGGGGTGAAAATGTCATTGAGGAGCTGCGTGAGCGAGATCTCCTGATGCGTGAGCCAGTGATCCTCATACAGTGACGGATGGGCTAGATCCTCGCTCAGTACTTGATATTGCGTTGCTGGCGCGACGCCTGCCAAGGTGTCATGCTTGCACGAGGCCACGGACTGACGCAATCGTTCTTGGCCCCTGATCTTTGGTCTACGGGCGACTGGCGAGTCCGGCGAGTCCGGCTCAGCAGCAGACGATGCAAACCGGACGGCGTGGGACTGCCTCAGCGTTTGTCCCACCACCCTTTCAGCTCTTTCCGCTGCTTTCGAGGTCTTAACTTTTGTCGGCTTAGGGCTGAAATCAAGAATGCTGTCTGTGCCCTTTCTCTTCGCCGGACTCAGAACCTGGGCGAGGCTGGCTTTCAGCTTCGCATTTACGCCTCTCTCTGGAGTGGCATCTCTAAGTCCCGCGATAGAAAGGCGGGCCTTTGCCATGTCATCTAGAGGCTTCACGATCGCCTTTCCACCGGGCGCAAGGTTCTCCTTTCCGGTCGGTGCTCCCATCATATCTTCGGCAAAGCTGACGGTCTGTACTGGCCGCTTCGACGCACCAAGTGGTGCACGCTTCGGTGGAACGGCAAGCGATTTACGTGCATGTTTTTTCAACATTCCGTTCTCACTGTTCTTAAGCACAGGATGCGGCGATTCCGGGCCTTCCGACAGCGTGACGAGATCGAGTCCGTAATCAGGACTCTGCTCCCGTCTCAGCCCACGCACGGTATCATCCTTCGGCGGTCGCGCGGTAGGAGCCGCACCCGGGTGGATAGTCATGACTGTGGTATCATCTGGAATGTAGATGGTTCGCCTGCGTGCCTCCTTCTTCAGCATGCTCTGACGTTGTCGTTCTGTCTCTCCGTCTGCATCCTCGCCAGTGCCCGTGCTGTTTCCCAGTCTGTCGGCAAGGATGGCGCTAACTCTCCTTCTCCTTGGTGGCTGCGCAGTCACGCTCTGCCTCCCTCGAGCCGACTTTCCCAGCGCAGATGTTTCAGAGGCAAACGCTTCTTGTCCCATCTCACCGACAGGTGGTAGCGTTCTCGTGGCATCCTCGTGAATTGCGATGCTCTTCCCGCTGTCACTTTTGCTGGGCATGAGACTCACCCGCTTTCTTGGTTTGGCCTTGCGGATGTGCTGATTCAGCTCGGTAGTGTACTGGATATTTTCTGTGTCGTCGTCCTCGAAGATGGTGTGCGCGAAGATGGAAGACGAGTGAGGCGGTGGCCGCAACGCGGACGGAGCAGCGCTGTACGCTGCGCTGTAAGGATTGGGAATGTGGGCTTGTTGATACGATGCTGGGAATGCAGGCGGGACAAACTGATGGTAGTGATGCTGATAATACGCCGGGTAATATGCGCCAGCGGCATGCCGGTAGTCCATCGCACCTGCCGTCGTCGGCGGACACGGGGTTCCTTCTGCAAAGCGATGCATCGTCGCTTCCTCTGATTCAGTGGTGTCGTGCCTTCCGCTTCGTTCTCGGGCAACGTGCGGGTTGCGAATCAATCGCGGTCGCGCTTGCTGTACAAAAAGAATCCGAGGCGAGTGCCGGATAAATACTTTAGGAACGTTGAGTGCAAATTTGAGACGACGCGAGACGTCACCGGATTTTTGACATTAAAATGATTAAAAATCTGGTGCGATTGATGCCATGCAATTGAAGAACGTAACGACGAGTTTGCGACTGAGCGATAGATCGCGAGCTCGTTGAGAGCAAATTATCAGGATACGATGGTTTATCGACAGGGGGTCCCTGATCACCACGGCAACCACAACCTGGGATGTGACATTGTGCGCACGCGCCTAACTTAGCTGGAATTGCACGTGCTACGAGCGCAACAAGGCTGAAAACCGTGGCGTTCATCAATATGTAATTCCTGTCGCGCCGTTCGATAATCAAAGTTATATTCTTTGCAATCGGAGTTCCACTAGCGGAACGTCCCAGAGGCAAAATGCTAGGAACACCGTGCAAATGCCAGTCCTCAGGGTAAGTCAACCATCACAACAGCAAAAGACGTAACCATGTAGACACCCAGGAATCTAGGCCATGCTCTATAGCCTCACAAAGGCCATGTATTAAGTGCCCTCCACCGTTTACCTCAAAATCCAAGGAGAAACATGACAAGAAGAAGGGAAGAACTTATTTCTCCGCTACTAGCGGAGAAGTGCTTGGGTACTGAGACTTGATGTACTCCTCAACTTTTTCATCCCCTGCCCGATCCACTTTTGGATCCTCAAGTTTGTCCTTGCTCTCTTCCACGTCCTCCGTAGACTCCTTTTTTACACCAACAGCCAGGCCGCTCATAGCCCCCGTGACGCTAGCAACAGCCGAGCTCGCGGCACCAGCGACGCCAGCAACAGCGGCCTGGGCTTGTTGCAAGACACCAGAAGCAGGGGCCTCTTCGGGTCGAGGCAGGTTCGCGGAAATATCTTTCTGAGCTTGACCGACGGTTGCTGGTTCAACTGTTTGCGCCTTATCGCCGGAACCGTAGTGGATCGTGTGAGGCGTGCCATCCGCATTGGCGCCTGCCGCAAGAGTGGTCTGCCCGTTTATACGTCAGTCATCACATATGCAATTCCAGACCTTCAAGTGAATTGCGCAGAGGATCGGAACTCACATTCTGCTGCTCCAGTTTCGTCTCCGAGGTTCCTTCTCTGGGCTGGGTGGCCGACGGGCGCAGATTGTTGCTTCCGTCCTCCACCGGCTTCGCGGGCGTGTCTGCCGTGTTGTTTGCGCCCGGAACACTAGCTACGATTTGAGCCGGCGTCGCACTCCCACTTGCCTGCGGCGTTCCCTGAGGGCTCGCGAGCTCCGCGCCGAAGTACAAATCACCTTCCTCCTTTGGTTGCGTGGAGGTGCCCGTGGTGCTCTGCACGCGCTCGAGCTCCCAGCGGACGGGAGTGTTCTTTGTGTTTTGCCGCGAGATCCCGTGCATGTCGCAGAAGGGTGTCTGGATCTCAGCGAGCACCTTGTTGCGCTGCACACCGTTCTCGCTTCCGGATGCTACCATTTCGAGCGAGGTTCCCGAAGGACCGCTGCTGCGCCACTTGATGGGACCTGTGGGGATGGTGCGGGATCCGTTCAGCATTGGGCCGCCCTCTTTCCATTGCAGCGCGTTAGCGATCTCCGGTTCCAGGAGCGGCATCATGCCCCACTCGAAGTCGAGCCTGCCCCCGTACTTCTTGGGTATGTTCTCAATGTCGATGTATTTCTCCAGGGTCGGCTTCATGTCTGATGCGGAAAGGATGAAGATTTTGGAGACGGTGATGGGGTCAAACCAGCGCTTGATCCAGCCCCACACGGTTGGGAAGAAGGACGGAGCTCCGATAATGAAGATACGGTCCAGTGTCTCAGGGTAGTGGGCAGTGGCCAGCTGACTCGCGTCCTGCATGTGCGACTTGAGGTTCCAGAATTGCTTAAGCCCAACACCAGAAATATCGACGATGTTGTTGGACTGGGTGATGGGGGTCTCAGGATGGGGCCGATCTGGGATGGCGGAGCATAGGGGCAACACGAAACGGGTCAAGTTTTCATACAAGGCAAAAAGACGTAGCATCTTGGTGGGCACCTTAGACGACTTCATGAGCGGCGATTTGGTCATGGAGTTTTGGTACTCATTTATGGCCTTTGAGTTGAGAGGGGCCACTTCGAACACATAAACCTAGGAGACACCTGGTCAGTATTCCAAAGGTGGACAGCAAGGTTGTCTTTCGCGCGGGAGTACATACGGGTATGCCTCGTTTGTCTCTACGACCCGTCCACTGCGGATACTGGCACATGACGGTTAGCTCATAGATCCCGAGCAAGCGTGATGGAAGTCAAGAACAAGGCAGAGATAGCAGCATACCAGTCTACGGCTCTCCTCGTACTCTGCTATGTCCATGGTATCGTAGAGCTGATCGAGCTTATTCTCCCTCCTCCAATCTTCGGTCTCCTTGAATTGTTTCAAGGCTTCTGGAGGGTTAAACTTGCGCGCACGCAGATACCGCCTGTACGCCTGATTAGCATGGCATCACGGCAGGAGACGAACAAGGAAATTGCGCAGAGTGACTTCTCCAATTATCGCAAAGAACAAAAGAAACCTCGCATGCAGCGCGCATGTATACACCGTCGAAAGCACGTTCCAAAGCCTAATTCAACCAACGACGCAGGAACGAGTCCAAGCCAGGTCTCCAGATCTAAGAGACTACCAAAGAAACCTCCAATACTTACAGCAGGGTAGCGTCGTCATGGCTGGCCTGTTTGGAGCCATCATCACTTGGTGGAGTATAGTAGCCATGCTCTTGACACAAAGCCTTGAACTTGTCAAGCGCAGCCTGCTGGTCATCAGTCAGGTGGCCCAGGTGGGCCGCCGGATATTGCGTCGACTCGGCCTTCGACAGGTCGGACATCCTCAATCACAAATGCACTGGCGGAAGCGCACGGAATGTATGCACTCGGGGTTACCGACGTCCTTCCCAAGGTCGAAGAGCGAGGTGAGAACCGGATGAGATCACGGCGGGGGCGAGAGAGCCCGCGAAGGAGGTTTGCGAAGTGAAGACGGGTTGAACAGTTTTATACCACTGATTATGTCATTCGTTGTGGACGGCGATGGGGGTTGTTAGCGCCAATGGGAACGGGCGACGAGTCTCGGCGAACCAGCGAGGCCGACGAACCAAAAAAAACCAACACAAAATATGCGCGACTCCGCGCTCGCAACTTCGGTCCAGCAGATTTGACCGTCGGAGACACGGGAAGAGAGAAAAATCAGAGCTGACGGCCAAGCGGTCACGAGTTTCACGGATGCCCGGAAGCTGAGAGGCTTGTTCCCGCCTTTTCACGGACGTTGTTTGGACGATCTTAGCCGAGAGCGAGACGGGTCAGAGTGAGCAGGAGAGCGCGGATGAGACAGCTCGAGAGCGTGTCGGAGGGGAACCAGCCAACAAGATGAAGCATAAGCATAAGGCCAAATCCTTCACCGCTGGGAGGCGCGTTGTTGTTATTTATTTTGTCTGGAAACACTCGGCGCAAGTGGACCTCTCGCGCTCCGACGACAGCCAGAGCACGCACAAACACACGCGCGGACTTGGGGCCCGAAGCCACTAAGTTTAGGGGCCCTATAGGGGGTCCAGGCCGGGGACAGGCCCGCGTAGATTTCGTCATGGTCGCCGTAGTCTCCAATTGCTGATCGTCAGGCTCGCATCCATCGCCGACTTCTTGACGCCCACACCGAACTCCCAACCACCGCATCCGCCACTTCGTGCTGTAATCAATTGTTGGCCTTGCGGCGCCCGAAGATGAACTGATCGACGCACGAACGAAATTACCGCTGTCGTCTGCGCACCTCCCCCGGCGTGTCCGCTCAGATCGCCGGCTTATCTCGTTGCAGCTCCGTCCCCAATCTTACCCCCGCCATCCCCCGCGCGTACAAGTGTGCATCTGTCTGTCTGCCCGTGAAGGACACGCCCGTGGGCCGTATGCATACATGCTGACGATTGACGGTCGCAGAAAATGCTCTTGAGCGAACTGCCTACTGAGCTGATCCAGCACATCCTCCGCTACCTCCCGCCACCCGCATTCCTCGCACTCAGCCAGACGTGCAAGACGCTCCGCTCCGTAGCCGACACACCGCTGCTGTGGCGCTACCTCTGTCGTACTCAGTATAAATACTGGGACCCGCGCCACGAGCTCGCTGCCAGTCTTTCCAAGCCGGTCGAGGATGTGCCGTGGAAGGAATGGTACGTGTCGCGCCGAGTGCTGGACCGGCAGGTCGACCGCCTGATCGACGAGCTGGTCAACAATCCGCGGGGTCGCATCGAGAAACTTGAAACCCTCGTCAACATCGATATCGGCTGCATGCCGGGAAGTCGCAATCTGTGGGACATCAAGGACTCTCTGCTTCGGCACCTCCACTGTGACGATGGCGCCGAAGACGTGCTGGCGAGGCGGTTCTGGGCCAGCGCCGCGATGGAAAAGCTACATCACGGGCGTGCCGTGAGTCTGTGGTCTCGTCTCAATGCCGAGGACGGCCAGGAGATCCCGCTTGAGCGACTGCTGGGGGCCTATGATCTCTTTGTCGAGGGACTCGACGACGCAGAGTGCGCCGACGTTAGCATCCTGCTCGACGAGATTGCGCAAGGCTTTCGCGTTGCTCATCCTGGCTGGGAAACCTTGTCTCTGAGGCAGCGCGCGACCGCCTTGGCCCTGTTTCTGAGAGCTCAGGGCTTCCAAGGCGCAGAGGACGTCTCCTTTCACGACCTGCCGAACAACTTCATCGTTCGCGCGCTGCGCAACCCAGCACATCCAGCTCTACCCATCGTATGCGTCACAATCTACTGCGGAGTCGCGCGTCGCGTCAACATTCCCGCGCAGCCATGTGGATTCCCCATGCACGTGTATGCCGTCATCGAGGCTCCCGATCTCGACGTCGCCGAGCCCTCGTTATCGACGACAGGGCCATCGACACTGCTACCCTTGCCCCATGAATCAGCGGCCGCTGAGGCCTCTTGTTCTTCGCATGCTCGGCAGCAGCGCATGTACATCGACGCTTTCCGCCCGGGTGTTACCGTTGCTGTTTCTGATCTCACAGCCCAGCTGTCAAGCATGGGCGCAGGCCTTACAATGCAACAGTCATTTCTTGGCCCTGCAACGCCTTCGGAGATAACGGCGCGCACCAGTCGTAACATCATCCACTCTGTTCGCATGACCAAGCAGCGGCCCTCGCATGCTGGAATTAACATCGACACAGACGGCTGGCCGGATCTTGACGCAGCCATGTACGCCGCGTTGTGGACGAGCGTACTAATCAGAGAAGACAGCAGTCCTGCGGCTGTGGCAGGCCGAGGACCCCGCGAGCATGGCCGATTGAGGCATACTCTGCCGTTCCTGTGCGAGCTCTTGCAGAATCACCATCCCTGGGATGTCAACCTGCTGGAAGAGTACATTCTTCCTCTGGTTCTTGGACTGCCGGAATACGGGCAGCTGCTGCACATTACGCGCGCCTTGCGGCTGAGCGATGCGAATGCGAAGGTTCCTGTGCGGAGGACGAGCTGCTCCACGGGCGGACAGGCTGTTGGAACTGAACATGTCCGGTACAGGATTGGGCAAGTTTTTGTGCACAGGCGTTTCAGGTACCAGGGTGCGATTATTGGCTGGGATGTCAAATGCGACGCAAGCGAGGAATGGGTTGCGCAGATGAGGGTCGATAATCTCGAGCGCGGGCGGGAGCAAAGCTTTTACCACGTCCTGTAAGTCGAAATACATCCATGTCATAGATACTTCATGTCAAAAGGCTGCACCCGTTTTGTAATTATTTTGGCGACTTGCTAATGGCTTTTGTGCAGGGCCGAGGATAAGAGTCATAGGTACGTTGCGGAGGACAACATCGTGCCAACGGACGAGGTTCCCAATTCAGCGCTGCTGAGGCTGGCTGGGCGGTATTTCAGAAGATACGACGAGGAACAGAGGCGCTTCGTGAGCAACATTCGGGACGAGTATCCCGATGATTGAACTTTGGAGCGCGACTGTACGGTTAGAATGAGACAGACCTTGGGGCTGATGCAATCAGACATACACGCCATAAGCGAAGAGTGGGTTGAGAATCAGTCTGATCGCACACCCAGCTCTTTGCAACGCGATAGAATGCAGAACGTAGAATGTCAGCCAATATTCCAGCAGCCCTTTTTTGGACGGTGGTGCAAGAGCCTCGCTGAGCGTGTTCGGGGAGAGAACGCAGCAGCAGACGGCAAGAACACTGACACTCTACTTTCAACGATGTCTTGCAGCTTTGTTAGTGACGTCGAGCAGGCGGGAACGAAAATTTGGGTGTCCACTCCCCCATTTTTTTTTTAAAAAAAAAAAAAAAGGGCTCCGCCATATTGGAAATACTGGTGGTGTAGATGGGAGTAATTCCACGTCGAAAGATACCATTTGCCAAGCTTTCTCTCCTCTCTAAAAGGGATTCTGCTTCAGCACTGCTCCAAGCCATGCTGTAACGTATGCATGCATGTTAGAGCTATGGCCCCGCAGTTTCTGCTTCGAGCAGCACTGCGTCTGGATCATTCGCCCTTTGTCGCTTGCGGAAGTCCAGCAGCCCCAAATTGGTGGTACAAGCCTTTAGCCCGGTCCAGCTGCGAGAAATGGTTCGCTGCGAAGTGCGGTGTCTTTTCTTCGCGTTTTTCTCGATCTATTCACACGCAACGACTCGTGTTTACGGTGTGATCAACGTCCGGTTCGGTGTTGGACCTTGACGGGGTACGATGTCCGTGGAGACTATGCCCCGCGATACTTCCCTGTGATTTTACTTCCCCAGCGGGTCTCTCCATCGGAGCTCGTATCAGCTGCGCCGCCACTGATCCTCAGCAGCGCGGACGGGTGAGATTCCGAGTGAGGGGAAGAACAGCAATTTCAAGAGCTGAGCGTCGTCCACATTGCTGCTCTCCATTCTCGACCGAGAAAACTTCGCCGTCGTTACCCCGGCAGATATCTTGCGCATTTACGAGCTCGGCGCGACAAAGAAGAAAAAGGGAAAAAAAACGAAGAAGAAGAGGAAAGGAGAGAAAGAAAGCCAAACCAATTTAGCATTGAAAAACAAAATAAAAAAACAAAAACACACAGCAACCATTGTGTGTGGGTTAGCACTAGGGTTGGCCAAATCGAGGTCCAGCTTACAAAGAGCATCAGAAAGACGACGCTATGGTCTCGACCGAGTTCGCCACCGTTCGGCTCAAGCCCGGCACCGACGTCAAGAGCGAGGGCAAGGGCAAGGAAATTGTTGATCTCGTTTGCGAGACCGTTTCCAGGCAGGAAGGCTGTCTGTTCGTCGCCAGTGGGGTGACTGTGGAAGATCCCGAGGTGTGGGAGATGGTCGTCGGCAAGTTGCTCTTCCTTCAAACCCCAACCCCCTTGAAGACAAAGTAGGAAAAAGAAACGCCTTTCTCTTTTTCCAAGCCAAGTATTGCCGCATCCCCAACTCCCTGCGCATGCGTCTTTCCTCCTTTTTGTTGGCATCGCCGCGGCGGCAGCGCTCGGGGAAGGGAAAGCGGCCGGTTTGCCGTGTGCGTCCCATCCCCCCCCCCCCTGGCCACCTGCCCCATCCGCCCGGTTTTGTGCAGTTACCCGGACGTAAGGCTGACACCGCGAACGCAGAATGGCGCGACATCGCCGACCACAAGAGGTTCCAGACGAATGAGGCGTACGGGCCGTTCATGGAGAAGGCAAGGACGGTCGTGAGCGAGGAGCCCGGGAGCTTGGTCATCAACCACGCCGACCTCACGACGCCAATCAGCGACGTCACGTCCGCGCCCGTCGTCGAAGTCCTGCTGTTCTACGCCGCACCGGACGCGGGTCGCGACGACGAGCTCGTCGCGGCGGTCAGGGAACTTGTGGACGCGGGCCTCAAAAACGGAGCTGCCGTCACCAACGTCGCCGCCGGCTGGGTCGTCGAGCCGCTCGAGTGGCCGGAGAAATTCGAGGGCAAGGCCAAAGCGTACCGCGTCGTGATCGGATGGGAGAGCGTCGAGAAGCACATGGAGTACAGGGAGACGGACTCGTTCAAGCAGACGATCCCCGCCGTGAGAGCGTGCGTCTTGGCCACTGACATGGTATGTTATGTTCTCGCGCCTGCCTATTCAAAACCCCGTTCTTCTTCTCTCTCCTCCTCCTCCTCCTCCTCCTCCTCCTCCTCCTCCTCTTCTTCTTCTTCTTCTTCTTCTTCTTGTGCCGTCCTCGTCGCCTGTCCACTCTCTGATCAATCCGCAGCATCACACCGTGTTCAACAAGTACGAGAAGCCTTGAGCGACCAGGTGCAGCAGTCACCGGTGGAGAGCCGCGACCTTGCGACCGCGATCTTTTTCTCTTTCTCTCTCCTCGAAACTTTTCTACATCTTCACTTGCCCCCCTTCCTTTGCAGTCTATGATGCTTTTCAACAAAAAGAGAAAAAAAAACGTCGAAGGGATTAGACGCCATGAAAAACGTGTTTTGACGAAGAGGTGAGGCCGAAATATAAAAGAAAGGAGACAAGTTGTTCCTCTAAAGATATGGGAAAATCCAGTGACTGAATTCTCTGCCCCTCTTCCCCGCCCCTTTCCATTTCTTGTTCTGTTCGACGTCGCTTCATTCCCAACGTCCATATCAAGCCGGTACATACAGTCCGTCCCACATCCCCCTTTCGGCTTTGTCGAGGGCGTTTCTTTCAATGCCTCTCATCGCTGTCGACGGACGAGCAAGCGCCTCTCTGTGTGGATCGCAAACACGTAGCTTGGGAGAAGTCAACGGTCGGGCCTGGACTGGCAGAGCAGATCATAGAGGGGATCTCAACGCCGCCTCCCTCTCTCACGACACAGCGACGAGCGGGTGCGGACCACGGGGATTCCAGAGGCGGTGGGATCAAGGTCAACGTCTCCGAGCAGCCCTTTTGCTTGTGCTCGCCCGTAGGGCAAAAAACGGCCCAAAGCGAGCACAGCAGCCCGGCGTTGCGCCTGCCATGGTGACTTGACATGGCTCACATCACGACCATCGGAGCGCTCTCTGTCCCTGCGCCTCTGGAACGAACAAGCACCATTCTCACATTCAAATGCACGTGCCCCGGAGTCTTGTCACGCACGCAAAACTCTCATCAGCCGCAGTCGGGTGCCGTTGCCAGATATTCACAGAGCCCAGCTGGTGATCGCACAGAAGCATTTGCGACGCAACGTAGTCCGCCTTCGTCAGAGGCGGGTCACCAAACGGGGCATGCGCAAGACACAGCATCGTAGCGGCGGGTCACAGTCTCCACAGGCATGGAGAAACGACCTTGCTTAACATCGTGCTCGAACCTAGCCCTCCCCCGCCACTCTCTCTCAAAAATTTTTTTTCCTTCTCTCATCAAGTGATACCCCCCCCCCTCTACTGTTTAATTCACGAGGCAATCACAGGGAGACCGCCAAGGATAAACAAAAACCAAAAAAAAAAAAAGAAAAGGGGGGTGAGATTTTTGTTTTGCGGTCGTGCAATCGGTCCTTCAGAAAATGGTCCATGCTACGGGGAGCTAATTGATCCCGGGGCCCAAGATGGGGTTTGAAAAGAAAAACGTCGCAGGAAGCGCTGTAACACGAAAAGAAAGGGGGGGTTGGGGGGAAAGCTGTGGCCAGTTTTCAGAGCGGTAAAAGAGCGCCCAGGCGGTTTTCTCACGATATTGCGGCGTACCTTGTTGCCCTTCAATTTCACTGCGTGCCTTTCATTTTTTTTCTCTTTCTTTTTGGCGCGCAGCCCGTGGCAGTATTCGTTTGTTCCAACCACAGCCCAGCCCAGACACTTGACTTGGCTTCTAACGTTTCCTACCTGGTCGATTCTTGTGAGCAGTGCGATAAGTACTCGGCACAGTAACAGACCCCGACATGTGCCTGGAAAGCAGAGCTTCCGCGGAGGGTGGGAGGCGATGTGGGGGGAGAGCGAGAGAGAAGGCGAAGAAAGCATACAATTCTCTGTGCTCCGATAGTGGCAGCCGAGTTAACGAAGCGTGCCCTACGGAGGGACTGTACACATGGGTGATTGCTTCCTGTGCGACACGCGCCGAGGGCACGGACAGCAGTGACGTCCTTTTTTTCATGATCTCGGAAGATTTCTGCGAGTAAGAACCGATTGTCTCTGGGCTGTTTTGCAGCCGCGCTATGCTCCTGCAGGCTGGGATCCAATGAGATCCCCAGGAGCCAGCTTTTACACGACGAGCAGCAGAGACCAGAGGGTTGGACGACCAAAGCAGAGGGATGGGCTTTTCTTTTCGTTTCTTTTTTTATTCAAAAAAAAAAAAAATCGACTAGCGGCAGAGCGTACGCAACAGAATACACTCGGCGCTGCCGACCACGGTAGACTCCTTTTTTCGCCACAAACCTCAGATGCATTTGCCTCCACGCTCTCCCTCCTCTACGACGAGTGACTCGGCGTGTGTCTGGCGTGGAGGGCCAGAGCGAGGATGGCTGTGGAGGAGCTGTTCGCTGGTTTTGCGCCGAACGTGTAAAATGAGATCACGGAGGGAAAATATGGGCCGGGGCCAGATTAGCGGTTTCATCAAGCTCGCTCCACAAGTGGCTTCCACGCGCGTGCGAAGGAGAGCAGCGAAGCGCAGAGCTAGGACAGTGGGTGGTGCCTCAAGGAAGCCGGACGAGCTGCTAAACCGCCCTGACGCTAATGGAGGAGACGAAAAGAAGTGGCTAGTGCCTCCCGAGGGTTCCGTGCGTTTCTGAGATGGGGGAGGAGAGGGAAATAAAAAACCCATTAAAGGACCGGGGTGGGGGGGCGCTTCTGTTGCGTGATGTGACGCCAGCGGGAAGCGTGACCGTTATGCACAACGATCGAGTCGTCGCCTCTTCTTTGCTCCTCGTCCATCAGGTCCGGTGTTGCGCCTCTCACAGCCAAGGGCGTCTCCTCCGCCGCCGGCGCCCTCCACATACAAGTAGGAGCGTCACCCGGCCCCAAGCGAGACTTGACTGCGAGCATCGATTTTTGCCGCGTCGCAGTCGCCATGACGCTACGTCGGAGAGTCCGTTTCGCATGGCCAGACTGGGGGGCGGGGAGGGAGGGTGGATGGGAAAAATTGGGTGGAAAAAGACCTTACCACAGCAATGTGATGTCGCCATGCAGCGGGAAAAGCGCAGCCATAGGAGCAGCCACAGACTCGTCACGTCCTGGCTTCTGCGGGTCCTAGAGCCAAAGGCCACAAGCGCGCGGTGGAGATCTGCGAGAGAGACACAACACGTCCGAGAATGGTCGGCCGGAAAGGAAATAAAAAACGCATTGTTATTTGACGTTTTGAATTACGCCAACCACGTCGACTACGAATCAGACAAAGAACGGCTAGCCGACAGTTTGGACGGGAAGAAGGGGGGACGTCCTGCTGACTAGTGCGACGAGAGCTTTTCGCAGCGGCCATCCAGGCATCGCCAGCTGTCGCACACAAAGAGCACGGCAGCAGGATCGGAGGGCGGGAAGGGAGAGCGGCCAGGCGTCAGCATCGTGAGGTTGGACCGCATTCAGATTGATAGGCATGCAAGCCTCACGGACGAGAGAACCTGAGACTGTGGCGAGAGCGTTTTTGCCTTTCCCCTCCCTCGCCGGACTCCCGCCGCCCAATGACAGCGCAAGCGCGCGACCGCCGATCATGGACCACGCGGTCACTGCGCAGTCTGCGCTGGCACGTGTGCGTGGCTCCAAGGGTTTTTCGCAAAAAGTCGGACTCTGATCGATGTACCTCTGTAGATCCAAGTGGCGCAGCGACGCCCGCTCCTCTGAAGAGCGTCAGAGCCATCGCGGGTCGGGCGAGCCTGCCAACGCCCGATCGTGCCAATCAGCTGGCCTGTGGCCCACGCCGAGCTATTCTGCGCTCTCGCTGTCAAACACGTTATCCTGAGGCGTCGATCGTTCAGTGGCAAAAAGCCCGTCGCGAAATGACTTCGACTCCGTCGTCCGCTAGATCCGAAAGGAATAACGAGGGTCGACTTTGGGCCCCACGAAACGAACGAGACCTAGACTTTGCGACCGCTCGGCCTCGTGGACGGAGCTTGGGGGTCGCATTGGCGGATGCGTCGAGCCTGTCCTATCCTCCTTCTTCGCTTGCATTTCAAAAGCGCAGCCGGGCCCTGATTCGCGGACTTTGGTTGCCACCCGCTGGCGTGCGAGATGCACGTCTTCGTTGCTGTTGGTAAGGAGTACCGCCCAAGCGCAGAGGACGTGGCCAACACGACCGAACACGCAATCCCAAAGGCGTGAATTTGCTGGTCCTCGGCGCGCATTCGTAGCTCGGGCGCGTCGACGAGATGAGCTGGGCCGGGGGGCGAGAAAAGCAGGTACGCAGACATTCTCGGATCAGAAGGGGGAAAGATAGGGAGGAAACAAGGATGTTATTCGCATGCACGTAGCATGTTCGTGCAGATGATATTGCGCTAGTCCATTAAATTTCCTTGGAACAAGATCGGCCAGAAAGGCAATACGTAGATCAATTATTCCTAAATCGTTTCTCGGTTCGTGACAGAAAAGAAAAGAATGTGTGCTGCAAATGTGACACCGTTCTGCCTAAAGGCATCGTTGCCAAAATACCCCGCCCAGAGCTTGTGTTCGTGTACGTTCAATAAGATGATGCCAAAAAGTAAAACATACCATAACAAGAATCATATGTTGCTCCAAAGATGACCGCGTCGTCCCAATGACAGTTCTCTATCGAGATGTTATCCTACCCCAGTTGACCCAAGGAAAAAATGAGAGGGGTGTATAGAAAGAGAGAAGGGGGGGAGGGAGAAACCGGGAGAAAGGCATGGAGAGAGCTCTGACGGGAAGCACAGCAAAGAAGAATGAGAGGTTCCCCCGCAGAAGGGTTGTAGTTTGTAATAAAGTAAGTGGGTATCGCAGAACGGAACAAAGAATAACGCCCCGTTGTTGGACTTGGTGTATTGAAGAGTCAAACGCCAATGATGTATGCTGTCATCGACGCCCGTTCCTGGAGTTGAAGTATTGGCGAGAGAGGGGGGAGGGAGGGGGTTTGAAGGTCATTTGCTGTCGGTGGTTGAATAATACATAGTCGTAATCGTCGTAAGATTAAGCCGCCCCGGTGAAAAGGTATTAGGAGTCATTTCAGTACAGGAGCCTGAGCTCGTAGCCTTCCGACTGCACCGTCGTCGCTATGTCGATGTCGCCGTCGACTTGGATGTCAGTCGGACCCGAGTCCCACTCTCGTTTCATGGGCGAATGTGGCCGTATCTCCAAGAACTCGGCGATCATATCTTGACCTTCCGGAAGTTCCACGACGGATTCGTCGTCAAGCAATATGTTCAGCCCTTGTTTGTTGATGCGCAAGGTGCGCAAGACTTTGGTCGGTTCGACGTTGCATTTCGCCGCTATGCCGTTGATGAGGTCCTTGAGCGTGCGCTGCATCACGTAGATCGCGCGATAATAATTGTCTTCGGGTACTCGGCCAGTGAAGCGAGGCTGCACGTAGAAGCATGCGACTGAGAGAATTAGTTGAATGATGACCAACTTAGCGTGGAAGAATAATGAAAAGGGAGTCCATGTGCATGTTTTAATCAGCACGTACCTGGTTTGATTGGGCGTTCAGGCGGAGGCTGGTAGGTGTAATCGACACCCAGAGCCTCGATCCAGCCTGTCAAGGATCCAGCTTGATCGCCGCCTGCCTTTGGCACCTTCACAGGCACGTTCGGAGAGCCGAACTGGCTCGAGCCCTGTCCTGACGACTCGCCGTGCGCCGAGGCCTGCTGCCAGCTGTGCGTAGGCTGCAGCGAAGGCATGGAGAAGTCCGACTCCCTTCGCGACTCGCGCCGCTGATTGGAAGGGATAGACTGGTTACTGGGCGTGGGAGACACCATGGAGGAATGGCCAGCTTCGGCGCTCTGTTGTTCCCAGGCGCTGGAATCGCCCGTGTGGACTCTGGTCAAATCCGGAAGATCGCCACCTACGAGCTGGATCGGATGCAGGTCTGGATCGTCGTCCTCCTCGCCCCTGAGGTATAGCACGCTCTGCGGGCGCGTCGAGGTGAACATGTCCTGCAGCGCCGCGAGCTTGAGCTGCAGCTCGTCCTCGTGGGAGCCCCGAGCACCCGTCGAGCTCGCCGAGGACATGGACCAAGTGCGCTTGTGCTTTGGCACTTTTCCCGGCCGGGAAGACATGTCGCCTTTGGCGATTGAGCCGCTGCGCTTTCTCTTCCCATGGTCCTTGACGCCTGCTTCGATCTGCGCAATCTGCTGCTTCAGCTTGTCGATCGACTTCTTGACATGCGCAACGTCGTTCGACAGCTTCCTCTCCGCGCCGTGATCACGGAAGAGCTTGACCTTGCAGTAGCAGATCTCGGCGTTCATGGCCTCTGGGGCGGGCGGCGGTTGTGTGTGTCGCAGCTCGGTTTTGGCGCACAGCCTGACCGGGATGCCCTTTACGCCTTTGGAGTGGCTGAAGTCAGTGGACAAGAAGTTGAAGCGGACTGCGAGAACACATTCAGGCGGCGCGTTGGGCGCGGGTGTCCACGTCACCGAGAACCCGTCAAAGGAGGAGGACTCCAGCTCGATCCTTGGGCGGCCAGCTGTTTCCAGGCCACCGACCTGGGTCTGGTCTACGAACTCGACGGCCTGCAGACGTCCGCCTCTTTGGTGGGCTTCGCTTGAGCCCCGCCCTTCTTTCCAAAGCTGCCAGCAGGCGGCGGGCTTTTGGCGCTGCTGCTCATCTTCGAACGAGATGCGCACATAGGTGCGATACGTCACTGGCAACGCAGAGATCTGCGAAGGCTGGGTGTCAACGATTGAAATGGAGTAGGCTTGACCCTTGTTCAGATACGTGACGGGAATCTCGCTAGCATGCTTGATCATCGCGGTGGGCGCGTTGAGCGTAACATGATATCGAAAGCTGGCCATTGTCAGCACAGCGTCCGCGGCCGCCGGAGGCAGGACGGACGGAGAGGGCAGACTTACTTATTCATGGGCGGCTGATGGACCGGAGGTGCTGGCTGCATGGTGGCATCGAAGGCCTGCGGCACGAAAGGCACGGTAGGGGACGTCTCCTGCATCTCCACATCGTGGCGCATGTGCTCGTCATGTTTCGGCGGCTCGCCGGGGTGAGCAAACGCGTCAAAGCCGGACGGATGATGGCCAAACTGATGAGGGGGAAAGGCCTGTACGTGTTGAGAAGGCTGGGCATGAAAGCTGAAGGGGTTCGGATTGTGGAAGACCTGGGGGGCTAGGGTTTGGGGTTGAAAGCCGTGAAGGGGCGCGTTTGTCGCTTGAGAAGCGTGTATGGCGCCCTCGGACGTCGGCATGGACAGAGGCGTGCCCAGGCCGCCCAAGGTGAATCCAGGCGTGTGGAGGTCGCCGGCCTGAGGGTGGTAGAGAGTGTTGGTGCCGCCCGGCGTCGGGGTGTAGTAGCCAGGCGGCTGGTTTGCGAAGTTCGCAAACGTCAAGCTGTTCGGGTCGAGCAGGGAGGGCGTGAAGCGCCATTGCTCGTTGTTCGCTCTGGGCGTTGGATCGAGGTCCTTGATGTCGTGGTCGTCGTGCGACACGAACTGTCTACACCACGGCGGGCGGGTTAGCACAGGGTCAGCAGAGGCACGGCGTCACGGCACAGCTACACCTCGCAGTCAAGCCACCACGCTCTGCCAAAGAGCACAAAAAAAGAGGAAAAGAAAAAGGAACCAAGGGCCGAGCACCCTTTTCGATTCTTTTCGATTCTTCTTTTTTTGCGCCCGTGGGAGGGGGTTGGCGCTGTCGTCGATGGCCGTTGATCGTGCGAATGGATCGCGCAGTCCAAACGGGCAAAGAGCGACGCAGCTGTGGCCGTGAAGGCCGCGCTGGCAGGGGACGCAAACACACCGAGGCGGCACCGCAACATCAAGAGCGTCGGCCAGCGACGTCGAGCCATGAAAAGGCCCCGAGGCGGCCGTCGACGTGGCTAGCTCCGGAAACGAAGCCCGGAAGTTCTCGTAAAGCTCATCCTTCGGCTTCTGCGACTGTCTGCGAGCGATCTGTCAGCGCACGGCTTTCTTCAATGCCCTCCGCAGCAGCGGGCCAGCCAAGGCAGCGCGCGTGCGGACGGCGCGCTGGGCCTGACGACATGCGCGGCGGCCCACTGCAGGGAGGGCGAGGATGGCGACGGCGACGTACCGGCGACGAAACATGCCTTCGACCACGGGCTGGGCGACAAGAGCGTCGACGGGGACGATGGCATCTAGGTCCGGAGGGTAGAGAAGGACAAACGAACTCAGGCCTCGCAGGACAAGGACATTGGTCTGGCGGATCTCTGCTCTGGGACAGCCGCAAAGGCACGCAGACGCACGAATCGACACCCGCTCTCACTCTCACACACGCGCGCGCGGAGCTCACGCAAGACGTGCAAGCCACAGCGATCCGGGAGCGGCTCGGGGGCAGGCGACCTTTTCGTTTGTTCTTTCGACCGAGAGGGGAGCGCAGGGAGGAGAAGAGCAGAGAAAGAGAGAGAGAGAGAGAGAGCGCGCGTGGGCTGGCAAAAGTAATAAGTCACTTAATAAGAATAATGGGGGTTCGGGAGTCGAAATAAGAACCACGCTTCGTTTCTGGCACGCCGGCAGCGCACCACGGCCTTTTTCTGCTGTGGCCTCTTTTTTTCTTCCTCTTCTTATTTCTTTTCCCTTTAGTCGGTTTTAGGCTGCCACTCCGCGGACGGGCGCCAGAGGATCGAGAGTTTTGCGTCGGGTCGCGGCTAAGGGAAACGCTTTCTTTTTGTTGTTGCGGGTATCGTGCTCTACGGCCTTTTGGGGCGTGACGGCGACGGTTATCGTGCGCTTTTCCCACACCACGATGCGGTCGCCAAACAACGCTCGCGCCAGACGCTCTTTTTTCCCTTGTGACAGCATATGCCTCGTCGTCATACCACGATCGTCACCCGTCACGCCCCGTCACCAGCTCCCGCCGTCACCATCGTCATCGTCAGCCAGCAATCCGCATCGTCTCTCCCCGTCATCATTGGGGATCGGGATTGTCCTGTGGCTGAGGAAGGTTCGATCCCTGAACCCTGGCCCCCGAGCAGCCCGCTAGTGGGTCGCTCCTGCTAATCGTCTCTAATGCCATTTCCGGGAAGGAACGACAGGCGGGGACTTGCGCCTGCCCTCTGCGCACAGGCTCCCAAGCTGGTGGCAGCTGCCGCCTCGGTGGTGGCTGTTGGTGGCTGTTAGTGGCTGGACCTTTCTGCTTGACGTCGGCCTTTGCCTTCCGGCTAATCAGCACCAGCAGCAGCAGCAGCAGCATCATCACCGTCGCCTCTATCACCATCGACACCGCAGCGCTGTGCGGCCAGTCCTGTGACGTGCGGCACGAGAGTTGGTGCTGCAGTCGCTGCGGTGGGACACCCATGGCCGGCCATGATGGCCGATGGGCGTCCATGTGCGTGTAGCTGGGTGGACGAGCCTGTGCGTACGCACGTTCGTGTGTGCTTTGCGCGTGCGGATGTGGATGTGTGGCTGCTGCTGCCGCTGTTTACTCTTGCCTCGACGCCCAACGCCTCGTGCTCCTACGCCAAATTACTACTATCAACTCCGTACAGTACAGTATTGCTGCTGCTTCTGCTGCTACTGCTGCTACTGCTGCTACTGCCAACCGCCGTCCTCTCATGACCACTCCTTCTTACCCTCGTACACCGCATCCTCGACCTCGGCCACCGCTTCTTCTCGCTGTGCCCCAGCGCCCCCTCGCGCGACGGCCGCTGCCACGCAGCTGCCTTTTCTCTTTGTCCGTCCGTCGCTTCCTCATCTTCCGCCCCACATCTGCATCACTAACTCGCGCCTTCCCCATCTCCCCTCGTACCTTCCCGTCGTCATGTTGCTCGCACGTCCTCTGGCCACAGCATCCATAATCGCCATCATCAACCACCCAACCACTACGAATGCTGCCACCACCGAGCTGTCGTACGTCCTTCCTTGAAACCACGGCCTCTCTAGCCCACTGATGACGGAAATTAAAAACAACCACAAACCCTCCGCGACAACGGCTGGATGCCTTTCATTTCTCCCTCTGCATGGGCCGCCTACCCCATGCGTCCCGTCTGTGTGGCCCCAACGCCCCGTTGCAAATTGCCATGAAGAAATGGCATCGGGATCGAAACCGCGCAGACAACAAACTTTCAGATCTGCCAACCGCATATGCTGATTCTTCTTTTCCCCATTATTATCATCATTATCATAATCAACGTCGGCCTTCCTGGTCCCACATCTGTTCTTGTTTCGTGGCCCTCGCTCTGCCTTCTGGAGCCGTGCCGGATGAGAAAGGATGCCAAACCTCCTGGACCCACCCAAAGGCTACCTGACCCGTGTAAGACGCTCGTCGGCCAATCTTAGCATCGCGATCGCGTGCGAGAGACTCAAGTCATACAAATGGGTCGTTGCACGCTTTTTGGCGCTAACCCGCCGCGTACGCTCCAGGTGGTGGTCTTGAAGAGGTGGTCTAGCCTCGACCCGCACCGTGTCTCATCGGACGAAAAACAAACCCAAAAAAAAGGTTGCTCGTGCTGAGCTGATACGCCCACGACGATCCGCGCAGGCGACGTAAGGTGTGTCATGCCTAACCAGAACATTTCACACGGGGCCTCGTAAAGAATGCAATCCTTAAGCGTTGCAATCAACCGCGCTGCTCGTCACTCCTTTCCCCTCCGCCGATCAAACAGCGGGTCTAATGCTTAGGTTGTGGCAACGTGTGGCGCAGCATTTCCCCAAACCGTATCGATCTGTGAAGTTGCATTATAGGCATGCGACATTACGATGGCCTGGACGCATCCTCCTCCGTCAGACTCGGATGTTTCCTCTTCTTGCAGTCTGCAAGCGACATTGAGCTGTCGTAAGCCTTCCGTGCAAGCTTCGCATCCCGCTTTGCGTGGCGAGTGTTCAATACGATAGGATCGCGCACGCCGTCTGTGGCAGCAGATCTTTTCTTTATCGGCCATCTATTTTGCCCCCCCTTCATATAGTGGCATTTTATTCTTAGCCTAGAAGGACGAAGACTCATACTTGCAGCATGCGTGGCCTCATTGCTGGCTAAATGATATTGGTCGCCTAAGTTATGCGCGTGCGAGACTCTCGCGGACGATACCTATCAACATGCAAGTCTGTGACAAAGTTTCCCCGTCGGCGATGCCCAGGCACACTCGATAAGTGAAGGGTGCGTCCATGGGTTCGTGCAGACTGAAAGGCGGAGTTTTGTCCGTACGCAGACGCACCCTGTGTCGGGCGTTGTCTTTCTCTCTGCATAGGATCAGAAGGGGTTATTCCGTATGCCAGGATCGCAGCACATGATCAACCAGGGCTTTGTTCCTTCTCACTTTGATTGCCCCTCCCAAGGTCGAATATCGCATGAACCGACTCAGACAATCTGGGGTACACGACAATTCCATTTGTTGACACGCAGTTTCACAATATCGATGAAGGCGGGAAAACAGGCCGCACGTGAAGGAGAGTTGCCTTGCCAGTCGGGACTGTAAACACCATGCAATCAGTGGCCGTCACGGCTCGTGTGTTTTCCCCAGTCAACGTGCACGCATTATAACACATTCTGTCACGAGTCCTCCTCGTTCTTCCTGAGCTCAATTCGCCATGGCAAGAACCGAGGCTGTCTCTTATCGTCCTGACTGTCGAGAGCTGACGCCTGGAACGACAAGTATTCACTCCGTTTCCTGCCGCGCGGACGGCGCTGGGATCAACACATGAAATGCAATTTGCATCCAGCTGTCATTCGTCAGAAATGTCGCTTTTTTCCCTCCTGTGGTCCGTGACGTTCAGAGCGCATTGCAGGCTGAACACCCGAGATTGGATTTCTGGAAATTTGGTGCAAGACCATGGTGTGCACTGACCGCCCCAGCTCGTACCGCGGACAACCTGTCTTTGGGAGGTTAGCCAGAGATTTAAAGGCTGATTCCCGCCGTCATGTCTTTTTTTTGGCGAAGACGGAGGGAGGAAAATAAAAGTTATGCCGCTTCGCTTTTCATCGGACGCGACTGGTCGCACGGAACTTGGCCTGTCAGCCGAGATAGCCTCTCCGTTGCTCTCAAATGTCCCGTGAATTTAGCTAAGCGAGCTCAGCAAAGCGTAAAGTGCTCGCTCCAGCCACACCGGATCCTCACACTGGTGTCTTTGCTCCATGCGAGCACCATATGATGGCCAGATATTGACGCCGAAGCAGTGTCGGTGCGGGTAACGGCTGAACAAATCAGCAAGACGGAGCATGGAGGCAGGCGAAGTTCCACCCACAACTTCCTACAAAAAAAAGAACCAAAAAAAGGAATGAAAATAAATAAATAAAAGTCGTGTCGATGCGCGCCGTAAGGACCCTATCACAAAGACATTATGTGTGCACGTGCGTAAACATTTCCTTTTTTACAGGGTCATTTCATTCAATTGCTGGACGCGAACCTTTTACAATCTACCTAAGGATGTCGGAAATTTTGACTCTTTGACCGCCTCTATGCAGCCTCAAAAGGCTGGCTAACGCTCTATATCACGGCCACAGCAATACGAGCGGTAAGCAACCGGGCGCAGAGAGGAGCCCTAACCTGATCCAGCGTATGTTCTGCCATTTCAGACACACGTTCCATGTCCGGAGTGGACAGAGACATGAAGAGAGACCGACATTTCTTTTTGTGCAGCAATCCAGCGCTTGGCCGTCGAAGGGCGCAAGGGCATATCCCTGGTACCCATTCCCGGCTCATTTGAAGTAGTTCTTCCACGTTCGCGTGTGCTGCTATAGCACGGGTGCTATATCAGAATCTGTGCAAGTTTTACCACCAGACTTGCCGGCCCGGTGATGTTCCTTGGAAATTCCTCTCCTTGGGCTGCTGATCCACCAAAGATAGGAGTGGGGAAAAGGAACGTTGAGTTGTTTTGGTTTATTTTATTTTTGCCTCGGTGCGCTTTCCACATCTTTTTGGCTCTCCTTCGTGAGGATCGGAGATAGGGTTGGCCGTATAGGACCATCGGGAACATTTCAAGTTGTAGACCGCATCTGCGGACCGTGTTCGCAACTGGCATCATTTCCAAGCTATATCAGAGGGCCTTGCATCTTCAGGCCACCATACGTATCAACGTCCGCCAACACATGCATATTTGCTGTGGATACGACGGTGAAAGTCTCTCTAATCAAGATCTCGACCGAATCAAACGAAAGCAGATTCACGCCTTTATCAAGAACAGACCCGGTTCTCGTCTGCTTTCGTCACTTACGTAGCCGAGGACGCAACGAAGGACTCGTTCCGCCCCACCGCTTGGGAAGTGTCATTTGAAGCTAGGAGAGGACGAATCGTTGGACGATAGCAAAGCTGAAAGTAAGCCGGGACATTGGGCCCTCAGGCTGTGATGCCGACCACGCTCTTTGCGGACCTGTGTTGTCAACTGGGAACACGTCGGTGATTCACTACCTCCGTGCGAAAAGAGATGACAGATCATAGCCATCTTGACCCCGGAGTACGTGACGAGACGATGGTTTGTCTTCGTAAGAAGCAGCTCTCCTATCCCTTGGATCTGGCTGTCATGGCGATGAGGCGGCCAAGCATTTGTTAGTAGAATAGCAGCAACCGTCACTCAAGCAGAAATTGTTGCGGAAGGTGACGTAGACACTTCCGCGCCCGACCGCCGGGAGGCGGGTGGGTGTTGTCACAAGGGCTTCCATCATGGAGGATATGGGGCAGTAGATTCGCTCAGACCGTACGGCCATAAAAAATGGTAAGTTGCCTTGCCGCAAGACCGAAGTTGTTCTGATTGCGTTTTGCCGCAACTGTTTTTGAATACTCACAGTGGTTCAGCAACGCCGATGGCCGGTGGACCCCGATTGGCTGGTGGTCTCCTGGCCGTGACCTCAGTTCCTTTATGTGACCAAAGCGATTGCGGGTAGCACCTTTGTCACCCTCAAGATGAAGTTGGTATATATCCGTGGAGGGACGCATATGCGTTCAAACAGCTCAGAGAGCCAAAAGGTCCCTTCAAAAGCAAGCGCGCAATCATGAGCGAACCGCAGCCTCAGCAACTGGTCACTACCGAACTGTGCAACTGGATATCAGCGCTAACAGTTGACCATATCCCGGAAGAGATTCGAACGAGGGCAAAGTACCTTGTTTTAGACGGCCTGGCCTGCGGACTCGTTGGAGCTCGGCTTCCATGGTCCACCAAAGCTGCCCACACGCTGTTTGATGTCGAGCCGGAGGGAGACACGGTGGTCTTCGGCTGGCCAAAGAAGCTGTCACCTCTCGCGTCGGCGCTCCTGAACAGCACCTTCATTCAGGGCTTTGAACTTGACGACTGGCACAGCGAGGCTCCGCTTCATTCCAACAGCATCTTGTTGCCGGCCCTGTTTGCCGCTGCGGATCATCTCCTCGCTAGACATGGTCGCAAGACGACCGGACTGGACTTTCTTCTCGCACTCATCGTCGGTTACGAAGTGGGCCCGCGCGTTGGACTTGCCTTGCATGGCGCTCATGTTCTGACTACGGGCTGGCACTCTGGAGCCGTGTTTGGTCCAGCGGCGTCGGGCGCTGCGGTGAGCAGCCTGCTCAAGCTTTCGGCGGAACAGACGGAAGACGCACTCGGAATCGCGTGCACACAGGCGTGCGGGCTGATGTCCGCGCAATTCGGCAGCGAAGTCAAGCGCATGCAGCACGGCTTTGCCGCTCGCAATGGGCTTCTGGGAGCCCTCTTGGCACGCGACGGATACGTGGGCATCAAGAATGTGTTGGAGGTTTCCTACGGGGGCTTTTTGAAGCAGTTTAGCCTTGGAAATGGAAAAGAGCCACCGTACGAACCGGATCATATCGTCAAGGATCTTGGCACGAGCTGGAAAACAACGGGAATCCGTGTCAAACCGTACGCTTCGATGGCTGGAACACACCCCACTATCGACTGCATCATGGATCTTCAGAAACGCTATCCAGACGACATGAAAAACAGGCTTTCAGAGGTTAGGAGCATAAGGATCGTACTTGGCGAGGCAGCTTTCCACCACGGGGGTTGGAAGGCAACGCGACCGCTCACCAGCACCGGCGCACAAATGAACAACGCGTTCGCTGCCGCAACGCAGATGGTGCACGGTCAAGTGCTCCCCGCTCAATTTCGGCACGACATGCTTGAGAACGACGACGTGTGGAGACTGGTCGACGTCACGAGCTGCGAGCAGGCCAGCGACGCCGGCTGGACCGTAGGACGACAGCGCGTCGAGATTGAATTCGACGACGGCTCCAAGATCAGCAGCCAGATTGAAGCGGCCCGGGGCGTGGACCCGCCCATGTCGAACGAGGATATCGTGCAGAAGTGGCGGCTTCTCACTAAGGACGTCATCGATCCAGATCGCGCAAAAAAGATCGAGGACCTCGTGTTGAATCTGGAGAAGAGCGAGAGCGTCTGCGAGCTGCAGGCTCTCATGCAGCTGCCGACCAAGAACCCGATCGCGTGAAAGCTAGGAATTCAAGAACATAACGTTTCCGTCCATCCATGATCTATTTCTTTATTTTTCCCTCCTTCTTTTTTTCTGCAATATGTACAGTTACACGTTGTATGGTGTCGTATTAAAAACTGAACGATCTCGTATGCATTCTCTATACGTCACGTATAACCATAGAAGAGGGTTTTCTGTACAAAGTCTTAAGGCGCGAACGCGAGATGACAAAGTCAACATCGGCTTCGCTTCGGTTCAGGCTGTTCCTTCAGTCCGTCGCGCCAAACTTGTCATTGAATGGACCTAAAACAAAAATCGTGATCGGAAATGAGCAGGCGTCTTTAGTCGATGCTGGCCATTCAATGTATGCAACATCAGTCCCAACTTTAGTAGCAATGGAAAGGTTTTTGAGACCGCTCTCAGTAGGTAATGTTACGAATCTATGCTTATCATTTAGCTCGTAATATCATCAGCTTCACGGATAAAATTCCACGGAGCCTAAAATGCAAAGAGTTCAAGTTATCATCTTGGCCGTCAAAATGTGTTCTGGGCTGGGTTCCATGTGAAATTTACATCCCACTGCCAGTCTGACATGCCAGCAAAGTCCATCAGCCATTCAGGCACCTGGTCGAGGTTCAAGACGGAGCCGTCGTGAAGTGCGCTTTGTGTTTGGTCCAAAGGCGGGTCGACAGTCGTGGTGGGCGCGACATTGATCGTTGTCGTTGATGACGAGGAGGTGTTGGACTTCTTAACCGATGGGTCAGATTGAATGTAGGGATTGGTGGAGCCGCCGAATTCGCTTCGCCACCACCACAGCGAGTCGAAGAGTACGCTCATGTGCTGGAAGCCGGTCAGCCGTGGCAACGGAGAGGATGCTGCGAAGCATGGGACGGGGAAACTCACGAGGCGACCGCGCAGGAGCAGGCGAAGGCCGTCGACCGAGCCGTCCTTGAACTTGAACAGCTTCGCGCTCGACCACAGCTGCGTCAGGATCGTCGCGCTCCTGGACTCCAGGTCGTTGTTCTGAATGGAGCGCTTCCGCGACATGCGGATTGCCTCGAAGAACGCCTCTTCGCCGCGCTGCGTGTCGACGAGGTCGCGCAGGTGGCTGCGGTGCGTTCGGAGGATGCAGAAGCCGGCCAGGACCACGGCCCTGGCCTGCGAGTGCGTGCAGAACAGCATGGAGTCCCCCTTCTCGTCGAGCTCTGTCGCAGCCTCGATAATGCCGCACGCGATGGCGTGCAGCCTGATGAGCCCGGCATCCCGGTTCGCGTCCGGGTGGTGGAAAAAGTAATAGCACAGGAGGAACAGCCTCGTCTCGAGCAGATGGAACTGAGCAGCTGTGGACAGGTCAGAGCGTGGCGGATAGGATGGTGCGAGTTTAGCGTGAGTTTTCACGAATTTCCATCACTTACTAGTCACTTCGGCCCCTGAAGCGACAACGCGCTGCATGGTGGTGTCGAAATGTTCTATTAGCGAGCGGAGCATGCGGCTGTCCGTGTTGTAGTTGAGATCAACGGTTCGCATGATCATCAGAACAGCCTCGACCAATATCTGGTGCAGCTGGAACCTGTAACCTATCGGAGCTGGTAGTCCTGCGAAGAGATCCTGCTCAACAGGAGCCTGTGCTACCTGCATGGTGGGGATGCAGGGCAAGCCATCGCACAAGTTGTTTCTTTGTATATCGTCAGCAAGACCGTCCGCAACCGTGGAAGCGAGAGCAAACTGACGATTGTGAGATCCACTGGAAGTACGCCCAAAGACGGGAATAATACAAGAAGCCATCCTTCTCCGCTTGTTCTACGGGAAAGCGCGCAAAGTCCTGCTTTCTCGACGCAAAGGGGAGGCCTTTTTGGATGGCCAGCTGGAGTGCTGCACCGCAAAAGGCATGGGTAGGGTCTTTGAAGGTGCTATTGATTGGAATCGGCCAGAGGCAAAGCGCAATGACGGCCCGGATACTCGTCACGGCTTGCTCCGGGCAGAGGAGCGAACGCTGCGCCAGATCAAGAAGTGGGCGCGTAAGGCTCTCGACAATCGTGGGATCTTTTGACCTTCGCGCACCCACGTGCACGATCGTCCAGTACAGAAACTCGCTGCTCTGATGGACGGCATCTGGATCCTGGTCCCTGTCAAAGATACCTGGCACGTTGGGTGCGTAGGAGCTGAAGAAGCTGTTACGCAGATCAGCTGGCAGCCCAGCGCAAGCTCCTGAAGCTTCCTTACCGCGTAAAACAATCGGACAACTTGTGTGCCCCAAAGAGAACCCCGTCTATGCTCTTCGGGGACGCATGCACCGGACCTGATGCGTTCCCTGCTGAGCTCGGCTGCGATCGATTGCTTGTTTCGACATGGCCTGGAGGGAGAGCCGCTTGATGCCGCACGTTGTCGTGAGGAGTCGCCCAGTCAGCACTTGGCACAGAGCTGCTTAGAGCGCCTGGTAATGAGCCGAAGGAGTTGACTGAACCTAAGGCAGCTGTTGACGCGGTGTCAACAGCCGAGGAGCCTTGAGCGTTAGTCGCTTCGGCCCACGGAAACCGTCCGTCTCCGACGGGATGAGTCGAGGCAGCTGGTGGCAGGTTGCTCGACGCCGTAGAGACGTCCGCAGAAGCAGCGTTCTCGATCCGACTCCGAAGTTGATTCAGCTCATTTTCCAGCTCGGCCTTGCTGTTTGCTCACGAAACGTCAGCATTCGCGTGCCGCCGTAGGAGAGGAAGAAGAACGCGGCACGAACGTTTGCCTGTTTCTCTTTTTCGGGTTGGCCGAGATGACGCAGTCGCGGCTCAGCCTTCGACATCTCGAGCAAGGCCCGTAGTCGAACTTGTGCGAGTCGCATCGAAGCTGGGCGTTACCCGTAAGCAACATGGACGGAAAACCTACGGGAAACGACAGACTTGCCTTCAGGCCCCTGCAAGCGTCGCAGGCGCGCGTACGCACTCCCTTTAGGTCGGTCGGAGCATTCGGCATATCATCATTGTCTCGCACCGGAGTGCCTGAAGAAAAGGAAAGAAAAGAAAAGAGACGAAAAGAAAGGGTTGTAATTCGAACGTCGAGATCGCCTGAGATGCCCCTCTTGAAAGAGCGCTCAGGTTCCTGGTCAGCGTGCTTATTCTATTCTAGTTCTACCCGCAGTGCAACACTAAACCCGATCAAGCCACATGGCAGTCCCCACGTTTCTACCTGAGCGATGTTTGATTGCCAGAAAGATAGCATACAGATCAATTGCTCCGCTGAAATATTGTACAGCGGAGGTAAATGAACAAAACTACCACGACAGCTCCTCGTGTGCTCTAGAACTAGGATCGACGTCGATCGACACCGGTTTTGCGGGTCTCGATCGGGTCATCTTTTCCAACATGGCTTTCCCTAGCAGTTTGAAACCTTCGCTCATTCCTCCCTGTTGCCAAAGACGGATCTCTAGGTCGCTTAGGCTGAATGTAAACGTCCTGGCGCCAACGTGGATGGCTCTTTCGTCGACGTCGATTTCAATCTCCGAGCCGTCATTTGCGACCTTGTAGAATTCCTCGTCCTCCATGACGATACCAAGAAGCCCCAAGTTTGGCTGGTTTCGTGCGTAGATAAAGGCAAATGAGCGCGCAATGACACACTGGACGCCAACGCCCATCAGAGCCGTCACGGCGGTTTCTCGGGAGGATCCCACGCCGAAGGCCTTGCCGGCAACGACGACATTGAGCCCTTCCTTCACGCGGCGTCGAAAGTCGGGATGCGTGTAGAGCAGACAATACTCACCACGCTGTTCGGGCGTCAGATCACCCATCACAAGAGATTCATTTGGAGACAGCGCGTCTGTGTCAATGTAATCTCCTAGCCTCTGCACTTTTCCGCGGATCGTGCGACTTTTCTTCTGGGCTTGGACTTTCACGTCCGCTTCAGGATGGACTTCTTCTTGACTCGGCGCAGAACTAGCTCCGCTTGCACTTGGTGCCTCTGGGGGTTCAACCCAAGGTACTAAAGCCTTCTCCTCCGGCGCCGTGACTAGTGACTTCTGCAGCCGGTCCTGGTCTATATCATCGAGAAGCGAGGATGGATCCGCGATTTTCATTTCGAAGCTGCTCGCCGCAACCGTGACAGCGGATGCTAAGGACCCAAACGACCCAGGACCCATTCGGTTTTCAAAGTTACGATTCTGGCTGGTCAGCCAAACCTCACCTTTACCGGCCTTGTCGGCACTCATGCCTACGCAGTAGCTGCAACCGGGCACCCCGATCTCGAAGCCGGCCTGCTTGTAGACGTCTGCAAGCCCCGTTTCGTGCAGCTCCCGAAGTATCGGGCGTGATCCTGGAACGACCTTGCGCTTCCCGTGTGAGACGGGCCGCAAGCCTCGCTTGAGTCCAGCTTCGAGCACGAGAGCCGCAAGGATAAGATCTTCTCGCGCTGTAGTGCAGGCGCCAATGAAGCACCCATCAAGAGCTGTCCCGGCAACTTCACCAACAGGAACTACGTCGTCCGGCTTTGGGTACCTCGCAACGAATGGCTCTACATTGTGAAGATCGATTGTGTAGCTCTCAGCGTACTGCGCGTCGGCATCAGGCCGGTAGTACTTCGCGTGTTTCTTGTGCTTTGGATTCTTGCGTCGATCGATGAACTCTTTCGTCGTCTCGTCTGGTACGCAGATGCCAGTGATGCCGCCGAATTCCTATAGCCGTAAGCTTTGCCAAACACCAGTTTGATTCGTATAACTTACAGTGGTCATATTGCAGAACGCAAAGCGGGCATCACACGACAGATATTGCAGACCCGGCCCAGTGTACTCCACAATCCTCTCTGCCGCAACGGTGTTGCGTTTCAACTCTTTCAAGATATACAAGATAATGTCCTTGCCTCCCATTCCAGGTCGTGGTTTATTGACGAAGCGTATTTCGACCGTTTCCGGCACTTTGATCCACGTCTCACCCGTGACCAGTGGGAGCACCACGTCAGCAACACCTAATCCGATGGCCAGGCTGGAAACGCTGCCTGCGGAACATGTGTGCGAGTCGGAGCCAATGACGAGCATGCCTGGTTGGGCCCTCTCGCGACAGAATTCGGTGTGCATGATCGTGTAGTTCATGCCTTGGTACTCGGTCAGTTTGAACACTTGCTTTGCTCGTTCGCTAGATTCGACCAGAGCTTTGATTTTGGGGTTGTCCATCACGCGAGGGTCGACGACATGGTCACCCGCGATCCACAGTCGGTCGTTCCGGAAAATGCCTGGCTGTCCGAGCGAGCGGTACGTCTTTTCCATACCCGCCCATGAGAGCTCAGAGGCAATGATCCAATCGACCTCGAGTCGTATCACATCTCCTGGCTTTACTTCACCTCTGCGAGATACGTCATGTGCCGCTAATATCTTCTCCGCAACCGTCATGCCTCTTCGGCCTGGTGGCCGTTCCTGGAGGTCAGGAAGCGGGTCTGCCTTGCTATCTTGATAGTTCAAGGCTTCGAGATGTGCAGATACATAGAAAAGGACCTCTGCTGTCTCGCTATTGTCGAGCTCGTGGTCTGAAGAAAAACCCAAGCCGCCGAAGTCCTTGAGCGTAACAGAATGCTGATATACTTCAAGCAAAGCATCTGCCTCACGGTAATGTCCTTCCAACTTAAGATGATGGGAGAGTGATTGAATTTGGTCAAGTATGTTCCCCTCGAGAGGTAAGTCTGAGGTTAGTCAGTGACGAACCCAAGTCAACGACGATCCCGAACATACGTAGGAGATTAATCGACCTTATAGAACGGAGTAGATCAACCAGCTTTTCGGCATGGCCTTGGGTGGCTAGTGTTCTCTCAGTCATAACTACAGATTTTAGCAAGGAATATCTGTCTCAGAATGAGTCAACCTTGCACTCAGGACGACAAACTGCTTTGATTTTTTTTATTCGGGAGTCCAAAAGCTGCGAGGAGTCTGCATAAGTATATCGAATCCTGCTGCAAGAATTCGCGCTCGGGTTTTGATGATCGCATGGCGAGACTGAGAGCGAACACCGACCGCTGTGCTACTCTTGCGTACAGGAAAGGTTTGTTACCGGCCAATTCGGTCAATGTCGGCCAACATGACCCCACCCCCTCACCTAACCGCCTTCTGACCTCACCTGTGGGATTAAAGGGATGGAAAGCCGGTAACGGCTTTTCAGAGCAATTTCTGAGCATCCCGTGTCGGGCAAGCGTGTTTCGCGACGCCGAACAGTTGCGCAGGTCGGAGATCTTTGCTGTCCTTGTTACTTCCGAGAGGCATAAAGCTGGCTTGGTAGAATAGCCTGCGAATCGAAAGATACACCTTGCGAACTTCGATTTACGCGCATCTTATCTGCTTCACACGAATCTACAAGCATTTGATGTCCACGGAATCTATCATGGATGAGCAAGCACCGAAAACACCGGCCCGTCGCCTGCGAGAGCTTCTGAGCAAAGAAGATCACATTCTCGTATGCCCTGGTGTATATGACGGCCTAACGGCGCGTATAGCGCTCAACGAAGGCTTTGAATGTCTATATATGGTAAGAACTTATGGTTCTATATGCAGTGCCAACGTTGACATGAGGAGACCGGCGCCGGCACGGCAGCGTCTCGACTGGGCATGCCGGACCTTGGCTTGATCACGATGAATGACATCTCAGAGAACGCAGCCATGATTGCGTCGTTGAACCGCACCGTGCCGCTGATTGCAGATGCGGACACGGGATACGGAGGTCCTGTAATGGTGGCGCGAACGGTGAAGGCTTACATCCGTGGCGGCGTTGCAGGGCTACATCTGGAGGACCAGGTCCTATCGAAGCGGTGCGGACACCTCCTTGGAAAGGAGATCGTGGACGAAGACGTGTTTCTGGCCCGGATCAGGGCTGCCGTCATGGCCAGAGACGAGATGAAGGCCACCATGGGCGAGGCGGGCGACATTGTCATCATCGCGAGGACGGACGCGCTGCAGTCCAATGGCTTCGACGACGCACTGCACAGACTGCAGCAGGCCGTTAAATGCGGCGCCGACGTCGCGTTCCTGGAAGGTCTCACGAGCGTTGAGCAGTGCCGCGCTGTCTGCGAGAGACTGGCTCCCACGCCCGTGCTCCTGAACATGGTCTCCGGTGGCGTGACGCCAAACATGACGGCGATGGAAGCAAAGGTGGCTGGCTTTAAGATCATTATATTTCCCGGGCTGATGTTGGGTGCGGCGTTTGCGGGCTGTGCCGCTGCGGCGAAGCAGCTGAAGCACACGGGTGCGGTCCCGCTGGCGGAAGGCCAGCGAGATGGAGGAGGGCCCAAGGCGTTGTTCACGGCCGTGGGACTGGTGGAGTGCATGGAGTTCGACAAAAAGGCGGGTGGGCACGCGTACGCAAATGGTGTTTGAGGTATTGCGATCTCGTGAATGGCCGCAGGGACAGCTCTCTGCGTCTAGACAGAGCCGAGGTCGATCAAGGCATGGGAAAGCCAACATAAAGCCAACATGCTTATCTGCCCTTTGACTTCTCTGTAACATGTTATCCTGTATTCCATTTTCAGACCGTCGTCCTTTCCACCTGAGCGCGGCGGCTACGCTGATAGCATCCGTGACCTGTTCAAAGCAAAGGATGAGAGTGCAGATTCGGGAGACGAGAGAGAAGCACAACGCTGGGGTGCGGCATCTGGAAGTATCACTACTTTACGCGTTCCGCTTCAATGCGCCGAACTTGCCCAGCGCCGTCATGGCCTTGATAAGTGGGGAGACTGTTTGCTGTTGCGGTCAGTCGATGACCCTTCGAAGGGGCTTCATGTCTGGACCGTCTGAAGAAGGGCGATCCTCGGACCAAGCACAAGCACACTCGTTCAAGTTGTAAATAGTAGATCGATCCGGTAGTCTACCAGGCACATCTCACTTCTGGAGAAGGCGAAACAGCACAGCGCTGTAGTCCACCCCGCTGCGTGGCAGATGACGGAGCTGATCATTGCGCAGCCGAGAGATCTATCTGATGCTGCAAAGAGCGGTGCACATGGTCGACTCGTATCCTGCGACTGTTTCCGGTTGACGAGGTGTCTGTTCACTTGATACGCGGCGATGTTACAGTCTGACACTCCCGATGGCGCGGGCAAAGGCGAGGCTGAGGGACAAGCGAAGCGAGGGCTTAGAATTTCGGCGTCTGTGATTGGCCGGATGGATCGCCCCGCGCCGCCCCGCAGCCTCACCCATGGAGCGCAAAGGAAGTTTTGCGAGGAGCAAAAATGAAGATTGGATTCCGCGGCTGGATCACGGCAAAGGAACGAGTCAGACACGGCAGTGTGCCCATCGCAGCTGCGGCGAAACGATGTCGCTTGCGGACTCCGGTTCGCCCTCCGCATCGTGGTGAGAGTCGGCTCGCCGGCCTCGACGCGGAGTGATTCTTCTGGCCAACTCGCAGCCGTGCCGTGTGCTCTCCATCTGCTGGGCCCATTTTTGATGCCGGTGCCCGTCCAGTGTGGAGCCGGAAAGCAAACGAGCACGCGAGCGGCTCAGATCCGAACACGCGAGTCGCACGAGCCTGGACGAGGGTACGATGACATGGGCACGCCCGATGGCATTCCAGAATTCCGCCTTCTCGCACCCGTGGACGCCGTGCGAGGGCTCTCTGTCCTGCTCTTTCCAGAGCCCGTTCGCCCAGAGCACGCAGATCGCTTGTGCTGGCTCCGATCGCCAGCTGGCCAGCGCAGGATCGTGCAGGCTCAGGCCTGGTGGTGAGGATGCGGACGTGAAAAAGGAGAGGCTTGGAAAAGGCCGAGGATGGCCAGCGCCTGGCCCGCCAGCGGACGTCGCTCCCGTCAAACAGGAACAAAAAAAAGGATGGCTGCCGCAGAACGTGTGGCCGAAAGGCGACGGATCTGGTGAAGCGGAAAAGCCACGTTCTGAAGAGGGGGACGATGAGCTGTGAGGCGATCGATGATCCGTGGAGTACACAGTATGGTCCAGCGGGAAAAATAGGGGGAGGAATAGGGATGCGGCATTATCCTCAGTCGTACGGAGTATATCCTGAGACTCCAGAGGCGTATCAATATAAGTCATTCGGTCTGCGAGCCCCAGCACGCGGTCCGGTTGGGCAGCAATTCAAGGATGCGGCAAATATGGGTGCGCTGGGCACGAAAAAGCATTTGTTTGGATTCCTAAATAGCTGACATGTGCGTGAGATCCAAGCGGCCGGACGAGTCAGCGTCCAACGGGCTGATCCAGGTTTGGTTCTCGAGCTGCTGCTGCTGCTTCGACTGGCCTGGTGTTTTGGTTCGGTGACAAGTCGGCCCGTCACTATTTTGACTCTGGCCCGCCTGCTTGCGTAACTTGGCTTTACTCAGCGCTCCATAGTTCCGCCCTTTGGTTCTGATTATCACACAGGTATATATATATATATATATATATTATTCTTCTTTTGTTCCTCCTGCTGCTGGCGCCTGCGAGCTCCCGTTCTATCATCTCCTCCGGTCGCCGTCCCCTCGCGCGAACCGTCCCACCGCAACCCTCTGCCACTGCACGCCGTCCGTCCCGATCATCCAAGACACGCAGCGCTGCTCGACCCAGCCCGCCGCTCAGCTTCGCCATCGACGACTGAAAGGGCGTAAGCGTGGGCAGTGAACCGGTCCTCGGGCCACGCTGTGTGTTCACGCGACCGCAGCTCCATCCACCGGGGCGTTGGTAATCCGAGCCAGCGATTCGCCCGCCGCCCACCAGCTCGCCCACCCTTCATACGAGACCCGCGACACTGGCAATCATGGATCTCTAGCGCGCGGTCCTTTCTCAGCGCGGAGACAAGGTTGGATATGGATTTCACGGTACGTCAGTCTCACTCTCCGCTTCCGCACCAAGTCCCCCGTGCACTGTGCGCACCGCACCCGCGCTGCCAGGCACGCCCGCGCCCTCCGAGCGTCTGGATTTGGCGGTGATTGGATGCTGTGTCTGTGCAACGCGCGCTCGACGCACCCGCAGAGCCGGCTGGACGGGAAGATGCGACGTAGAGGGCGCTGCGAGGAGGGCCGAGAGACGCGCGACGGAGACGCAGACGAAGACGGGGCCGGCGACGGAGGCGATGCGCGGACGCTCGCTTCGAGGCGAACTCTTCCCGCCGCGTCTCCCGTCGCCGAGCGCCCTCTGCACGTCACCTCTTTGCCTCCACGGCGGGTAGCGGAGCAAGGGCAGTGGGAGACTACTCCCGCCTGGAGAGGCTCAAAGACGTCGACCTGCTTGGGGCTCTGCAATTGATGCAACGTCGCTTCGGAATGTGCACTTTGCGCTGACTCGCCTCGTGCGTTCTGTTTAGCTGGCACTCGCCCACTTCTGCGAGGTTCACGGCCCGACCAGTATCCTCTGCACACAGCTCAGCCCCGTCGACTGCGGCGCATGTTTCCCTCCCGGCGTGTCGACGCCGCCCGGCAGCGACGATGTCTCGCGGGATCCGGCCGAATTGGGCAGCGGCAGGACCACCACCAATGTCGGTGTCGGCGTTGGCGCCGGCAGCAACAGCAGTGGTGCTGGACCCATCTTCCACGGCCGGTCCGCGGCGCCGCTGCTCTCGCCGTTCGACTCTCCGCCTGCCAGCCCGCGATCGAGCGGCGGTAACATGTCTTCATACAATCCATACTTCCCAGACCACCGAGCCGGCCTCCACAGCGCAAGGAGCTCGTCGAGCCGGTTCAGCGTCGGCGAAGATCTGGACACGGAATCGTGCGACAACTGCATGTTCTTCGTGCCCAAACCGCTGAGCGAGCAGCTGCCGGATGGCGCTCCCGGCAGCCCTACAAAGGACGGAAAAGGATGGCATGGAAGCCCCGTGCTGCGTACGACGCATTCCATCCTGGCGCTAGGAGCTCCGGTGGACGCTTTTGAGCGCCGGCAGCGCGACAAGAGTAAGGAGCGGCGGACGAGGACGAGCAGCAGTAGCAGCAGCAACAGCAGCAGCGTCGTCGCTGCGCCCATGGACGATGACGGCGACGACGACGACGACATCCCCGACCCGCTTGCGACGTCGTCGTCTTCGACGCCTAGCACCCCCTCCGCAATTTCGGGCACGTCGTCGCCAAACTACCCTCCCAACAGCCACACGCACATGCTCACGTACGTGACGACCAAACAGCCGCTCTCGCAGACGTCGTATTCGTTCCTCCGTCGCGCGTGCATCCGCACGCTGTCGAACGAGACGCTACCCAAAGGCTCGCCGTCTGGACCTCTGTACTTTGGCGACCCGCACGCCGGGTACACGGTCGCCTACGTGTTCCGCGTTCCAGACCCGCGTGCCAGAGGAAAGCGCCGCATCTATGCGCTGCTTGCTCTGGGTGGCCGCGACAGCTGGCGTGTCAGCAAGGTGTATGTCAAACTGACCAAGGTGTTCGAGTCGATCGCCGGCCAAATCGTCAGCATGGCGGACCGCGTCATTGAGCGGGAGCTCAGCCCGTCGCCCACAGACGGGGCCCTCGCACCTCTCACGCCGCCTTTGCTGAGCACATCGCTGCCGTCCGCAACCGCTGAGCCATTGAGTCTCGCCGCTGCGGCGTCCGCACGCGACCGCCCAGCAAAGAGCGCCACAACCAGCCCGACGACGAAGTACGCCCGCTTCAACAGCGCGAGCTCCTTCCTGACCGGCAAGCGCATTGATCCAGACGGCCACCCGCGCTTACCGCAGGACGTCATGAAGGCGAAGAGCCTGGCCGAGATCGTTGGCAACGAAAACTTCTTCGTAGAGCTGCACATGAAGTTCTGCCTCGTGCTACACACGCTCGTCAAGGACTTTGCCTGAGCCCGCCTGCCCGCCCGCCTACGCACCCTCTACATCTGGCTCTCGGCCTGGTGTTTCCGTCGGGAGAGCACCTTTACACACGGCACAATGCTCGCCTGACACGCCTGTCCGCCCAACCACGCGAAGGTCGCGCGGCGAGCGTGCGGCAGCTGTAGTCGCTTTGTTACGCTTGGGATCTTGGAGCGGTCCCCCCCCCCCCCCCCCTTTTGTATCATTATCGAGCGTTTCTTATCTTTTTGTGTCTGGGCCGGTGCTCTGTTTTCCTCTGCTTTGCCTTTGCCATCCGTCTCCTGCTCTCGCTTGTGTCGTGCTCTGTACAACTGTGACACATGCAAATGCACACGCGCGTCCACAGACACAGACATACAAACGTACGCACATATACCTACATTTCCCTACCTTCTATGGGCGGCCTCGATTTTTGGCCGCCATTGGTCATACGGATTGGGCAAAAATGGTGGGCGGACTTTCCATTTTTTTGGGCCTATATATACTCATCTTGTCTTTTGGTCGGGCCTTATTCTTTGACGAGATACGGCGGGAGGAAGAGTCGTTAAGCGAATCTGTTATACACTTTAGATCACCGGGAATGGGTTTTGATATCCCCCCCGCCATGCCTTGTCGCACTTGGTGGGCCGGCATGCTTGCTTCCAGGCAGCGGGTGTAGATTGTGCATAGAACTGGGTATTGGCAGGGGGCTGCTTGGGTCTGTTGTCGGCGGGAGTGTGCCACGGTTAAGCCACATGTGTGGGCGAAAATTGTACAACGTGTATGAGTACGAAAGTCTGTTCAAACGACATTTGAGGCGATGGGGACCTCAAGGTTTCTAGTCTTTAACATTCATGAATCTTGGAATTGATTCAGGAACCAGGGATCTGGTTTCTTTCCACGTGTTTTCTAGCCGGAGCAAAACAAAAGCTCCTCAAGACATGAAACTGATGACCAAAGCTGAGAGTTTGCGCCGGTATCCCCGCATGCTATGCTAAGAATGATGATGATGATGATGATGATAATGAAGATGGAAGAAGACGCATGACGGGCGAGGTCTTCATCGGATGAGAGAGATGGGCCGAGGTGAGATGGACTCCCCGGCCGCAGTCACGACTTGGCCTTTAAATACTCATTATCTGTTTCTCTGCTGTCTTCCCGCGCATCTTCAAGCAGCTTGTCAATTCCTCGCTCCTTGAGGGCAACCTGTGGCACCGACTGGTCAGCTTTTCCGCTCCACCCCGTGAGCGACGGCAATGATAAGGCAAAAAAAAAAAAAAAAAAACTCGATAGAGATGACAATATGACAATAACGCTGGGGGGGAGCGATGATGGAGACGATGAAAACACAGCGGCTGTCGCCGTAAATGAGCGCAGGCACGTACGTTCAGGCAAGCCTTGTACTCCTTGAAGATGGGCTCGCACTCGTCCGTCTTCGCGTTTCCCCTCAGGAACTCTGCGTGTCGTCGTTAGCGCCGCATCCCGGAACCCGATCGCTGGCAACGACACAGGCTTACTCTCTGAATACCACTTCAAGAAGCACGTGTCGTACCGCCTAGGACTCGTCGTCAGCCATCATCCGTACCAGACGGGGCGCGAGAAGAGACATACTCCTTCACTTCGTTGCACTCGGGCGCCAGCGAAGACGACATTCTGGCGGTCTGCTCTGTAGACAGAGGAAGATTTCTTCTCGACGTGTGATGATGGCTTTTGCTGTTGCTTTCGACGTTGGGCCTGCGCCGTCGAAGTAGCCTGGCCCGTCTCTTGTCTTTTTCTGTTTGCGGGACCCCCCGTCGGCGTTCCAGCGACCTCATTGGCCGGATGGCCCAGCGCCAAAAAGTTTCTCCAAGCACTTCCTTTAACTCTTCAGACGACTTCGACAAGAACTGAACTCCTCCACCACCACCACAACGACCCGCGCGGGCATGATCTCCAGCCCACGGATGTCGGCCTAGCATCGCTCCTACTGTTCCCTTCCGACAATGGCAGAGCCGCCGTCTTTCCAGTCTCTGCAGGCTCCTCTGAGAACCGCGCTGATCTCTACCACGCGCACGACCTCCGCCCTGTGTGCCGAAGACCTGCCCTTTGTGCGCTCGCTGGACCCGTCGTTCGCGCGCAAGCTCGACCGGCAGAATGCGCGACTCCTTTCTCTGGCGGAGAGGCTCCTGGCTTCGGCTGCGGCTGGCGATGCGCAAGTTGTGAGTGCCGCCCCGACGGCGAGCGCCCATCGCGTCGCAGCGCCGAAGCTGCCGGACGGCGATGCGCTCGACAGCAATTGGGACGCCGTTGTTGATGTGGTCGACAGTCTTTTAGAGCGCACGGATGGGGTGCTGGATGGGCTTCGCGGCGTGATTAAGAAGGGCGCAGGTGCGGCGCAGCAAGTTGTCTCGAGCGAGGTAGGAGCCGACAAAAGAAAGAGAAAAAAAAAAGACCGACTGGGCTCGTATGCGAACGTGTGCTGACTTGCTTCTTCGTTGTTTTAGGCCGAGAAGACCGCTGCTCCGAACCTGCCCAAATTCAAGAGGGGCTTTCAACAGGCGGCCAACATCCTCAAGCCCCAGCGCGCCTTTGCTAATCCTCCGGATAACTTCGCAGCCGGTCCTTGGAAGCCCCTTCTCACAAGCAAGCCGCACGCCAAAGTTCCCCTTGAGCAAAGCCTACGCACGGAGGACAGCCTTGATGGCACGGGACGACAAATGTACGGTGACGCACTTTCTCCTCCCTACTTTACATGTAGCCTGAATGCGTAGTTGCTGTGTAGCTTCGACGCCAGCTGCAACTTGTTTTGCTACCAGAGTTTCTCGTTTGGGTTGAAACAGCTTGTTGACGAGAGAAGCAGATATCGACATCCCTATCAGACCGAGATTGAGGAGTACAAATTTCCGCCCAGCGTATACATCAGACAGGATCCGATCCCGTATCAGCCCTATGACACAACCACCGCCACGCTGGTTGACACCGAGGAAGCCATGCTCGAAATGCTCGAAGAGTTGAAGAAGGCGAAGGAAATCGCCATTGATTTGGAGCATCATGACCAGAGAACTTACGTTGGCATAGTGTGTTTGATGCAGATCAGCACGAGAGACCGCGATTGGATAATCGACACGCTGAAGCCGTGGAGGAGGCGTCTCGAGTGCCTGAACGAAGTCTTTGCTGATCCCAGTATTCTAAAGGTAACTGATGCTCATCTTTCTTATCTTTTCTTCTCCTCTTGCTGGCCCAGCGCATGAGCTCATCCGTAACCTAGGTTCTACACGGCAGTGCCATGGACGTGATTTGGCTGCAGCGCGACCTTGGTCTGTACCTCGTCGGAGTGTTCGATACCGAGCACGCCGCCACGGCTCTTCGCTATCCAAAGCGTAGTCTGGCGTACTTGCTGGAGAAACACGTGAACTTCCAGGCACAGAAGCAATATCAACTTGCTGACTGGCGAGTGCGACCCTTGTCTCAGGAGTTGTTTGACTACGCTCGCTCCGATACTCACTTTCTGCTGTACATTTACGACTGCCTGCGCAACGAGTTAATTGACAGCTCAAATGTCGGTCAACCAGACGGCGACTTGCTCGATTACGTGTTGCGCGAATCAAAGCGATATGGACTGCAGCGTTACGAAAATCCCTTTTACGACGCTGAGAATGGACTTGGTCCGATGGGATGGTACAGGCAACTAATTCGAACCCCGGCCTTGCTGTCGAAACAGCAGTTCTCCGTCTTCAGAGCCGTGCACCAGTGGCGCGACAACATGGCACGAAAAGAGGATGAAAGCTTATTCTATGTCATGAGCAACCATCTGCTCCAGACCATTGCGCGGGAGATGCCCGTCACAAAGGAGAACCTACTCGCGGCGACTCCTGCCAATGCCCACATAGTGCGGCAGTACGCAGACCAACTTGTCGCCGTCATTGCCGAGGCAAAGGAGCGCGGCGAAGATGGGCCGGAGATGCGTGACGTGTTAGCCAGGTCGGATCAGAAGGCCGACCAACAGCACAACAGCAGGATTGCAGCGCGGGACGCTATCACCGCTGCGATAAAGACGAAGATTGCAGCGACAGAAGCGGATCAGCCTGTTGCCGTGTTGCCGAGCAGTGTCCTGTCTCGGCCGATTGCCGTAGATCTCGATGCGGTCAAGTCGGATAGTAGTAGTTTCTGGGGCTCGACTTTAGCAAGTGTTACACAAGCGAGAAGGATGACCACAACCCCAGACGTGAAACTCACGTTGCCAATGCCCGAAGTTAGCGCCGACGTGTTCGCCCCAAATGCAACGACGCCAGCCAAATCCGAGATTCGCCCTATGTCTCCGGAAACACCCAAAACGCCCCCAGCAACTGAGTCGCAGGCACTTGTGCAAGCTCCACCTCCGGCAGAACCGAACGACGTATTCGTACTCCGCGAGAAAGGTGGCAAACGAAGCAAGAAACGCAAGGCGCAAGAACCGGAAAGACAAGGGGACGAGCTTAAGGCTGGCCTTGACGAGGTAGGCATCTTTAATGAGAAGGATCAAGGCGGTAAAAAGAAAGCCAAAGCGCAGGACCAGAGGCGCAATGAGAGCATAGAGCTCAAAAAGACATCTGTACACGGCCAGACTGAAGGGTTCCTTAGTGCGTTGAAAGGCTCTTCGGTTCCCGCGCCAAATGCTGCACAGTCACAGACCACTTCCGCACCAATGTCCAAGAAGCAAATCAAACGAGATAAGAAGGGGGATAAGGCGAGCGGCTTCATGGCCGCGCTCATGGGTAGTAGTGCGCAAGCTGAAAAAGACGCAGAAGCAGAAGAAGAGCCATTTGATTACGCCAACGCGCCGAGCGTTCTCAACACTGCAGCAATTGAAAGTGGGAAGAAAAAGGGAAAGAAAGGAAAGATGGACGGCTTTGACCCATACAAGAAAGCACTTGATACGAAGAAGGGAGTGCCAAAGGGGCAGAGGGAGAGGACTGGTATGAGCGGCACGTTCAAGTCGTGATTCACAGACCTTTACGACGCATGGGCATGGATAGAAACTGCATTCATATGGCGTTCGGACGACAGCATGCACTTTGGCAATAGAACCGGACACATCCTAAAATTTGTACGGCGTCTCATCGGTGGCTCCTTTCGGAAGCCTTTGATCCTGCGCCTGTAGGATCGATCCTTAATGCGATAATTGTAAAACCGATCCACCCAAGTCAGATACATCTCTACGCGTCTATTCCAGAGCCTTTTTCTGATCTACTACAATACCCGCTTGCTTCTCGTCGTCTGTTGAGGCGCCTTCGAGGTAGGCCGTTTCAACTATGTCTCCATCTGTAACCACGGACGCCTCGTAGTCTCCGAACAGAAGACTGAGAAAGGTGTAGACGAACGCCGCGGTGACAAAACCGTACAACCAGTCGAATTTGTACATGTGCTGCGCTCCTTCGGATATGTGAACGGATGTCTGACCAGTCGATCCGGCGACGGCGTAGACGAGCCCCGGAAAATTGGGCACGAAGCCGATCAGGAAGGCCAAGACGGCGCGCCAGTTCACGCCGTTCCAGTATCTGTACCGCCCATGAGGGTCGTAGAGAGCCACGACGTCGAGCCTCTGCCTCTTGACGGCCCAGAAGTCGGCAGACAGGATGCCAGCGATCGGGGCGAGGAAGATGGCGTAGCCTCCCATGAAGGTAAGGAAGTTTGTAGCGGTGGCCACGATGCGCCACGGGACGAACACCCACGCTCCGACGATGGCCGCGACGACGCTGCCTCTCTTGATGTTGACGTAGCGTGGGAACATGACGGTCAGGTCGTTGGCGGCGGATATGGAGTTTGCGGTGACGTTGGTGCAGATCTGGGAGATCATCCAGGCGACGCCGCAGAAGAAGGCCGCGGCCCTCCCGCCGCTCGAGCCATCCTCGATCCAGCGGAGGTAGATGTTCAGCGGGTTCCAGATCAGCTCTCCGTAGACGACGGCGGTGGCGGACGTGCCGATGATCCCGATCAGCGCCCCGAGCACGTAGATGCACGGGATGAACGGTAGCTGGACCCACTGGCCCTTTGTCGACTTCGCGTACCGGGTGAAGTCCGGGATGTTGCATGCGAGGGTCGACAGGCCGCCGGAGACGGACGACGCGCAGCCGAGGAAGACCCAGGCCTTGTTGGAGCCGTGGACGGTAGCGTGCTGGGAAAATACCGGGCCAGCACCTCCGGCTTTGTGCACGCACCACGCCATCGTCGCGATTGCGGCGATTGGCGTCACGATCAGCTTGACGAGGAAGAGGGGCCGGAGCTTTCGAGGATGTATCATCAAGAGCGGCAGCTGTATCAGCCAGAGAATGAGGTAGCTGATGAGGGGGGTTTATCGTTAGAACGGCTGTCGTACAAGGTGGCGGGGGGCTGTGCGAGAGGGAAAAATTCACCTGATCATACCCTTGGTCGTGATGCCCATGTTGGAACTGATGTGGTTGGGAATGCTAGCGTAGGACGGCCATATTGACTGGACCATTGCCGTGACGGCCATCGATCCGTTCGTAGTGACGCTCCCCAGCCAGAACATGGCAAGAATGCATCGCGAGATGATGCAGAAGTAGCCGAAGTAGTATCCAAACGACGACCTGACGATGATGGAGAACGGCAGATGGGTCTTTGCGCCGATCGCCCCATTCATCGTGATGGCAATCGACGTGGTGAAAGAGCCGAACGCTACCTGGGTGTGCCAAAGTTCGTCAGCGCCAACGTTTTAATTTTCTTTCTTTCCTTATTTATGAAGCCTCACGTGCTGTCAAACAGCTTCAAAAGAAAAGACGTGGGGGAAATGGACTTCGAAACGTACTGCTCCAACCGCTTCCCTCCAGCTCAGTCCTGCTTTCAAGATACTTCCGCCTGTTTGCCAGGTTCCCAAGCTAATAGTTTCGGTGGCCCAATATGCCATCCACGTCCACATTGACCATGTCTGGTCCTCCGGCTTGACGGGGTCCATGTCTTTGTTTGACCAGACATGATCCGGTGCCAGCGCGGAAGGCTCCTTGGGTAGCTCCCATGCCGACAAGGAGGTACAACGCGCGACCAGCTGTTGCTTGGATGGCAAGCCTCGCATACTTGCGTGGTTTTTAACGTGAAGGGATGGAACGGTAGGCAGAATCATACGACAGCGATCTACTTCGTCCTGAGCTTCTTTTGGGGACAGAGCGAGCTCATCTTAAATAGACATTGGACCGACTACTACACCAAGATAAGGAGCCTCCAGATCGCCATATTATCTCGAGGCGCTGACAGTCTTGTACACGCACACGAAAAGCACAATGGCGGGCGGTTGGATAGTCACTGCTGCTCTTGGTCGGCTCCCCCCGAAATTGAGAGCGGTACGCGGGCGAGAAAGCACAGAGCCTGAGACTGAAAGTAGACGATACTTTTGGTGCGGACTCGTCCTATCGTTGGAAGTTATGTCTGAACATAATTGGGCTCTTCGTTGAACGTTGAAGACCTACGGCTGAGAAAAGTGGAGACTCGGCCGAGATTGTGCAACTTACCCGTCTCACGGACAGGCTAGACGGTTGTCGTGAGACAAACATACTGTGTGTGGAGCACCCAGTGCGGCTCATTGCCTTAGACTTATGGGAGGTTTGAACTTTGGCTCGTATAAATGGAATGTAGAAAGCCAGGCAAACGATGGCGTTCAAACAAGGTAAGCACTGTAACGAAGCCCGCCCTTATACATCGAAACATCCGCCATGGCGACAACCACAACAGCGACGTCAACAGTTCCGCCAAATCCGCTCGTTTCTGTCATACCTGAGGTGAAAAATGACCCCGCTCGTGTCTGGTACTCATCTGGCGGCTATTCTAAATACCGCCCGATTCTGACCGGCGAAAACGCGAAGGAGACGTTCGAGTCGATCCCAGCAGTGGACGTGGGCAACATCTTTTCGCCTGACCTTGATGTCAGAAAGGCTGTTGCAGCAGAAGTAGGCAAAGCATGCGAAGAAGTTGGGTTCTTCTACGCGGTCAATCCGCCCGTTTCCTACGAAAAGATGGGCACGCGATTCCTGTCCATTCCCGTCAAAGAGAAGCAAGGAGGGGCTAACGGCTAGCCAGATGCCGCATTGGAAATGATGAAGAGACTTTTCAGCCTGCCGGAGGAGAAGCTGCTGAAAATTCACGTCGACAAAAGCCAAGGCGTGAAGGGATACTTGCCGTTTCAGTTCGAGGACGGAAGTAAGCGTCGTGCCGCGTTCAGCATGGGTAGAGACTACACGAATCCGGAGCAGCATTTCGTGGCCGTTGCGCCTGGCGGCACTGTCACGATCAATCAGTGGCCGGAGGACGATCTCCCCGAGTTTAGGAGAATCATTTATGATTATTGTAAGTGATGATAGTCGCCGCTGGATCAGGTTTGTGACTTGATGTTCAAGGCTCACAGCCTTCCAGACCAGGATGTTTTCAGATTCGCGAGAAAGCTGCTTCAGATCTTCGCTCTTGCTCTGGGGCTTGACGAAAGGGACCTCGATGAGACATTCCGCTATCCATTGAATGATATCACCATGCAGTATTACCCCATCCAGAGCCCTAATGCTCAGTCCTCCATTACTCCACACGCTGACTATGGTGGTACGCTGTCTCCTCCATCCTATTCCTTTCCTTCATGCAAGAATAAAGAAGCGAGCAGAGAATATGAGCTGACAGAACACGCAATATAGGATTCACTCTACTTTGTCAAGGTAAACGTTGTCCTCGAGATTCACATCTCCTGACTCTGCGCTGACGCCTTTTCCAAGATGATGTCGGTGGTCTCGAAGTTCTAAATGCCAATGGCAAATGGATACCAGCTCCCCCTAAGAAGCACGCATACGTCGTGAATACAGGTAGCTACATGGAGGTGCTGTCAAATAAACGCTTTTCTGCAACAGTTCACAGAGCCTTTGGAAACGCCAATAGCGAACGCTACTCGCTCCCTTTCTTCTTTAATCCAGATCCAGCTTCAATCGTTGTGCCTCACCCAAAGCTACTCGCCAAAGGTGAAAAGCCATTGCTCGAACCACAGCATATAGGCCGCTTGTCGCTGAAGGGCATGACGACGAACCGGCCAAATCACCCGTTCTTGAGGAAGCTGAAGGAACTTGGCTTAGACGAAGACGAACTTGACTACAGTTTATTTCTAAGGCCAATCGAAAGCATAGCAAAAGAGAGGGCCTAGGAAGTGTTAGGGGGGACTTCATAAGGTGCTATCGAGTAATCATTCACCAATGCAAATTTTCTACATAGATGCAAAGACCAAAATGCCTTCAAGACGAGAATTGGATGAGATTTAGAGCGCGAATATATTGACTAGTGTATTAAGTGATTGTAATTCTTGAAATGACCATGGCTTTAACTTTTCGAACGGGCAAAATCAAAGTTAGAGAGAACCCCCTCTAGGCCTTTCGGTAATGGTAGCCAATTTGCCACCCCCGAACAGTGTAAAAATGGCGTGGATTTCTCCGCGAAATCTTTGAGACAAGAGAATCGTTTGCGTCGTAGCAAGCGTGCGAATCGCCAGCGCGTTTCTAGGACTAACGCGGCTGGGATTTGTGGGGTTCGGGTCGGTTTTCTATCCGCCTTACGAAGCAGGCCGAGCTTTGCTTCATAAGTCGCGCAGCTTAGGACGATTATGCTATTTCATGCATCATTGCTCTGCCTTGGACATGACGAAGCGAATGGGGGCAGCGCATGAAAACAATGCCAAGGGTTACGCAGCGTGCTCCTTTATCATGTTATCCGTGTTCCAAGAGGAAGATGCGCTGCTCCAAAACCATCCCTTGCCTGCATTGCGTGCGTCGAGGGATCCCGGAGCAATGTGTGCGCGAGGCTGTCATTCTGACTAAGACTCTTCCTGGGTCACCGTTAAAGATATCTCCCTCACAGCTAGAAATCAGCGGCGAAACCACTAGGAATGGCACCTCTGGTCCGGTTGCATACGTCTCGAATGGAGCAGCACAGAGACCTTCAGATGTCACTTGCAATAGCTCGAATCATCCGGATCTCGAAAGAATTTTGTCGCCCACGCCTTTGCCAATCGAGACCGTCCTTAGGCCCGGTTGGAATCTGGAGTCGACTTCTTTGGCGCCGGAATACAGTTCACTTCGCCGACAGTCTGGCAGTCGACCCGCCGGCGAAACAGACACTTCTCAGCGACCTTCTGAGCCGAATATAGAGGTAGAGGCTGCGAATAATCTGGAGACTTTATCGTGGGGCAGCCACCAAGGCCTTGCTGAGACAAGCCGTTCTCGAAACTGGGCGTTGCGTATACGCGGCTCCCTCACAGCTTTCCAGGAGAGAGACGTGCTTGAGTTCCATCGAATCCATGTAGCTTGGACACATAATGTTTTGCACATGCCTACGTTTATTCAAGAGTGCCAGCTACATCGTCAGACGCCGCAAAGTCTGCCGAAAGCTGCATGGCTGGTTCTGTATTATGCCGTTCTAAGCGTATGTGAGCATTCTACTTGTTTCCACACCGGAACTGATCGTATGAATGATTTTCTCATGATGCTTATTGTGTAGCTGTCATTCATGTATATGGGAAAGGAACGCGCCGATCGAATAGGCCTACCAGATCTCCATTTGCTCTCACAAAGCTTCTACGAACTTGCGCTAGAATCTATGCATGCCGCTGAACTGGCCACGAGCAATTCAAGTCAGTGGTTCTTTTACGCTGTGGATCGGTTGTACATGTTTTCATCCGGCTAACAAAGTTTCTTGATCCAGTCCACTTGCTACAGGCCATATGTGTAATCCTGCCGTGTTGCCATGCTTTTGGGTACGCATGCTCTGCAATGCCATTCTTCGGCTCTTTCAGACCACCTTTGTGTCTATTGCGCTTTCTATCTAAAAGGCTGATTTAAGTACAGGGACGGTAAGCGAATCATTGTTCTTCTGGCTATGGCGAATGCAGCAGCACAAATGATGAATCTCCACAGACTGGAGCCATCTCAGCAACGGTCGTGGACAATGCCTGAAATCATCGACCGTGAAATAAAGAAACGTGTCTGGTGCTTCTTGTGCATACAAGATCACTACCTCACGACATTCAAACGCAGTTATTCCATTGTCATGGCACACTGCACAACGCCTCCACCGGCTAATTGCTTCGAAGAAGATGTCGCAGCTGAAGTGCCCGTCGAATGGTTCACACAATGTACATATCAGCGTCTGCTATTCGACATGACGAACATTGCACGGGCGCTTTTTGACAACGTCGCATCTCTTGAAAAGCAAAACTGCGATATGTCTGAGATCTTTGAGAAAGTTCTCGAGGCTGATACAAATATGAACCGCCTCGCGTGGGACATGAGATACTGGCTTCGGGCGCAATCCACAGAAGGCAGCGGAATTCAAGTCTACAACACTGAAAGTGCAGGGGCAGTCATTGAGAATGTTCGTCGAACGATGCGAATCTCTTTCTGCCATAAACGCATTGCTATCCACCGAAGCTTTTTTTGCCGGAGTCTGGCAGATAGGAGATTTCACTACTCATATTCGACATGCCTCGATTCCGCGAGAACCATTTTACAGGAGGTGACGCAGTCCTGCACCAAGCCATTTGAGATTGATTGCTGGACGATTCCTGCCCACGCAATCAGCGCGTGCATCATCATCATGCTGAAGACGGTTTTTTCGCGCTGTTTCATCATGGACGAACTCTCAGCTCAGAGCACACAAGACCAAGACCTGATGGAAAACTGTCTGAATATTTTGAGGCCGTTGAAAGATAGGAACAAGATTGTGGAGAGGGGCATGACGATGATACAGAGGTTGATCGATAGCAAATACGAGCCGGAACGAACGTACACGGCTCTTGACTCTGAGGAGATGGCACGCCTTGTTCGCGAAGTGGAGGAGAAGATCAGCGCAGAGAACGGCATGGAGGACATAAGCTGTATGGCGTTCAGCGATGGCATCTTCATGCTCTTTGATGAATAAGAGTATTCGCTCGTCCCAATGTGCAGGTTGGGATGGAACAATAAGTACTAGGGGTGGCCTCGATCCGTTTGCTCAGCGGGTACCAGTTCTACCAATGAGAGCATCTTGTAGCATCTTCTGCTACAGAACAGTTCACGAAGTAAAACGAGCAGCCATCTCTCGTACTTTTTCAGTCTCGATAATTGAAGATGGAAACGATAAGGGAGGCGTCACGATGCACTGCGTGTTCCTGACTAGATGCGATACTGTGATTCGTCTGTAACGAGCTACTGGCCAGCGAGCCCCGTTAGCTTGAACCTGTTTCAGACTCGACCTTGCCTCCTGTTCAGCGCAAAAACAGGAGTCGGAGACACTCACTTCGCTGTCAGAAGCCCAAGCCGCGCAAGATCGAGTGTAAATCGGATATCTGACTCCTGGAAGATGGTCTCGAATAAGCCCAGGGACAGCGTTTCCGTTGCCTTCTGCCTTCTTTGATCCCTCGCCATTCAGATTGCCTCGTATCTGTCCGTGTTCTACGTTTCGCTGTTGATCCCGAGGGGTAGCATACATATCAAACAAATGCTCGTTCAAGCCTTTACTTGCTTCCGCAAAACATGGGCAGGAGCAAATATCGACAGGCTTAGTATATATCAGCTCTGACATCGCTGTCGTCCAATACGAACTTGATGAAGTTCCATTTACGCATATTCGTTACAGCATGCAGAACTACTTCCTGCTGAGGTGAGAGTTCGAGAGTGAATGATATCTCGAGTTTACATGTGTTGACTTTTGCGAAGGGAGCTGAACTAGGGTCAAGCAAAAGTTAATCTCGAATTTTTTATTCTTTGGAGTTTTTTTGATTAGATATTAATTAATGTTCACATTGAAGCATCAACAACAAGGGCTTGGTGGTGTAGTTGGTTATCACGTCAGTCTAACACACTGAAGGTCCCGAGTTCAAACCTCGGCCGAGTCATCTTTTTTTTTCCACCGTCTTACCTCGTCTATGTTTACATCACGTACGATTCTTAGACCTCCCCCCCCCCTTTTTTTTTTTTTTTTTTTTTTTTTTTTTTTTTTTTTTTTTTTTTTTGGCTTCTACAAATCTCATATGCTTCCTATAAAGCTGGATCGTGCTTCCAGAATAAATGAAAAGAAAGAATTGTTTAAGAAGAAGAAGCCGACCACGTATCTGAGGAGATAGCTGCTTCTGGAAACAGATTGGTCGGAAAGTTACTGGAAAAGCCTGCTTTTAAGTTTCAACTTACGGGAGGATTCAAGTAGAGATAGACTTGAGGCGTGAAAGCAGAACGTATAGTGCCGCACAGGGAGTCGAAGCGCTATCCGAGTTGGAGCGAAAGCTCTGAGATCCCATCTCTCTGAAGCTACCATACTTTGACGTTAAGATCTATGACTGATCGCAAATCTCGAAGAACGAACAGAAATAATTAAGTAGGTCTTCAATTGGCATCGCGGGAGCAACCGAGTTGATGATATCAAGATTCCATCCTCCACACCAGCATCAGAATCATCTGTAGAATGGGTTGAAGAAACGGCGACATCTATGTCACACACTACGCATGCTACTGCTTCAAGGCTGGCCTTGAGATCTCTCTTTAATCAACATAACGCACTAGCCGACCAATGCTCTTAGTCTCTAGCTGTTCAGCACCGTGAAGCAAGTCTTCACTGCCTTTATACGCATTCAGCAAGTTGAGCAAGGTCAGCATACCATCGTGGCTACGATCTGGCTTCAGAGCCAGACTTGGCATCCCAGCATTTTGCGTGTCAAAGTCGAGGAGCACTGAGATGTAACGCACGCCAACGAGGATCTTCTCTTATCAAACGTTACGCTTGTGTGGGCTCAATGTGTGAGTGCGTTCTACGGGCCGAGAGTTCGCTATACTGCTGGCGTCTCGACGTCATGGGGCTTTCAAACCCCACGTTGGTTTTCAGGTGTTCAACAAAAGCAAATCCGAGTGCGCCCGACAACAAAGTCAATTGAGCGATTATTTATCGCCATATACCAAGTCAGCCCGGAACGGTTGTTTCATCGAGTCAGATACCGTCTTCTAATCTGCGATCGTAACGCCCTGGGGCTCAATCGCAAAGTACACAGCCAACTTTTTGGATTTTTTTTCTTCTCTTTCCCTGAGCTGACCGCGGGGCTCCTTCAGGTGGCAATCATGACAAAGGTAGACCATAAGGCTGTACTCAGTATGTAACTGATCTGCTACAACGCTTGTGGTCAGTTCTGATCTTTCTTGACAGTTGTCATTGATGGCTGGGGTCTGCCATCCGAGACATCTCCCCCCGAAGGCGATGCGATCCTCGCTGCTGACACGCCTGTCATGGACGGTTTCGCCAAGGAGGGGAGCGACACTGCGCAGGGATATACCGAGCTTGAAGCATCAGGAAATGCTGTAGGGCTTCCAGATGGCTTGATGGGCAACAGCGAGGTCGGCCACTTGAATATCGGTGCTGGCCGCGTGGTTTGGCAGGACGTCGTTCGTATCGACAACACTATCAAGAAGGACAAGATGAGAGATGTAAAGGAGGTTAAGAACAGTTTTCAGCGAGCCAAGGACGGCAACGGCAGACTGCACCTCCTTGGGCTGGTCAGCGACGGCGGTGTGCACAGTCATATCAACCATCTCATTGCACTGCTCAAGGTTGCAAAGGAAATGGACGTACCGAAGGTGTTTATCCACTTTTTCGGAGACGGCCGAGACACCGATCCGAAATCAGGTAAAGGTCACCTGGAGCATCTTTTGGACGAGTGCAAGAAGATTGGCCTCGGAGAGATCGGCACCGTCGTTGGACGATACTATGCCATGGATCGTGATAAGAGATGGGACCGAGTTGAAATCGCTATGAAGGGCCTCGTACTCGGAGAGGGCGAGGAAAGCGACGATCCAGTTGCCACGATAGCTGAACGGTACTCCAAAGACGAGACCGACGAGTTCTTGAAGCCAATCATCGTTGGCGGGAAGGAGCGGCGGATTCAAGGTAGGTTCAACACGATTAGCTCTTCTTCTAAATCTGACGCGGTATTCCAGACGGCGACACTCTGTTTTTCTTCAACTACCGCTCCGACCGAGTCCGTGAAATTACTCAGCTGATGGGTGATTTCGACCGCTCTCCAAAGCCGGACTTCCCTTATCCCAAGGACATCTCCGTGACTACCATGACGCGCTACAACACTGCTTTCAAGTTTCCCATCGCGTTCCCTCCCCAGGTCATGAGCAATGTTTTGGCCGAGTGGCTTGGAAACCAAGGCTTAAAGCAGTGCCACGTCGCCGAGACTGAGAAATATGCACACGTCACGTTCTTCTTCAACGGAGGTGTCGAGAAGCAATTCGAAGGTGAAGAGCGCGAGCTCATTCCATCGCCAAAGGTAGCGACGTACGACTTGCAGCCTGAAATGAGCGCCATGGCCGTTGCCGAGAAACTCGCGGAGCGCATTGCGGAGGGCAAGTTCGAGTTCTTGATGAACAACTTTGCGCCACCGGACATGGTGGGTCACACTGGCGTCTACGAAGCTGCTATCAAGGGAGTTGCCGAGACGGACAAGGCCATTGGTGTTGTGTACGAGGCGTGCAAAAAGCATGGTTATGTACTTTTCGTAACAGCTGATCACGGTAACGCCGAGGAGATGTTGAACGAAGAGAAGAAGCCAAAGACGAGTCATACGACGAACAAGGTGCCATTTGTGATGGCCAACGCTCCAAAGGAATGGACTTTGAAGAAGACGGACGGCGTGCTCGGCGACGTGGCACCGACAGTTCTCGAGTGTATGGGCTTGAGCATACCTGAGGAGATGGATGGGACAAGTCTTTTGATTAAGAGCTAGAGTTTCTAGACATCTCTAGACGTTGATATAGTTTCTATGTAGAAAGATGGCGAGCAGGAGGACTTGGACGCGTATTTCAGAAGTGAGGAGACTTGTGTCCACGAGCTCATAGATAGTCTAGATACGCATATGGACAAGATAGAGTGCCTTCTTGGTACGTATTCATTAGACCCCGTTTCCGCGGATCTAAACATGTCCGAAGCTGTTCAAGAGCAGCCTGCTTAAAGTGCGTGGCGCTATCGATTTGGCCGTAGCATGAACATGCTGTGTTGTCTTCAATCCAGTTATAAAACTACTCTTTTTTTTGGTTTTATTTCTATGTATTTTTTTTTATTTTGTTTATTCTCCTTCGAACAGAGAACCCGGTGCTCCTGAACGTTTCGCCCGATGAACAAAGAGAAGCATATGCGTGGTGAAGCACGAGCAATCCCCGTTTTGTGCAAGTCTTGCACACACCAGGCATGTAAGTCAATGCAATACCAGATACAGCAGTTCACGTCAGTGTTACGACTGGACCGTCCGATGCCTCATTAGCAAGAGCACGCACCATTGCCAGATTTCCACGGCTACATCGTCAATCTTTGCGAGCTCGTTGTTTGAAGTATCCGCTATCGAAAACATCTCGCCTTACGCGGTCCACGCTCGTTCTCTCTGTTCTGTTCGCTACGCGGTACCAAAACACAACGAGACCGTTTCACTCCTAGGCGTAGATCAGCGGGAGGAATGCGTCATGCACGTATTTCCCGCTTGAAAGGTCGACCGTCTTCTGGGCTCTGGGAACATCGCTGCTTGATCGGTCTTGGTCTGAGGCTGCTTACGACGCGAGCGCCCGCAAGCCCTGTATTTACGCTGCAGAAGGAAACGCGGTATGGGCAGCATACTGACAGAATCAATTTGATAATTGCAAGCAAAAAAGAAAACAAAAGAAAAAAAATTAGCTCCGACGCTGGCTGCATGTCCCAAAGGTCAGCGAGATCGGCGGCGTGGCGGTTGTGCATTAGAGTGGAATTGTCCCTGCGAGTCGTCCGTGTAAACGTCAGGAAACGATGCCAGCCTTGTCAAGCTCTGCAGGCCTTTGCTAGACAGCCATTGCGTTCATTTCTCTATTCATACGGAGTTGCAAATATACTCAGAGTCTTCCTTCGCTTGTCGGTTTCTCTCGTCACAGCTGGAGCTGTTCAACGTCTCGATTCTGTCTTCGCTCAACATCACGCTTCTGTCGGTGTATTTATCTACAAGTCTGCCGCGATGAAAGTCACGCCTTTCAAAGATCCGTTCATTTTAAGGCTGCCGGAGCCCTACTGTACAACATACGAAGTGTTCGAAACGGGGAGACATGATTCGGGCGTCGCTCGACTGCAAATACGGCGCACAAAGCCAGCTCCTAATGCCTTGCCAGAAGGTGCCGAACCACCCAGCAGGCTGCACAGTCACGATTTGTCCTTCACCGAGCCTGAAAGTGCCAAAGAGCCGCCCCCGAAGTCTGACAACACGGCATGGGGTCGAGCTTGCCGAAGCCCCGTGGTAAAGTTCGAATGGAAGAAGGACAGCGCGCCAACTCTGGCACAGCTCTGGCTGGCTCTGTACGCGCTTTTCGAGAGATGGCCTCAGTATGAGCAGATACGTCTGATCTTCAACGGATGGAATGCAGCGGTTGCGAAGAGTCAATTGTGTGCCGTGATGCTAGCCATTCAGCATCCTTCGAGGGACAATTTAGAGACCGATGCTGAATCTACGAGAGACTTAGCTAGCAGCGTCAAGGACCAGCTCGTCGCTCTCCGAAGCGCATTCTGGCAAGGGGCCGGGTCGCCATTCGGGCCACGTCCAGTCTGGTTACCCGAAGTACCGTCCGCGACTGTGTATCCTTTGTCGAGCTACCCGCCTCCTCCTTTGATTCCTACTCAGACGACGACGTTCCCATCTGGTCGAGTCCACATGCGCCACCTGCTGCGCCCTCAGAAACCTAAGCCCGGATCGATCATCTACAGTCGTTACATTCCCCACCTGAAGGAGCATTTCTCCATGGTGGCTCTTGACGTGAACAATAGTACGCATGTTGACCTCTTCCATCGATGGCAGAACGATCCTCGTGTTGCCCGAGGTTGGAACGAGAGTGGCACGCTTGAACAGCACATCAAGTATCTGAAGGACATGGATGAGGATCCGCACAAGTTGGCGATTCTCGCCAAGTTTGACGGCACCTTTTTCGCTTACTTCGACATTTACTGGGCCCAGGTAAAGAGACTTGGCTGATCGATGCCCTTCCCAGCACTTGCTGATGAACGTCACAGGAAGATCCCCTCGGAGCATTCCGGTCCTTCCATCCGCACGATCGAGGTCGGCACAGCTTAGTAGGCGATGTGCGGTTCCGAGGCCAGCACCGCGTAGTGGCATGGTGGTCCGCCATCCTGCATTACATCTTCTTGGACGAGCCAAGAACAATGCGAGTCGTAGGCGAGCCTGACGCCACGAATGCCACGGTCTTGGCCTACGATTTCGCCAACGGATTTGCTGTCCGGGAATGGGTGGATCTGCCGCACAAGCGTTCGGCGCTGATGATTTGTCCACGCGAGAGATTCTTCCAGATTTGCCCCATGGCGTATGACGGAATGATACGGGGTCCTGATGGGATAAACCCCTTGCTTATGCCATCCAAGCTGTGAAAATTGTACAATGAAATGATGGAGCATCTTGTAGAGCGGTGATCATTGTCACAAGATACTTGTTTACAACTTGTTCACCGCAGTTATCAACGCGGTGGAGTACACGATCTTGCCTCATCAGTTCTCGCCAGCTCATGGATATCCTGGAATTTCTATTTTTTTTTTTTTCTTCTTTCAACGTCGAATTCTAATCCCCCTTTGTGGCTACTTCTCCCGGCGATTTGGTCTTGGAAGACCGATTGGATTGCCCAACGGCTTCTTCAAAAAGCTTGTGATGATCCGTTACAATTGCGAAACCTCCTTAACGGTCAGTACCTTAGGGTCCTTGCACCACGAGCAGTCCCCACTTAGTTGCATGATCTGCATCGCGAAAATTTTGATAAGATCATATGATGATCTGATTAGATGGCACAATTCAAGCTACCGCATACCATTCTGGGCGGTGCTTGGTTCATTGCAGATGACGCTGGCTTGCGGGCCAAAAGGTCCTGTATTCGAATATGCCTATTGTCTCCGATCCTCGGTGGGGTCGTATGTGGATCTTCAATATGCCGCATCATTTTCCAGAGACTTTTTTCGCGTCATAAGCGAACGGTTGCTCGGCACACGTTTTGGAGTAGCCAAAATGATCACTCGTCTTTCGCTGCTAATGGCACTCGTTTCTCTCCGCTCGGCGGGACGATTCGTTTTCAATTTTTAGGTTGGCTAGACGACGTCGTTATGAGCTGCTTTGCAAGAACAGAGGCTTAGATCTATCTCTGTTGGCAAATATGGACGCGCACAACGAAGTTAAGAAAGATGGCTCGTCATCGGAAGGCTCAACTTTCAGGCCCTCAATTGTCCATGGGCCAGCAGAACCTCCACTGGTGTCCTTGACGCTGGGGGCTTTGCTGGATCTACAGACGCGAAAATATGGATCGAGAGAGGCTCTGATTGTACGATGGACAGGAGCGCGATGGACGTACAAAGATCTATGCGATCACAGCATCAACTTGGCAAAAATGCTTCTCGATGTGGGTATACGACCTGGTGACCGCGTTGGAATCATGGCTGGAAATTGTGAACAATATGTATGCGTCGTTTTCGCTGCCGCACGCGTTGGCGCCATCTTGACGGTTCTGAACAACACGTACACAGCAGGAGAGGCACTCCGAGCTATGAGACACACAGGTGACCGCCCCAGCTCTTGGAATCGTAATGAGTCTTGCTGACAGGAGTTCAAGGATGTAAGATGTTATTCACCACCTCTCGCATTGGCGCGGTAGACAACAAGATTTTGCTTTCACAATTGGTGCACAACCCGGATCTTGTGCCCACACTGGAAGAAATTGTCATCTTGTACGGAGAGAACGACGGCTTTAGAACCTACGACGAAGCTATCGAGGATGGTCGTCAGTTGCCTGGCGATGCGCTGGAAGAAGTACAAGGCGCTCTCGGTGCTAATGATATATGCATGCTTCTGTTCACTTCTGGTTCTACGGGGAACCCAAAGGCTGCTGGTTTGACTCACCATGGTGTCGTCAATAACGCGCGATTCATAGGAGATCGCATGGACCTCAAAAAAGAGGATGTTCTTGTTTGCCCTCCGCCTCTCTTCCATTGCTTCGGACTTGTCCTTGGTCTTCTTGCGGTCATCACGCACGGAGCGAAAGTTGTGTACGCGAGCGAACTCTTCGATCCTATCGCGACTTTACATGCTATATCCGAAGAGAGAGCAACAGCCTTGCACGGCGTTCCTGCCATGTTTGACACGCTCTTCAGCTCACGGAGAGACGGTTTAGACCTGACATCACTAAGGACAGGTATCATCGCTGGCTCTCCTGTTCCAAAGCACCTCATGAAGCTCATGTCGAATGAGTTTGGCATGACTCAATGGACGAGTAGTTACGGGCTGACGGAAGCTTCGCCAACCTGCTTCAATGCAACGACAAGCGACACAATGGAGCGCAAAATGAATACAGTGGGTAAGATAATGCCCCACGCGCACGCGAAGATCGTGGACAGGAATGGCAACATCGTACCTGTTGGCACCCGCGGCGAGCTGTGCATGGCCGGGTACCAATTGCAGGCGGGCTACTGGCTGAACCCGGAGAAGACCGCAGAATGTATGGAGCTCGACGAGGATGGTGTCTTGTGGCTGCACACTGGAGATGAGGCGGTCTTTGATTCCGAAGGGTACTGTACGATCACTGGACGCTTCAAAGACATCATCATCCGGGGCGGAGAAAATGTAAGAAGTATATCTCGAAGAACATAACTTGAACGCTAACAGAATGGCCAGATCTATCCACTGGAAATGCAAGTTTACTTTTCTAGAAGATATCTCTTGACAAGGTGATCTGTGCTGACTACGGTTTAGTGAAGATAGATTAGTCGAACACCCGGCCGTGGAGCGGGCCATAGTCGTTGGCATCAAGCATGCTCGTTTGGTAGAGGTCGTGGGTGCATTCTTGCAACGAAAACCTGGACACGAGCGACCGAGCGACGAGGAGCTTCGAGCTTGGACAAGACAGACTTTGGGCAGACACAAATCACCGCATCATATATTTTGGCTTGGTGAAGATGGCTTGACCGGCGAGATACCTCTGACGGGAAGCGGGAAAATCCAGAAGTTCATGCTCAGAGAAATTGGTGAACGGTGGCTATCTCAGCGCCAGGCTACAGCCGTTCAACCTAGATTGTAGATTACTTGACGTCCCTTGTGCTGACTTGGCAATAAAATGCGCAAATTGAGAGGGAAATTCGTTTCAGCAAATCTTCCAAAGTGCTTCCTGATAGTGTCGACAGAAATCAATGCCAATATTCACTTTGCAAAATGTTTCGCTACAGTATCATTAACGAGAACGTCCGATCATTGCCAGATATCATCCATCAGCCGAACAAATCATGCTTACAATGCTGGTCTTTGGACCTGCTCTCTTCCCAGGCCATTCTCAGCCGCGTTTTCGGCGCTTTTGTCAGCGCTCATGATTGACTTCAAAATCCTGTCTGCTCTCAATGCCATGAATGAAAAAGCGTCGCTCGTGCCGCCTTCAAACCCGTCAATCATCCAGATCCCCGCTCGACGATCGACAAATCGTCGGTCGAGATTGACTCTGTAGTCGGCGTTCACACTCAGGCCCCCTTTTCTGTCGTCGAAATATTCCTTGAGCGGCGCAACAAGCCTCTCGTGCAAGCCGCGCGAATACCCGGAGGCGGCGAAGACAAAGTCGAAGGGCCCATGAGAGCTCACAGTGTGGTCCAGCACATTTTCGAAGAACAGAGTTAACTTGCCCGATTCGTCTTGCCGACTTGCTCGAACGAGCTTGCGGCATTGTGCCACCGTGAACTCGGACTGTTCTTTGGTGGGGTTTCGAATGTCTTGTGCGTAGTTTCGAAGGTACAGAGAGCTGAGAATGTCGGACTGCATGGTCGACTCTGGCTTTACATGGCCGTACCCTCGACTGAGGGTCTCGAACGTTTTGGTTTCTGATGCAAGCAACGTGTTCCGAGCGAAGGGGTTCTTGTCTGCTTGCTGAAAGACGTCTCCATCCGTGAAAAGAGCTATCTCGGCCGGTCTCTCCCACGACATGCAGTGCTGGAGAACTTCGGCGGCTTCGTCGTTCGAGCCGCCAATGATTGCGATTTTGAGCCGGTCTTCCGCCCGCTGAAGGATCTTGGGTTCTACCAGCCTTAGGTCCGAACTATGAGCGACACGGTCTTCAAGCCCGGGTTGGCGAAGGATGGCGGGAATCTGCTTGAGCACTCCGGGAGCGACGATGACTTTTCTTGCGATCACGGAATCCACGTTCTTGCTGACGATGTCGCGAACTCGAATTCGAAAACGATCGGTCGAGCTCGCTTCAGGAAAATTCGGCTCGACGGACATCGCTTCGCGGCCATATTGCACCCAATTCATCTTTTCAAACTGTGTTCACTCTGAATTAGCAAGTCCCATTTTTCGGTCTGGAAGCAATGCGCACCTTCTCTGCACACCATTCGAGGTACATGCCAAACAGCCGCCTTGGAGGATTAATCAGTCCAAGGTTTGTGTATCCCACCAGTTTGTCCGTCGTCCATAGATAGTTGACGAAGGTGAATTCGGACTTGGGATTTCTGGCGGTGACCAAATCGTGCACCATGTTCGTTCTCATTTTTGCCCTCCCATCTGGAAACTCGTTGCCACGCCAGCGGAAGCCGGTGGACTTCTCAAGAATCAAGACATCCTTCGGGGCAGCTTCTTGCTCGTACAGAGCGATCGCCTGCGCAAGGCCTGCGGGACCAAAGCCAATGATGACGACCTCATAGCATTTCTCCCGCTCGACTACGGCGTCATAGCCGACTCCTGCAGAGCACTCCATCGTCTCGTCTCTGGCGTCGGAGGTATGACTGTTGGAAACAGAAAATGAAAGAGCTTCAGAAAAAAAACCAAGAACATGAGGTCGGCCGCGAAAGGTTTTGGGCTTGAAGAAGCTAGGGCTTCAGCTCTGAATCATATCATACCACAATTCAGCCAAAATCGACGGCGGCATGTCCAAGAGCATGGTCCATCAGTGCGTGGCTAACAGGTGCCAACGCCGTAAGCCGTCGTATCCAGCTCCACGCTCTGGCAAGGGCTGCTGAAGGGTGATCAGCAGAGCTTCGCACCATTTTTTTTTTCATGCTCGTTAGCGAAGCACGGTGGAGACCGCCAAGGTAGGTCTACAGACGTCTTTCAATAAAGGCACTAACAGCTAGGTTACATGCAATGGCATATCCCGTACAAGAAGGCCAAGGTGCTGGCCACTCGCGGCCTTGCAAACGTCCAACGGGTGGAGCAACTCTGGGCGAAATCTCCCTAATGCGACCCACTCGGCATCCCTGAGAGTCCGGCTCGTAAAGAGCGGATCAGATAACTTTATACTCGCAAGTCGTCAAGTGTCCAGACCACGGGTACCCGGGCGTTGACGTCTGACCAGCCAGCGTTTCAACAGCTGTGAGGAGCCGGTCGTACGACTTCGCACGCATCTCTGAGCCATGTTGCTGGACTCCAACCGAAATTGAAACGCTCAAAATGGGCTCCCTGTTTACAGAACTCCGATACCGCCGTCTGTAGTGCTCTACGCCGCCTGTCTGGTGTGGGTAAGCAGGCTTTCGATGGAGCAAGGACATCGCTCAGTTCCTCACGTCTCGGACTGCAAGTCTGTGAGTCACTTCAAAGGAACGATCATGTAAAAACGAGATTCTCCGGCCTAGGAGCCACACAGAACTGCGCTCCTGAATTCGACATGACACTCATTCCCACTCGAGTGCTTATTGTAGGGGGCTCGTACGCGGGCGTGGGTGCCGCATTGAGTCTTCTCAACCTCTGTGTTCGTCGCGTCACACGCTTCGGCACAGCCTATCATGCGCCCCCAGAAGTGAAGGATGACATCGCGCTGGACATTCACATTGTAGATGAGAGGGATGGTTACCGTGAGTTTTCCTTTTGCATCGAATCAATTTATTCTTACTCACTTGTCCTAGTGCATCTCATCGGCTGTCCCCTTGCATTTTGCTCCAGCGACTATGCCCCAAAGATTTGGCATAAGTTTGAAGATATTCCAGCTCTACGTCACCCTAGCATTCGCTGGACTAGAGGTTCCGTCGTTAAGGTCGACACTAATGCACTGACTGCCAAAATCCGTCATGCTGGGAGCGATATCGAGTCGCAGCATGCATATGACTATCTGATCGCCGCATCTGGGCTCAGACGAGCTTTTCCCGTCGTACCACAGTCTCTCACTCGAAAGCAATATCTGCTGGAAACTGCTGACCATGCGCGCAAAGTACAGCAAACGAAAAATGGAGTGGCTGTGATAGGTGGAGGTGCTGTGGGAGTCGAGATGGCTGCGGAACTCAAGCTTGTCCAGCCGAATCAGAAGGTGACCTTGATTCACTCGCGCGACAGACTGCTTTCATCCGAGTCTCTTCCAGCCGAGTGTAGCAAACTCACCATAAACGCTTTAAAGGAGCTAGGCGTCGACGTAGTATTAGGCGAAAGGGTTGTCGAAACAACAGCAGCAAGCGGCGGTGACGGAGAGACCATTCACAGGATAGCACTGCAGAGCGGGACTGTGCTTACCGCAGGCCATGTGATATTTGCTGCATCTGGAAGTGTACCCACAGGTACATACCTTCCCAGATCCTGTTTGGATGAAAAGGGCTACGTGAAGATCAACAAGCAGTAAGTTTTGCACGGAACGGAAACTCGTCTTGCTCTGACACGAATAAGCCTGCGATTCCTGAACGGGGAGCGAAATGACGAGCGTCACTATGCAATCGGGGACATGGCAAAATGGTCTGGCATCAAGCGCTGTGGAGGGGCCATCGCGATGGGGAGGACCGTTGCCGTGAATCTGTATCAGCAGATTATTGCCGAAAAGTACAAGATTGCACCCAAGTTCGAAGAGTGGCCCGAGATCCCGCCGTAAGTCGCCTTCTACGACGTATCAACGTATTTCAAGCGTCTAATGACGTGCTAGCATGATTGCTCTTGCCATCGGAAACCAGGCCATGGTATACGCTCCCGAGATGGGTGCGTCTTGTTCTGAGAGCAATGCAAAGATCTACTTCCGCGACGATCTAGCCTTCGACCGTAAGTATACTCCGACGTTGTGTTTCTATTCGTGTTGGCTGACGACGAACAGAATGTTGGGATCACATGAAGATGTCTGAGCGATGGTGATTAATTCTATCGAAGCTGGCGGTTCAGGCCTCGTTGCGCGATGTTTCTACATTTCAGATGTTTCTACATTTCAATTTTCCATTCAATCTAGACTTAGTTGACGAGTGTTGGGGGGGGGAATGCATTCCGCTTCATCCATAACGCCTTGTGCCATTCCGAAATCTTAGCAAATCATTAGCGATGCAATAATGGACCTTCAAATGAGCCTCTAACCAGGTTATACAGGCGTACGATGGTATTTGACGGCATGCTCAAAGCCAGCAACACTGGCTCGGGTCTGCGCTCGCTTAGCAACCCTGCGACAACGTTTGCAACTTTCTCATACTCGGATCTCTTCGGAAAGTGTTAGTAACAGCAGCGCGGAAGAGAGACGGAAACGACGTCAACCCATGTCGCCTTCGGCGTAGACCAATGCAAACATACTAGGGACACCGACCTCGGATCAGATAATCTTTTAATTTGGCTTGGCCTGCCCGCGGACTTGGTTTCTATTGCGATCAAGGCTCAAAAAGGGGATAAAACGCAATGGAAAAAAACCCATAATGCCCCAATGGGTCCTTTGTTCCGCTTGCTGCAGGGACGCCACGCATTCTCTTGGCGTCAAATAGAGTTATCTGATGGAAACTCTCGACCCGCCGTTATGACGTGCGAAGTTTTTTGCGCCGGTGTTGCAGCTTGGAGCACAACATTTAGCATATTCCGCCTCGGTCTCTGTCGGAATCATGTCTAGCTCTCTTTATGACCGAAAAAAAAAAACAGAGATTTTCTTGAATCGTTGCAACGTTTGAGGACAAGAATGAAATGCGAATGCGACATACAGACATTGTCTCGAGGATTTCGTCTCAGCGATTAAGAAGTATGCGGGTACGGGATGAAGAAAAGCAGAGCAGCTGCGAATGGCTGAAGAGGAATCAGATTTGGCAACAAGATGTTCGAGAACTCATGTTCACAGGTCAATCCTATTTTTACGTCCTGTTTAGGTAGCAAACGTGGGTTTATTTTCCCCCGCAGCTTACAACTTTCCAGATCGCCGGCTGGGCAGGCTCCCGGCCAGTTTCTTACTTTTGGCGATGTTGCCGTGACTATACTTGCTACCGTCCGCAGGACTCTCGGGGTTATCAGCCAGGCCGTTGTCGAAATCGCATATGCGGTCGAATTCCTAAGAGCAAATGAGTGAGAAAGGGTGAGAGGCAGAGAGAAGCGGCAGGGAAAGGTACCTTGTAGACGGCCTCCACGCTTGGGATGCCCGCGTCGAAATCAAAGTCCACGCCACGAGCACGTTGCCATCTTGTGTTGGCAAAATGGCCGCAGCCGGCTTCGTAGACCTTCCCCGGCGGGCTCGGGTTCTGGTCGCTGCAAAGCAGAGCGACGAGCGGCGCGACGTACTCCGGCTTCATGGCCTGGACTTCGGCTTCTGGCCGGACCGTCCTTGTCATGTTCGTACCTGCCAGCGGAGCGACAGCGTTGACCAGAATGTTGTACTTTTGACCTTCGCGTGCCGTCGACGTAGTTAGGCCTATGATTCCGCATTTCTGCGCGACGTTAGAATGGATCTTCAAGCGGCAGGGTAAGAACGCACCGCCGCGGCGTAGTTGGCCTGGCCAAAACTGCCGTAGATGCCGCTTGTCGACGTGATGTTCACGATCCGGCCATACTTCTGCTTAAGCATGTATGGCCACGCGGCCTTCATGACCTTGTACGTTCCCCTCAGGTGAACGTTGATGACGGCATGCCACATGTCGTCCGTCATGTTGGAGAAGGCCTTGTCCCGAAGGATGCCGGCATTGTTGACGACGACGTCGATCCGCCCGTACTTGTCGATGACAGCCTTGACGACTTCGTCTCCCTTTTCGACGGTCTGCGTGATCGGAAAAGCTTCGCCCCCGGCCTGGTTGATGGCAGCGGCAACCTTCTCGGCGTTCACAACGTCGTTGACCGCGACCTTGCCGCCAAGCTTCGCAAAGAGATGTGCGTACGCCCTACCAAGGCCTTCACCAGCACCAGTGACAAGGACAATCTTTCCTTTGAAGCTGATCGGCTGTCCCGGTTGGTTCTTCGGTAGCCACGAGCCCTTTTCCAACATAGCAAGCCCATTGACGACGCTGTTTGGGTGCTCGACCTTGGAGAAGTCGGACACCTTCTTCCAGTGCCGCAGCAGCACGTCGGGCGTCAGGTTTTCGTCGGCACAAAGCAGCAGACCCTCCGAACGCTCCCATCTGATCTTGGAGAAGTGGCCCGACGAGGCCTCGAAGATGCTTCCCGTCTCCTTCACGTTCGACCTGTGCGTCAGCACGCCGACAAGAGGAACGACCCAGTCCGGCTTCATGATCTCCATCATGCGCTGGTCAAACACGGTCGCGGTAAGACGGCTGGCAGCGCCAGGCGCCAGCACGTTCGCAACGATGTTGTACTTCAACCCCTCCCGGGCTAGGGTTTCGGTGAAGCCGACCACGGCCATTTTCGCGGCCGCGTAGTTGGACTGGCCAAAGTTCCCAAAGAGACCCGAGGACGAGGACGTGTTGAGGATGCGTCCGTATTTCTGCTTTCGCATGTACGGCCACGCTAAAAAAAAAAACCCATCAGCAAGATGCCACAAAGCTCCGACGGGGAGACGAACCGGCTCTGGTGCACTTCCACGTTCCCGTCAGATGCACGGCGATGATCTTGTCGAAATCCTCGTCCTTCATGTTCTTGAGCGTGATGTCTCTCAGGATACCAGCATTGTTAATCAAGACGTCGACCCGGCCGTAGCTCTTGATGGCCGTCTCGATGATCCTCTCGCCGTCGACGACGGAGTCGTAGTTTGCAGTGGCTTCTCCGCCGAGAGCCTTGATCTCGTTCACGACATCGTCAGCTGCTTTGCTGCTTCCGCCTCCGGCGCCGTTGATCGAGCCACCGAGGTCATTGACGACGACTTTGGCTCCGCGCCGTGCGTAAAACAAGGCGTATTGACGGCCTAGGCCGTGGCCTGCGCCCGTGACGACGACCACCTGATTGTCCCAACGCATTTCAGACATTTTCGTACGGTAGATGGGGATTTTTCTTCTTCTTTTCTACGCGCAACTGAAGAATGATCGCAACCTCGCTTTTCAGTCGAGAAGTTCCATGTCAGCCATAGCCAGCCTTGCAAACCCTCGGCTTCTGCACCCCAGACCGAGACCCCGCAAACTTCGCCGACTGGGAAACAAACTGCCCACCACGGCCAAAACTTGTAGCGGGGCAACATGATTGGCCAAAGTGTTTCATTTTGGACGGAGGATGTGTGCTTTCACTGTGAGGCAATACACGGGTTGAATTGTTTTGCCACGTACAGGCACGTCGCGGACAGGTGACTGTGTCTGGATATGTGCCTGTACATTGCGGAAGGAGGGGAGATACATGCTAGATGGCAGCGCAAGACGAACAGGCACAAGCTGTGCGAAGCATTCCTCATCTTCGATCGTCGTCAAAGATGAGCAACGCTACCACTGTCTTGAAGGTAGCATTTAATACAATGGCAAGTTTGTGGCTGCGACGTCTATCGGGCTCCCAAGCGACAAGCACAGCGCATGCGAGAGCAGGCAATTGGGAACTCAGGAAATTTTCAGACGGACTTGATAGCGGTCAACACGGCTAGGGTCATCTTGAGTGCCTATCTTAAATCTAAACCCAGGAAATCAATTTGCGTCCTTGATCCACTACATGCCGCTACCATGGCCACGCGTCAATGAAGACGCGGTAAGGTCCAGCGGCAAACATCCGGCAAGGTTCGTGACGGAGTCCATACAAGGTCTGGAAACACATTTCGAAGCGACATCATCTCGCCCGGTCGCAGGGATCGAGGGAGGGGGGACAAGCTCCTCCGTGACGGTAATCTCACGCGTGATGTAGATTCTGCTTCTGCTGGACGGCGGCCGCAGCGATGCGTCGTCGGCAGTGACCGTGGTCGTGACAGCCGGCGCAACCTCGCATGTAGGATTGCGAAAGTCGAGCTCGACGTCGTCGTCTTCACCTGTGCTGAAGGACCGACTGTATCCTACGACTGGGCTCGGTTTCGTTAGTGGCATCGACTGAAGCGATGGACCATTTGCAAAAGCTGCCCCGCCCTTTGAAGAGGCGCTCGGGGTCCCGCATGGAGATGAGATTTGAAATCGATCTACCAGCGGTGTTGATGGGGCGGAGTGAGACGAGCTGGACCACATTTTGCCGAACTTGTCCCTGCCGCTGCTCACGGCTGTCTTGACTCGAGGGTACAACCCGCGGCCGACTACTGATCTCATGGCGGGCGCACAAGCGATCACGATGGCGGTGTGATTTTCGAGAGCGGAAGCGAAGAGGGACCGTCCGTAATTGTACGACATGTCCCCGTTGCGAATGACCTCGTGGATGACCCATAAGCGATAGCACGAGGAGCCCACAACGCTGGTGAGTGTCAGTGCTGAATTCGTACGCAGGCTAGAAGCCCGGACTTACATGAACCCTAATCCGAAGAGCACGACGATGCCGACTCTCTTCTGGCGAGACAGTTGGAGATTCCAGGTGAACAGGATGGGAATCAAGTACAGAACGCAGTCCATGGCAATCATGATGGAGGCATTGGCATGATAAAACAGGACGACGTCGATGCACCATCCCTCTGTGATGGTCCAGTCCCAGATCGCCGCGAGAGGAACACACTCGAACACAGTGGCCAGGAAGGACCCAAGCCAGAAGAGGATCGAGGCCAGTTCCATGAAGCATATCAACACCGTGCCCCACAGGTTCCTCGTGAAGGCACGATACAGCTGGAGCAGGCACAGCTTGACGCAGAGGTTGCAGGTGAAGTAGAAGCAGTTGATGGTGATGACGGTCTGCAGGCTCAGGTTAGTCGGGAAGCCATCGTGCAAGAGATGCTCGACCACGAACCGCTTGGAAACTCTCGCTGGTCGCAATCGACCCGTCGAAGTCGTGCCAGCCGAGGCCGCGCGTGGTGAGCAGCGCGCAGTTTGCGGACATGACCACGGCACAGACGTAGGCGAGGAAGATGAACACTGCGGATCCGGTCAGCGTTGACGATACGACGGTCCTGAGGTGGGTGTGCACGGCGTACGATCGTGAAGCTGGAACTTTCGCAGCTTCTGCCAGCTCCTCACGAGCCGAAACGTGACCGCGACGGTCGAGCACATCATGAGCACTGCGGCCGAGACGACGATGGTTGCCCGAAAGTCGCTCCTGTCACCCGGACTGGGTGGTTTCATGCCATCTTGGAATCGAGTCGACGCCGCCAAAAGGCCTCCTTGTTGACCTTCAGCGCGAGGAGTGTATTGCTCAACAGCCGGATGCTTCATGTTGGCGGCAACCGGTAGAACACTGTCAATTGAATGGCTTGAATGGCGTCGATTAAGCGTCTGTTGAATGCGGACTGTCTCGAACTGCTCGTTTAACGAACGTAATACCCAGCTATGGGTGATCAGCATGAGTTCGACATAAAGGGAGACACTCGGGACCAGCAGTTGAAAACTCAAAGCATACTCCCGGGAGGGCATTAACTTGCAAGTGAGCCATGTTGCTGGAAGTCGGATGTATGGAACAAAGTGACTTGGAAAGTCACAAGAGGTTCACTTGGCATGTCCATGATGGAGGAGTTTGTACGGGCCGCGCAAAGGAGCCGGTGGTAGAAGTAAGGAGGAAGTGAAGCTCGCGCCAGAACGAACGGATGAGCCTGCGAAGAACCCGTAGTGACAGAATCAGGTCAGTTTCTTGTTTGACGCAGCTCAAGCACATGGAGACCCGCATGTCCTCAACAAGTGAGAGTTCTTCGAGTCACCGCAGAGCGTGGGCGCGGATATCGCTGTCCCTGGTGGTTGATTGCCTCGCTCGTTAGTGCACATCACTCACGACTCTTTCTCTCTCCTCCAGATACTTTGACGCGACCCCTTCCCAATCTCGCTCACTGCCGACATGTGACATCAAGAGAGCATACGAACACGAAGACATGAAGACCTGATGAATTGTTTCTTTATTCGTGCTACGCACCTTTTCGGAATCTACTCTGATACCGCTACTCGACACGCGCCGATGCGGCCGCTGTTCAAGACTCTATCCGATGACTACCTCTCGTTCCAACTAGTCCGTTTTACACATTATCATACGATGCCTCAATGCCAGTGTTGTGAAAATAAAATCAATGTGCGTCTGTGCTAAAAACTATGCGAATGCTTTCCGGGAAACCGGCAATGATGACAGTAATGCTGAAGCAGAACAGAAGCACGTAGCATACCAGGCAATGCAGTCCCATACATTTACGCAAACACGCGCTGGATGTCGACCTTTTGACAGCTTGGGTTTTGCGGCGGATATGAGCCCAGGACCCAGTTCAAGGTCTGGTAGGTGTACCCGCCGAAGTAGGTCATGCATATGTACCAGCGGTAGTATGCCTTGAAGGCGCCAGCAACGGGAGGCGTGACGGTGTCGTCGATGTAGCTTTGAATCTGGAGACAGGTTTGGTCAGCACGGGCTCCTATCCCTATCCATATATCTATGTACGTGTTTGTGTTGTTTTTGCCAATGACGGGATAGAAAAGCGAGAATTGACGCACGTTCAAGAGATTCTTCGAATCGAAAGCGACTGCAGTGCCCACTTCGGACGGAGAAAAGATGGGGTGGGCGACATTGCTGCTCTCCAGCATGGTCAGCTCCAACGGCTCGCTGACGTTGACGCCCGAGGCTTGGAGCAGGTACGTGAGGTAGCCCGTGGCACCCGCGTCTGCATTTTCCACCGTGCTTGCGGCCGAGTAGTTGAAGGTGAACAGCGAGGCATCGGTGGGCACGGTGGTGATCTGGCCCGCGTTGCAAAGGCCTTCAATGGCGGCGCCCTCGTGGCATGCAAACAGCGAGGCGCCGTTCAGGGTCGCATTGTCGGCCGACACGATCTTCAGCGAGAACGGCGCCGTCTGGTTGGGATACGTCTGGGCGGAAACGAACGCAGAGACGAGCGTGGCGCCGGCCAGGAGAGATCTCGAGAGCATCGTCGTTGCGGGGGCCGAGATAGTTTCGTCGTCGTCGTTTGTTTGGAAACAAAAGATCGAAGGCTGAGCTGCAACGGACCGGAAAGCCGACCAACTTGTTTCGACAAGGCAGGCTCGGAACGACAGAGAGAAACAGGAAAGCGACAGACTGATGAAAGACTTCCTCCGTCGGCGGCGAGCTGGCGGTAGTCCTTTTGTACTGGCGACGATCGTTGCCTCCCGTCACCGCTTGGCATCGTCATTGTACAAACACACTGTCCGCGGTCGGGGCCCACGACGGCGTGTGCGACCAGCGTGCAACGGCAACCTGGCGCCCATCATCCGACGCCCCCATCGCACAGAGAGCCCAGAGACCAGAGGCCAGGACCGAAGCGGCAATTTCAGCACTCTGGGACTCGTCGTCTAGCTTGCTTGAGCTTCGCGAACACGAGCATAAGACGCTATCGAAAACTAACCGTCGGGCCCGCGATTGGCTGCGGGCGGGGAAAAAAAAAGCTTGTGATGCTCTCGCTCGCTGCTCAGCCAGACCCAGCCGGCTCGATCTTCTTTTGGGGTTTCCCCCTCTCTGCGTTATCACGCCAGCTGACTTCGCCTCCAATGTACGGGCGGCAGAAGGATGATGCCCATCTTGCCCGGAGCCGCGCGACATTGCGCCGGCGGGTCCAAGGGCTCGTTTCATCAGCGGAGGGAAGCGGGACTCGAACCTGTCGATTGTCATTAGCCTTTCCCCTCCGTCGTCGCACACATTCTGCTTTGCTTTGTTGCGCGGCCCAGATCGTCCGCGCCTGTGACAAATGCTTAGGGGTGATCGCCATCTCCAAAGGGCCCACGCACACACGTCGGCCGCTCACGAGGTCGACATGGACAGCTCACTCGCTCGTGGCAAGTGTCCGCGCCAGGGACCAGGAACCAGAAAACAGAAACAGAGAGCGGATGAAAAGGCCGATGATTGAAGGACAACTTGTGTGACGACTGTGGCTGCGCGAAGCCGAGCTGGAGCAGACTTTCTCGAAACTTACCCGGACCGGCAAGGTTCAAGAAGGCCCCGTTTAAAGAAGTGGTGCCAACCTTTCTCCGTGGACTTCCACCTCTGGCTCTCCGTGGCCCTTGATCCTCACGTTAAGTGGTCATCCCATGCTTCTTTTTGGACCACGATGGCCGCTCCATGTCTTCAGCCCGTCCGATCATTCGATGTCTGATGCGGACGATTTAGGAAACAGGCTCCCGTCTGGGCACGCTTGTTCGTAGACCGGCCTGGCATTGGGCGCGTTACGCAAGGCGGACCAAGCTGCGACAAGCTACGACAAGCTTTGCCTATCGCCTTGAGCAAGACGCAGAGGGGATTTGGCGAGCACGAGTAGAGTTCACCGCCAGAGACGAGCTTGTTCGACAAAGGAAGACTGGCCAGCGACTAGCTCAGCGTGAAGTCTAGGTTTATTTCCCTTCCTGCCGTGCCAGGTGGGAACCTAATCTACCTCTAACATTAGGGTTTACGTCCCCGTCCGTGTGTGCCATGCAAAGCGGTCTATCCCATAGCGCAAGTAATTCTACACATTTTGTTACAAGCGAACATTTCTCAGCTTCTAATGTCTCTGACGCCCCATTTTCCCACTTCCTTCATGGCCTCCAAACCACCGTCGGCAAGCTTTGGATCGTCCAAGACTCCGGCAACACACTTCCACCCGTCCCTTGCACCCCCCCAGCGCAGCACCTCGTTCTTGTACCGCTCACCCATCTCCCTGTCGAGCGCCCTGTCCCCGTCGCCAAACACGCAGCTCCACACCCTGCCAGCAATGGCCCGGTCGAACAGGTATGAGTAATAGGTGGCTCCATAGCCGTAGAGATGCCCGAAGAACCCCTGCCAGGCCGTGCCTGCGGGTTCGGGGACGGAAGAGTACTTGTTCCACACGTCGTGGTAGATTTTTGTCGAGTCCGAGTCCTCGGTCCATTGTCGAGCGTGGTACTCCTGGTCCAAGAACGCAAGCAGGATCTGGGCTTCGGTCTCCGCGCCTGCCATGCGTTTCTCGATCTCCAGCCGTTCCTTGACGAGGCCGAAGGGGAGAGGACGTCCGTCTTCCCAATGTCTTGCCCACAGGCCGAGCACTTGCGGGTTAAAGGCAAACTGTTCCATCAGCACAGAGGGCAGCTCCGCAAAGTCCGTCGCGCATCGTGTGCCAGACACGTTTTGCAGGTTGGTGCGGCCGAGCATGCTGTGCAAGGCGTGGCCCATCTCATGGAACAGCGTTTGGACCTCGCGAAATGTCAGGAGGGCCGGCTTACCCGAGCGCGACGATCGCTGTGGAAGTGCAAAGTCACAGATCAATGCGATAGTTGGAAGCTGGAAGACGGTGTTGGTGGCCGGATCGAAGCTGTGCGCCATGCCATCTGTCGCCGCTTCCATGGGTGAAGCAAAAGGGTGGGGTGAGTCTGCAAACTCGGCGACTTCAGATGGCAGAATACCGCGAGAGCAGCGTAAGGTAAAGTGTGCCGGGTTGGGCGACTTACCCGGACGGGAGAACAGGTCGCAGTACATGACTGCGACGTGGCCGGCCGTGTCGTCAACAATATCGATACGCCGGACGTCTTCGTTCCATGTTTCGCCCGGTGCCGTTTCGCGGGGCACGAATCGAATGCCATACAGTCGGTGGAACAAACGCGAGAGGCCTTGGAAAACAGATCCCAGAGAGAAGAACGAGGAGAGAGTGTCGGGAGAATGGATGCGCGTCCGTAGACCTGAGAGGAGACGCTGCGTGTAGTAATCGCGATCCCAAGCCGTGATACGCGTCGCGGCCATGCTCGCTGAATGGGCGTCCGATTGCTTCAGTTCAAGCAGATCGTGTAGTTCCTCCTGCACAAGACCGCGCGTGTCCGCGAGGAGCGCCTGTAAGAACATGTTCACCGCTTCGGGCGTCTGCGCCATCTTGTCCGATAGAGCCATGTGCGCGTAGCTGTTGTAGCCGCACACTTTTGCCAGCCGTGACCTGGCATACAGCATCTGCTCCAACTTCTTTATGCTGCTCTTGGACGCGGTGCGACTCGCAATGTACACAGCCCTTCTCACGTCATCGTCCTCCGCGGTCCTCAAGGCCATGATTGCAGCCGTCCCCACCGTTGGCATAGTGACCGTACCCCAGTTCGTCATGCTCTTCACCAACAACGGATCCATCCCGTGCAAGTCGCTGCTGTCAAATTTGAGGAACGGCTGCTCCGGCCGCATCTGGTCAACGAACTCGGTGCCTACCTCTGCAATCTGGCTGGACAGCTGCACGAACTCCTGTCTGTCCTTCTCCGGCAACTCAATGGCCGACTTGGAGAAATCCCTCTCGAGGATGAACGCGACCGTCTTCTCTTCGTCGCTCCAGTGCTTTGTAACCTCTGGGTTCGAGCTGGCTCTCCTCAGCTGATCATTCAGCGCCGTAGTCGTATTGAGCTGATTCATAAATTCAAACATCGTATTGTAGGCCATAGTCGCTGCTTGCTGAAATTGCCGACTCGGATGCGTTGCCCTCACGAAGTCTGATAGATCGATGACACGGCAGAGCAGGTCGCTAAGCCTGTCAAAGTCTCTAGCCATGTCTACATACTCTGCGGGCTCCTTTACGGCCAGTATCTTGCGCACCAGGCCCTGGCATTTCTTCAACGTCGCCTGTGTGTACGCTTGGAATCCTTCCGGAGCCGTGAGGTACTTGTTCTGAAAAAGTCCTGCTCTTTTCCCTCCTTTGCTCGCCTTGAAGTCCTGCCAGAAACGCTGCGAGTCGAAGATCTGACGGAGGGTCTTATCATCTGCTTCCGTGTCTGGGGAATAGCTCGCAGGCAGAGCGAGATCGATGTGGGCCGCGGTACCAGAGGCAGCAGGCGCGCGACGCGATGCGGAGCGACGCTGCGTCGTTTTGTGAAGACATGACTGGCAGATCCATCTGGATGGCCTGCGCAGTGGTTTCGTAAACATTATTGTGAGGGCAAGAAACAAGACGGGGATGTTGTTCGCCTCATGGCGCAGAATACGTCCTCGAAAGTCTCAAGCGAGTCGCTTGATGACATAATCAGGCGAACTTCGCACAAGGATGAGATCGGCTAACACTGTGTCTGCTGTACTGCGTACATTCACTGAGTTGACAAGTTGTCGCTTATGCTTGTATGCAATTCGATATTTGTGATGGAAATACCGTGGATTAGATATACATACAAAAAAAATAGCTGTATTTGCCATGAGTATATTGTGAAATCGAAAGATGCACAATAAAAAAGCAAAAAAAAAACGTACAGCAGCGCCGGATTCCCACGTGGTCACCCACCGTAGTACTAATGGGCCGGTATGAGGCTTATGTAAGAGTGAGCGGACGGGGACTCAACTCTAATCCACCCTGAGGACTCACTCGCAGATTTTCTTTACAGTTCAAATCTCTCAATCTAAAAGTTACCAATATCGTGGCTGTGCCGCCGCCCCATTCCTCCTCGAAGCGGCCTTGGGCGCTTGCAGCCTGCATCTTGCATCTGGAGCCGCCCCCCCAACCTCGCGCAGGACCCAGGGCAGCGCACTCCGTAGGAAGCGGCTCCCAGACTGACGAATACAAAAAACCCCCGGAGCGCGCGCCCATCATGGGCACCTTTGCTTCGCAATATTTGCCTCCTGTCCCCTGGCGGTGTGTCCGGCTGGGCCGTCGTGGTGTACAGGAAACTTGCCAGTCTGGCTTCATCCTCCACTTCTTCTCTAGCAAATGCCCTCAACCAAGAGCAGATTTGCTCTCGCTGAGCGACGGGGTTTCAACATCCAGACCGACTTCACGACCAATTTCTCCCACTCTCAGAGAAAGTTCGCTAGTGGTACCAAGAGAGCGGCAGATGCCACTGCGGAGGCTTTCAAGGAGTGAGCAGTTTCGTGCCTGCCGAAAGCGAAGGCTTTTGATTAACGACGTCTAGGTTCTTGAAAAGGTCTTACAAGTGGCCCGACGAGCGAATCTCCGAGTACACCTCTCGCGGTGCTCCTCCTTTTGATGCGAGCGTCTTTAAGAATTTTTTGACCTTCTGGGCCGCAAATGGAAAAGGAAGGCTGGACAAAAAGGATGGGTATCCGACGGCTGACACGGTGTACGCGAGATGGAAGAAGCTGACTGGCTGGCTCGGACGGGAAACTGGGAAGGAAGTCACGCGAGCTGTGCTTGATGATGTACATGGCGTAGGTTGGCCAGTAAGCAGAAGGAGGATATGATGGCCTCAGCTGAGCATATCGCAGTACCTGGATACCGAACTTCCAAAATCGGTGCCCGTGAAAATGCTGCACACCTCGAAGGACACTACAGACGAGTTTGATTACGATGTCTTGATGAACCAGCTTTGGTGCTTGGACATTTTCATCCACACGAATGGCCGCGACGTCATTCAAGTCCCTCTCGTTATTCACATGCTCTATTTCTTTGGCATCCAAAGGGTGGGCGCATTTCTCGCTACTCATGATTATCCCAATCTCGGACTACGTTATCGAGTATGTCAAACCTGTTTTCTGCTTCTAAGACTACTGCCTACCTACTAACTTACCTACTTCTCTACTTACAATGCCACAGGATCTCGAGATCCTTGTGGATCGACGGACTGACACTCATGAGCCATTTCTTCGGGTCAAATATATTTCAGATCACATGAAAGCAAGAAAGGAGAAGAACGATTGGTCTGCCTGTCTTGTGTTCATTTATTTGCCAGAGTCATTCTGACTGGGGTCCAGGTTGGGAACAGTACAAAACGAGCAGCGCCGATTCCAAGACTGCTCGGTATTCCTCATTCTTGTACTTGCGTTCGCTGATAATGCTTTCGAACATATCAGTACTCCAGAAGAGCTTCTGCGGGTCCAGCCTTTCGAAGGCGCCCCTCGCGTCATACCGTTTCACCCCAAAGTCAAGGACCAGTTCGTCCTGAGAAGCAGGAAGGGTAATGCGATGACGGATAACGTATTCCGAAACCTCTACCGTCCCATGGTTCAACGAGCAGGGTACAAAATGGAGAGGATGCAGCTGTATAATATACGGCGCGGAGTTGCTAACATCGTCAAGAGTATGGCGGCCTCCCGAAAACACTGACCCCTCCGACCCTTTTTAACCATACACACACACACACCGCTCTTTGAATGAATTACGCTAATCCAAGTGCAGATCATGTACCAGGTAGCCGACTTCGTCAAGTTATGGGCCATCGTAGCGACAATGAATTCCTGAGATTCTACCAAACCAGATTGGTAGACATTGACTTCCAGGGCATTGTTTTGCGCGGAGAGCAGGACTCAGGTATCGATTACACTCGCCTCCTTCGCAGCGAACGAGGCTTGCGGCCGCCAACAGAACTGCCAGCTAGTGTCAAAGAGGGCATTGAATCGTGTCTTGCTGGCGTGGCGAACGGAACGACCGAATACTATTCACTGAAAAAATCGCTTACCCAGGACGCGTGGAGACAGTTCCTAAAGGCGTGGAATGACCGGATTGGCCATTCTTCAACGGGAACTCATCCAACCAGAACGACATCAACGTTGATACCGAACTCATGTGAGCTGGAGGGCGACCTTATGATGCAAGAGACCCGAGCAAAGATTCTTTTGCGACATTTTTGTCTGGAATTCGCGAAGATTTCGGAAGCTTTTCAGGCAGACGCTTTCAACATTCGTCAAGACGATCACCTCAATGTCATGAAATTCCTCATCAGTTATGTCCGGTGTAAGGCGCAACAGCACACCTTTTGGTATCCAACGGCCTTCCCCATTTGTACGCTCGACGATGAAGGCAACCCCAAATACGCCTGCCCAATTTGCTCCAAGGATATCACCGCATTCAACAACCCTAGACGTCGGCCTAAACATATCCACCGATGCCAGCAGCTGCAGAAGCAGATATCTGATGATTACGAACCTCGGCACTGCTACCGTTGTCACCTCTGGTTTTCTGACCGGACAAGCTACCGGGACCACTGTCGAAGTCATTACATGCACTTGGATATGTTTTGCGGGCTCTGGAGGGAAAGTGAAACAGTGATTGTCGCTGCGCGTTGCCCGTTCTGCTTGTCAGACCATCTGGCGGGTTCAGAGTGGGATGCGCGAGTTGTTGAGTTTACCGAGGCAAGGACTCTGCAGCGACACCTTCGGCACCATCTCCAGGCGCTTCCACTCGCGGCTCTGCTGCCTTGTCCACATCCGCTGTGCGACAAAGCAGAACGACTGTCTCGCAACGACCTGATAAATCATCTAGCTGATAGCCACGGGCTTGATTACGATTTGATCAAGGGTTTCCGTGCCCCCAATACGGATGTTAACTCGAGCAGCCTGGAGGATGATTGTAGCAGCAAAGAGATCACGTCTGGAAATGAAGATGAGCCACCGAGAGAAATTTCTCTCACTTCGGCAACTGACCTCACGTGCGGTCAGGAGAGGGTATGGCAGCATAGGTTTGGGCGAGACCATCGCTTACAGCAAGGCTTGGAGAAGGCTGTCCTAGAAGAAGGGCAGCGATCACCAGACTGTGCCACGCAACTCAGTCCAACGGACTACTCGTCCCTGAGTTTTGCGATCCCTATAGATGTGTCTGGCCCTAAGTGCGGAAACAAAAGACAGCGAGAAGTGCCGGCCGCATCGTCAACAGAGAGCGTACTGTCTCAGCGTCATGATCTATCATGGAGAAAGCGAGTGAGGACTTCAAGGCTTGTCTAACTATTCCATTAACTTAGATGCTATTCTAGATACTCTCGTCTATTATCCAAATCAAGATCACTGCTTATTATCGTGCATTCTCCTCATACGACTGATATCCATCCATTTTGCCACCCAGCTAAGATGTAGTACTATCTGCCATAGTATCCCTGCTTTTGTGTTTCGCTGCCGTGCTGGATGAGGACTTTGGGGCAGTTTCGTGTGTTCGGACTTTGCTTGAAACATGTCATCGAAACGAACTGTATATAACTTCAGTGGCGGCACAGTCGCCATTGTACTTGTTATGGAGAATTATAGAGAAGTGTCAAGGGAGAGATTGTTATATATTTGTATATGGATGTGCGTGTATTAATGTTGCAAAGGTTATCGGGATCGGGAAGTCCAAATCCTGGATTTTGAAAATGAAAGTAGCGTTTAGCCGTGCCTGAATAGGCGCCCTCTACCCGCCTCAAGTTATCCCTCATGTCACACTTAACGCCAGAACGCCTTCAACCCTTGGCCATTCTACGTATTTGCAGTCAGTCAGTCGTCATTAAATACCAAATTTCTGGAAGTATTTACCGTAATTTCGCGAACAGCTGCACGAACAGCCTGAAAAGCTAGCTTCCGTGCCAGGAGCCTCATTGGGGCAAGGTTGTTGTTGATTTCGCTTGGAGCTGAATTATCATCGTGGGAATATCGGCTATCTTCGACTTCTTCGAAAATCTTCTCCTCTAACTCGGCAAGCCGCTTGTTCAGCTCTTGAAGCTGTTGAGCATGGCGAGACTTAACCATATTAAGGTCGTCTTCGATGGCGTCAACTAGCTGTATGGTCAGCCCGCATTTTCCGCTCACGCTGTGGCACGCACTTCGAAAAGCAAGTCCATCTCGGTTGCGCGAAGTTCGCCGTCTATTAGATGATGAAGACATTGCGAATTTTTGTCGAAATAGTACGAGGAGCGTCGTCATCGGATTTCATAAAATATGTCTGGGGAGTGGCTGTGCAGCCGAAATTCCTCGATACTGGAAACAAAGGCGCTTAAACACAGCACAGCATGATGATGGCTATATATAAGATAACGTATGCTCAATCGACTTAATATTCATATAGATAAAGATGGAGCCAGATAATAACAATACTTGGACTGTCCCAAATTCCGAGATAATTCGCCAAATGCAAAGTTGTCTTTCCCACGATGAGCATCAACGCGATGAGCATTTACGACGCTGGCTCGGCACTAAGATTCTGTACAACAATATGACACGATTGGTAAAGTTGTGGAGCAGCCACGCGCTTCAAATCGAAAGACTCAAGAAAACAAAAGAGCTTCGAGTCACCATTCTGCCCGATGAAAACCCTTACTTCACAATGTACATCGAGTCGGATTCCGAAGACGAGAATGATGAAGGGATGGAGATTGCTAAGTCACTACAATGTTGTCAGATAGATCATTAATATACCCGTTGGCCCCTGCATGGCGGGACGCCCGCCGTAACAGGACGCCGCATATACTTTCTCAACGCAACAAACTTCAATAAGTTATCTCTTTTACGGCCCAGGACGTGTTGAAACGGCCCAGGAAGCGGCTTGCCGAAGGGCAATAGTGCATCTCATATCATTTCTCATGTCCTTTGTTTAGGTACTCAGCTAACTCAATTTACTTCGTGCTCTGACAATGTCTCCATATTGATGTTGATATCGGTTACAGGAAGATGGTCATATCCTCTCCCAGTATCAGGCATGTTTTCTTATGTTTTGACGGATTTCCCTTCAGCGTTAAGCCCAAAATAAGTGATTAAACCGAATTGGGATTCCGCGTACATCGAAACTCTCCAGCTGTTGATTTGTTACAGGATTGCGCGTGATAAATAATGAGATTTCTCTTGTGGCAAGATCTGTGCTCGCATTCACGGAAACTCAAGAATCGATCTTCAAAAAACCATCACGCATGAGCCTATATCTGAGCATTTCAAAGTCCCCATACTGCAGATCAAGCTGACCTTGATTGTAAATGTCATGTGAGCCATCTGGTCGAGCACCATGGGATTCGTTGTACTGGCATACGCGAGGTTGCCCATCGTGTAGCTCAAACCTCCAGCCCGTCTGTCTCGTCGGCACACACCCCTTGAGATCAGAGGCGAAAAACATCACTGACATCTCGCTCAAAGAGAGCTCGATTAGATGCTGGTCTGTGTGAAGACTACGGTCAAGAATTTGGAGACCAAGGATCTGAGACAGCTGGTTGGAGACGAGGTATTCGGTTATCTGAGGAAGAAAACCAGGCTTCACGCAGGAAAGGTCCGGCTTGCCATTTCTCAGGTATTCATATGGGTGCCAACCTTCTGCTGTGAGTATAAAAACAGCTCCACCAGTCTCAGACCAGTCTGTGCCTTCGATTTCAGTAGCTGTTGTCCATCGGCAATATGGTTTGCTCCATGTAGAGCCCAACAGAACAGTGCCAACGGGTATATCGAAATGGCGATGTAGTAAATGCAGACCCAAGATGCCGTGTGCATTATTGCGCGTGAATATCTCTGCTATTTCATAAAGCTGCTTGGACGAAATTCGTGACTGATTCGGTAGAGCTGATTCGAGAGGCAGCTGCCTAGTTCTAGATGTCCACGTCAGATCACTTTGCAAACAAAATCTGGCGTTCAACTCACAACATGCTGCTTTTCCACAGATCCTTCGTACTTGGTTCCCAAATCGCACAGACATCTGACATGAGGCCAGCCATGGCTGCATAAGATCAATACTCAGATTGAGGTGCAGCTTTCGATGACCTGGGCCATGCTTCGATATGGCCACACCACCCGCATAAGTCCGACACTACCCGAAAGATGATGCGCGGCGCGCTGCCAAGATGGCGCTAGTAATCTCACGTGACCGACACAATATCGCCCAAGCTTGCTCCTGAAGTCAGGAGACCATTTTCAGCAAGAGATTCGGCAACGTCGTAATTCAGTGGGATTGTGCAAAATGCAGATCCATATGTCAAACGTGGCACGGTAAGAGTGCAGTTGTTTAGGCGTAGGCTTACAATCCATGACCACAGCGCAGGATCAAGGCAGTAGTCACGTCTAGGAGTCAATGGCGCGCCCTGCGAAGCCTGAACCGGAAATTGAGGAACATCAGAATTTTGATCTGATGCGGCGGGGTGTCTTGAGGGGATGGGGAGGACGCAGTCGTTTTGTGGTAAGGCCATCCAGCTAGCAAAGTCTCTGTCAAGCCAGACAGTGAGCTTGGGTTGTTGGTTGGTATCACGAAAGATACTGAGATTCAGGTATTGCGGTATGATTCGATTCAAGCTCTCCCAGGCACGAGCTTTGAGCATGAATACTTCCGCTTCTGGCCAAGCGACATGATTGCTTTGCGCGAAACTGACCTCGATCATGCTCATTTCGTTATTGCCGTGGCTACTATTTCGATCAGTCAACTGCATTGGCAGGTGTACATTGCGCTCCTGGTTGTGACGTTGATTCAAATGTTGATCATCGCAACATCTCTGGATCCATCGGGGAGGATCAAACGCAGCCGCAAGCTGTACGCGCTCATCCGGTCGAGCAGCACCACCATCTCTTAGATGGGGAGGTAACGCCCGTTGTGTATTTGCAGGAATAATCACCTCCGACCAGAATGGCATCAAAAGTAAATGCTCTACGTCATGAGCTAGCTGGGCTGCTCCCGTTTCTTTCGTCTTTTCAAGGATGCCATATTCGGAGAGGAGTTCTGCAAGTTGTTCGGCGTTGTCTTTTTTAAGGTATTTCCACCAACTGATCCGCGTTAACGATTCGCCTGACATGTTTATTCAAGGCCTCACATTGATTCTGCAACTTCGGGAAGGTAAAAATAGCAACCGATGCAGCCTAATTTCAGAGCGATGCACCAGTATTTCGACCCTTCTTTGGCCCATGCCATGATGTTCTCACGGATCTCATCAGGCGGACTACCTGTTGATCGCTGGATACTTGCAACTAGAAAGTCCATAACTTCTGATCTGGTGCTAAACCTTCTCGACTTGTCTAATGCAGACACCAATTTGTGATAGATTGTTGCCACAAAACGCCACAAAATCTTTCGCGATGAGATAGAAGTCCTTACCGTAAGTGCATAGCGATAGTGCTCACCGGGTTCCATTGGAGTTGTTAGGTGACCGTAACTCGTGAAAATTGCAGGCTGATTTTTCCATGTTTCGAAAATACTCGCGACATCTGCTGGCAGTTTGATGTCATCTTTACGAATCCGCTGTAAAGAATCGAGTCTGTTTGCGCTCTTCTTAGACTTTTGTCGAGCATCCAGTGGAGCGAAAAGACATTGAAGATTTTGACGAGTGTTTGCACTTAATTCTTGGACTCTTCGTTGGCATTCTGCCATTAACTGCACAAATTGTCAGTACGCCCTGCTTCATTTCGTTTCTGCAATACCATACTTGCTTATCATCCAGCAACTCATCTAAATTCTGGTGTTCTAAGCGTGTCCGTACGAGTGTACTAATCTCAGCACCCATGATTTAGTTTGGGCAACACTGGTGAACGGCCAGATTTGCCTTGTTAAAGTGATGCGATGATGCTCGCAGAATAGACAAACTATTGCGCTAGGCAAGAAGCGTGAAATAGAAATAACATGTTCCTTCTATTTTACGCTTACTGCCTAGCGCAACAGGGGCCCAACTTGTGGCTTGGGTCTTGCTGCCTCGGATCCCCATCCGAACAGCCCAAGCGAACCAGTGCGCTCCTTGAGGACGCGAATACCCAACAGCACGAAATACGGCCAAACGATTGGGCATTTAGCATCTTACGGTCTCGCTCGGCTCTGCAGGAGTACATGGTGTACGTTCCACACACCACTGATCCTCGCTCGTCATAAATCCGGATTTTCACGCATTGAGGTATCCACAAATATCAGTTGATGTAGAACCGAAGTGTTAGTTAGCATTCGTCCTGCCGACTAGCCATCTTCAATTTTCGGTAGCTGAGCCTAGATTTCAATCGCTCGTAGAGGCGCGCAAGTATAGCCGCCTCTCTCGCGGCGCCTCGCTTCTATGGAGGAACCATCACTGCATAATCTCTCATCGTGAACAGGATGATCTACTTTGGTCCGGTAATGTCGCCCGGGACGCGACGTTGCCCCAAGCGCATACGAATTACGTCCTCTTCAATAGCACAGGTTACACTTGTGCCTACCAGTCCATGCCCGATGCCAGCTCTGTCTGTGGTGCGTGTCGATCAAGAGTTAAGAACCATGTTTATTAACTATCAAGTCACACTAGCTGTGGGATATCCCACATCACATCATCCTCTCGGTCTTCCTTTTTGGTTGGCGAACCTTGGCCACGTACGGCAAAGCTTGCAATTGATTGCGTTCTTGGATCACATCTTGTTGCGGATCAATTAGTGGTGGATGAAGACTATCGACGGAAGACCCTGGCATCGGGCTCGGCTTAAGGTGGCCGGCCGTATATTTGAGGCGGTCACTGCATTCCTACAAATGCCCCTGGCTCGCAGCAGAGCATAGAAGGGAGAATTTTCATCCTCGCTCTTCACCGCCCAGTTTGACTAACATGTGCGTGTGCCTGACCGAGGCCGTTCACGCAGTCTGCTCCTGGCTACGGCCATCTTTGCACATTCAGCGTCCGAATGAGGACAGGATCTCTCAGCCTGCGGCGCGAGACCACCTGCAACGGGAGCCGCCTTTAGGTCGCACTCGCGTCGACGTCCCTTGCCGCATGAAGGGAAGCCTTACCTATCTCGCGAGGATACTCGTGTTGAAGGAGGAAGAAGTGCGCCAGTATATGTCTCATTATGGAGGAAGCGGGGTGTATGGCGAATCTGCGTTAGTTGTGTCTGCACGTGCAGGGTTTCAGATTTTTGCAAGTATGGTGTTGTGGTTTTTGGGAGGCGATGCGCAAAAGCAGCTTGACGAGCGGCCTACTCGGTTCAGCGCGCGCCTCTGGAACGCATTTCTTAACATTGACCCAAACACTGGCATTGCACTGGGGGGCGTAGCCTATGCGCTAGGCACACTGGAAAGGAACGCACCGGACTTTTGCGTCGTATACTACTTGCTGCTGCTTGAGGCAGCCATGGATGGCCTGTTCAAACAAGGTTTGGAAGATGATATGATCACAGTGGTTCAGGAGTCAGCCTCGTTTCAGACCGTGGACTATATGTTGTGTCAATTGAAGACAGCGGGCGTGCGATACGACGGAGATCTGAAAAGGGACTTGGAGATCGGGCTGGTGAGTGCATATAACAGCTCAATCTCGCTGTTTGCTGACCGGATTAGATTAGGGCAAAGGGTGTCGCGGCCTTATTGCGAACGGGTGAGTCTGCGTCTAACGCTGCAGTACTTACATCCTTTTGATCTGTAGATGTCTCAGCACCAGGGCCAGTTATTTATACTTCAATATATCAACTTTGCACCTCCATCACTATTCTCCCTGTTCTTCATTGAGCCTTCTTTACCACGACAGGTAGCCGCCTGGCTGGTTTCAACACCTGCAAGCCACCATACTTAGGAGGACAGTCTTGCTCTTGTGTGGAGGCCACCCGCGTCATGCAGATGGTCGGAATGCACAAAGACCGGCTACGGCGAAGCATGGCTACCGCAGATCTGCGCGATTCGGGTTCGTCGTATTTGACAACGAAGCGCCTTGCGGCGTAGCGGCATGCATGAACTGTTGACGTGGCTGACATTACGCAGGCTGTGTCAAGGCTCCTGTTCAACAAAGGCGGTTCGGTTGCATAATATAAAGCTGGTTCCCCCATGAAATGCAGCGGACAAGCAAAGAACCGCCCCGTGGAAAATTTTCCAGAGGTAAGTGAGATCACCAAGTCGCGAAAACATGCTAACAGCTGTCTAGCTTGAAGCGCAGTTCTCCGTCATTATCATCCAAATGAGCGAGTGGAGTTCGTCCGATCATCCAGCTGGCCAAGACAGCTCTAGATTGCCCAACGAGAATGAGTCTAATGGGCTGGCAAATCGAGCAAGCTCTCTTAATTCCACCGATGCTATCGATCTTACGACGACATGCATGACAGCTGGCACTTCTTCTCCCCCGAGTCGCCGTCCCAGGCTTTCTCTTGACACTAAAACACTGCTGGCTGTGCAGCCTGAGAACAACATGACTGGCACCCTCCTGATGCCCCAGTCCAAGCTTGGAGCCAACGAAATCACAACTGCAGATGCAGAAGACTGGCTGAAAAGCTGGAGTGATGATTCGGCTAGCCAGCATACCCAAAAGCAGCCAGCTGTCAGCACGACACATGCGAACATACCTGCCAAGGCTGCCAGATGCAGCACAGTCTTCTTCGTAAGTGGAAATAAACATGTCATTTACCAAATCAATGCGAATTGCTTTAAGGTATGTCTGAATCACCGCATCACACGACCGCGAAATTGAATCTAATATTCGGTATACACTAGAGCTTTTTACAGAATTTAGAAAAGAAAACAAGCAAATACAAGTCGCGGTACAACAGCAACGCGCGACTTGTGGTATCGCATGTGAAAACCGGTCACCAAAAGCCTTGGACCTGTGCAGTTGACGACGACAATGAATTTTTGGAAGCGCATGAGAGCACGATAGGCAGCCCCGTTTTTGTGGCGTCTTACGACGATTGTGTTGGCATCTTCTCACATTTCTCGTCACCTTCTCCGCGTCCATTACCACCACCTCCTACGGGAGGTTTTCACGAGGCCCAAAGAGCGACCAGATCATCCCTCGGCTCATCTTCGGGGGTTGAAGTTTCCGATGATGAAGATTGATTTATGAGGTGGATTGGGAGCTATCTGGGCATCATCACAGAGCGTTCTCTCGTGCGCCATTATTCACCCTACTCCTGCTTCAATTTTTTCTCCTTAGTATTGTGATACTTTTTCCCCACAGCCAAGATCCCAACCTCACACAGCCGGTACTAGTTTGTTCCTCCCTCCAGCGGAGCGACCCATAGTCTATAATATTCATTACTAGCACATTATTCATATGCCTTTGCTCTTCATATTCGAAAGTGGACATCTGGCCCCCTGTGAAGTACTCCTTGAAGAGGCCTTCCATTGCCTCTCTAGACCAAGAGTCGCGAACCTCCAGCGCCTACCACTCACTGTAGAACTTCTGGTTAGCTGCGGAAACGCAGTCCTTTAGATGCATTCCCCTTACCACGAACTTGTAGATGTCCTTGTAGTAACGTTCGCACTCTGCCCTAGAAACCCCGAACCTGTCCCGCCTAAGCTGGTGACGCGCGAAATAGTCCCGCAGAAGTTCTGCTGTTTCTTCTTGAGTCCACGTTCTGGGCTGCAGACCTGGCATTGAGTGAAAGAGCGCATTCAAAGCTACTAATCCCAACAGTCAGACGGGCGGTCCGTGATGAGGCGGGAACAACTCACTTTCCCGTCGTCCGTGCTTCACTAGAGGGATGTGTGTGTGTCAGAAGTCAGGGCACTATCGAGAGTTGTTGGTGATGGCTGCATCCCCGCGGTGTGCGTCAAATGCAACCCGCACATAGTCACACGATTACGCACTATTGGCGATCACTGTTAGCTATGTAGATTCTGCGCAATGCCCTCTTGCTGGATATGTATATAAATATGATGGATGCTTGAGAGGGAGCGGCCCAGAAGGGCATGTGCGATTACATTCAAGTCGAATACATGTGTGGCCACCTCAGGTACATCGTTAAGTCGTGGTGCACGAAATATCAAGAGACACACAAACGCTGCCCAGCTAATGTCGTTGCGATGTACGTATCCATTCACGCCCACGAGCTCTAACTGATACGATTAAGTGAATATCGACTAGACAAAAAGTGTGGTTCGTTAATTTTCGACTTCATTTCCCAAGATGTATAGCTACTGACGAAGGAACATCGTAGGTGATTGCAGAGATATATCTCTGTTTAGAGGACCTTTAGCACGACCATAAGCCGAGACTCTGTACTCAGTACCTCTGCTCCAAAGGAGGACTTGGTATGGGCTATGATCAATTGGAGCGCGAAGTTCCAGCCTTGCGAAGAATGCGCCAACTTCGTGATGTATAGCAGCAGGAAGGGCGCAATAGAGCATTTGAATTCCATTTCCCCAAAACCGGGCCCGTCAGCAAAGGAGGGCGATGCAAAATGGATAGATATCTCGGATATGTGCTTGCTCCATGCACCAGACAGTGAGCATTACAGAACGAGATACGAAACTCCCCTCTAACTAACCAATAAAGACCAAGTGCCTGGGCCTGTGGAAGCATGTTCTCCAGGTCCCGAGGGGGAGCGCCCAGTGCACTATGAGAACGCCGGTCCAACAAGGAAACGTTGAAGCGATATCCGCTCTAGACGTTCCCATTCTGACATAAGAACGACATCAGGTTGCAGCCGGCTCGGCACGAAGGATGGGACTCTTGAGGGGCAGAAAGTGTCCTAGAACCGGTCTTTGGCTGTCTGTTGGCCGGTTTAGGTTTTGAAAAGTGCTATGTGGACTTGTTGCGGGCGTGGGTGTCTACGCGCAATCCTGCTGTACTTATCTCCTTTTCGAATGGTGAATCAATATCGGTTTGCATTTTCCTTCTTCTCGTCATTCTCTGTTACACGCGATATCAGCCACATCCTTGCTCTTTTGGAGGTCATCCACGTCATGCAGAGCATCTCCGATCGCATCCCGTTCCTCGAGTCAAAACCACATCTTTCAGATCTAGCATTGGCTTACAATATATGCGGGAGAAACTGATATGAGTGGAGCTGATAACAAAGGTTGGACGGACGAGTTCGGTAAGGTTTCTCAAACTCGGTGGGGAGAAGGACTTCTCTTGGCGGGCATGGGACAGAACAGATTTGTCTGAGAAGACTAAACTCTGAGGTGAGAGGCTAGACAGCATTGAATTTGATGTCTCTAAAGAACAGATATAATAGCTGCGGGATAGACACATGCGTAAATCACAAGCGACTACAGCGCTTCTTTTTTTAAGATGCCTTTTACCCCGGAGCTCTTTGGGGTAAACTGGGCCGGCTCACCTGGCCCAGAAACCAGTTCGGCTACTTTGCCCTCATGCTTATCGCCTTCACGCCGAGCCAGCTTTCGTCGTAAAATCTTGATTTGTTGTAATTTAGGAGCATCAGGATCAAGTTTGAAGTTGGAACCTTGAGTAGAACTTGCATCCTAGTCATCAATTAGTGTGCACCTGTAATATCCTCGTTATTTGTCTCGTACCGAACGGCTTCCCTGAAACTGCGGGAGACACAGTAGCTTATTTAAATGACTGCGCAAAGTATTATTGCTGTTGATGAGTTGCGTATTGTAGACGTTTAGTTTCTCAAGGCTTGTTCGCATCTGTTGCAGCTCGGCCTCTACAGTTATACGACGCTTATATTCCGCGTTCAGTATCTGCCGCGTGTGCTCATGCGCGTTGCTCTCGAATTGCAACAAGACGTCAGTACTGTATTGCTCGCTTCGGGGATGGTTAGGTTGCGGACTATGCTGTGCTGACCGATTGACATAGAAAGGGTGGGTGGGAAACGACATTGCTATTAGCTGTATGAGCGGAAGAACCTCGCAGGCGTGGATACTTATGTATATGACTTGTGCAAACGCTGTTTCTAAATTTAAAAGCCGCTAGCAGATTCAAAGCGAGAATACAGAAAATGGAATATGACGTGCAGGAAGGCTCCGCCACCTTTCGGCGCTTACACATGCCTGCGTCGGCTGGCCTGGCGAAGAGTACTTATTCACTAAGAGCTTGTTTTGCTGCCTCCAGCTATCCGAATTAATTACTAAATGGCGACTAGTTTACAACATACAGCTCTAGGGCAAAGACATGCCCGTCCACAGCAGCCATATTTACCTAGGCAGGCTCACGAGCCAGTTGTGCAATGCAGAGCGTTACCATCAAGCATCCTTCCTTCTTCTGATGCGACGGTTTCATCTCAAAGAGTCATGGTTGAGGGTGAAGTGCCTATAGCTGAGACTGCCCCGGTCCAGTTTAAGCAAGAGCAGGCACCGCCCGACCCGAAAGGTTTACAGAAAAGTAGTGCAGCAGCAGCATCGCGCAAATTGAACAGACAGCCCATTAAAAATCTCAAAGTGCGGACAGCATCCGTGAATGACGGGAGGGTAGTTCTACCTAAGGAAAGACTCTGCGACAAATACAAAGTATTTGGAAAGCTCAAACAATCAGCTTCGAGCCATTTTCTATGCATCCAGAACGACAATTGCGGAGCTCTTTTCATGGTTAAAAAGACAAACTGGACGGAAGTGGATATACTGAAGTCCCTGAAGCACTCTAGTATAATTCAACCTCGCGAAGCCTTCCAAGAGGAGAATACAATCTATCTCAGCTTGGATTTTCACCGCGTAACGCTCAAGGAAGCGCTGACAACCCCGGCACCGATTACAGCATCTCATGTATTAGCGATCGCAACCTCGGCAAGCTCTCGCTCTCTCCTGCTGTGCTATTAGCTTGCTGACAAATTGTAGATTTACTCCACAATCAACTTTTTAGTTGAAAATGGCATCGTCCATAATCGGATCGATGCGGCGGCGATTCGCATTTGCGGCAAAACAGGTAGAATTATTCTCTGTATGTATCCCCATCTCTTTCTCATCGGCAGTACAGCTGACCTAGTGCTCTAAATAGGTGACTTTCAAATGGCAACGCGCCCTCGGAGCCAGAGATTTCCTGCCAAGGACTTTGAGAGCCTTGGTATGGTATTGCTGGAGATGATGAGTGAGCCGAGGCCACGTCAGTACGACCTTGAGCTCGCGCGTAGCCTCCAAAAGAAGCTCTATGGTGTTGATCGTCCGGAATGTTGGAGTCATTGCAATGAGCTGATCGAATTTCTCGAGGCTTTGATCACATATAAGGACGTCGAGCGAATTCGCAGACGAGAGGTACGTCACTGCCGACTCCGCGCGATGGACAGGAACTAACTGAAAATATTAGCACCCCTATCTCAGAATAACGGATGCGGAAGGAGGGAGCTTTGAAGCCCATGTTGCGCTTGTTCCGTTTTCATGTTTTTCGTTATGGTACGCACAGAAAGACGGTCATACCTAGTTTACGTATCTGCGCCTGGACTTTTGCCAATGTGAATCTCCCTTTTACTTCACGTTTGTCGTCATCTTCACTTGTGTAAGAATCGTCTGATGCGCTCTTTGAAGTTCAGAGAAAGCGAATACCATCTCTTTTGCTATAGTTTCACCCCGAATCCTCTCCATAAGTATGTAGATTTTGCCACGATATACGAAGGTATGGTAGACCCTTGGTACGGGTATAGAAATGTGCTTTGCGATGAATCGTAGACTGTTCGCTTCGCTGATACGGCGCAATCGCACTTAGCCTCGCTTCTGATCAGCCTAGCCTAGCGTTAGCCTCAGGGTCGCGCAGCGCCTCGGCGGAGGAGGCTCCACTCAGCCCTGCGCTTAGCCTCATGGTCATCCTTGTCAACCATAACATTCAAGCGCCTGAGAAATCGGCAACCGAGATCCATGAATGCAGAAGTCCCAGCTGCAGCTCAGAAGAGGAGCGCATGCCAGGTCAATCAGATGGTTTATTTTCGCTCTATAATCACGACGATCTCCACGCCTTCTCTCTCCCTCTTGCGAGCGAGGAAGGGCGATAGAGTGTATATTTGGATCGTGAGCCTATGCTATAAGGAGCTTGATCACGTTAGTAGAACTGAGATATAATGATCGTGATGTTATTCATAAGCGGTGCGCCAGAGTCCGTACGGCGTCAGCCAGTAAGCCCGTAGGGATTCTCCCGCAAGGGAAATGTGGAATTGACTTACCAGGCCCGGAAGGAACGCTTGGGATGGACCCCACGGGAGATTTGGGCCAGTCCGTCCGGGACGATGTAGTGATCTGCGCTGGGCCCGTGCGGGAATTTTCCCGTGCGGGCGCGGCTCTGCCCCGCGGAAAAAGCCACACGGGACCCATGATTGGGCTCTCGCGGGAAAGCCCGTACGGCTTTCGACTCTCCATATGATCAAGTATAACTGCTAATAAAAGAGAGATAATATCGTTAGCTTCCTTTCCTCCCTCCTTGATTCTTCCTCACTAACAGAGATCCTAGCCGAAACCTGAAATCCCACCATTACATAGGAAAGAGGCGAAACGGGACAAAGTCTGCACGGCACACTGGGCATCTTTTGTCCCTTTCGTGATGGGTTCGCAAACACACACCATGAAAAAAGCCGTGCCCACAAGGATGGCAGGCGTGGTAGCAATCGCCGTCCTCCAAACAGATGTTGCAGGTGGACCCCCCAAGACTTACCAGCGCAGCTTTGGCGGCCATTTGTTCTTCCTCCAGTTTGGCGGTCACGGCCTCGAGGCGCCTCAGCGCTGGTATCAGGCCTTCATTGAGTAGCTTTGAGCACTTGCCCAGCTCCTTTGTACATGCCTCCATCCGTTTGGCGTATGTACCGCGGCTCTCAGCAAGTGAGGAAAGGTCGCCTTTTATGCTGCTCAACGTCCCCCATACACCTGGCCAGGACGTAGTGGGTCGTGCAGTGGATTGTACGGCAGAAGTACGTTGACCTCCATTGAGCGTTAGCATTGCCACTAGAAAGGACGCGGTCACCCACGTTTATTAGGCGGAGTCTGACCACTGGCAGGGACCTGGCCGTTGTCTGGCCCGGTAAGATCAACCGTCTCGGATGGACCAGACGCAGTGGAGCGTGCTGATGTAGGGTTGGGCGCAGCTTGGCGTTCGGCTGGCCCGTTTGGCGCAGAGTGAGCTAAGTGAGCTGGCTGCCTGACAGGTGTCTCATCCTGTGCTGCTTCATCCGTCTCGACGATCTGAAAGAACCTAGTGAAATCCACATCAGAACGACGGGTGCGCCGGTCATTGTTGGATGACGTGGTGGTTGGGGCAGTGGACATGATGAATGAACCGGTTATAAACAGTGCAGTTCGGTAAAGTAGCAACGTGACAGGCGACAAGCTTTAAGGGAGGAAATGTTGAGAGGGAAGAAGAGAGGGAGCGACGGGAGGGGTCCCCCCCCTTTTATAGACCGCCCACTGTGTTCTCCTCCTTTCTTCCTCGTTCTACGCCGACTCGGGGGAGAGCGGGCATGCAGCGCGCCAGGCCTATCACTCGACGAAGACCTGCCGCTGTGCCGTTCCACTATGCTGCGCGATGCAGCGATTGAGTGGTCTGTCGTCCTGCCACCGTCGCATGCCAAGGTTTGGGCCGGGACGTCACGGCGTAATGCGCACAAATCACCTACTATGAATTCGAGGAAGGATTCGGCGACAGACATATAGTGGAGTAAAGGACAGGGTCCTGCGAAAGATGCCCGCACACAGCCATCACAAGGTGGCATTAGTGCCACGATTGAGTGAGTCTGGGGTTACAATTTGGGAGCCTACCTTAACTTATATCGTCCACTGCACGAACGGTTGCTTTCCTCATGCTTTACCTCCGCTTGCCGAACACGGTTAATATGACGGCATGAGACACAGTTCTTTCGCTAATTCATCGTTGTCGCAGAGCAGCCACTGAAAGTCATTGGATTTATGTAGTTCACTCAGTCGAGCCGCTGCCAACCAAAAAACGTACTTGCGTATCGGGTCGTCGTTCAGGTAAGGATGTTCCATTATGTCATTGCATGCGATCTCGAGCAGAGCGCATATATCTCCGATCCTGATATGACGCGGCGCCCATTCCTTTAAGAAGGCTCCAAACTGGTCCAGAATGACTTTTTGGAATCGCGCAGCTGAGAAGCGTTCCCCCATCGCATAGAGTCGCGCAAGCAGAATAATATCCTTTGGAGGTTTCCAACCTGGAATGTACAGAAATTCTAAGAAGTGCATGACTTGCTTAGCAACCTCGTCGTCAAACTTAATCACGAAGTTGCTCGCCTCCACAATTCGCACTGTTAAAGCTTTTTCAAATCTGCGAGAATTTTGGCAAAGAAGGGAGGAGTGCACGTGATACACTTTGTCCTAGGCTGTTTGCACTGCGACGATGCGGGAAATAAGATAGCTGCATGGTGAGCGGATTATGAGACAAATGGAGGGTGATTTAACTAGCTTACTCTGTGTACACGTTAGAACCGCCTTCATCACCACTTTCGTTCAGGAGTGGAGCGCTTTCCAAGCTCTTATGCAGATGTCTAGCTCCATTGTCAGCCTGGATATCGGCGGGCTCTGGTAGTAAGGATTCAACATTATCATTAGATAGTTTACTATGAGCATTCATAGTTGCGCAGGTCAAGGTAATGTTATTGTGCGGCAGATCGCTCAAAGTGCCAAATTTCGGTGGTTGCTGTGGCTGGGTCGTTGCTGATGTGGCTAGGGAATAGGGACTCATTAATGGCCTTGCCGTAAGACCACGTGATGTCAAATCTATACAGGAGGTTAGATGCTGGAGAATCACTTAGGAACACGTGGTGTATGGGAACAAGGTAAGGATACTAATGCCAATCACTACACACCCTCCAACATGTCTCTATGAGCTTATGACGACCAGAGACTACGACAGCTAGTGTTCATCCGATTTCGGATGATATCTTTCCTCTTTTGCCTGGTTGAAATGATAAAGACGTCCCAGATTGACGAGAGAGTAGATCGTAGATTAAATAGACGACGCGTCCTTGACTATAACAATCCCGCCTGCTCCTGCTCCTACTGTGTATTTTCGAAGACTTTTGACGGAGAAGTAATTGTTTTCGTGGAGTATTGGCATAGAAGAGATGCTAGGCAAATATGAAGGCCCGCTAGAATTCGAATGACCAGCATTGGGTTCGACCAATCTCTTTTGGGCAGAATACTCTCAAAGCGCCACGCGCGTTGCCGAGAAGACTATTGCATACATCGAGCAGGCAACACTTGAGGTGCGCTTATCCATAGCCTAAGCAGAATGTGCTATAAAAGCAAAGGCTTGTCTGCTGGTGGCGCACTTGTGCGGTCCGCTCGAGCAAGAGGTTGTTGCTATTAGCGGTATTTATGACCGGGAATGGATCTTAGTCAAACTGCGAAAGAATTGTTGCAGGAAGCTTGTACAGTAAAGTGTCGCTGAAGTTCGCAGTCACGATATGGGGGATGCAGATGAGCTGTAGGCGGACCTGCGGAAGCGTATCGACCTCCCACTCTCAGCTGTGCCTTAGCACCGGAAAGTCTCCAGAGGCGCCAACCCACCGCGGGTCAGAACCTCGTGGTCTTCCCGAACGTGCAGTTTCTGCATCCACTGTCCTTGATATACTTGCAACTCAGAATATCGAAGATAGCTACTAGGTCAACTGCGAGCTACTTGTGGCGGAGTCCAACACTCGAATAACATGTCAGCGCCCGGACCCCGCAGCGCCCCTCCCTTCGGCTTCCTTCCCTCACAGCGTCGCTAAACGAAATATTTCTTGATTCTAACCTACTTGAATCTATGCAGATATCCAGGTGACAACGTATGCCAATTGTCGCCGCAACCCTCAACACCAAGTAAGGGGTGAGTACCTGCGATGTGCAGCAGCGCGAGCTCGGCGAAACCAACAACTCTGTATGCCTGCAAGTGGACAGCTGAGGGACTTGCCTTTGTCCCTTGACGCTCAGGATACGAACGTGCAGGGAGAATGCCCTATTTGTGATAAACGTTCACCAACTAATTCCTCAGATTAAGCTCGGTCGGTGCCCCATTTAATCCTCTCGCAGCGTATGCGAGCATATTGGCATGCAGCATCGTTAAGCTTTTCGAATTCACTAACATATTGATTAGTTGGAACTTCTGCGAGAGTTAGGGCTACATACAAATCATCTTTCTTTTTCACTTTGAAGACTTCGTATGCTATCTTGCTGTGGTCGATGTTTGGGTGTAGTTTACAATTGAAATCCAAAACGATATGCATCTGAGAAGATTCATTTGGAGCTATCAAGTGAGAGTAGAAATCGCTATTCGAGGGTTCGGGGCCATACAGCGCGAAGAATCGTCGATTTATGGCCGCTTCATCAAGCTCGTGTTGAACGTGAAAACGAAGAACAACTCGCTTCGGGTCATTAATGGATCCCATCTTGACAGCGGGGCTATGAAGCTGCGTAGTATTGCCTACTCTAGCACTAGATTTGTGTGTAGCTAGTTTAGGCGCTAGTAGCACGCTATGCAAAGGACGGTGGAAGGTTCGACGCTGGTGTGGAAGGTTCGACGATGGTGTGGAAGGATGTCAGCGTTCTACAATCAGGAGTCAGGCCAGCTGGTCGTTGGAGACTCTCACATTGACCACGGTGGCTGACGTCGGTTTGCCAGAGGCTGCTAGCTGCAAAGAGTCAGAGAAATTGCGGTAAGAAGTAAACAACACGTCGCCTTAAGGGTGATCTAAATGAGCGCGTTGTTTCGTTGTCGCTATGTCAAAACTCTAGCAAGCTCGAAGAAATAGGGTTTGAAATAAGGCCCGCTAAAACACGCAGCCGTTTAGTCCCAACTTTCCCATTCCCACCCAACTTTCGCAGTCTCACACCAAGTTTCGCAACCTTATTTTAAATTTATCGGGCTCACTCTACCTTCCCCAAGTTTGACGCAATGGTCGGTATCTACGTTGAGACTGGAGCAGGTCGCCTTGCTTCTGGGGACGGATATGGCGCACTACCGAAACACTGCAGAAACAATGTCGGAAGTCACGGGAGCGATAAGAAATGTCAATCTCAGGTTGTGAGCTTATGGCAAGCGGAGCATGGTGTAAATTGAGTCAATTGAATATCTGAACAATGAATCGTAAAACCAATTATCGGCACTGCTCTTCCACAGCAGGCCTTTTCCTTGGCCCTTTTGGCGCGCCTCGGTCGGTAAAAGAGGTATCTGGGGTTGCATCCTGCGCATCGCCAGTACTTTGCTGGCTGTGGTCTGCTGATTGAGATTTGGGTTGACTCCATTCTGAGAGGCGATGGCGCTCGAGGTTTTGTGAAAGCTCAAAACTTTGAGAAAGTTGTGGAACACTAAAATCTAGGTCCGCCGGTATCTTGTCTATTGCCGAACATAGCCGTTCAAAATGGCTCGGCATCCATATATCGTAGACGTTCTTGGTGAATTTGTAAGCCGTCCATTTCTCCTTCCCATCCAGTGCTGTGAAATCGAACCTGTGGATAGGATGGCGATAATACTTGGTATCCTTTCCCTCAATAACCGGATAGTGTCCATAGATTCTCACCGAGGTGTGATCATGTGAGATTGAAAAAGCCAAGATTTCACGGTGAAGCTCCATTTCACGACCGACCAATCTGAAGAGATTTACAGCAGCTCTTACTGCAAGAGTCATGCTATAAGCATTCTGTCGGTCTGCAATATCGAGCGCTGCAGCACCGCACTTAACCTCACACGTGAGGAAAGGGAAGTACATGTAGTACGTAGCCATGACAAAGGATTGGTCACCGGCGATGAAGTCACCAATAAAGGGAGCAAGCTTTTCAAGCTGAGTTGTCGTGAATGCCTCGCGTTTGAATCCCACCGAATAGTCAGGCTGGGGACGCTTAAATCCCATTGAGGACTTAAGCTGGACTCGTGTGTCTTCGAGGGGCATTGAGTTGTTCCAGCCTTCGTTGACACTCTCGATCAGAATGCTGAGATGTTTGGAGCCAAAAATCGTAAGAGTTTCCGCAGAAGGGGCGATTAATCGAGTAATATCTTGTATAACTCTGGCCTCATTCCGATTGTGTATGTTTTGACAGGTTCGCTTGATTACGTCGTCATGGAACGAGTCACTTGGTACTGTCTGCTTGGTGTCGAGCAATTTCAGGTATGCTTCTCTGCTTTGCTTTGTGATTCCCAGTTCGGATTCTTCCATAAAGCTGCCTCTTGTCGCAAGTAGGACCTCATATCGCGCATCTTGGTAAGGAGCGCTTTTCGCTTCTCTCGGCTTCTGATCACTTGGCGTGGTTGAACTCGGCGCGGCAGAGCTTGGTGTAACAGATAGAGGCTCGAAAGATGCCGGTGCTGATTGTTTTTGACGAAGGGAGTTTGAGGACTTTCGTCTAGCAAGTAGATGATTCATGTCGTTGTTGCTCTGTTCAGCAAATCTCTTGGGCCACTTGTGTGTCTTCGTCCAATAGTTGATGGGATCCGATTCTTCTTCGCCAATTTGGTTTGCCGCCTCGTTATTAGGTATAGTGTCGACGGTTGTATCTTCGGAGAATCTTTGTACTCGCTTTCGAGGAGCTGCCACTAGCTTGTTGTGGATGGGATCTAAGGTATCTCGCTGTCTCTTCTTATTTAGTTGCTGAGCTAATAGTTGACGGTCAGATTTTCGGTATCGCTTTCGTCTGTGTTCCGTCCCTTGTTCAACATCGGGTTCTACAGGTCGCTTTCGCGTCGCCGCTTTCTGAACAGGATTCGTCGTTTGGGTGTGTAAGCTCTCTCGCAACGAGCTCCGCTCGGCGGCAGCTTCTTGTTGTTTATTTCCCGTCCGATATATAGCCACTTTATTAATTGCCGCCCTTTTTGCAATACGGAAACTTCGCGGTCGGGTGGGAGGTTTGCCGTTCCCTAGACGCGCTTTGAGACGTTAGAGCGAGTTCAGCGGGATAAGGTATGGCTACGTACCCTCATCATTTGGCATCAGAACAGGTCGTTTCTTGTGGTCGGCTAGATATCTTGAGCGGGTAGCCATGTCAGTCAATGTCGGGATATTGATGCGCTTATATTTGTTGTTCAGTTTCGGTGGAGTCATCTAGCGCGAAAGTGCCACACGAACGCCAAGCATTGCAGGGGTGCAACCCACGCGCCTGAGATCAATCCTTCTCTCTAGCTCGTAACCACACGGCTTTGCACGAGATCTACCCTCGCACCGCATTACATGCCTCACCATATTTCAGACTTTTCGCAGTTTGATACAATGAACCTTCATTCATACTCTCAGTATGAAAATGGCTTCGCATCGCAGCCTAACGCTTGCCTGTGACCGGGCATGGGCCACGCGTTTCATAGTATTCGCGCTGCTGACTCCATAGACGACTATGTATTACAACATGCTTGCTTGCATGAATCCGTGGGGTGAGCTAATGATGATCATGACAGTGTGGCATTACGCTAAACACCTTCTAACCAATAACACCACGCCATGACAAAGGTACTACTGCCCTTCCATCGGGAGCTGTAACCGGGAGCCTAATCACACCACTTGCACCCGCCTAGCGCGTCTCGCTTTACGTATTGGAGCTCCCCTGGCTTACTAGTCCGGTCTATACAACAGAGAGGGCTTTGAAGGATGGTAGTTCTGCCTGTTCTTTATTGACTCGCCGAATCGCGCAGTTCATATAACTGCCGCCTTCTCACGGCCTCGTTCAGATCATAGCCGCTCGCATACCTGACGGATTCAGTTCTCAACCGAGTCCCTGACTTTGTCTGCGATTGCTTCGCCACGCAATTACAACTTCTGAAGTGCACAGCTTCACACCTCGTCAGCCAGCCGGTCAGAGTCCGCAAGGCAGTGTCTGGTCGACACGGATCCCACGTCTCCTGAAACTACTGGCGCGGACGATATGCTCTGTATGGCCTCTCATCGGTCGCCTTGTACATGTTAGCTGCTTCGCCACTAGAGCTGCAGGTGACCAGATTGGCTTCAATGTTGCCGTCTCTCCTGACGGGGATCCGGGATCGCCGTCGCTGAATATGCTCGCCTCGGCTTCAGCTGCATATTATAATGCGGCGCCATTCCCTTTTAACTGGAAAGCGAGGTAACTAAACCAAAAACTTAGCCGTATGACGTTGGCAAGTGGATCAATCTGCAGGAATCGGCGGGTCAAAAGCAAATCCAGCTGCCTTCTCCGACAGACACAACACATGCCGTTATCTCGCTCGCATCTCATCCAATCGTAAAGGTATGGTGAGAATCTATCGTATCGCGTGAACCAAGCAACACAGAGATGTTCGTGATGTGTGCTTTTGAAAGTCATCTTAAATTCTGTCATTCTTGCAACAAATTTAATCCAAGCGCTTGTGGAATGTTTCATAGAATTGCAAGATCGCTCGTCGAAAGGTTGGAGATGGGTCAGGATGGAGTGGTATATTCTCGTCGGAGCAATCGTTGGATTTGGGAACGTGTTGAAATGCCACCAGATTTCATACTAGTCTAGCCGCGCGAGAGGCGAAAAGAAATACACATCAACAAAACAGAAGGACTGATGGGGTTACTGTTCAGGTTGATAATTTTTAGCAATCAATATAAATTAAAGGGATTTTCTTTGAATTGAGAATATTTAGCATAGTTATCTCTCCCTGCCCATAACAAAACAGGTCCCATACCCATTTACGCCGCAGTATAAGGCAAACAAAAAACAGGGTGAGCTAATGCTAACCAAATCCCTGGGAACGGTCCTATCGCCGCCATTTAGTAACTTACATATATAAAAATCTTATTAATCACTATTCAAGTATACTAATTCGTGAAGATAATATAAGATAACCAGAAAGTAAGCCAATAAGACCAAAAAGTACCTGGTTTGTGGTGGCTTAGAACTAGAAAGCTTTGACCAATACGCAGCTGGTGAAAGTACCAAAATCCTAAAAGTTGCTTTTTCATTTTCTGGCCATACTGGACCATCTATAAATGTAGAGAGACTTTAGCATCTAATCTTGTATGCACCTCATACAATGCTTTTCTGTAATATCTTCAAGGCTTTAGCACTGATCGTCATCACATCCGCCTTACCGCATCCTAATTTAAGGGGCCATTCACTACTACCATCTTCCAACTATGCTGAGTGCGATTCGAGACATCTAGATGAAACTAGATGGTTAGATAAAAAACGGTCTTTACGAGTAAGACCAAATGGAAAGCACAAGTTTGAGTGTGAATCGCTTCTGTTTGAAGCGAATAAAACAGCGGAAGGTTCTGAACACACCATTAAAAGATCGCCTCTACAGAGACAAAATGTGGATGATCCAACCGCAGGCGGAGATGATCCACATAAAAGGCCATATAAGAGACTGCAAGCCAGACGTTCTCTTACTGGTAGAGACCTACCTCACATACGTCCTTGGATTGCCCCCATTAAACGCTCCCCAATCAACCGAATGGATGCCGATCCCATATTTATCTCTCTTGAACAACATGCTTTACGCGAAAACTCAACTCAGCCTGAGAATGACCCCACTAAGCCTGATATTGGTATTTTAGATAGCTATAGGACGGACCACAGTAATTACTTTAAGCAAAAGTGCAAATCAGTGGGTCAAATACAAAAGTGGGGTCATCCAATGGGATACCTCGAAATAGCCTAGGAAATTTTCATGTCGGTTGGCAACCTCCCTCATGGGACACTTGGGTCTCGATACAATTCAGGTTTCTCGTTATTGGAAGTTTTCTTTAGTTAAGTCGAAATACCTATGGCTTAGTTAGAACTCCTTGCATTTTCCTCCAGAAGTTTTGCTTTATAAATATGCTTAAGATAGGCCAGAGAGCTTCAAAATACTTGTGCGTGAGATTTCGAGCTTATATGGCATTAAAAGTAAAGACCATCAATGCCTTATCACAGTAAAATAACAATGGCGAACTCTTGAAAAGCGAAGTCATATAATTTGGAGTTTGCATTAAAAGATAAGCAGATCCGCCGCCATAAGCGTATTCTCGAATTTCAAGCGATGGTATGATGGTCCTCTCACGAAAGAATTGGGTCCCAGTAATAACATGGCGCCCTATCCTCCAATACATCAATTAGCTCAGTTGACCCCTAGTCGTCATTGTAACAGGCTATGCCTACACTAGGGCTGCGCCACTATGCACTACAAGGGGGCGTTAGCTCTAATGCGGACTAGTGCTTAAAGAACCTTAAGACTCATAGGATTGAGTCTTTTTCCTTCCTTCTCTCTCCTCATCTTGGTTGTAGATAGCACCTGGACTAGATAGCTGGAATCCAGTTACTATAGGCCGCTCACAGTCATCAGATTGTATCCTAGTCCTGGACAGCAGGAATTATCTTAAGATTGTCTTACGGTTAGCTTCATTCAATTTGGCCGCCTTATTTGCTATCTGTGCAATCGTGACTGCACTTGGTATTTCAGTTTGAGGCTTCAGAAGCAAGTTCGCCAAGTCTTGTAGGCTGGGCGGTAATGGCTCATTGCGTCCACACATAGAATACAGAGAAGCAACGAAGGTTGAAGCCACCTAGAGACACGCGGCGACGCTTGCTGCACCACGCTGTATCTTCGTTGCCAAATGCGCTTGGAGACCGCTTTTGCCGAGCCAAGGTATTCAATTAGGCGGTGCAACATGCTAAGGTGTATGATTAGCTTTGTAGGTGCCAAGTCAATACTGATGGATGTGTGGCGGAGATTAGAATTTGTTGCGGTCACTGGCACGCATATATGGTTCGATAACGACTGTCTTGTTCCGATGCACAAATTTAGATCCTTGCTGTGAACCAGATGAAAAGAAGCCATGCTCAGCCTCATCTTGTCGTTTCAAGACGGCGCGAATGTAGGGCTGAGTCATTACTAAAAATAGGTCGGAGTTTTGCGAGCACACTGGGCTCGCCCTTATCAAAGAGCAATTCCTTGCTCTAGCGTTCTTTGACCTACTCTAGCACGGAATGGCTGATAAAATAAACAATGTGAGGTAGCCGTACATGTAGTCGATTTTTTGACTGACATTCTAGACTTTCCATCGCCTTTGGGCAGATATCAAAGGCGAGGTGTGGAAGCTGCTCGCTGATGAGAAGGATCAAAAAGAAAGTATATGCGACGGACTCCTCTGGCTGTCGAGAAATATATATTCCGAATGGACATATAACGCTTGTACCCAGGACGAACAACAAATTCTTTCTAAATCTCAGGTAAAAGCAATTGACGATGTGTCGGCTCAACGCGGGAAGAATTTCGTGTCTAATAATTTGGGCCCTGAGGTTGCGCATCATGAAAGGGAAAGAAATATCATGGACATCTCATCTGGTTCTATCTCGCGTGGCAAAAGTTTTTTACCTGCTGAAACAGATCATACTGTGACCAGAGCACATGCTGAATCGAACGACATGTGCTCTGAGCCTATCCATGGGGATTCTGCTACCGATGTAGATGAAGAATGCGGCAAACCAAGTTCCATTCCTGTTGAGATAGATGCTCACCTAGAGACAGAGATTATTGAAGAAGATGCCGGCACATGGCAAGCCACATGCCAGAGTATCCCAGCGAATACTCGATTACCCTTGAGAGATGACCTTAGCCAACTGCCGTATAGCCTGGCGATCGCGACGGATAGCGTCGAATATTGCACAACTAAAGACATCTCACACATTCCGCAAGCCACAGTACTCTCAACTGAGATAGCACCAGACTTCCATGCTTCTGTCGCCACAATGGAGAGCAATGATTGCAAGCTCCCAGTATGCGGGGCTAGTGCAGATTATGAAAGGCACCGCACTGTTAATATTGCTGATATTAACGATACACACCAAAACGAGACGCTGGGTCCCTCCCGCGAGCCGTCTCCCACCTTTTATGAATTCCAAATAGATCACGATGAAAGGGCCCAGACAATTTCTTATGATCGACCGTCTTCAGAAAACCAATATTTCGAACAACGCGAAGTAACAGAAGCTTTTGACGAGTATCAGCGCTCAGTAGAGGATGGAGTTGAAAGCATCGGTTCGTGCTCTGAACCAAGTGTGCGACGATCTTTGAGGGCCCGCCACCCTCTAGAACAAGTTCAGACCCCCCAAGAGCTCAATAAGAGGAGAGCATCAAAGGACAAAAGAAAGGTCCATCAAAAGCGGACTAAAACTGAAGATAGCCCTAAGACGCAAAGACTTACTTTACTTAAGGAGATGGAGGATGTCGACCAGGACATCATTAACCCACAGGACATATATCAGCAGTTTCTGGATCGATCCTCTGGTGTGGATGAAGACGCAGTGCGAATTCTTGTCCGCCTTTTCTATGCGATTGCCAGCCCTCAAGCATTCGATCAACTCAAGGATGTGTGTACACTTATCAGAACGGAGGGTGAGGTCGTCATACTCCAGAAGACCGACACCGCTGCGCAGACTATCAACGCCCTCAACGCACTGGATACCGCTGCTACGGTTCACTCTATCCTTCGGCGATTCCATCTCGTCCGCTTACTTGAGCATCGAACAGAACGGGAGAGGCAACATGAATCGGAGAAGCCTCAACGCCGGGCGAAAAAGTCTAAGCTACCGAGGATGAAGGGATTACGCACATACCAGAACTCTTCTTCACTTGCCCTGGCTGACCTTATGGCTGAGGCATACCCGCATCTGGACAAGCCTGCGCGTATCCGGGATGCGGCTGGTACCGAGTATGGTAAGAGGCACAGCTCACTTAAGCATATGCTTGTTGCTGGAAGGAATTGGCATGCTTTGCAGCAAGCGTTTCCCCTTGGTATATTGGCCCTCATACCCACAGGTAGGGAGTGCGGGATTCAGAACTCCGAGTATGTTTCTCACTTAGTTTGCTGCGTACAAAGACTTACCCCTTTTAGTATCGAACGGTTGCACGCCTCTGTCTTTGATGGATTTCTTGATATCTTGACTGAGTTACGAGGCGACTTCATCCGTGAAGTCAGCACCACTGTTTCTCTTCACCTAACCGATATTTTGTTCAGACGTGACTTGCAATGGAAGTACAGATTTGAAACGGTCGACGCCCAAACGCTGAGGTCTCATCGTCTGGATGCCCCTGTCCTGGTCGAATTGTGTGGCACAGATTGACCTTGTGTACTTCTGGAGCTTTAAGGTTAGCGGAAAGGAATATTTAAAGAAGGATAAAGTATGAGTCATAAGATATGGATATATTTCCTCCAGTATTCGTACATTTTGTCGATGTCGTCCTCTATGGAAAACTGTAATGCAATACTCTTCAGTCTCTTCTCAGTCGTCAGCACTGAAGCGCTTTTGAAACGCCGTGTCATAAATCTCCCAACTACCTGAACAAGAGATCAAACTCCATATTCAAGCGCCGCCGTTTGTAGTTGAGCACTTCCCTTCGCGCCTACTACGACCACGATGGCCAAGACAATGGTGGAAGGAAAACACGTATCTGCCCAAGGCATACAGGGTCATTTCTGCGAGATGCCCATTTCTGGTCTCCCTCCTCTTCCTCCTCTTGCCACTTTGGCTTATGACGAACGTAGATAGTTTCCTTCTATTACAAGCATAGCGTCATGCTTTCCGATGACCTTTCAAAACCTAATTTTCAGCAATGACATTCCAACAAGGCAGGGCATTTGGTTATTGGTTCCCCCCCACCTATGCTGATATTCCCAAAGATTGTAGGGCTTCCCCTTCCTTTCAACCAACTCCGCATGTGTGCCTCTTTCAACGATTTGGCCATCCTTTATAAATAAAATCAAAGTTGAATTAATGATAGTGGAGAGCCTATAAGCCACAACAAACATTGTTCGTCCAGATCGAAGCCTTTGCAAAGCTTCCAGAACTTAGGGATATGCAGAAGACACTTAGAAATTATCTATCACCCTTCCCCCATGAATATTCCAAATCAGAACTGTCGCGGCTGAAAGTTTTCTACCCAAAATATCAGTATTACTTAGCAAACTAATCCTTCATCAAACTATAAAACGACCTTCTAGTTTGAACCTAAAGTACAACCGTTCAGATGCTCTTTTGCCAGAATAATGTATCTCGCTGCTCCAACAAGATAGACACTTCCCAATACCAGCACCCTGGCTTCTTGAAAAGTACCCTCAACAAAGTCTATAGCATTTCGCACTGTTATAAATGCATGTAACAATTTTTCAAATCCCAGATCCCTAAAAAAAGCAGCATGATCTAACATTGATTTATTCTCGGCCTCAAGGTCTCGACGATAATCAATGAGATCTATCGGCACAATTAGTACCATAATTAGATAAAAGCTTTATATTATAAACCTACCAGGTTTTGTATCATCCAGCCCACTTGCATCCGTGCAGAGTACAATGGCGGCAGGAGTGCGAGAGCGATCCTCAAATAATGACTCATAAATTATTCGCAACATTCGTCTTGAGTCTCGGCGAGAATGATGCCCGAATATCAACACGACTGGCGCTCCTTCATGCCTGGAATGAACTTAGAGGGAATCATTTGAATAGGTAAGAGGCGTACCTAGGTTGAAGGAGTGTATTCTTCAGCCATTCACTTGCTTCCCTAATACTTAACTCATTATGAGCAATATTAATAAGCCATATATTCTTAGCCGTGCCAAGAACCTCATTTCTTCCGATAAGTTTTGCATTTCTGACAGCCTGGGCGATTTGTTTAGTCATTGTAAAGTCCGGGTCTTCAAGTTTAATTACTGATAATGCCAAATGAATGGCTAGCGACGCGTTAAGCCTTTGGTAGGACATATTGGGATACACAGAAACACCAAGCTCTTTTGGGGTGGCTTCGGACACAATTGTCAGCTCACAAGCCCTTTCATGGCTCCTTTCGTGCAATACCAACTCAGCTTCAGGCTGCTGGGGAACAGAGAAAGCTCGCGAGCCTGGTTTGAAAATACCGCTTTTGTGCCAGGCAATACTGCTAATAGTATTGCCAAGAATTTCAACATGGTCGAAGTCAAGTGTAGTCACACCGACAGCGCAAGGACGTGGAATCACATTTGTAGAGTCCGTTTCCCCGCCAATGCCTGTCTCTATCACTGCGATATCGACTTTCTCATGCCATATAATATAGAAACTTAACAAGGTGAGAAATCCTGGGTATCCGGGCAAGGGTGGATGACTTGTAGTATCAAGATGTTTCTGCATTTCCGCCCACAACCTCTGCGTGTACATGCTAAAGCAAGCAGTTGAGACAGGCTCAGAGTTTATTCGGATACGCTCAGTAATATTAGAAATATGTGGAGAAGTCGTACACAAAATCTTCAGTGGGCGGTTGATGGAATCCGCGTAAGCTCGGAGAATGCTTTCGGTAAAGAGACAAGTCGTCCCCTTACCTTTTGTGCCTGCAACATGTATGTACTTGGTGCTATGCAAACAACCCTAATTCATATAAGAAATTTAATCCAGGAGTTTAAGTTAGTCTTACCGAGATGCCAAGAGCATCGAGCCAGAGCGAGGTTCGCTCTTTAGGTGATATTGCCCTCGCGGCCGAAAGCTTAGACTGTTTGAAGGGCAAACGATTTAAAATATTCATAGCTGACTACAGCTCGGTTAAATATGTTCTGTATATTTTTTAAACTTTCTCTTACCTCCAGATTGTACATGTTTGTAGTGTCTTTTGCGTGGAGGAAGTGGTGTTGTATGTTCTCATAAGAGATTTTTCATTACTTTAAGCTAAGTTAACTTATGAACGTCTGCTGACTAATTTGTGCTAAAAAACAGAGGCGGTGAAGAACTTATAATTAGATCGTCCTGTAAGACAGAATTTTGACCAATCAAATAAGAATACCATTCCTTCATTCCAACCATCCAAAAGCACATACCACATGTATTGATGAGTTGGCCACAGCGTTGAAGAGCATTAACATACTCAGCATGCTTTAACTGATTTTGAAAAATATGTGCCTGTGACAGTAATATCAGTGCAGTCAATGACCCCTCTTTCGACCATTGCTGGAAAATAAAGCTCTCTAAGTTAGCCCATAATTGTAGGGCGCAGTCCCACTGTCCATGCAAGTGTGTCAACCTAGCCTCACTGAATAGAGTCCAAATATATAATAGTGAGGTGCTTGCAAGTGAGTATTTGGCATTCGAAAAAATGTATTGTGCTGTAATTACGTCGCCTTGCTGCAAGAGAATTTCGCCCTCTCTTACATAACCGGCGAGGGTTGGTATCTCCCTTCTTTTGACCATTGCGGCTTCGAAGCTCTGCTGTGAAATAAGGGTATCGCACTGTTCGTATAATAATTTTCTTGCGATACTACCGTTGTATCGGCTAGGGTCTATTGAGAGCAGAGCTGACAAAGTCGATTGACTAATCGAACCCTGATATCGTTCTGCCATGGATCTGACAAGTGTGGTTTCTGCGCGCGCAATATCCTCTAATGAAGATGGCGAGTCCTGGCACACTGGACTCCACAGTGTCAAAATCGATAAGTCGGCGGAACCGTACTCGCGCAAGTTTTTAGTAGTAATAGCTGCTAGGCATCGTCCATATTGTGCGTTCGCCCTTGGAGATAGCTTGACCCTTTGCAATATTGTTTGGATGTAATAGAGTGTCTCATCGGTCCTACTATAGCCAAGAGCGCCGATACGTGCTGCCCAGAAATTGAGATAGCTTGGCTCGGCTCGAGCAAGATATGAGTGAATATACTGACTCCACTGATGAGAGAAGGAGTCTGAGAAGAACGGGAAGGCGACCAGTAAGACGGCAATAAGCTCAGCGCATGGTTCGAAAAAACTGGAGACAGCCGAGATTAAAGGGCCATAAATTGGTACAATGTCTGAAAAGCTAAGAGAAAGTCAGCAATTTACTAATTTCGAACATGATTCAACATACATCCGTGCCAAACGACTCCCGCGAGGAAAGGAATGGAAAAGAAATGAGGCGATGAGTTTTCGCCACCATTCAAGCTGTTCTTCATTCAACACCGACTCTGCGACTCTAATGAGGGCATCCTCAGCGCGAAGAACTGTCTGATCTCCATCACCACCGTGTCGAATTAATGCGCCAACAGAGAGTAAGTCTTGAATAGCTAATTTATTGTCCTCATCTCCCAAACATGGTATCTCATGAATGGCCTGTTTTCGCACAATCTCGCCATTTTCCGACCAACGCATCTGATCCTGTGTAAGCTGAAGCAAGCAATGTTGTGGTATCTCAATTTGCGATACGGACGCAAGGATGGCAAAAAATATTCCTGTCAATGAGCATTTGCGTAAGGAAGTGGCCCGAGGATCTTGCAGAACGAGAACAACGGATGAATGCAGTATGGGGAGAGTAGGCGAGGACAGCGAAGGACAAGTAGATTGTAAAGGGTTGACCTCTCTGCTATTGAATACTGTACTCATCATTTGGGTAAGAATCTTGACCTTCTCCTCATACTCGTCTTTTTCGAAATTTGTCTCAAAGGCAGTATTAATCTGGCTAAGACTACACAACATGTCAGCACAGTCATGAGGAATACCCCGAAACCTCACCTGCAATTTTTACCCATCATATATGCGATTATAAATGGTACACTAAACGGAAAAAGGGCCTGTATCTCGTCGGGCGGTGGCTCACAGGTCTTGACCTCTCCAGCAATCGAAATTTTGGCAAGATCATGGATTGAAGGTATATCTATTGCAGTCAGCATATCTTTCCTGGCACCCGAATTTATGTTAAGCATACTTTGATAGAGCAACTCCCAAGCTCGATGCCTGAACCCCTTTTTCTCCAGGTTGTTTCCCCACTTTATCCAGCGAAGCGTCTCGCGACGAAGTTGTTCAAAATACTGTGGTTTTGCTCTGCATTTCCCCTGACGCGCCTGCGAAAAAGTCTTTGCACTTTCATTTACTTCTTCCTCAGACATGCCGAGCTTTAACGCAAGAATGCACAGGCCGTTGAACAGGAACATGCTGTAATTATAAATCTGCCTCATGTTGACGGTGCGGAGCTCTAAATCAAACACGTGTTTCGCATAGGTGTTCAGGGTCTGCGCAACGCAATCGTTACCCGATGGTTTGCTCTTGATTTCGATGGGGGTGAATGCGAAGTTGATACGTGCAAGAACGCAGAATGTACGCACAACCTGGGGCAACGTCAAGGTATGGGTTTCTTCTCGTCTTTTTTTCCATTGCTCTTCGGTTTTCGGTATTCGAGCCCAAAAACTCTTTGATCGATTGTTGCAAACTTTTTTGTTCACGCCCTGTTTCGAGGGGTCCATAAATCGGATCTGGATAGACGGGTCCTGTCTTTGCTGTGTCGAAGCAATGGCCTCATTATCAACGTGACCGGACAATGAGACATGTCGTGCGTGAAGTTGTTGGAGTAAATAGAGATTCTGCTGCTCAAGTTGATGAATACGCTTCTCTAGACGATCAATGTATTCATCGTCTGTACCACCGATGTCGTCAATTCGTTGTTTGCGGCCTCGATTGTTCATTTTTCAAGACGGGCGAAAAACCAGGACGTGAGAGACAGGATTAGGAAATAAAGACATGTCCTCTATTTCCTTATATAGTATGGATCATGGCCGTCAGGCTTATGCAGGTGACAAGTTTAGTCCCGCTCTACTCGTTCACCGATCGGCGACACCGTGACAAGCGCCACCCCATCATTCCCTGTCGTGTATCCCTCGAATTGTCTTGGCTGCAGGGAATCCACTGCAGTTGCGGTAAAAACTCAGTAACAGCAGCATGTTGTCATGCGTCTGTAAAGTCCACAATATTGACCTTTTTAGCATGTAGGAGCAAAATGGCTGCAGACGTTCAAAACTTTAGAAAGCCATATGGGCACCGAGGATGACGAAACACTCAGGGTTTGCCGACCGCCACTGGTCGCTTTGACCATGGATGAGGCAGAACCCGAGACAGGTCAGATTCTAAAAGCTGCAAGCCATACCTTTGGCCATTGAAGTTACTCGCCTGCAGGTCGTATCTCTCAGAGAGAAGGCCGGGTTTCGGAACCAAGAATATCAGAGGTGGACCCGATGGAAGCTCTTTGCAGGGGATTCCACAACCAAGACTGCAGCAAGCTATGATCCAAGTATTCTCCAGACAGCCAAACGTAATGCCCTTTGACAATGCATATATATTCTTGAGAGTCAACCTGATGAGCGACTGTAAAGATAATTTATTATTATCATCATCTCGCTCCTATCATCATCTTCCTATTCTTTACTAGTGTCACAATTATCAAACGCCAACATCATGTGCATATACGCGTGCAACTATTGCCCGACTTGCAAATGTGATTCTTGTGCAAAATGCCAAAACGATATGCAAAAGGTGGGTATGAATAAAATTGTCATGATAACTGGGCTAACTATATCTAGTCACAAGTGTTGCCGAAGCTTGCTACCGAAAACAAACTGCTATGTACAAGATCACTACATCCTGTAAATGGAAAAGATTTATGCGCTCCAAGGCGACGGGAAATTGAACGTGATATAATATTCCGGACTCGAGAGGCTTTACTAGATTCGTGCGTGAATGGCGGACGAGACCAAAAAGACTTCATCACAGTAGGACCAGATACAAACTTATTTGGGCTTGATGCGGAAATATCATTAGTTTCACTTTGCCTCTCAAGAATACATATGGTCAAGGTTACAAATACAGATATCGGAGAAATGATCGTCGAGGTGAGAGACTGAAAATATTTTAATCTTTGGTAGCTGACTATGACAGATGATAATGACAGCAGAACGCAAACACTGTTCACGATGGTCATTCTGCTTAAGCTGCACCTGCACCGCCTTTTCAGAGATGAATTATTTTCCACCTTGCGAATGCGGACATAGAGAAGAGCATCACGCCTCCTTGGCGAATTTATGCAAGAGTAAATCAGTTCCAATGACTGTGAAACAGTTTGCAAAGATTCTCCTACGACTGGAGATTTTGACAGATTTTGGTGACGTCTCATTGAGTGCACTGGCGAATGCATAAGCTAGGCGTAGACTCTGACCTAGTGTCTATCTGGAGTTGCGAGAAACGTGGCATGAAGAGTGGTTGCGTCGCTGGAGTTTGTTGGCTTAACTAATTCTTGTATAGATTCCCTAAGCTTATTTAGCCTTTTCTTCACAATGTATGAGAAGTTCGCGAGCTGGCTGAAAGTTAAACGCATCCTTCTACACTGTCTAAAGCGCCAGCATGAGACCATTTACCGAGACAGCCACGCCATGTGTTGCACTTGCCATAATACAGGCGAAGCCCGAAATATGTTCACCGATTTAGGCAGCAGCAAAAATGATAATATGTACGTTTTTCACTAGCTGAACGAGTGAACAGCCGCACACGCAGCTACGTTGCCGCTTACTATCCTAATTTTACCTCTGCTGACCAACTCCGCCTTTGATTATCTATTCGTGGCCACTCCATTTCCGCACCACGAAACACAAGGAACACCAGTGGATTGAGGGATAAGTGAGTGAAGCAACAGAGTTGGGATTGAAATGACTCGATAAAAGGCTGTTAACCGAGACTGATTCTGAAGACGAGACTGGACCCAGGCGCGAGCCCGAGAAGCGAGCTGTTCAAGGATTCGAAGTGGCGGTCCAGCGGACACAAGCACATTTCCTTCCGCGATTCACTACCAGCCACACTCTGACCATTAGCTCGTCTAGAGCGTCGCCGGCCCTAGTCTCATTATGCACCAGGCTGAGGCGCTGAATAGTTGGGTGAAATCCATGAGGTGCGTGCATGTGTTGAGCTGTGCGAATGGGGGTCAATATCGACGACTTGAGCCAGCGCGGCTGAAGCTAACACGAGTACAACGATCGGAGCTATTAATATTCGTAGGAAATTAGCGTATTTTCCATCCATTACTCTTGAACTGACGTGTCTCGGTCGCATAATGGAGAGCGTGAAGCCCGAATTCCAGCATCTTAATAAAGACTTACGCACATTCGCAAACCGTTCCTTGCCACTGTTACCTACGTCAGAGAGCACATCCGCGAGAGTAGTTAACAGATAAACTGGCGGACGGGCTGCCGGCATCACAAATCAATTGTCACTCAGCGCCTTTAATCCCTTTTTGTACATTATGCACGAGGTCAAGCCCCTAATAAAACTTTCGATAAACAGACCCACAGGAACCAATAACAATGACATAGTATAAGAACACAACATTTATCGCTACATCGCACCTAATATGTTTCTCAGTTTCCTCAAATAGCTCCTTGATATTGGAGGAATACGCACTTGTCAGATCTCTAGCATGGAAAAAACGCCGAAACCACAGGACAAATTGTGCGGGACGATCTGCTCACCTTGCACCGTCTGTACAAACCCGGTTATACTGTGTTCATGTGCTATGCTTCAGTAAGTCACGTTTCATATACATCGCACGATCTTCCTGGGGCTGACTAAACGGAGGGCGAGCATTGACGAGTCAAGGTCGAGCATATTACGAACCATAGCACATATTAATGTTCTTCTGGACGAACTAAGCTTAGGTGTAGCACGCGCCGAATTCGGCGTGCTTCTTGGTCGACTTTTGCTCAATGACACGCAAGCATCTCTTTCGGAAACTTTGAGCCATTTTCGCGCACTCAATCAAGCTGCCTCAGCACTGCAAGACGGTCTCAGCATGATACAGCTGTTGCTCCTAGAGAGCAAATCGTCAGGATCTGTCGAGCTGCACTGAAAGGTTCCTCAGGTTCCAGTTGTATCCTAACGAGCCACCATTTCAAACTGTCCAATGGCCACGGGGTCATCCCAGAATCTTCCGTTTCAGAATACTCAACACCGGCTACCAGTGCTGGACAGTTATTACATCATGAGCCTAAGTTTTCGTTCGGACGGAGCTGCGCTGGCAGGAACGAGCCAGTGACCTCTTTTAAGGACGGTGTATGCGTAGACTGAATGGTTGATTTTGCCTGCATAACCACTATTTCTATTGTATAGGACGGTCACGCATCAGCTGTGTATAGGCATCCTTGAGTATGGCGTCCTTTAGAATCTACCACACCACTTCCCTTCAGCAACTACCAAGACTTGTATCCACTCACCCGCTTCACTCATCTACTGAAATTTTCCCTTGTAGAGAAAACGTCATTTATAAGTATTGGTTCATCATATGAATTTTCCAAAAAATTCCGAAATTCCTGTTGAAATTCTTTCTTTTGCCGAATATCACTCATAATATACTCGCTCCAGTATTCATACATTTTATTTATATCGTCCTCTCTATGGAAGATTACCGTGCAGTATTTTCTTCTATTTTTGGCTGCATGTTCTTCAGTTGGAGTTAATCCCTCTCTACGCAGTTTTAGCAGATAGTATTTAGGCCCTAAAGATCATAACTCATGTTTCGAATGGTAGCCAACATGAGCAAGGCTGAATCAAGCTAAGGTCCTTGATAAAAATTTCCGCTAGGTACCCTCCAGGGTTTATTTCATTCGCGTACGCCACAACCTGCGCCTGAGAGAGGTGTTTTTATGGCTGCATTGTCATATGGAGTCAGAGAAAAGTTTTTCGAGGAAACAAAAAAATTGGGTAGTGTGGAGCAAATATGAATGCATCTAGCAGCTGTATGGAAGTAACCCAAATCTAATATTATTGCTCCCAATTTTGTATTATGTTTAAGCTAGCGGATATGTGAAGATATATCTTATTAATTAATCGGCAGGCTAAAATTAAATGTCCAATTTGTGATCGAGAGATTCCAGCCCACACCCGTTGATCGGTGGATGTGTAATCTATATCCCAAGCACCATCCTCGAATGTCCCTTCACTCCCCCATACTAGGCGACGAGTGTCGTGCCGGAGCCCGCTGCATCAAAGCCCGTTTTGCTTTTGCAGCAAAATAGATGCTCATTAAGAAGCAGAGAAGACCACGCGTGAAGAACAACAAGACGATCAAAATGGTTACCCAATCATAGGGCTACTATTCATGTTAGCTTTATCATAAAAATTGACTAAATGGGGTGCCGCACAGGTGACCATTCGGGTAGACCAGCCATTCCGCGTATTCTTGCTTGAAGAGGAGATGAGTAGCTAAGCAAATCCGTGGACGGATGGATATCGCACGATGTGCTGTGTGTGAGACAGGGAGCAAGCCCCGATACTTCTTTCTTGAGGAATGAGCAAGTACTAATGGATAAATTGTGACCGATCATGCAAGGCATACTTGACGGAGTTAATCTAGAGCGGCACTCTCTGGCGCACTGATATCTCATGTGATGATCCTTCGGGTGGCTGGCCCGAGACTCTCGTCGTCATGCCATTTACCCTTGTCTGGGCAAAAACCCTTAGTTGCTATATTGGTTTGATCAGATTATTCTTTTTTTAGTCCGTCACAACATCCCTTTATAGCCAACAAGTGTAGCGAGATGGCCAAGAATGCCATGCAGAGAAGGTGGGTTTCGGGCTTCGGAAGGCTGAACGGTTACTGCCGGAGAGGATCATGTTCTCAACGCATTAAATATGAATTACGTCTCACAATAACGGGAAAGCAAGAGGAAAAACCGGGCTGGATGAGGGAAATATTGATTGCGCTATATAGCAGAATGAATCAACATAATACCCGTACTGTAAATGGGCCCAGAACTATATCCAAAGCTCATTTATAACATCCCAGGCGGCGCCCTGCACTGTTAGTAGAAGGCCAGATTACCGGCGTAATGGTCTTACCAATCCAATATCCAAGTCTTTCTTCAGATTTCCTCTGTACGGTAAGATCATACTCATCGGTCCACTGCTCAAGGCTGTCTGTATAACCTGAAATGAACTAGACGCTTTACGGATAGTGACCGCCTCTAGCTGGCAATCCCATTCAAAGAGATCACCTAAGTTAGTCTCGAATACATCGACATAGGCCAAGACATTAGAGTTTGTAAATTCCCCTCCCGGCGTGCCCAACACCACACAAGCCATGGCCGAAAGGGCTATAATAACATCTGGATTAAGCTTGAGAAATGAGTTTTTAACGCGCCAGCGAAAGTCGGCATGACGTGGAACAAGCTCATACGCCGAAGCCCTTGTGAGAAGATATAACGTCATGCTAACAAACGCCTGAAATCCTAATTTGGCTGATAGATACAGCAGAATGTCACTCCGAGTTTCGTCTCCGCAGTGCAGTGATACATATTGGGCCTTCTCTTTTTGGGATAACACTAGAATCTCTTGGAAGCTAGTGCCTGTTTCTGCAGGACTATTGTCGTTTTGGGGCAAGTGCTCCGGAGGCGTTGAAGAATATGGAGGTGGCGGCTCCCCTGTGTGGTGGTCGTAATCTTGGCCCTTGTCGTTGAGCACATGGGTTAAGCTGTGCTCTCGAGGAGCATTTACTTCGTCCGCGTTGTTCTGCAAGTGGCCTCCTGCTGCAGGCTGCGAGCTCTCATACTGAGTTGCAGATGATTTGCTTGATAATAATCGCAAAGATAAGTGGCGAATTTTCGTAGTGAGACATAGAAACATGATGCATAAATAAGGGAGCGAAGGTCGAAAAGGTAGTTTTGCCCTGTTTTGCTGAGGACTAGCGACATATTTATATACGCGTGGATATGTTCTTGGAGCAGTGTTCGTTAATCCCACGCCATTTCGCTGGTGGATTAATACAGGTCTTGGGATCTCGATTTGAATCATAACTTCCTCTGCATATAGGTGGATTTGGCCACTAAATCCAGCATAATGTCAGCCATCTTACGCTAAGCACGGATACTGGATACAAGTAGGTGTGGCTGGCTTAATACCAGGAGATCCACAATAAAGACTGAGCAAGGACGGGGCAGGCGATCAAAATTGCATGTCTTACCGTATATGAACCCCGCTCGCCAGCAACAGCTGAGGCAGAGAGAATGATGTCGTATGAAGAATCTCATGGCCACATAGGGGCTCATTATCAAGAGGCAAGGATCTAGCAGCAGAACAGATGATCTTCCCTGTCAAACCACATCCCCTCGACCCCTTCGGCAGATACGGATGGTGAGCCGGTGGTACGTGCTCATTCTCGTGCTTCTTAGCGTTAATTTTCTGTTGGATGGCGCACACATATGCGTCGAGACGGCGACATCCTTGACTGCGTTACTAAGATAAGCCTAGACAGGGCAAGGCAATAGTGTGGCTGTTCGGATTCAGGTTAAAGTTCGCCAAGATTCCGATCTGTGCTATTACCGCAAAGGAGAATAAGTCGAGACTTATTTGCTAAATACAGAAATGTGTTAATCACTTGCTGCTTACAACCATTCCTAATTATTACCCTCACAAATTCTTAATCTCGCAGGATTCATAATGCCAAACCAAAGGCATAAGCGATTAGACAATTTCAAAGGCACAGTTAAAGAATATATCACCTATTTAGAGAACGAAGTGTTTCAACTGCGGCGTCGAGTTCATCACCTGGAGCAGGTCCCCACGTCCATCTTCTCGCCGACGCAACCGCAATTGACCCCTATGCAAATCGTTATCGAAGACCCCTCAGAGCGTCCAAAGAAAGTTACTGCTCGCGCGAACAAGTGGACTAGCATGTTTTGGGATGTTCTACGGCAAAACGAAGAGGGTTGGGCGACGCGGCGAAAACAAACCCTAACCTTTACATGGAGTGGCCTGATTGAAACGATAAGTCGCCTCACATGTATGCGCTTCGATGTATGTGACCAGCTCCAGACGACACTCGGAGACAAAACGCCTCATGATAGAAGCACAATTAGTATCCTTCGAGGATACGGTGGTTTTGTCAGCACGCTAGGAGAGAATAGAATTCACGCGACGCAGTTGTTCAACTTCGGCACGCTCCTCTTTGTTAGCCTTTCGATCATTGCAATAGAGATGGGTGTATCCAAAAAAGAGGTGGACAAGTGCCTGATGGATCATCTGCAGCGAATTCAGGGCCAGTCGAACGCGTCCGAGATTTGGTTATCACACCTCCGCCATACAGCGCTTAAGATTATCGCTTGGGCGCATGATATGAGTGAAACAGCACTAAGGCACCGAGCTTGGGAGTTACTCTTCCAGTGTCAGTTAGTTCATCAGGCAGCTTTTCACATAAGGCTGTACTAACTAGGGTAAGATATACCATCCATCCATCAGACCCCAAAAGTAGTTCAAGGCTTTCGGGTGGATCTTTCAGGTCTCGTCTTCGACCTAAGACCTCCTCGCGACGAGATACAAGCCAAGGTCCCGTTCGAGATACCATATCTCGTGAAGATCATCTTCGGCAACTATTGCAGGTGAGTTTGGGGACATGTCATTTATGACTCGCACTCATCGATAATCAAGTCTCAAGACAATCAACAAAGCCCTGGGAACAAAGCTGAGAGAGGACGTGTTCCATGAGAGATTAGCGACCCTTAAGAGTGGAGGATGGACAAGAGGGGATCCTGTAGTGGTGAATGATGAAGGCACCGCCGCTCACATCTACTCCATGTCCCAAGCGGTTCCCAGAGATCAGCAGCCAAGTAAACTGAGGCACACAGAACTCAGCAGCGTGTTGGAAACTCCACAATGCCAGCCAGAGCTATCAGGCCCTGTAAATCTCGCTCGTGCCGACTTTCTTGCTTCGGAGTTGAGTCCCCCGCGCTTACCAATGCGAGATGGTGTCCAAGACTCGGAAACAGCAATCGTCAATGATAGCGGAGTCGAAGTAGCTAATTCCATGACCTTGCCAATGTATATTGGCGATTACCTCTCTGAAGGTGATACGCTACAATTGAAGGATCTTGGGCTAGATGGCCAGCGCTGGAGCGGGCTGGAATTCAACTACTAAGCTAACATTTATAGATGCTTTAGAACTGGTTGCAACACGCCGTTCAGTTCCAGCCACTGAGCTCTTTATATTTCTGTCACATTGGCAGCGTGTCTATTAGTGTTATAATGCATCGAGAACCAAGATTACCCATAACTTTTGTGTCCTCGTAGACAATGACATGGTCGCCCGGCGCCAGAGAGACATTCGTACAGTCGTTGATTCTAGCCTTGTTGTGGCCGATCCAGAGGTTTACATTGTGACTTGCATCGACGTTGGGAAGGATAGCGAGCATCATGAATTGATGCGTTCTGGTTGAGATTCCATCCAGCCCAATATCGATTACTACCGACTCCTTTTTCGGAGGCGCCGGTGAAGCTCTCTTTCTGCTTGCTAGTAGTTTTTTCACATTTTCAACCTTATGAAACCCTAGTAGTCAGTATTCTGGCCTTTTCATTCATATCAACGCACCATAGTCGAATGGAAATTCCTCGCCAGTTCTCTCCCCGCCTCTGGCAAAGGATACACCAACAGATCGGGCTTCCCTGCCTGGTGAATTGGCTGCGGGTCCTTCAACAGTGCACCCGTTTCGCATGCTAGACGCTTCCACTCCTCTGTAGCAGGTATGATATCGAAAGTCGCCATAGATTGAAGCTAAAAGCAGACCAAAATTTGTGCGAGAATGTAGCTATATATGCATTATAAAGGACGTGAACTGGTCGAAAAATTATATACATATGATCTAGCGGGGCTGCCCAATGTGGCAGTTGTCTCGTGGTGTCCATAGTCCCCCGGTGTACACACCGCGCACACCGCGCAGGCCGCGCAAGCCGCGCAAGGCCACGAGGCAGGAATTTTTTGCCCTAAGACCACCTCTTCATTATCATGCGGTAATCAAGTCGTCTCGCCGAGCTTGAATGCTCAAACCATTGTCCTAAACACACTCTGGTCATTGCCCTGCGTTGCACGCCCAGTAGAGATGTGAAGAGTTCTCATAGGTGACTTATCTGATCATAAGGCATCAAAGTTCGATGTCCATGTCGTTCTGCATCGTCGGGATGGAGATACTTACGCCGCTTGCATTCCGTGAAATAGGAGTCAGGGGTAGTCTTTCGCCATCTAGCGGAGGCAGCTTCCTCCCGTGTTCAGATCTTTTCCGATAGATCTGCAAGCCATGAAGGATGAGGTCGATGAGTGCCGGAAGTAGTACTATTATAATGATTTGTAATGGACGTCCAAGATGGACAGTATGGTAGACTGCTATATAGCCCGCACTAGCAAAGGTTGAGGTGCTCAATGCTAGCGCGCTGGCTACTGATAAAAGTTTCTTCTTATCCAGACTCCAGCGATACATAGACCTTCCGAGCCTACAGGCCTGGAGAACGATAAACATTGAAAGCGGAATCAAGACTAATTCACGGGTTCTGTTATGTGGATGGTTAATAAGCGTGGTCGATGTTTGTCTGATTCTGGAAAGTACACACACCGCAACAGCGATGCTGCCACCCAGACTGATAACCAACAAGCAACCTTCAAAAGCGGCTAGCATGGATAACCAGTGGAATCGTGGTTGACGGACGCTAATAATGACTCTGATCTGCTCTATAACCTAGTACCAATTTAGCACGATCCTATAGATGACGTTGAATGACTCACTCGCTCAAGATCCTGATAAAGTAAAAAGAAACTATCGAACCGCGTTGTAATGTGAATTAGATGTGAGGATGCCAGTATTGTGGCCGTGATCGCAAGTTGGATAAAGAATAAGTGAGTAATAACGCACGTCGCCCTTCGCAAAGGTCCTTTATACCAGAATAGATAGATATGAACACCGAGATGACAGCAAATGATTACTACATAAATAGCCCAAAAAGCGGCAATAAGATCCTTATGCATCAACATAACTGCGGGATAAAATTGAAGGTGTATCAAGGGTTGAAAATGGTGAAAGCCAAGGACGGAAGTGGAAGTAGCATTGCTCGGGTCTTTAATGCTTTATACAGGCTTTGAAGATCTCAAACATTTCAGAGCGGCTTAGCCGAATGATAATATGTTTATGGGAAAATAGAATAACAAGGTGGCTTATAGGGAGCGGAGTCTACGGAAACTTATTACGCGAAACAGCGTGGGGTCTCAGCAATCTAGTTTTAACATTTATAATGATTACGAGGACGAGCATGTGCAAGAACTGTGAGCCACTAAATACCAAATCATTGATTGATGCTGGCTAACTTAGCAATAACTAGCAACCAGCTCCTCACGCTTTTGATGTCCAAGAATCGCTATCCAACCCCAGCGTTCTAGCTTCTTCAGTAGTCATGTCCTTCAAATAATCATCGACGACGCGGCCTTGAGAGCCCAGTCCAGAGTTCCCTAGCTCGGTAGAGTTGGCCGAGACCCCATTGTTAATTTGAGCTGGAGTTGGATTTTTTCCCAAATCAGAGCGAGACTGTGTTTTGCTGTCAGGCGGAGTTTTGGATCCGTCTTGAACTGCTTGGGCATCACTCGTGTTGGTGCCGTCTTGAAACGACTGGACGGACGTATTTTCGGTATTAGCTGGTGTCTGGCTGTTGGACATGGCGATGAGTCGAGTCCTGAACAATGTGGTGGCACAAATGTAAGCTAGATGGTCTCTTAAATGCGATTATCTGAAAGATGCTCTCTAGGTGGATGAACAGCTGCTTTTATACACCTTAAAGCCCATTCTCCATCCTCCATTTCGCAAGTTCCTTCCCTTTCAGCGTACAATTCATTTGTCTTCAGGAACTGTACCGTTTCGTCAGCACGCTTAGGATGCGGGAGGTGCAGCTAGCTCCGAGTCGTCTGATGCTTTGCGTGGCTTCGTTATCATATTGGGCTAAGAATTAAAAGATAATAGAAAGCTAACAGGTGCATTACATATAACAGTGTGTTTTATAACAGTGTTATCAAATACAGCGGCTCCTCACAATGTCGAATACAATAGGAGCACTGATGTATATGCAATAAGAGGGCCACAAGCAGTGAGCTTCAACGGGAGCGAACGAGAGGTAGGAGAGGGATGGTGACATCTGGGATAAGATCCACATCCGTGCGGTATTGAATGTTTAGATAACGCGATTCTGTTTTATTCTTAAGTGCTGGCAGCATAGGCGAAGACCACTTGAGACGCCTGCAAAGTATTTTCCAATAGCCGGACATCCGGCTAGTAATCAACGCGTATGTTTATGCTTTCTCCGTTGCCCAATGCTTCCGGTAATACTTCAAGCCTAGGAGACGCTACTGTATGTTTTCTTCACTGCACCTTACTGCTTACCATTGTGGAGGATGGACGTGTGCGCACGATAAATAGATGAAAGCGAGGGTTGATCCGCAGGATTTGCAGATGTGCATAGTGACCAAAACTGATATCACCCTCCGAATGGCTGTCCAATGTACGATACCGCCACAATGGCACGGTCTCCGCGTCAGAGCTAGTCTTTGGAGCTTTCTGCAGCTGAAAATATGCAAAGCGAGGGATCAATGCCGTTCGCTTAGCTTATGCAGAAATCTTTATGTTGTCTGACCAATACATCATAGTTCGCCTAAATTTAGTACACGTGGAGAGCACGAGTTAAAGCAAAGCGGCATGTGACGCTACAAAGCGTTATGTGGCGCTACAAAGCGTTATGTGACGCTACAAAGCGTTATGTGACGCTACAAAGCGGCATGTGACGCTACAGAGCGGCATGTGACGCTACAGAGCGGCATGTGACGCTACAGAGCGGTATGTGATGATATAAGACGGCATGTAACGCTATAAAGCGGAATGTAGTGTTATGAAGCAAAGCACTTTTGCTGCCACCCTATCGCGTCACTTATTCCTCTTTTCCAAGCGTCACCGAGAGATGTCATCTGCAATATATGTGGAGTTTGAAGGCGGTCGCCGCATCTCCCATAAGGATATAGGCAATGATCTAACAAATGCCGAGATACATGACGTGTTCCTGGAAGCGAAAAAATTTTTCGAAATTTTAATGTCAGAAGTGCAAAAAAGAAGTTTGAAAATTGTTGATAGATGGGAGACAATACTCCAGGAGAACTCAGAACGCCTGCACTTGATGGAGGATCTGAGTGCCCGGGATTTGAAGAACATCCAGTTTGCGTATGATGTTGCCATCAAATCGAAAAAAGAACAGAACTCGCAAAATGTCCAATATAAATTATTCCTAGATGTTGTTAAACGCTTCTGCGATCATGGAGTTCGTCTTCTCTGTATTATTTCCTTTACACAGAGTATGATCTACAAACTGAGAGACAATGAGAGGAAGGAGCTTCATAAATTCATTCGGGACAAGACAAAAACTTACTCATCTTTGGTACTTGACTCACTTGCTACCAAGCATGAAGTGTCAAAGATATTCGGTATGTGTCTAAGTGGGAGAATGGCAATAGTGCTAATTCCTGATATAGGTGAACAAGCTACATCGACAATGATCACTTTGCCTACGCAATTTGTCAACCCTCACGTCCCAGTTTGGGTGCCTGCGATTGAAAATTACATCTTACTACCTCCAGGTAATTACGCCACATTCGCTGTCGCACCTTATGACGCCATTACACTGCCATCACAATTATTAGATGAAGGCATACAGAACAGTCAGCATTTTCTGGAAGAAAGGGCACGCAAAAGTAGGTACACTAGTTGCGTCTTTATCGCTCTGCCTGAGAAAGATGGAGATTGCGTAGTTATTGCGCGTTTAAGCTACAGCGCTGGGTTTGCGTTAACCTTTAACGGCTTTACATAATTATATGCGCCTATCTTCTTATTTATTCTAGGGTGACCGTGCCACGTATCAAGTAACCCTTATATCCAGCCTGCACTGAAGTCGTTGTTTTTGTAGAATTCAGAACATCAATATAAACTTCTTTCCCATCCTTCGCAACCTGCACTATGCGACATGATTCACCTTCAAGACTCAGTTTGCCACTATCGCGTATATTCACCACAATGCTTGTATTGTATCCTGATGTATCACCCTGTTTCAGATCGACCTCTTTTCCTGCCATTCTCAAAGGTATGGGGGTGTGCGAGCGGCTTGACCGGATAAGTTTGTAAGTTATTGTAGTTTTGCCGGATAAAATCGTCCTATATCCCTCACTCAGAAGGGCATACCTAAACAGTTTCTATACGCGTGCTTACGATTGTAGAGTGGGGAACTATTGATAAAAGGTAACTTACGGTCCAACGTTGTCAGTTTATTATAATATGGCTTAGGGCACGGAGCGGCGTATATAAATAATTCGTGTGCAGAGAGTCTATGGTTATCGGAAAGATTAAGGATAAGAAATTTATATTGCGGCCCAGGCTGCCCAAAGGTTTATGAAGTCTAATGAGGGCACAGACCCAACCCCACTTTGGGGGACGTTCGCTTGGTCAGGACGCCTGGAGGCAGCTGATCAATTTTGTTATAAATATATCATTAGGTTTAGTACTATTCACCTCTATCAGTCATATATTAAAGTCTTAAGGGATTTGTTATTTATATGATTTATTTGCAACTTTTAACACATCAAAATAAAAACGTGGTCACTAGCTATTTGGTGATTTCTCACCAAAACAGCCTGCACCTAGTCTATTTAGGCGCAAGCTGTCCTGTCGAGCATTTCGTTTACCGTATCACCTGCGCCTTGATGTGGCTATTCTATTCCCGGTTAAAATCTCAATTTTCTGGTTTATAAAGATATGATGTTCACTTATGGCGCTGTATAGGCTCGGAAGGCAAGGTCAGGCACTCCAGATTACCCAGCAGACGTGGATGGCGTTTATGAAGCTTAAAGTCTCGAAAACCAGGAATACCTTACGTCCAAACTTTGTAAGGACGTCTGTCATATTTTCGAAAGGCTCGCTGCCCATTATAAAAGAGCTGTAGTAGAACTGAACGCGAAAAGGTCAGGTTTCATATTTAGTGGACTCTGTTAATCTTTTGGAAGAATCTCGTGCTTTCCTTTTTATCAGGGGGAAATTTTCTAGGATACATATCACAGTGAATGACGCCATTCAATAATAATAAAGAGAAGTGCCAGTGGCCGACTGGCGGTGAAGCCCGCCAGCTGCATAAACAGCTGTATCTCCATACGAAGCATTCCATGTGCGTACCATTTCTTCGTTGTAGTGAGGTTTGTTTGCAAGACTTCCTTCAGGTCTTCGACGTACATGCAAGACTTCTCTCTGCCGAACTCAAGCAGACCGTGCGTCGTTGCGAGCTTGCGTAACACCTGAATCCAACATTAGCTTTGTTGCCCGTTACTGCCCGTTGTAATACAGAGCCAGCGGACCTTTTGCATGCTACGATTTAGCTGTCCATTGATCTTGTCCCCTGTGGCTCTTTCAAACACGAGCCGATAGAGCTTCCAATATGTGCCAAGAGAGCTCCTGTACTTCGTACCACGTAAACGTCTTCCTCCTCTTCCTGTCTTTTGGTTGAGCAGCCAGTCGAAAAAGCTACGTAATATCGATGAAGGAATCGTGGAACGGTGGATCGACGAGCGCAGTACGCACTTAAGCCCCTATCACCTTGACATGCACAGCGCCTTGCCTCCTTCAGCGCATATTGCATGGCAGACGCTGCCAATAGTGCGTAAGGATACTCGGACGAGGTGTGAACTTCGACGGGCGGCTGCCGTGATGCCCCTGTGGAAAAGTATGTGACTAGCTATTTCCGTGCGCTGAGGCTTCTTTGCAAGCCAGGGAAATAGGCAGGCGGTCGACGTAATGCGTATGGGAATGATCCGGCTTTTGGGGCTGCTGCGGCAGCCGTCCTTGACGTCGATGAGTGCTCTCGTCTCGTGTGTGCCAATCTGATAGAGCAGGATAGGTGAACTGTCCCCAAGAATAACATGGCCGTGATACGGTGCTGGCAGCACAGCATCCTTCTTTTCCAGGCCATAGAATTTCGATGTCGTGATCGGTGTCCGCTGTATGTAGTCTTTCCTGAATCTCGACGCACAACCGTCGCAGACTATTGTAAGACTCCAAAATAAATGCCTTCTGCCTTCGTCTTCGCGCCGAGTATCTGGCCCGTCCACTCGTTTTTGATGAGTTCCGTCGCGGTATCCTCGATTACCGTTACGTTCGCAGTGCTGCATCGCCGCCGTTCGCAGTGCTTGCACAAATCTGCCGTGATCGAAACTTCTTCCCTCTACTCTTGAGCCATTACCTTGCCAGCATTCCGAGGGTACGGAATCTCAACCGGCTGTGCATGATATGTCACTAGATACCCAAGCACAGGAATAGCGTCAATGTCCTCGAACAGTGTCCAAGACCCAGCTTCTGCAGCGCGAGCACGCCGCCCGGCTGCAGCAGCTCACCCACGATGCGATCCGGCTGCTTCAGATTCTTCTCAAGCAATATGACGCTGCGGCCCTGGTCACCAAGCGCGACAGCGAGGGTGGAACCCGCGACGCCAGCGCCGATGATAACAACGTCCGCATCGTGGCGAATATGCCTCCGCTCTTCTTTTCGTCGGCGTAGAAATGCGAGACCGACGAGGTCGGGAGGGTGTCATCGACGATCAGCGGCACGTTCGAGCAGAGGACACCGCGATTTATATATAGGTTTCGTCTGGGCTGTGCGTGGCGTTGATTCTGGGCGGTTGATTGGTTACTCCACCCTAGGCTATAGCTTACTTGACGTGGGCCTTCAGGTTATATAGGTTTAAAGCCCGCAGGTGGAGCAGCATAGCTTGCCATAGCCTGCTGCTGCTGTGTCCCTTTGCTTCTAAGTACTGCCCTGCCTATGTTGACTGCCTTAATCGCCGCTGTCTTCGCCTCTTTACCCGCTGTTGCTGCTGCTTGTATATTTGCCTTTATTGCCTCTATATCTTCTCAGATATGTTAGAAGGCTTTGTCAATGCTTTTCCATCTGTTCACTCTGTGCGCAGTCAATCTACCTTCTCTTCTAGGGTGGCTACGTCAGGGGTATCCTTGATTTTGGCGAGCGCGAGTAGCGCGCTCTTGAGAGCTTTACTTAGTTGCTTTCTATCAATCTCTCTATCTCTTTCTACGACGTGCAATGTATCGCTAAGCTGCTTCATGATTTTTAGGATACGCTCTCAAAGGTTGGTGGGCCCGGCTACCTCCTGGCACCAGGGCGTCGCTATGTCTTACGGCCGCGTTGGGAAGGTGCGGCTTCCGATAAAGCAGTTTCCGGTCTTCAGGGGGTGTATGTGAACACAATTGAGCCCTTTATTCCAAGAATGAGAGTTCTCGCTGTTGTTGTGCTTTTTCTTGACGCACTCCAAAGGCAACAACAGACCCAGAGTGGTCACGGGGTTGCAGGGCACAACGATATCACGTGATGAAAGTTCCGCCCGTTAAAACTTGAACAACAAGAGGAAAAAATTTAAGTATTGCTAACAGAGGCTCTTTGGTAGCGGTATAGTCTTCGATAGTTGTGCCAGCACATTTGCTTGGTGTCTACGGATATTCGTTTGAACGCCCCTCCACCATGTGTTTATCAGCAGCTTCCGATAGCGGATCGGCCCGAGATGTGGAGCGCTGTTGGTGCCGCTTGACACGAAGTTCATGATCAGCACAGCAGGAACCATCAACAATTCAAGCTCATTGCTCACATGACGGCCTCTAACAGCGACACCGACAAAATCTCCTTCTAAGCTCACAACTGGGGATCCAGATAGCCCCCCACACATCAACTTTAAAGACTCAGGCGTCGGCTTAGCGGAAAGAAAGCTGTGTGATGCTTGCCCTGCGAAGTAGAGAGCTTCTGCTTCCACAGTTTCGGTAATTACCGCATCTAGGAAAGCGGGAGATCCATTAGGGTATCCATATATTCTAATCTTTGTGTCGGCGTAAGCTGCAAGAGTTTTGCCCAGGTATTCCCGAGGGACATCTGGGACGCGCCACTGTAGCGAACCTCTCTTTTTGAATGCGACGCGGGAGAATGCGAAAAACAGAGCGACGTCAAATGGTTGTCCGGTTCCGTCCATTGCCCATTGTAGCCTAATGGCTGGGTAGCGATAACGCCTTCCCTCTACCACGCAGTCCATGTCTGTTGGCCCTAGATTAGCGCAGGCATGGGCACAAGTAAGGATAAAAGCGCCCTCTTCTCGAATCCCAACGATGAATCCAGTGTAGGCACTAGATTCACTGATCAATCTGACTGCCGTAGATTTTAGATATTCACTGATAGGTAAGGCCATGATGATTCTTGCTTGACTGCGGCTCTTGCAACCACAGATATATGTGCGTGATGCCAAGCGTCGGCAGTGGCTAGGCCGTGAGGACGGAATTGTGCTCCAGGATTCTAGCCGCGCTAAGTGTGCAATCCACGATTAATATCCCCCAGTGCGTAGAGAGAATCACCCCGTGGCGACCGTAAATTTTTCCAAGTAACTTAGCTGCTGTCAGGGGTGCTCAGGATGTTATGATACACGGCTGATACAAAATTATTATAAGAAAGCTCGATGCGTGCTCGGAGTCTGAGTTTGAAGTCAAGCTACCGATGATTTTTCTCGCCACGGGGTGCTTTTCTCCAAACAGTGAGAGATGTTACTACCTCGATACTCCCCACATCAACATTGGCATCACCGAATCGACGAAGCATGATCCTATGATCAGAGTGATGACAATGTTAAATTGTTAAAGCTAGATAGAGAGATTGGCGATTAGAGCTAGAACCAACTTTTCTTTACCTCTCGGCAGTTTTCGCAAGCATAGGTACATTGAAGGAAGAAGGAAATTGACGATTGAGGAAATCCTCCACCATTTTGAGCCTACACGCAGCCACCCGCATAGATCCCGCCAATTTTGTGATATTTTCCCCGTCTCGGTTGCGCCGAGCAAGCTCTGCGTCGACTGATTCCATTTTCAGCGAAGCCGATTCGACGAGCCGCGACTGCGATTTCTGTATGGTGCGGACTTCGTTTTGACTCTCCACCTGAGAAGCCCGCACACGTGCGACGCTTGATTGCAGGGTCTCGATTTGAGCCTCAAATTCGCTCAATCTACCTTCCAATGTGGCCCGAGCCTAACCCAGGAAGTCAGTAGTACGAAGGCAAGGTCACGTGCGGCGATGAACATACAGATTGAACATCCGTCTCGAGCGCCGTGTACTTTGCATCCAAGCATCTCAGCTTCTCAGATAATTCTTGACACTTGCTTCGCAATGATGTCCGTTCCGCGCTATCCAAGAATCCAGAAGTTTTAACTCCGTTCTCTAATTCAGCAATGCCAGTCTCGAGGGTGTGCTTAACGGACTGCGAGTACTCTTGGTACTCCCGCTGCAGGTTGGACATCCTCTGATTGCATCGCTCCTCGAGGGCGTTTAAGCTCTGGACTGTTGCTGCCTTTTCATAACGTTCGACGCAATCCGAGTTCATTTGTGCACAATGCCCCTCGATGGCTTCCACTCTCTGGATAGGCACAGCTTTCTCATGAAACTTGATACAGTTTATAACATGCGCATCAAAGCTTTCTAGACCACTGAGAATGGCTCCATAATATCTGTCATGATGCACGGCGGTCTGGGCGAGCTCATGATTGTGCTGCTCCATCCTTGCGTCCACTGACCTCATGTTCTGCATGATGAGCTCTCGAAGAAAACCTATCTCATCGCGCAAGACCTCAATTTCGTTTTTGTGTTCATGGCAGTGGTCTGTGTGCGCATCAGAGGCTATTGTATGCGGTGCATGACGCAAATCTCTCAGCTGAGGCTCCACCGAAGAGAGAAACTTTGGTAAAGTCTCGGCATGGTCCACAGTTGGATGATGTGTCTCCGGTATGGTCTGTTCCAAAACCGAATCGGGCTCAAATTCGACCATTAGATGCCGATTACCTGCTGGGTTGTTGATGGAAGAAATATTCTGGCTAATGGTCTCCGGTCGAGGATCTGACCGTGAGGTCGGGGGTAAGCCTGTAAACGGTACGAGCTGCTGCTCCGAATAGGTCTCGATATCAGGAATGAGGCTCGGCACTGGGCTGAATAGGCGTTCGCCATCGCTGGAGGGCCACGGAGCGCTCTCTTTCGGTTCCAAATCGACAAAGCAAGATATGTAGTCTTCTTGTGGAGTGGGATCAAGCTGCTCGCCACACTCCGCTGGCACTTGACTGTACACCTGCGCTAAAGCCGAGAGAGGAGACTCTTGGAGTGGAGCCGCATCTCTGGCAGCGGCTGGTAAGTCGAGGCCTTTGGTAATGGAGTTGCTTATCGTTGGCGATTTTATAAAGAGACTATGAAATTGATCATCAAAGAACCTATCAAGCCTCGGACTTATGCTGGGGGATTTTGGTTTTGGCTTCCTTGCGATGTAGTGATGTACCTTCTGATGATGAGCGAGCTCAGATCGCGTACCTTGAAATATGGTGCATTTCCGACACGCAACAAGCTTTTGTGACTTTATGGCTCCCATATTGAATTTGAGTGAAAATTATTGCTTTAAGGCGCATCTTTGGCTGTCACACGCTGGTGTATTATACCTCAGACGTGAACATCATACTCTGCTCAGAAGGCAAATAACTTCGCGGTTTATCCAGCCAAGCACTGCCGTGATGCACTGCCCCCCAGAGCGCTAATGCGCGTCAAAAACGAAATTCCAGGATTTGGGAAAATTAAGCGCCAGAAACTGCCTTGACAGCCTTGCAGATTGGGCCCACACCTAATTCGAAAAAAGGCTGTCAGGTGTTTAAAGTAACTTAGTCTATAATTCTCAGCGCAATATCAAGCATTGCTGTTTCACCCCTCTGATAACACTACAGATTGTCAAGAGCGCAACCAGATTGTCTATTTCGCGAGTATTAATGCGCAGTACTCCGGACATGTTAGAACCCCATGCGTCCCATTTTTGCTCGAAGTGAGCGACAACGGTGGATACGCCTCTGATACGTTTCGACAAAAGAAGCCCGTCCGCAGTGGATTTATCTTCACGGTGCCAGTTGTAAGCAGCAGAATTCCAAATAAACCCACTCATTGTGTGAAAGCAGGACAGAGGTGAGACGCAGATGGGATGGGCAGCCACCTCTCCGGCTACCGTAATACGTGCAGCCCCGAATGACCACATCGGATGCTGCCAATAGCAAGGAGTTGGCTACTGTCGAATCCGCTGAAGGCCTGGCACACATTTGTATATCAGTTTTGCCTGTGTAGGATGATGGCTTTTGCATGATTCCCGCAAGCGCGGCTTTCTCCGGATGAGCCAATTTCTATTAGCGATCAGAATCACCGGTTACGTCAATAGCGGGTATTCGTATTGACGCCATTGTATGAGGTGAGATGTAGAGGACCTTAGCAGGCCTGAAGCCGGAGCGACAATTCACAGTGGCATTCATGGACGTTCGAGATATTCTGCTCCCCACGTTATTTGTAGCCTTAAGACAGGATGCCTGTACACAGGGCGCCATCCCAATATGATATAATATCGCACGTTGGAACACTCCCAATCATGTCCCGAGGTTAAGCGCCCTTCACAACTAAGGAAAGTATTTCTCGAAAGTTAACACTATATCTTATGGTTGCACTAAGAGAATCTACAAAGGCTTTCAACATTTCCCTGCTCTGCTAGAGAAGCGTGCGCCACATTTTTAGCTTGTCCTATTGCTGGTAGAACCCTGTATCACTCTAGGCGTGTCTTGCTCCCTGAACAATGTGTCAAAGTATGCTGACCAGAAGCCACTGTGGCTGTCAACATGTTCTTTGGCCTCATCGCACTCATCAATAACGCGGTCGCTAAGAACTATAACAGTGGGTTCTTGCTCATTCCTTAAGGTGTTCGGTTTAAAGTAGTCATTGGTCTTCCTCGTGTCTAGCCGGCGACACCGCGATCTGCTGTGCAGTCGATACTTGCTGAGCCATGGTCCTATCCGGCGTCGTATATGAGCTATAGCTGCCTCGCGACATCGGGCCCGCGCTCTAACTTCGCGCTTGAACTTCTTGATGATGTTCTGTAACATGTATGTCAGTCATTGAGGTGCATAGAATAGCTCGCGAGGTACCTTGTGAATCTTCTCTTGCGCCATAATTGCAGTCCGTCTCGGCTGCTTTCCGCAAAGGCGAACGGGTACATGTTAACAATTTAACAATGACGATGATTTTCTTTCTCGTCAGCCTCTGCCGCCTCTTCTCTATTTTCTTCAAATTCTAGTTTCTGAGATTTGAAGTCAGATGTAATAAGAGCGCGCACTCAGCCTCCAGTGACGACAGCGGATTTTAAATGCTAACGCAGAATATATTTATCCTATTCCTTATTTTGGCAAGGCAGTCTTTGAATTTTGTGCGCCTAGCTGCATGCGTATGTGCACGCACTAGGCGAATCTATCTCATCGGCACTGCAAAGAGTTAAGCCGATAGTTCTAATATCCTAACAACTCGATGTACACAGCCACCTTCGCATTCTGGCTTTCTAGATCTGTGGTCCGGTACAGTGGTGCAATGTACATCAACACACACATATATATATATATATTCATGAGACCTTCCGTCCTTTTCGACACCATTGCTTAACTTTAGAATGGATCGTCTCCCGCTTGAAATATGCGATATGATTCTGGAATACGTTCATCCGCTAGAGACTGAAGCGCGGTAAAGCATAGCATTCCGCACTGATGGAAGGAGCAAATACTAACTGTTCAGTATTAGCTGTGAAGCCCACCCGACAGTGAATTCGATGCCATTAGATACCCGTCGCAAGTCTAACTGCGAGCCATTATTACGAAACCCAAAGGTGGAATGCCTTACTCCAGATGTCGCCGTCTATAAGGAACTGCGACAAGTCTTTCCTTCGTACTACTCTCGCCTCCTGTTCCATACGGTTCTTCTTTACCCCCATAAGCACAGTCTCGAACGTTTAGTCGAAATCGCGCAAAGTTGCTTTGCGAAATGTGTTCGGCGTGTAGTCATCTCACTTCCCTTCTTCTCGCCACTTCTGATGGCTCGCTTAATGGCAAAGGCTGATCCTATAGCTAAAATCAAGCTTGCTGACTACTGGTGTAGTTTTCCAAGAGACCTTCAGCACTTGCTGAGGCAATTTGATAATCTCAAAACCATTGTTATCCTGCCTTCTTGGGATCGAAGACTCCAATGGATGCAGAGACAACGCTACCGTGATACCGCAACAGAACATCTGCTGACATTTTCGTGGTTTGGATGCATTGATCACCACTTCCAATGCCAACGAGTGGCCGAAATTAACGAAGTTGCAAATCTCCAGTCTATTCTTGGAACGCTCAATAACCTCCGGGACCAGATTCAACAGCTTCATGTTTTCAATCTGGGATCCGTTTGGCTGAATCTTCTTTCACAGCCGTACGAAGCCACAGGGGCTCTTGAGGTGGTCACCCCAATCAATCCCGAAACTCTCGTGAGCATGGATTTAGTCGGACGTCACGCCGCGGAGTTGGCCGTGTATTCCTGTGCACTATCAGACCTGATTTGGTTCACTCGTGTTTTTGAGAATCTGGTACATTTATGCTTGGAAGGCGTCGGTGCGCGAGATAGCAACGAGGTCACACTGTTCGCAGCTTCCTTAAATCGCCAGCTCTACCCAGGGCTTCGGAAAATCACAGTGAAGTCCTCTAATTTACCCCCTCGTGACTACCTTTCTCTCTTTCAGGCTATCAAAGATCACGAGGGCTTACGAGATGTTTCTATTGAGCAGGTTCATATACACTGCTGGGATAGCACGGTAGGCAAAGACTTTACTTTCAGGACAGACGCGATGCCGGAGAATGATATGCAACAGAAACTACGAGAATACTTTAACGGCACATTGCAGATTGAGGAGTGCTGGATAGGGATGTTCACTGGCTCAGGCTGCTCACATTGTTAGCATTGGTGGGGAAATGCCGCCGGAATAAAAAACAAGCAACGTGTGAATGGAGACGCGTTTTGTTATTAAGTTGCTAAATTGCATTAACAAAACTAAACTAGAATGACGGCCCCAGGACGCAGTGATATCGGCCACAATAGATACATAGCACGATACTACAACCGACAATGGCACCAGCAGCCGTTGCAAAAACACACCGTGGGCAATTCACCATAGTGCAGCAATGATCCAAAAATTTCCAAATAGGAAAGCTCTTCGATGTCACGAGCTTTGATTGTTCCTTTGATAAGACTACCAGTTTCTTGCGTCCAGTCTCGAAAATTGTTTCCCCGGCAAGTATTTCGTCGCTATCATGCACAAAAAGTATGGTAAATTTCTGTTATTAATTAATTATGGCAGGCGAATAAGTCGAAAATGAATTATTTACCTTAATTTTCATGAAATCATGATTACTACAGGGCTGGTAATCTGGGAGGGAGATATACGCTTCGCGGGAGCCGGGTTTTCATCCAATTGTGCGGTTGGTAGAACATTTTATTGTTTGCGAGAGCCATTTTGTAGTTATGACTTGTTGGTGCCTGTGTCACGGGCTCACTCCATGACAAGTGATAGGCACCATCCTGTTGCCCTGCCTAACCTAAATAACACTATCCTGTTACATCCAATACTACGCGATATTGGCTATCAGCCCTGACACCAGCTAATGTTAGCCAGCATGACCCAATATTAGCCAACATAATCCAATGTTGGCCAACCAGACCCCTGAATCCTGATTAGGAAAGGGTTGAAGGCCCCCTTTTATATATTCGAGTAAGAGTTATCCTCAAGCCTCCTCTCCTTCATGCAACGTCTTGATCTCTGTACGACACTTCAGTACAGCAAGGCCGAGTAGATAGTTAACCATCTCATTGCTTCATCTCACATGATAACTTGAGTGGATCGCTTCTAGTGGTTCCGTGACAGCCTGCGAGTGTGCATGGGTTGGGCCTTCTCTGCAGACCCGTCCGAACATGAAAGAAGGGCACTAACTTAGCACTTTTATGAATGAAAGCTAAAAGCAAAAGCATTGGCAAACGGGTGGCAAATCTCGCCCTATAAATATCAATTACGTTCTGATTCAGCCCTAGGCGTTCGTGATCAATGGATAGGCCACCGTTGCACAAACGAGCTGTCCTGCCATGCACGCGTTGTGAAAAGGACACTGTCATCACCACGACATAACAATTGCGATTATACGGATATTAAAGCGGGGATACTACCTCCATTTTCGTCCGAAGGCGTAGAGTCCGAGCCGTGGCAGTTCCCCCAGCCGGGTGCCGAATCAAAATATACTGACCGACACTGATATTACGGGTCATTGCTTGATTTGATTTCTTCCAGCACCTTGTCAATGAATGTTTTAGTCATTTCGGCAGTCCACTTTCGTACAATGTTAGCGTTGTAAGGAAGGTGAAACGATAATTTTCACGCACCCCAAGTTGCTTAAACATACGCAAGCATAAGCCTTCAAGGTCCAAGTGGATACGAGCGAGGCTAAGCTCTCCAAGCATCACGTACTGCCGCCTGTGATCCCAAGTCCCAAGAGGGATTGGATGCTTTGCGTCGATGTTCGCACGTACAGAGAAGTTCTGGCCCTTCATTTGTTCTTGCATGTGCTTTGTGATATCAAGTGGAGTTCCAGCAGATTCTGCCGCTTGGCGCAGGAAGGTATTGAACTGTGAAATAGAGGGAGGCAAAGAATCCAAGGGATGAATGTACAGTTTCAACTCGCGATGTATAAGTATTCCGCTGCTGTTTAAGTTCCTAAAGCATACACGGTATATTTCCTTCCAGTCCTGAACCGTACCCAGTAAATTGCTCAAAAGAATGATATCCCAGCGTTCACAGGATTCGAGTGCTTCTTTGAAATCTCCGACGTAGAAACTGACCATTTGCGGCACTCTCCGTTTCTAAGAAGTTATGGTGTCCCAGCCGCGAACCTTTGCGTTTGGATATTTCTCGCTCGCCAAGGTGCACCATGTGCCCGTGCCGCAGTTAATATGCTGAATGCGCCGTACGTCCTGCAGCGGTGATGTGACAGTCAAGTCATCATTTGCGAGAAACTGCCAAATCTCACTGGAGATTCATGCCGCTTGTTCAGCTTGGAAATCCTGGGGACGCAAGATCGGAAGAGAGTTTTCATCCCTGTGAGGTGGAAATTCTCGTCCGTACTCGTCCATGCCTCTCTCCAAGTCTTTAGGAATGGTTTCGAATGTTGACTCAGATCCGGGTGATCCTGCGTAAGTCACGTCTGTACAAAATGTCTAATAGGTGATGCGACACAGCGGCGCTGACTTTCCGGATAAATTCGCTTCGTAACTTGGTCAAAATATCAAGAAATCCGTCAAAGACAGAGACGTGCAACCGTTCGATACTATAAGAGCCCAGTATACTCTGCTCGGGCTCGGTATGTTTTACGGACGCCATTAGGGACATATTGGATCAACGCTTGGCTGGCTGGGTCCATGTAAGCTTACTGTGAGGATGGTGGTTGTGAACCGTAGGGAGAAACTGAGCAAGGGCATGAAAGCGAGCGCGAACGCGGGCATGGGCCTGACCCTGACAAGGGCCGCATTTTCAAACCTGTCTATTTTTAGCAGCGCAAAAGTCGAAGTTCTTGAGAACCGCGCCTGGCGGCAACCAGGACCATTGCTGGTGGGTTTTCATGCTGTTCATGAATGTCGGCTAGGAGTATTGTTGACGCGGGGAAGGGCTTTTCGCTCATACCACATAGCTCTCGTCGATCGAGACGGGCAGCGCAAGGGCACGATGTAGCTCAGGACAGTCTTGGAATTGCGTGGCCCTGGTTCGGCTTAGGCATCAATTGGCACAACCCCATTGGCATATTTTCAAAATACTTTAATTTCACCTACGGCACACAACAGTGGTATAAGTTCTGGCCTCCCCACGTCTCTCCAAACTGATTACTACTTATTATAATGGCCCAAAACGTTCCAAAACGCATCGTGCTTAAATGTCCTGAGCGACATGGGAATATTCAGTATGAGATGATTACAGCCTTCTTCAAGGCACACGCTATTCAATTTCCAGAAGACGATGTCTATACACATATATTATTCGAGCCATCTTCACCTTCCAGCCTGTTCTTCGTTCTCGATATTCATTGCAAGACAATTCCACATGTCAATCTTAGTCAGCTTGAACTTCAAATCTTTCAAGTCTCTAAAAATAAACCATTGTATGTTCGGTTTACCTTAGCTTTAATTATGTTAGCGCAAACTAAATTAAGTTACAGTGAATTTAGAGATCTTGGAGAGTCTGGTCGCGAACAGGCTCGACCAAGATCTCTGACGACGGCTTGGGGAACAGACAAACGAGTTAATCAGACGAGTTAGCTGGCGTGCTTCCAATACAAACAGGACAGTCTCCAGCTATGTCTGTATCCTGGGCGTCGCGGGCTAGCGGGAGGTCCCTTTGCTGTCCACTTGCCGGAATGCATGTCTGGTTATTTTGATTTGCAGTTGCACAACGGTTGATATGATGGCGGATTTCATGCTTAGGATTACGTTGACAAGATGCGTATGTCTTGCAAGCCCATTCACACATTCTGCTAAAAGAATGGGGTGAACAACAGTAGTTGGCGCGTGATTGATATATTGAGAACTTATATGGGGCCAATATATACTTTTAGCAATAATAAAGGTTGTTTAGGACTCAAGTCCTTTAGCTTGATTAATCAATGAATGACTGCAAGATGAGATGCGGGGTAAGTTATATTATATCACGTGATTTAAAATATTTTTCGAACTGCTCGGCGCACGTGTCAAACCATATGCTGTGGGCCATATATTACATGATGAGCTGGAGGCGGACGCCAGATGAAATTCATTGCACAATGCATTGCGGTGGTTGGACATGGTCGCTATCATGAAGACAGACGGGTCGCGTACACCTGAGGAATCGAATCATATGTGCTAATTTTTATATAAAATATCATGTAAACAAGATAAAAGATCTGTATATCTAAATATACGCCTGGTTCCCTCGGTCACGCTTAGAGTGCCTTTAATTAAAGGTTTTTGGCTTTTAAAACCTCGAGGAATTGTTCATTTTTTGAAGGGATTTTATAACTTGGCTTGGAACTTTACAGAGAAGCTGGCAGCAGCGATTCGACAGGGGTGCTTAACTTAATTGTCTGCTGAAGGCGTCAATAAAAAAAACCGATCAAATAATCAGCTAATACTGCTTGATAGACAGGCGAGGTGAAGAATCTATATACTCAAGACAAAAGCACCTGGGATTATGGCCTGTCGCGCTGGGTGGGGCGTTGCACGGGGACAGATGTTATTTCTTGTATTCCGTTTGCACTTAATATTCCTCTATGAGAACCTAGCAGTGTGAACATCCTGAGTCCTTCAACATATCCATCCACAAATCTGTAATTGTTGCTTGTGAATTTTTAAAGTATTTAAACAGTGCCTGCTATACAAATCTCTAGTTCCTGTCACGGGGCTACCCCATGACACATGACTGGCACCATCCTGTTGCCTGTCCGATCAAAGCAACACCGACATCAGCCAACCGAGCTCCTGAACTGGACTGACTTCCTAATCTGATTTCACCGCGCGCGCGCCTAAATCCCAATTAGGAAAGGTATGATAAGGCCCCCTTTATATTGTAAATAAGGA